AGACCAATCTTTGTTGAACTATTAGCAAAGGCAGCTTTTTATTCCAGCGGGGGCTCTAGGAGAATCCTAAAGTTGCAAACAAAGTGTAAGAAAGTTACTGCACCAGAAAACTAATAAAGTGAGATAAAATGAAGGACGATGGGTTATCTATATTTGCTACGTCAAATGAACCTTGACTGACTGTTCACCTTCCTGTTTGAGTTCATGTTGGATCTTGCTCCATGATGTGGACTAAGTTTAATTTCTCCCTATATTGGTTTTTGCTTAATTCTGATGTCCAAGTTTGACTCTGAAGGCCTCACAAAAGGAGTGGGAAGTTTTTCACTCACAAAACATATACACATGAGCCAAGAAGATGTAATATACAATCTAATCCATGAACCACATGCAAAGGGTTAAATGTTCCACAAACAGCCCAATGATAAGACAGAACTAATAACAGAGCTAATCAATGCAATCGCTGGGGTAAATACATCCTTAATTAGGGGACTCCCTCTGCAAAGATCTCCTCTTGAACTTCATTAGTATCTTAAGCTACTTAACTGAGTTTTCTCTCTGAATTTTGTTGATAGCACTCCCTGTGACCCGGCCTTATTTATTTCAAAAGGCTCATCAAGTCATTCCTGCTCAATAGATCAATAGATTTACCAGCATGCTTTGCTCTTTATGTCCCCGTCAAAGTGATGTAGCCTTTCTGCTGCCCCCTGGTGGCTAGTGTTAAGTTATAAATTTTGGGTGTGATTAATTACGCACCAAGAAAAACCCTATATATTCTTTTTTATTAGAGGAGTGGGTAGATGAGCAACCTCTAGCAAGTGGTGATAGAGGCCCGAGGACCGTATTCACCTCGATCTCCTGGAAGTCTTTTATCAGTTTTTAAACAATTTTTTGAATCAAACTTAGTAATGGTTTGCCACTCTCTTTATGGAAGGTGATCTGGCAGCTTTCTTGCACCCTCTACTGACCAGTCAACTCTGGCTCAGATTAAACAGTCTAAATTTCAAATGTACATAATTGTTAGTCCCAACAGAACACACACCGAATAAGCAGGCTCTCTAAACAATACTGTGAACGGAAAATCCTTCACATTTTTATTTTCATAGATGAGAAATCTCAGTTTCAAACGAGGTGTTTTTAACCTTTAATCTGCTGATACCGACTCTAAAAGTGACAGCTCTACTGGAAAGGCTGTGAACAACCAAATAAATTCAATTCCAAATATTTTGACACCACAAACCTATATCTACCCTGTGGTCGTGCCTCTCAGTTAGACATCATGGAAAACATTTGTCTTGAGTCAACGGCAACTTTGTGGTGTTTGGCGTGTTTGTATATGTCTTGATCACACGTCAACAGCAATTACCGTTAGGGCGAAGTGTAGAAACTGTGCTGAGAAGTCCTAGTGTTACTGTAGGAGTAGAAAGATGCTTACAGCTGACATTTGGCCGGGTTATTAAATTATTTAAGAGATGCAGTGAGAAGATCACGTCTCTTTGAGTTAATACACAATCCCTGAGGTCTTTAAACACATTATAATCTCAGAGATGATCCTTCAAGTTTCACAATCTCTGGATCACTGCACACCGCTGAATGCCAGACTAAATTAAATTCAAACAGAGTTCATAAAGCTGTAATGTTCTTCTTTTAATATCAGCAACCCTGAACAACTGTCTGTCAAAGTAGCAGTGAAGAAAAACGGGAATAATGAACCAGAAATGTTTCACATACTGATTTGCGTTGTGTAACAACTGAATTTCTGTTTGTTTGTCTGCATATTTTGGCACTGCATGTGGACACACTGGAGGCCCCTGACAACTGTAGTCGAAAATTCTTTCTGCAAGGATTTTGCCAATAAATAAACTATTTTCTTGTAGTTTAAGAGTTATGTTGTGAGTCCCCTATGGCTACATTTTGCCCGATGACAAACTCATGATCGACAAACTTTTTCTTGCAATCTTATACCACTTGATTTCACCTCTGATATGCCGGGCGGGGTTCCTTCCCTCCGCACACCCCTGTCAGGGATCATATGATGCTCTTGTGTTGTTTTGTAATGTTTCGCATATGGCTTCAGGGCCAGCGTCCAAACTCTGAGCTGAATGGTGTTTTTGTTCAACATGGTTCATCCCAGAAGAGAGTAAGCGTGCACATGGCTGCCTCAAAGAGGTTGTCAAGTTATTCAAGAAGGCCCAATGCCAGCACACCCCACCAGGCAGCTGCCTGCCAGGAGCCCATCATCAAATAATTGACTGTAGGAGGAGGTGTTAGTCTGTTTCTTCAGGTAAACAGGGAAGCCATGATAATTAGGGTTTGGAGCTATAACAGAAAACTAAGTTATAATAATGATAGTGTTTTAAGAAAAATGTTTAAAACAGTGTTTGAATGTTAGCACAATGAGCCAATTTTAGAAAGTCCTATTTGGACTATTGAATAGTGGCTGGTAGGCAAAGTCCCAGCTACTTCTGGACCCAGAGTCTCTATTTAAATGACTCTAAGTGGTCTTCGCTGGAGAGTAAATCAAATTACTACAGAGAGAAGGAAAAATCCTATGAAACTAAAGAACTACAAAGACACAAGAAGACATAAGGACAAGGATGTTAAAACAAGTACCTACAAAACTTTGTTGAAGAAACTAAACCCAAGAAATTTCAAAAAAATTACAGACACAAAAAAAACCCATTAAGATAAGAGCAAGGAGTATAAAAAGATCCACAAAGAGGTTAAAAAAGAGCACAAAGAGACACAAAACTCAAAAAGTTGTGAAACAAGAAAAGAGAGACAAAATAATAGAGATGTGCACATAAAGATCCACAAAGATGCATCAAAGACAAAAAATATGAAGCTGCACACTAAAGACACAAATAACTTCGCTAGGATCAAACAGCTACAAAGACACAAAAAACTACAAAAAGACACAAAAAACAAGGAGAATCAAACATCTGCAAGGACATGCAGTGTGACCACAAAAGCTGTGTCCCCTTACTTTGTAGTGTGTGTGAGGCTACTGCTTTGTGTGTGTATGTGACGCTCCTGCTGTGGTTGTGTGTGTGTGTTACAAGCCCTGCTTCCACGGCAACTTAATGTGATGTAAAATCACGCACTAGGACACCAATATCGTGCTGATTCGGAGTGCAATATGTAAGTACAAATGTGAAGTGATGGCAGAACTCCATTGGTCAAGGCTTGTGAGAGTGTGTCTGTTGATGCTGCCTCTGATTGGCCAGCTTGACCATGACTTGCAGCCTCTGGATTGGAGGAAGAGGATCAGCCTCAACAAAAACACAAAACTGCAACAAAGATACAAAATTTACACCAAAAACTCAAAAAACAACAAAGAGAGACCAAAGAGAGACAACTTAAGGTGTTGCAGTAGATGATAAAGATAAGCAACAATCACAAAGAGAAAGTCAGGATTCATCGAGCTAAACTTAGTATGAGATGCCCGTCTTTTCTTGTTTTGTGATTAATGTTTTCAACCACTGGATATTTGGCATGATTGGAGGCATGCTGCTGAGATTTTACTGTAGGACACAGGGCATCATGTTTTATCACTTCACTGGGAACAACATTTCTCCTTGTATTACAGAACAACCAGTCAGAGTTTGACAGCCTGGTGATCAGGTGGCACGTCAAAATCCATTAAGCGTGACTGTGATCGCTAAAGGGTCCATGCCATAAATTCCTAAGTATTTTCTTCACACTTTTTGCTTTGAAATGTTTTTTTATTCATCTTTCCTCTCTGACAAATAAAATCAGCTTGACTGTCCTTCCTAGAAAATCACCATGCAAAACGCTGCTTAAAAAAAGCCCCAGTGGTTCAGTTTTGCCCTCATTCAGCAAATTGCTTACAGACAGTCAAGTTAACCGCAATCAGTTTGTGTAAACAGCATGAGAATATAGCTCATGCTACAGAGCCAATACGGTGTCTCACAGGCCTGGCTGCTGACACCAGTTATGTAAACGCTTGAGCTCGGGCGACGAGGCAGGTCCTAAAAGTTCCCAGCCAGGCACGGGGTCACCATGCCCATGCTAAAACTCTGACGCCAGACAGTCCGGGGAAGCCCTAAAGGTTGTTCCCTAACTAAAAAAACCCTTTTTCTGAGGGAGAAACATTCATGAAATCAAAACTGAAGCAAATTTGCAGTCGAGTCTCGCTTTCCCAGCCCAGTGTCTGACCTCTAGTATCTCATTGAGCCTGACGCCAGCGGTGACTCCGCCTGGTCATCGTGGCAACCTCACCGCCAAAACAACAAGTCATAGTGCATCAGCATCAGTATAGTTTAAAAAAAAAGCTTCCATGCTGAGTAAAAGACCTGGTTCTAGATGGATATAAGGCCTCAGTTGTTGGGAGAAACATCCAATAGTTTTATCTCTGTATTATTGTTCTCCATTTCCCCCAGAAGGGGCCTTGTACTGCCTGACAGAGGGGCTCTGCCAAAATAACTATTAATGCAAGACCCTGCTGTTGAAGAATTTTTCCCCCTGCTCTTTTCTTTTTCTCTTTATTGGGGATTGTAGGACTATCTGAACTTCTTTGGATGAGTGTAAATGCAGCGGCAAACAGCAGCAGGGGTTTTGGAACTGAAAGAGGACCTCATAAAAAGCAATGGCCCAGTAAAGACTTACCAGGAATATAATGTTCAAATCTGATTGGATGAAATCAGGTTTGGATGTCAAGATTTAATTTCAACCATTCTTGACTGGCTAAGAGTCAGCCATGTCAACCTTCTAGAAAAGCACAATTTTAAAGTTTATTTTAGGGATTACAGGAGGACAAAAGTGATTGTTGCGACAGCACTTCTTTTCTCCTTTAGTCCTACATAGTTGCAACCTGTAAAAGATTTCATTTTAGCACATCATAGCGAGGAGTATTTCAGTCAACTAAATGTTTAAACCTTGTCATCATCACTCGTCGGCATGAGAAATACTTTATACTTGAAATTTATAATCACAGTTTTTCTACCTGTAGGCCTAAAAGCTTGTCATATGTCGTCTCTTTGGGGTTGTAGCTTTGGTTAACAACTATTTGCATATTTTTATAATGCTCTGTGACTTGGGTATAAACAGGCAGGTGTCTCCAAGTGCAGTGCAGTTTGGTAAAAATTTATTTGTGCATAAGAATTGATCTGACTTTGTTTGTTTGGTTAAAAAAGGAAACCACAACCCAGCCAATGCAATGTGTAACCAGCCTGGATGTGTGGATGTTAACTTGTAAAAAGGGCTGCGGCTGCTAGCTTTAATAACTTTTGCTGCACTTGTCAAACCAATACGACACGGCTGAAAGAGGCAGGGCAGAATGTGAAATATCAAGGGGAATTTTCAAGATTTGGACTTCAAACTTTTTTCACTTGTGACTTTCATGCATTGAAACAATTATTTTAAGACTGAGTTGGGACAACAAAGTTATCTTTACAACGGCATGGACCATAACCAAGTTTGTTTGTTTGCGTCCACAAGAACGAAAAAGATAGCATCTGCATGTCGCAAAAGTAACATTTTTAGTGATTTGCTGAATCAAACAAAGAAAAAGAAAAACATGCAAAGGTCAAAATTATTGACCCTCTAAAAGTCAGTAGTTCATACTGTAGCCTTTCTGATCCAAAACTGTGAACAACCTCTTGATAGTTTCTAACTTAGTTGACACATGTCTCCTGACGCATGTTAGCCCGTTTTTTTATGATAAATTTATCAAGATCACCCATATCATTTAGCCTCCGAGCATGGACCCTAACCTTGAGCTCCTTCTATGGGTTTTCGACAGGACTGAGATCTGGGCTCTGAGAGGGCCACTCCAGAACCTTAATATTGGTGTTCTTCAAAAAGTTTTGGACTAACTTTAAAGTATGTTTTGCTAATTGTCCAATTTGGTAGACCCAGCAGCGACCTAAACCTAGACTAACAGCAGACTTTTTGATGTTGTTCTTCAAAATATCGACATAATCCCCTTTTCTATGGTCCCGTGCACCCAAACAAGGTTTCCTGTGTCTGAAGCAGCAAAACAGCCCCATAGCATTATCCCCCCCATCCTCATGCGTCAATGTGGGAATAGTATTTTTAAGGGTTGAAGGCCTCACCCTTCCATCGCCAAACAAAAGCAGCACCCATATGACCAAAGATCTCAAGTTTGGTGTCATCAGACTAAAGGACCTACTTCCAAAACTCATCCCCATGTTTCAGATTTTCTTAGGCAAACTTCAGTCAGGTTTTAATGTTCCGCTGTGAGAGCAATGGGGTTTTTCTTGAATGATGACCATTAAGTCCACCATGATGAGTCTTCTGTGCAATATCAGGTTAAGCAGCAATCATCTTTGCAAATTCTTGTTCACATATCTGACTATTTTTTTCTCTCCTAAGTTTAGGAAACCTTGCATTTTAGACAGGTTATTTTTTTTGCACAGATTCTCACTTCAATTTGATTCAGGGCTAGTGATTGCTCAGGTAGGGTCTAAAACCTAGTTGATGTGTTTTGGAGGCACTAAATTACATGGGGGCTAACAATTTTGACCATCTCATTTTTCATTCATTTTTAACAAAGAAATCTCTAATATTTATTCTAATAAACTAATCAGCTGATCACAGGAAATATATATACAGAAATTGCTTTGGTTAGTGCTGTTTCAAGGCATGGTGAGGAACTTATAATGCTGTGTTGATTCTGGTGAACTTTGGAAAAAATGGTGGAATTATTCCAAGGTAAGGACTGTAGTTGGACGATAATTCGATAACAATATATATCGATCGATAGACGTGTGGTGCGATAGAAAAAAAACGGGTCGATAAAAAGTTCGATAGAAAAACACAGTTTCCCTTTCTTTTTCATCATAGCCTATCATGTAGCTTTTACTACAGTCATTACTTCCTCCAAACCAATCACAAACGCAGACCCAGGTACGCTACGGCACCAAGCCCAGCCCCTCTCAAACCACAACAGACAGCACGTGTATTAGAAAAAATGATACACTAAGGAGAAGCGGAGGACATTTTCCGGAAAAAAGGTTTCAGTAGTTCACCAGTATGGCAATGTTTTGGTTTTTAGAAGTCTGACAAAAAGCGAACAGCCGTCGTTTGCAAAATTTGCAGAGAATTAGTAAAAACCAAGTCTGGTAACACAACCAACTTGTTTTACCATCTAAACCGATCGCACCCGCAGGAGTACGAGCTGTGTCGGCCGCGCCGCGGCTCCACGTTATCGTCGGAGGAATCCTCTGGAACCGCTGCCAGCACCAGCACAAAGCAAGTGAAGCCGACCAAACTGGACTTCGTTTCTTGCCAAAAATACGACAAAGCGTCCAAGCGGCATAAGGACGTCACCCATGCAGTAACATGCTCCATAGCGAGGGACATACTGCCAACAACTACCGCTGAAAAGCCTGGCTTCGACCAGCTTCTAGCCACTCTCGACCCGCGATATGAAGTGCCCGGCCGCAAGTATTTCTCAAACACAGCGCTTCAGGCATGAAAATGGGTCAGGGGTTGAAAAGGTGAGAAGGGTGCGGAGGAAATACGTTCAAATGAGCTCATATTTTACAAAGACGCGAGTATTTGGATCATGGCTACTAGCAGGGGGTGCATTCGGCAGGGGTGCATTCTACGACACAACACCGGCGTGGATAAGTCCTGCTTCTCGTGCTTAGTTTGTGTATTAAGTCAATCACATGATAATTAAAAAAAATAAATCTCCCGACCCCGGGAGAAATATTTCAGTGTTCAGACACCAGGCTGTGGGCAGTTTCCCACGCAGTTAAAACTGGTAGTATGCTATTCCCACCTAAAGCTATTCTGTTTATTTATATATTTGTTTGTTTTGTTTATTTTCATCAAAAGACTATTTAAATATTTATTTATCAGATTTTCTGGTCACTTTAGTCTTTATGTTTGTCAGTATTTACTGACGTCACTCAGGCCACTTAAGTTGATTTCTTTTTTTTTTTAATTCTTTTTTAAAAAACTTTCAGTTGTGGTAAAATAAAAAAGGTGGTTGAATAAAGGTTTGAATTTGAATTCAGTGCTTGTGTGTTCTTTATTAAAAGTAGGTCATTAAGCAATAGCATAAAACATCCAGGGCTGCAATTAAAATATATGTTAAATAATTATAATAATTATATCGATAATTATTGATATCGATCAATATGATTTATTTTTTATCGATATGCTTTTTTTCTATATCGTCCAGGCCTAGTAAGGACTGTAGTTCCCATCAGTACTGTCACCCACTTTAGCAAAGATGTTGCTCTTTCTGATATGAGCATTTGTTGTGGAAGCAAATGAGTGCAAGAGGCCATCCTTTTCACAATACTTTTACTTGCTTTGGCAGGATGCAGATTGATGAGATAATGTGGTAATTTGTACCAACCTGAAATTGTCAAAACTTTGTAAAATCTGATTTCTTAATTATTTAGAGGTGACGAGATGTACCAGCTAAACAGTGTCCATCACAGTCCTGATAAAGTGTTATGTGCCTTAGCAATGAATTAAATGTCAGGATAGCATAAATATGCAAGAAAGAGAGAGAGACTGCATCTAATCTGCACGTTTGCTAATTGGCTTTTATCTTTGTGCTAACTTCAAGAACCTTCCTAGAGATTTCATTTTCATTGACTTAAAGCTCCTGTGAGGAACTTTTGTTGTGCTGTCCATGGACAATGTAGTCTCATTAAAAAAAGGAGGCCAAAAATGCCATCCTGCTGTCTGTTGACAGTCAGATCCACTATTCATTGTGAATGTTTTGGTTTTTTATGGACACTAAGTACAGCACTGTTTCTCCAGCCACTTGGCTGACAACTACCCCCTTTTTGCATTTTCATGAATTAAAAAATTTAAAATTACAAAAGAAAATTACTTGATCTTAAAACTCAGTACGTTTACATGACACGCAAGAAAACCAAATCATTGCCTTACTCCGATTAAGACTGGACAACTGAAGTGCATGTAAACACCTTTGTCCGACTACAATTGGAGAACTCCATGTAACCAGCGTAGTCGGACTATAATCTGACAATGCATGTACGCCATGCCTCCTTAACTCCAGAACAAAAAAAAAAAGAGGCGGATAATGGCTTTGTTTACAGTCAGAAAAAGAGGGCCGCTTGAAAAATGTAAAATGTTGACTACACAGACATAACCGAACACAGCGATATCGTGATATTCCCAAATGTCATCAATAACTAATAGCTATTGACTGATATTAAAAGCTTTTTTGTATATTCACCACAAAAAAATAGGTTTCTTAAACAGAATCCTGCCTACCCCACCTTTAAAGAAAACTACGTAGAGGAGCTTTAAAATGTAATGGTGTTGATATGAATTTCATTTTATGATGTTTCAAAAAAACTCCTCACAGGAGCTTTAATATAGGCCTAGTTATAGGAAAAACTATTTTGTTCATGTGAGTTCAAAAGCAACAACAAACTGCATCATGGATCTCGAAAGTGAAAGAGGAGCTAGTAAGGGGTGGATGTGGGGGGGGGGGGGCAAACAGGTTTGGGCACTCAACAGGTGGGGGGAAAACCATCACAACCTGTTTTAAAGGACTGAGCATGTCCGTGAAATAACTAGGGTTTATGGGAAAGTGAGGAAGAAATGATTACATAGCAAAAACTTTTGTCAATAAAAAAGCTAAAACACTCAAATATGTGTATGTGTGTCAGTGAGGGCAGTTCCTACAGATGGACTAAGTGTGTGTATCTCAACAGGAATATCTATGCTAATATAATGGTAATTTACTGCATATAGAGCCTCTTAAAGTCCCCTCTGTGGTAGTTACAGCGTTAATAGTCCCGTCTAGCTCCACCTCCACCACCACCTTTTATGCTAATTTCAGAGTGATCTGTGCACGGACAGGAGGGAGCCGCTCCGTGCTCTGTATGTGCGCCGCAGCCTGCATGACTGCCGCTTCATGTCGATGAAAGCTTCGGACACGCACACTCATCCTATCTGCTCCGGAGTTTTTCATTCTGTGACCGTGTCGGTGTGTAATGTCGCCGAGGACGCGCAGCTGAACGTGAGTCTCGTGGATCCAGCCGGTGGTTAGAAGAGGGAAAGGTGAACGCACCTTGCATCCAGCCATGGGAGGTCAGATCACCAGAAACACCTTCTACGGTAAGGATATCATGGCACCACGGGGCAGGATTCATGATCATTGATGACTAAGAGTGATGGTGGAATTTTAAGGATGATATAATCGAGTTATGAGCGTGCAGCTTTAAGCCCGTGTGCAGGAAAATAGTAGGCGTCCTGCATGGCAGCCTGAAATAAATGAGAAGTGAAAGTAGCTGCTTCAGCCAAGTTTTACCACCTTCTGATGCCAAAGTCACGATGAGATTTAAATTAGTGCAAAAAGTAAAGTGGGGTTGTAGTTTTTAAAAAATAATAACGAACAGTCTCAAAATAATTGATAAAATTAGATGAAGTCTGAGAGGACCAAGTTGATGCACAACTTTTTGACCCATGGTTGGCAACTAATAGTAACAACAGCTTTATCTGTCCATGTCACTGTATGCTCATTAACTACACATGTTTTACCAAGTGCTCTGAGCAAAATGACTGATTTTAACATGAATGAAATTATCTTTGGTGAACATATTGAGTTTTTTTCTTAGAGCCAGAATAAAAAATTTATTGTATTATTTCCTCTGTTTTTTAATGGCAGAGTTACACATACAGGAATGTCATGTCTTTGATTTGTTTTAACTGAAACTAATATTCTATATTTGTTTAACTACAATACCATCTTTCTATCTTTTCTTTATAAACTTTTATACTTTCCAGACAAGTCAAAAATCTCCACAACAAAATGTGTATAGATCAAATTTGGAGATTCTTTTTAATCGAATTGCAAGAAAATCACTATTTGAGAATCACTAACACCATTTTTTAATAATTGTGCAAACTTATTTCTGTTTAAATCTTCATAAATGTGAGTGTTTACTTATGTTTGTGCAGTTTTTGGCTATTGGTTGAACAAATAAGCATATCAAGTTGTCTTCTTTGGCTCTTTGCTAGGACTTTTTAGAAGCTATCATGTTTTTGACACATTATTCAAGGGTAAGGCCAATTAACTATAGTGTTAAAACTTTAGGTACAGCCAGAAAGAAAATGTTTGTCATTTGAAGTCCTGTTTAACAAGGTTATTGTGATTAATGGCTGATGTTTGGCTCATTTGCCTCAGTAGGCCAAGGTGACTTGGAAACATTTTGCACTCACGTGCCCTATTACAAGTGTCTATTTGGATTAAACTGCTTTGCATTTGTTATAAATCCCCAGATGAACCAGCAGTCACAGGTCAACCCGTGCAGCTTTTATTTTTGTTTTCAGTAGCAATGTTAAAGGCCTCTGGTGTGAATAATGATGTGGGTTCAGACTGGGGCACTGCTAGCTTCCCTGGACCCCTGACAAGACCTCAGCAAGGACCCTGAAAACATAACTCATGTCATTTTCCAGGGACCCTTACAGGCTCTGAAATACTCCAGCTCTCATTTGGTGACCTTCTATGATTTTATTGCTTAGGAACAGGGAATCTTAGCATGATGTTGGCATTAGAAGTTAAAGACAAATTATTTATTCTGGTGAAAACTAACAAAATTGACGGACTATCCATGCTTGCAAGGGTTGGTGTTTATTTTCTCCATTATGGTTTCACGTCATAATTCACAATGTTTCTCTTAATTTAGATAAACGGAAAAAAAAACTTGGGCTGATACTGACAGGAAATATATCATTTAATAGAAATATTACATTTGAGTGTTTGGACTTGCTTTTATTGATCTGTTATTAACACCACAAAAAGAGTGACAGACTGTGAGTACATGACACATCTGTGCCCTTTGGTTATATAGGACGCTGCCTCTTTGGACATGTCTAGTGAAAGATATCTGCCAATGCTCTAGACAAAGTGAGGACCAAAAAAATAGGAGTAAGTCCAGGTGACGGGGGCAGATCTGCTGTTTGTCTCAGCGAAGTTTGTAATTTCCAGCAAATCCCAGCAGAGGCAGTCACATGCTGTGCTTTGGGAAATAGTTAAGACTGAGAAGTATTTTGATATAATCAAACAGTAATAAATGTTTTATGGCCTGCAAAAGGAAATTACACTGCTCAGTAGATCAAAAGTTTTATTTCCTGTTTTTCACTTCTTTCCGCTGCCAGTTTTCAAGGTTTTCTCGGAACCAAATTCTTGCGCGCTGACCAGAACAAAATTGTTCTTGGCAAGGTCACAGTGTCACATATTATCTAGTTAAAAAAAAGATGTAGTATACCTGCGGCCCAACATTAATACACATTTAACAATCATTGTTTACGCTGACGTCTCGATCAGGTTTCACGAGTTTTTTAAAAAAATGTAAACTAGCAGCACAAGCACAAACTTGCCCAACATTTGCTCTTACTTAAAGCTCCTGTGAGAAACTTTTTATCCATGTTTACTATGGTGCCCCCTTGTGGTTAAAACAGTAAGCCTCATACTGTTGCCAATTTTATCCCATACTTGTGAAAATTGTTTTGAGAAAAACATCTCCCTTTTGTCATTTTATGATGAAATTTACCACTCACAGTGATTATTCAATGTGAAAAAGTACCGAATTCAGTTGCTTAAATGCACCTACCCCCTCACAGCAGTTACAGTCATATAAAATTATGCTAAAGAGCTTTTTGTTTTTGTAAAAAATTATCCTTTTTACAGCTTAGACACACAACAGTCTGTTTCACAACTCCTCACAGGAGCTTTAAATGAAGTTTATTAATTCATATATTCATTCTTAAATCATATAACTCATAGGCACAAGAATAAAAAGAAACTCGTCTATGTTCTCCATTTCTGTAACCCACTCAAAGATGCCTTGAATGTGAAGATAAGGGTGCTAAAGGAGTGATATTTATAGAGTAAGTGTACTGTAGGCTGAGAAAATGCAAATGTGAGAACATTACATTCTTGGTTGGACGGTAAAGCAAATTTAATCAATGTGCAGATGTCTGTGAGGTGTTGCTTCTATTTTCTGACCTTAGGAAACACCGTATTCAGTCTCAGGCCTGGTTTTGATGGAGTACAACACAGCCCTGTTTTGTTTTTCTGAAGACATCACGTCTGACATGACATCATGTTTGCAATATGGTTGAAGGATTTGTTATGACTTCATTTAAGTCCACTGTTGTACAAAGAACACAATTCAACATTGTTCTGCAGGGACAAGAGCATGCAAGGGGCTTAACAAATACACTGTAGTGAGCCCAGAACACTTGGCAGAGCCTCTCCGATTGTGAAGCGAAGGGAAGGACTCTTTCTGGTATCTACACATAATGAATTTCTACATCCTGGGAAGGAAAGTAGTGTCCCAAAACCAACATCTCTGCCCTGAAATCACAACAGTGAGTGGCCTAGTGTCAAAGTCGCATGATAAGTCAGCGTCAATCTTAGTTGGTTTGTCTCCAGTGTACATCACAGTCCTCTTCAACCCTCAAAGAAAAAAGAATAACCCTCTTCAGCAATGACCCTCCAACAGGCAAGCAAAAGCAGCTTTGAAACAGTCCTTCAGATTTAGGTGTAAAAAATCATGCACTTCTTAAGGACAAGGAAGTGTTTATCAAGTATTTTGTTTCCAGTCTTGACATGTCGGGTACTTTAAGGCCTTTATATGTTATTGTGGAGAAAAGCTTCGTATTTTAGCACTTGATCTGATTAATTTTTTTCAGCTCAATAAATAACTCTGTATGACCCGTCTTTAAATTTGAAGAGGACTCAAAGTATTATGCTTTTCCACATTTACAACGAAAATGCAAAGTTACGATGTTTGGTGTCCTGACTAAACGTATGCAAATTTTCAAATCAGGAGGTAAACGTATGTTATTGTTATCTTAGAAAACAGATGTGAACTTCTCAGAATGGTTTGTGTGAAATTACACGCTCTCACCAAGCCATCTATAAGACTCACTTAACTAACTAGATTAATGCAATAGGCTCTCCTAACTGGTTCATCTGTACTTCTGGCACAGCAGGATGGGGTAAGGCTGCTCCCCTGCACTACTTAAGTTCTTACTGTGGCCACGATTGAGGGGGCGGGCCCAAAACATTGAGCGCTGCCCTTGGCCTGCTTCAGGAGAGCCTCCAGAGAGGTGGCCAATCAGATGAAAGTAGGTTCATGGAGGGGGGTAAAACAAAGTATTTCAGAAGGAGGCTAAAATAATGATATTTTGATACACCAATATGAGAAACACAAGGCTTTTTCTATCTGAAAATTAAACCAATTAAGGAGGTATTAGAATAGAGTATGAAAGGAAAACATTAAACCCCCCACTTTAATTTGTGTGAGAAATTTCCTCCCTATCTATCTCCACCTCAGTAGTGTTGGTGTGGGAGAGATATCTTGAAGGACAAATAGGGACAGTAGTACCAAAAACAGGAAGTAAATGTTAAAACATTATGACTTCAGACAAATTGTTTATCAGTCTGAAACCCAAAAAGACAGATGTGGTGTGAAAAAACGATGAACCAGTTCCATTATGTGATACCGTCAGTGGGAGCAGTCATGATTCACACATGTTCACATGGGAAAAAATTTTAAATCCTCCTGCATATTGTGAGTCAGATGTTTTCCTTTGGGTCTGCTCTTATTTTGCTGTTTCCTCTGACCGGCTCAGGAAGATTCTCATCTCATTTAGCAATACAGACTTTACGGAGCAGATGTTAGCTTTACCTTTCTCTTTCATTATGAAAAAGCAGGTCACGTCTTCTTGACTTTAAGGCACAACTGTGTAAGTGATTATGTGAAGTGGGGGTTCTGCAAATGAGACTCCTCACTGTGTGAGCAGCGCCCTGGTGCTAAATGGACAGACCTGTCCTCCCCACTGAAGTGATTTTAAGAAGATTCAAATTAACATTTAACTGAGCATTTTAACTCACAGTCAAGATAAAAAAAAATGTCCCTCCATCTTCCAAAAAAGTTGAGTTGCTCTGTGAATTGTTGATAATGTCTATACTTAGTTGAAAATGGAGCAGAGACAGCATGTCAAATGTTTTAGTACTTTGTTTTTTTGAAGTGAAACATAAAAGAGGGGCTCAACAGGGACAACAAAACATTAAAAAGTTGTGTATTACAAAAAGAAACAAAACCTGGAGAAAAATCTCCTAAAAATTAGGCTGATTTTCTCAAGGTTAGTAACCAGACTGGGTATGAAAAAAGGGCTTTATCAAGAGAATGAGTCTCACAGACACAAAGATGGGGAGAGGTTCACCACTTAAGGTGAAACCGCTTAAGCAGAAAAACATTCCTCAGCTTATAATTGCAAATATTTTTTTCTGGCCCCAAGCAGCACTGTATCATGACTTCGCAGTGGAAATCAACATATGAGCATAAAGTCACTTTCAGGAACTATTGTCTCTGAACTGTTTGTCACTGCAGCCACTAATTCAGGTTAAAGCTAACGTGCAAAGAAATGCCAGTGACTGTACCCTACCTGGCTTCACTTCAGATGAACAAAGGTGCACTGGAAAACTTCTGGTCTGACAAATCAAAGTTTGACTTTCTTTTTGGAAATTATGGTCGCTATGTCCTCCACTAACTACAGTCAAAACCAGCTAACATTTTCCCACCGTGGTACCAGGAATAGCTACTTTTGCCACAGGCGTCAGCAGGCAGAAGAGAAATGTGCCTCAAGATGTCCTTGCTTGCTACCGAGAACTGATGATCCCTTTTTTAAGTTTCTGAATCAGACTCAAGAACTTAATACAGCCTTGCAACTCCTGACAAAGGCGAGTAATAATGAGAAGTGACATGTTCATAAAAACACGAGCCACAGCTGGGGATGACATATTACAGCCATACTTAGCTACCAATAAAACAGCTTAAAATAGAAGGTATCATCAAGCTCATCCAAAGATTTGCTTTCTGCTGGACTAGTTAAGTTGTTTAACCTGAGATCTTTTGTTTTCTCTTGTCCTTTTTTATTATAAAAGTGATCTGTTTTGTTGGGAAACAAACTGGCAATGATTTTTTTTTTTCAATCTGTAAAGATGAAGGTCATAAATACTTAACAGAGAGAGATAATTTTCTCAAATTAGATCAATTTGCTGCATTATTTTCCATATTAATATATAAAAGGGAAGTTGTTCTGGCCTTGTTCAGTGTTTTCCTTTGTTCAAGGACACTTTTGCCTTTAATTCGCTTTGCACACTGTGCTTCAGTGTTAGCAGTAGGTGTGAGGTTGCATTGAGCTTCCTTGGAAACTGGAAACAGGACCGTAGGATTAGATTATTTCAAGCTTTTTTACTAAATTGGATGTTACAGGAGCTGACAGCAGGTCACAACCTGGAGTTCACCTCATGATGTCGGGATTTTATTTAAAGTGAATCCTGTGGAGCCGCATAGGAACTAATCTAATACCCTAATCTAATCTAAAATTGGAGTTTTTGGCTGTAAATTACCAGTAATGTGTTTTCTTTCCCCCACCTGTGGTTCAAGATAAGAAACCCTTTTTATTTTCCACTCAGATTCTCTGAACGGCCCGTTTCCCGTCACATCCCACCGATGTCACCACAAGCCGAAACGCTGCCTGCCTATCCAGCCATGCGGGAGTTTGTCTGCCTTCCCTCTGCTTTTCCACCCGAGCACCAAGGGTTCACAGATCGTCATGGACATGTCTCAGAGGACAGTGAAGAGACAGGCTAGCTTCTGTAACGCCATCACCTTCAGCAACAGGCCTATCGCTGTGTACGAGCAAGTTCGACTGAAGGTAAAAAAAACAAACACACCAGACATGTTCCAGTATAGGCATTCAGACCATGTTTTGGAGTTGTGATCTGTAAACAGTGGAAAGATAAAAAGGAAAGGAGAGGAAGTCGATCAAAAATCCCTGCATGCTACACAAAAAACCACTGGGTTAAAAATTGACCCAGTTTGGGTCAATACAGCACTGATGCAACACTCACCTCTCTCTGTGTTTGTTTTTATTTTTCATCTCCCTGTCTCCCTCCCTCCCTCTCTCTCTTTATCCCCCGTCTTTGCTCTCCTGCTTTGATTTTCTCTCTTTTCTCTCTCTGCTCTTGTGTGGGCCAAAGCAGGAGCAGCGTAGAACAAGTTTCCACTTCACCTATCAGGCCATCTATGTCTCGATAGTGAGAGAGCAGGGCAAGCATTACCATGTGAGGAATACTCTTATCTGGCACGGTTCAATGCAGAGTAAATACAGGTTCGAAATAAGACAAAAATCGTTTGCAGGTGATAAAAATACCAAGGTTAATAGTCTTGTTTCCCTGAAAACAGATATTTAGCTTTGGTTCCTGAGTGGCAACTATGGATGGCAATGGGATGGCAAACTATGGGATCAATGGATGGTAGATTTATGGCAGCTCTGCTTCAAGATAAATCTGTTTATCCATGGTGATATTTGTATGATTTATGTCAGCAAAATATCTAGAATGATTTTAATGCGTTAGGTTTATTACAAAATTCATGTCAAATGAATGATAAATTCATTTCTGCCATTAATCAAAAACCTATATTCTACAGATCACCAAAAAGCAATGCTGCTGGAGCGGTGCCTTGCGCCTTGGTTTTACTTCCAAAGACCCATCAAGGATCAACCCAGACACTCTGCCAAAGTATGCCTGCCCTGACCTGGTCTCCCAGAGTGGCTTCTGGGCAAAGGCCCTCCCGGAGGAGCTCTCTAACGAGGGAAACATAATCTCCTTCTGGGTGGACAAGAAGGGCCGAGTGTTTTACCGAATCAACGACTGCAGCCCAATGCTGTTCTTCAGCGGGGTTCATGTCTCTGAACCTTTGTGGGCTCTCATAGACGTCTATGGCCTCACCAGGGGGGTCCAGCTGCTAGGTGAGTCATGAGATCTAAAATAGTATGTTTCTTTGAGAGACGTTTGTCTTTTGTCAAATTTTAGTTGTTTATTACTTGCTCGCTCGTATTGTTCCTATTAAATTCAGAATTAATGCAGATCAATACTTCAGATGATTACAAATGGGGCCCAGTCAACTTGACAGTAAAAAGCATTGGTGCTACTGTAAATTGCCAACAGACTACCAGCAAACACAATATTTGCAGGACTTCTGTTACAGACACTTGGCTTACTAAGCAGAAAGGTTACAGGGTCTGTAAGCTCCCTAAGTGTCACCCAACGTTTATGCTTTATTGATGTCGACCCGGCTTTTTAGCTCTTGTCCAGGTGGTCTACCTCATTTTTAAGCGCCCATTATTCCACCAGAGTCTCCAGTATTTACTTCGTTTTCTTGCTTGTGTCGGCATTTGTGGCCAAAGGAGAATTCAGACAATTTTCCGTACTTTCTGGTTGGTTTCTGCTGTCTGATATTGTAGCACGCTAACTTGGTTTGGGCTTGTAAACGACACAGGGGAGCAGCATCTGCCTCACAACCAATCAGCACTAAGGAACAGCGTCTGCCTCACAACCAATCAGGTTGGGAGAGGCAGAGAATGGCTTTGTTTACAGTCAGAAAGAGTTGGCCGCTCAAAAAATGTACAATATTGACTACACAGACATAACAAAACACAACGATATAATTATATCACCAAATGTCATCAACGGCGTGTAAGGACTCGGCTTGAAGACCATTGAATGCAGCGTAGTCATAGCTTCAGACTCAATGCTGTACCAATGGAAACTATTCTGCATCTGGTTATTCAGTTAAAGTGGTTAAAAGGTGATGTTACTCACAGCTGCTCTACTTTTTCCACACCCTCCAAATAGCTCTGTGGAAAAAGATGGTGGGAGATTAGGGAGATTGTATAGTTACCGCGGTCATTAGTATCAGAGAAATTTCCCCAAGGAGAGGGTTTCAAAATGTCTGAAATTTATTCTAACAAGTTTAAAGGGTCATTACATGAAAGAAATCGAGAGTAAACAGGTCCCCTCATTAGCTGTGGTTTTCACGGCACTGAATCATCTCAAGTATGTTTGGATTGCAGATTGAGATGCATTCATGAAACACATCATGTGTTCAAAACAGCTGTCTCCAATTTTTAGGAACAGTAAGAGACTATGTAAAATAAGATAAATAGAAATCGCTGTGGATGCCTTCAGCACTTATAACAATTCCAAGAAGTGCGCTGCCCCTCTCCAAAGAATAGAGGCTGTCATCACCCCTAATAAAAATAGAAGAGGCTCCCAAGTTGTGTAGATAGTGCCATTTAACCTCATTTCTCGCGGTGTGCTTGACAGCGAGAAGCGTGCTATCTCGTGATGGGCTGTTTGGTATCCAGCACCAGAGTGCAGCTATCTGGGGTTCACTGGCCTCGCGGTGCTGACCAACACACAGCTCTTGTCGAGGAACAAGAGGAGTGTGTCGGTCATCCGAAGAGGACACAGGAGAGGAGGGATGATGTCAGGTAATGACATGTCTCTGGTGTTGTTTTTTTTTTTTATTTTGCTCTTCAGTCTAGCCAGAGGAATGTCTCAGTCTCTGGATCCAAGTTCTACTTCATTTAACGTGTCATCTCCCTGCAATCACATCCTACACTAATTCATATGTTTTCCCGAGGGGCCTGTCTGCAAAGCATGATGAAAAAAACAACACCGTTTTGCAATTTAAAGTAAGATTTCTCAAACTGCAAAGGCAAGCATCATCAGTGATTTTTTTTTTTCTGCCTGCGAATGAGGCCAAAGCACTAAATCCCAGTGGTTCTTCTCTGGTTTTCCCACATTGATCGACTTCATCCTCACATTGACGTCTTAAACCCAAAATCCTTAGCCCTCAGTCAGCTGAAGGATCTCTTGGCTATCAGCTGTCCTCTGTAGCCCGAGAGCGTCACTACTCAAGAGCATGGTATATCTCAGAGGCTCTGTATTGTCTCAGCAGTTGGCTGCAGTTCAGCAAACACATAGGCTCTGAAATATGGGCGGGCACATCAAAGTCTAAACCCGCACATGTGCACATTTTCCGTCAACAGAAAAAGCACCTTTTGCTTCTTAATGATGCTTACACTCAACTCTGAAATAAATGCTGCACCAGCTGATAAAATGAACCGAATTTCACCTGTTGTGGCCTCGTTATCACACAATCAGTCCAGGTGGGAATTACAGTTGGCGCAGTTGTTTTTTTCAATTTTTTTAACAGAGGATAAATGGAGTGTGAAGCTGTAAATATGTGCTGTTTGAGGTTAGCTGACCTTGATTTAGCTTTGCTGATAAACGCACAAAGTAGAAAAACTCCAAGGGAAAACAATTTACCATAAACCTGCTGACCTTGCAAAGTAGCTCTTTTTAAAAAGGAGGCCAGGTTTACAAATGTCAATCAGCAATGCCGTCTCAGGCACTGAAAGGAGCTTTAAATGAAAACTCTACATATTTTTATGATATTTTAAACTCAGACAGACCTCAAAGTCAACGCATACAACCAGAGATATGAGCTGTGTCTCCATTCAAGAGCAGGATCATTCAAAGGACCCAGCGTTCAAAGGCTAAACTAAAATGAGACCGTCTAATCTACGGAAGACTTCATGTTTGCATCACCAGCTTTCCTTACCTTTATATTTATTTCACGTTGGGTGGCTAACTAGCAAACGTAGCTAGTGTCGAGTAACTTAAAAACCATCAACTTTCAAGGTAACTGTCCATTTGTATCATTTGTATCACCCACTTTTCCATTGATTTTAAATACTTTTATTAAATAGTATTTATAGGGCCACTCGGGAGTCTGCCATCTTGTTTTAATTGGTGCATAAATAAATTTATGTTAGGCTATAAAGGATTTGTCCGGGGAGTTCTCACTGGCCCTGGGAAAGATAAGACACATTAAGTCGGCCCCATCTGAAGGAGCATTCGTATTCATGATGACAGCCTTTTAATGTCTGAAATGCCGGTCGATTGTCGCACAACTATCCGCCACAAGCTGGGGCTAGTACCTACAATTAAAGGCTGCTGCCACAGTGCTAAATGAAGAACTGTATGTATATAAGAACCCATGTCAAATGCATTTTGGATGGATAGTAAAAATTGAGATAAAGATTTATGAAGGCCGTCTTGTTAAAGGAATATTGGGGTGTAAAATTAAAACACACCGTAACACAGAGTTAGACACCCCGTCGAGAGATGAATGTTGCTGATCGCTTGCTTTTCAGTTATACCAACTTTAGTAACGACAAACCTCAACCAAAACACCACGTCACAAATAATGTTCTTCCTTGAGCTGCGTCACCCCACTGCAGTCCGTGATGGACAGGCCTGAGGTCTCCATACAAACAAGCAGCTGCTGGAAGAGAGTAGGTGAGTTGTGTTTAGTCTCTTTGCTAAAGAAATTAGGCAAAGTTAAAAAGATGTTTGGTGGCTAGTGCTATGGCTGGGACCCTATATGTACTGTTGATGAAGTTAGGTGCTGTTCTGAGCATTATTTGTAGCTATAGAGTGGTGTTTTGGTTGAGGTTTGTTTATGACTCCTTATGGTTACTAAAGTTGGTATAACTAGAGAAGCAAGCAGCCGGCAACATTCATCTCTCAAGGGGGTGTCTATGATGTGTTACGATGTGTTTGACACTAACTTAATTCTTAATTTTGCGCCTGAATATCCCTTTAAGAGGCATATAATGACTCGAGCAGCACAGGCATGTGGATTTGAAGTTGAAGGGGGGTCCAAAGGCTGGTGGTTCTAGCTCTGCTAATGTTAGCCCCCCTTCACGAACCTTTTTGATTTTGTTTTCCTGCAGACGCTCTCATCCTGTTGTTGAATAAATTGTGCTCAGTGTTGATTACTCCTTGAGTGATTTGTACATCTTTTTAGTTGAAATTTAAATTAATCGCTTCAAGATGTACTCATTGGTAACTGTAGGTTTGAGTTTGACCCACATTAGGACCAAAAGCTGTTTACATCCAGACCTCTCTTCTTTTACTCTTGTGAGTTCATGAGCTTTATGAAAGTGCAGTGGTGCTTTATCATTGGAGTCCCCTGCACGCTCAGAAAATAAACATACAGTATATTTGTAGTAATAACAGATTTCTTCTCTCCTAAACATTTCACCATTGTTTCTCTAAGCAGAACCATTCTTGCGCTGTGACCTCATTTTCCAGCTGACACAGTCATTTACTCAGAACCAACCAGCCTTTACTCTCCTATGATAAGACCCATGTAGACTCTGATTGTCTTCTCTTTGTGAACATTTTCTCTGCGCTAAACTTAATTATGAAGGTGTCCCTCCACACGTCCGCGCATATAACAATAACTTTGCAAGCTCCTACAATAAAGGCACCGTATCTACCAGAGTTAGGAGGTAAATGATTTTACAGCAAAGACTTTTGGTTTTTTAATTATTTTGCTGTAACTAATAGATGAAAATGATAGATATTTTTTATTTTTTATTAAAGAAAAAGAGTAAAAATATCAAAAAGGTTGACTTTTTTTTCCATTCAAGTTCAGTGACCTACTATGACAGAGGTCTATTCTAGCAGTCAGGTGTGTTTTTAGCTCCTGATAATCCCCATCAAACACATGCTCTGCAGGATTCTCATGTATCCGTTTGATCTTTTTTACAACCTTGCGTGCTGCGTTTAGGTTTGAATCAAAGCTGCTTTACATCACTACCTTTTCACTTGTGCTGTTTTGTCGGTACAACCTGCTTTCAAACACTATTCCTGCTATCAGGTCTTACTCTGATGTTTAAGGATCTTTTCAAGAGCGGTGTTGTTTCCTCTCTAAGCTGTTATCAAGGGAGTGCAGTGCAGCAGCTAGCCACCCATGCAAGGAGTCAAAGGTGAGCCCGAGATCAGTGAGACTGCTTGAAAGCTGAGATGGGGTTGCGTAAGAGAGGAAGCTAAATTAATCTGCTGAAATCAAACTGAGCCTGAGGGGTTGCCCGGACCAACAATGCAGCCCATGCAATTTAAGAAAGATCTGTTACATCATACCACACTTATCCTACTCACGCAGCTATCAATAAAGACTGAACACTGAAGTGCCTTGCTTGGGTTTTGTATAGAATAGCCCGTGCAGCTAAGGAAGTGTGGCGCTACATTGCATAAGACGTATGTCCATATGTCTGATACAAAAAAGTAGCATTCAAAAACAATTTGTCAGCTGTTCTTGAACAAATATAATTTCTCACTGCATGTATCCAAGCAGCAAGGCAGAAAATGTAGTTTTAGATTTGAAACTCAACAGAATATTTTTTCTAAAAAAGAAAAGTTTGGGAGCTTTTCTTTTTTTTTCCCCCCCCAACAGTTAACTTTCCAAGGTTTAAGTTTTGTCAAGTTTGTTGTTGAAGCCAAGAATCAGGTCACTAAAAACTTGCAAGTGTTTTCAGTTTCATTTCCCTGAAGCGCAACACATATGGGAATGCTATATCTGTCTGTAGTCAGAAAAGTTACGGCGCTCCCTGAACACGTGTATGGCTGCAGTCTGAACAGAGTGTTTGTTTACGGGACCGATCCCGAGAGACCGCACAACATCCGACGTTTTGTACAGGTATGATGGATCCTTTCCAAGTCTGATAAGCGGAGCGAGTCAAAGGCAGCTTTTGATGGATGCAAGATGCTCTACTGGGGGTTTGTTTACTAGAGGTAGATGAGTCACTTAATCACTGACAGAGTGCTAGTGATCCGTGAGACCGGCGTCAGCTAACATCGTCTGCAGCCTGTCTCTCCAGTCATTAGAGAAGAATCCAAAATGGCTACCAGACTGTCAAGAGGCTGAATACCTCTCAGGTGATTAAGGGGAGGGAGTTGACATCAATCATGCTGGTACACGGCGTTGCGATGCATCAGACCTGTAGTGCATCATGGTGGGGAAAAAAACCTCCTGGTGTTTTCTGTCCTCCTAAGAAACATTTCAATAATGTTTCAGCGTTAGACAGTGACACGTTGACATGTTGACAACAGATGCAGGACCTGATGTTTGAGGACTTCACTGATGGTAATGATACTTTAGTCAGACCAAGTTTGCATTGCAGTTGTCCCAAATGCAAAACCAAAGAAAGACAGATAGATTGGAGACTTGAAGCAAACATACAGACAGGTTGAAGGCCCTTTAAAGTACAGCTGATCTGCTATTAAGCTCCATATTTATTTTAGGATTAACAGTCTAACCTTTTTGAATCTTTAAACCCTGTTTCACCGGTTTGTTGTTGATCATTTGTACCAGCTATTAAGATCTTGGCTGGCTCGCCTGAAAATCCTGATCTTTATGAGATTATTTCTCATGGTGAACACTTGCAGCACAAGTCTCAAGATTATGAACATCCTTAAAATTATATTGATCATACATTGAAATATTCTTTGCATTTTGTCAATGGCTCATTCAGTACATTCACATGCACTTAAAAATCAATATATTTATTCAGTTCTACTGAAACTAGAAAGGAAATCAAACTTATTATAGTCTGACGAACATAATCTTTCCAGCTCTGAAAGTGGCGTAAGCATCGTGTGCATGTCCCTGTGTTTGTATGCCAGGCTCTGAGCTAGTGGTTGAATAGCATGGATGCATTGCTAGGAAGCCAGATAGAAAACAAAACCTCATCAGATGAAGAAAGGACATAAAAAAGACAAAACTCTCCTAACAGTACTCAGAGGTGTGAAACAGACCGCTTGCCTACCCGTTTTAATACATTACAGGCCAACCAGAGTTGACCCAATAGTCATAATTCCATTAATTCAGGTATTTCAAGAGAGAGAAAAAAATCCATTATTCAAGTCAATATATCACTTTAATGCATAAATGTAGCTTCACAATGCTGGAAGCAGGACTATACGTGATTTGGATTTGGAGACTATCTGGTATAATCTTTGTCTGAATGAGTAAAAACTCTCATTAGTATGAAAACCTGCCGTGGTTCAAATGAAACATAAAATGTTAAGTACACAGTTAAAGATCAGGGATATCTTTGACTCGGGACCATCTCTGTCAAACGATGGAGTGGAAATGCTGAGAAGAAAGAAAGGTTTGTGCTGCACCAACATGTTGAGTTGTCTGGACCTGATTGTACTGTACTTTCCTTTCTTTGTGTCTATTTTCGTCCTTGTTCGCTCTGTGTGCTCAACGCTCACGCTCACTTGCTTCGAATCTCTCTTATTCTTTCACTTGTCAACACAGATTATGTGGAGTTTTACCGGGCTTTGATTTGTGGATGAAATGGTTTTATATATAGAGACAGAGGGGTCAGGTAGGTGCAGACTGACATGAGTGGTCAGATACACAGACTACAACCAGTATTCGACCACTGTAGGCAAAATGGCAGGACATTTTTTACTATACATCACATGCGTAACTTTTAATTTATTTTAAACTGAATCTTTATTAATGCTGCGTTCAGTATACCATGTGGGCGTCATCCCTGCTTGTTTTCACAGGGCTTCATAAGAGAGCAGAACCAAACCCCTTAGTTGCTTTTGATTGATGAAGACATGTGATAGGCCTGAAGGCTCTGATTACCCCAAAGTACTGCAAATGGATGTTGCACTAATGCGTCCGATTTCTGGTCTGCTGCTTTCAGCCAAATCCTCCAAAAACAATAAAGTCGAAATTCAGCGTGGTAATAACAATATGCAAAGTCATTAGTCAAAAGTCAGCTCTGAGCCAAAGGCAAACAGCAGACAGTGATGGGGAAATGCAAACAGAGATGCTAAATGTCTCCACATTATCAACATTCAGTAATTTCCCTGAGCTGAATTATTTTGGCAGAATGAGACAAAAATCATGAATCATACTAAAGCTTGTCACCATTATTTCCCTCTTGCCCTCTATTTCTTTACACGGTCCCTCACTGTATGCTGATCATGCCAAGTAATCACATGAAAAGTGATCCATTTTCAAGGAAGTGGACATTAAAACCTGATTATAGTCGCATTAAGATTTTGCAAGACTACAGCTCTCGTTCCAAGTTCCCCTCATTTGGAAATCAGTGAAGCCTGCAGCTTATGTTCCGGTCCAACGAGGAGTTCAAGCCAATGTTGATACCATTTTTGGTTAAAAATTTTAAGGCTGGGTAGAGATGATTGTGGTGCATTGCTATTGTAACCTCCTTCATTTGCAAGTCAGGTCACTGCCCTCATTTTTGTTTCTCATGCTTTCACTGTGTTCTTTAACTGCCTATCTACCTTTCTTACCAAACCAACTGCAGCTTTACTGTGACTGATTCATATCCCAAATGTTATTATCTGAGGATGAAAATGACAAAGAAATGACAAAGTGACAGTTTTCATGCTACAAACAGGCAGAATTTCAAATTCATGCAAATTTTAGGGCCAAAAATACAAAACAAATGCAACTGATTTAACAACTTTCAGCTTAGAAATACTAAGAGTATCACTATCAGCTGTTTTTGATCGTTTTTTTTGACCAATCAAAATCAAGAATGGGAGGGACTACAGATATCTACTTTGTCCATAGTGGAGGAAAACTCAACAGACTCCCTTTTTAAGGATACAATTTATAGGTCTACAGCTGCTGCTGCCATGAGGACATGATGAATTTTCAGTGTTTCACATTTTCTTTGCAAAATTTTCTTGAAATAAGGAAAATGTGAAGCGTAAGGAGCAGTCTAAAAAAAGACAGTTCAAAGACAGACACAGCTGAGGAAAACGCTGTGAGACAGCTTTTGTAACCTAGCAACAGTATGGGCTAGTGAGGAAGGCCCTGAAATAGAGGTTATGGGCACTACTGGCAAAAATATACCTTTGGACACAGGCCCTAAATTGGGAAGGACAAAGTATGCCGATTTTGTGCCTCTTTTCTGCCATTCACAGCTGTGCATAATGCACACTATGAAAGTAACACCAGTTATTAGTACATGACTCATCTTTGTTTTCTCACTAACAAAATAAGTGACAATTTCGAAGGGGGTTTAAGTAAATGTGGTGTTAATTTTGATTGCTTTAAGCATTGCTTGAATTCCAGTGTAAAGACACTAAAGCATTATTTGTTCATGTTTCTAATTTGTTCAAATTCAACAATGATTTGTCGACCAGTTTGCTGTCAAACACAGCGAGTGAAACCTTGTGGAGGCAGAACTTCAGTTTGGAAGCTTATGCAAATATAGCAAGGCCATAAAAAAAGACAAGAGCAAAGGAAAATTTAATCCCAAGTGTTGAAACACCCACAATTACTGATGAAAGTGGCTCACCTTCCTCAAGATTTTAAGCCTTCTTAAAAATATGCAGGACGGTATATTGGCTGTAATCAACTAGATGAAAGCAGTAGATGGAGGAAACCATGGTAACGCTGCCTCTACGGCTGGTGTGAGCCAAGAGAAAAAAAGCAAGACGCCAGAAAAGGACTTTGAGAAACAAAGAAACAAATAAAAGATTCACAGAGTCTGTTAAAAATTGTCTCCGATATTACACTTTGTTTAGCAGGCTGGCTCCAATAATCAAACATTGCACTGATTTGGTTCCTAGAATATGCTTATACTGCAGTTCCATTGTTCATATTAAAGTTTAATTATTAAAGCTCGCAGTCTAACTCACTTTGCATCAAACCTTGTGGCTTTTGCCAAAAAGTAAACACTGCAAAAGTTGGACTTGGTGTGTCATGTGACAACTTGACTACTATATTCAAATATGTCTCAAGTTTCAGTTAGTTTGGGCAGTCATCTACGATCAAATGAGAGACTTTGTTTAAAGTAACAGGCTGGAGGTGCGTCCTTCGACCTAACATCTGACAGCATGTACACGTTGGGATTACAGTCTATGTATTCATAAGAGCTACGTTTCAAGTGATCTCAGCGCCTGGAATTTATTTGATTTGTTGAACCAAAATAAATGCCTCTGGACAAGGCTATTGTACCTCAGCTGGGATTTAATCGGCCCAGATGGAATCGAACAGATTTGCGGAGAAATCAAAATAGGAATCGTAATGGAGCCTGTCAGGTTTGGATCCTGGGAGCTGGCCTGTGCAGGGGGAATCCTTCAGAGAGAAGACTAATCACTTTCAGATGACCTGAGTCAGAGTCGAGAGTATTTGTTCTGAATTTTCTATGTTAGTGAGCAACTGTGTCCATCTGGGTTGTGTTCAAAGAGGCTCTCTTGACATGGTTTTGTCCAAAACATGGAGATGAATTTATAATTAGAAAAATGTGTTTGAGATCATTTCAAAACACCAAGGGCATCTTGTCAGTCGATGGACACGTCACACGTTTCGGATTCTTCAAATTAAATCTGGCTAGAAAATGTGTTTGACTTCAAAGCAGGGCCATTTATATATATATATATATATATATATGTGGTTTATATGGTGTTTACAGACACATTAGCTCAGAGGTGGCCGTGGAAACTTGGAGCCTATGTGGCATCCCAAAGTGCTGAAGAGCTTGTTTTTGAAGCTGCCATTTGTCACCTCTGCATGTGCCATTTTCTTTCTGTGATCATGTTGCAAACCTCTGAAACATCTGTCACAAGACCAGAGAGTGGACATGATCTCTGAAATACGTCACATATGCTTAGCTCCTGTTGCTGAAGGCATCTCAGATACTCAAACTCTAAGGCTGTATCAATATTGAAGCACTCTCTCAGCCTTTTCAGATCCTCTTGCTTCTCACTCGTACAGCTGTGATATCATCCTGACAAGGATACTACTCCTTAAAAGCTCATCAATGCATATTTTACCCTGCAGCGTGCTTTTTTTTTTAAATATAATAATAACTGAAAGCTTTTCTCGCTCCTTTTTTGGGACACAAACACCACCTGCCCCCTTCCTCTCTAACCTCCTTTTTCAGGACAGATGACTTCACTCACTCATATTCAACAGAGCCCCGGATAGGCCCCTAAGGCATGCATACTCAGGGCAAATCCCCATGCACACGCTATACACACACACATTCTCAATTGGTGCTGCCGACCTTGTATAGAGGTTGCAGCCTTGCTAAAACCCCCAAAAGCCTCCTAATCCTGTTCCACTGGGCCAAGGAATAAAGCGAACCCTCCCTCGTCTATTCAGTGCCATGCCATTGTCAGCCTGTGACTAAAAAAAGGCATAGACTACATGAAAATGCTTAATTTAATGCATGACTACGATCAGAATCTTCAGAGTGTACCCAAACACGTACTAGCTTCTCTGAAATGCATATCAAGACGAGGTGGAGCCACTATTTGTTTTGGCAGCGTTGCATCCTCAACGGCTTTTTAACTTTTGTACGTTAGCTGTCTATCTTGCTGCCAGTTTTTTTTCAGTTGTTCCCGGACATCTTTCTTTGCCAATATCAGGTTTACGTTTAGAGGAACTGGTTTTTCTAGATCATACATCTCCAGTTTCTGTCCCAGAAGTTGCTGCTAAGCTTGTTTGAAAAGGTAAACCTGAAACAGGTGTAGGGATTTTCCAGTAATGTTTGTTTGGGTGTGTTCTTATTTCACATGGCCAAGACATTCCTCCACAGAGTTGAGTAAGTTGGGATTTTTTTTCCCCCCCCTCAAAGCTACGATGTTTAATGAAAAGTCAATGCCAAGAGGTCACTAACTGGTCGTTCAAATAGTGTCAGTCTGGTATGTGTGCCTGTATTTTGGAGGAGATTTTCTCCTGAGATTAAGTTGCAGAGGCTATCCAAAGACCACTTACTGTTTCAAGGAAAATGTCAACCATACACTTAATCATGTCTTTATTATTTCTATGCCTGGGAAAATGACAAAGTTTGCTGAAAAGCTCCTGAATTCTAAAATGTCAAAAAGTACTAAACAATCTGCGTTTTAAGACACAATTTTGTACAGACACCGGGGCATTACCAAATGTTAATCTCATTCAAAAAGTGTGTTAGAAAAAGCTGACAGTGTACCGTTTTCAATTACACAACAGAAGACAGAACAAGACAGCACCTGTCTGTGTGTGACTAATATTTAAAGGTGAGCGGTTTAAATGGAAGAGTTGGCTCAGTTTCAGCTGAATCAACACAGAGTGTTCACACCCAAAACAGATAAAAAGGTTGTTTATAGTTCTGAGTGCTGTTGAAATTATTTAGGTCAGTGTTTCTGATGTTTTTCAGACATACCCACCTTTAGTCTTAGCTCCCATTATCAGTAGGCTTACTGTGATATAACAAATGTGCTCATAGAGGCTTAAACATCATCATCGTCTGGCAATCGCATAACTATTGTTACATAACAGTGAGAATTATTAAGTATTTTTCAAAGACTGCGGCTCTGTCCATTGGGATATTTTTAATACAGATTATCACTGTGTTTTCAAGAAGAAGACGTTCCACACCAGAGGTGTTGTTGAATATATTTGTCTCCTAATGACGTTGTAGCAACATTTGAAAGCACCTACAGCGGCATTTCAGGCTAATAGATTGTGATAATGCGTTATCAGTCTCATTGAACATCACAGAACACTATTCACTTCTGTATTCATTTTTTTTGAGCAAACAGTATTTATAAAGAGCGGTCTGTGAGCCGTACACGGAGAGGCAAAATCCAAACTATCATATGAGGATGTTATTCGCCTTCATGCTTACGTCATGATTATTAGGTAAGTTTTCCAAGTAAACATGCAATCAAGCCAAACAGTTCCAAGCAGACATAAGCCCGCTGGCACTATTTTGGTACATGTACAAGACAAAATAATAAGCGAGTTGGAGAGTTCTTCAAAATGTGTGTAATTGCTGTCAACACAAAAACATAACAGGCTGAATTTTTGAAAAAAAAAAATCTCCTTTGGGAAGGTTTTTTTTTTTTTTAAACACCTGCATTTTCAGAAAGAAAAAAAAGCTACATTTCCAAAAATATCCACTTCCTTATTGACAGGTTTAAAGTTACAAAATCAACTATTATTGCATTTGCCGTATCAGCAATCTTAAATTATTCAACACCTTTAGCCATAATACTCAGCTACTTCAAACAGTGGCTACATGTCTGTTAGCTTTCACCATCTCCTCTGCAAAACATTTGTTTTTAAGGTGTGTTTTTTGGGCATTTTTGCCTCTATTAGATAAGTATTAGATAAGACAAGGGCTACAGCCTTCATTCATAGGCCGCTTATACAGCAAGGCCACCAGTGCCCCTAACATTTATTTCTTGAGCATTGGTGTGTCAGCAGAATTTTATCCTAACATTTAACCTATTAGTGTAGTGGAATCTATGCATTAAGGTAAAGAAATGTATATGTGATTATCATTTATTAAGGATTCATAAACATGTTGGGTTAGGCCTGGGTTGTGTAGCCTAAGGTTGCACAACCCAGGCTGCTTTGCAAGGACCAAAACTTAGTGGACCAAAACAGGTAGAGATAGTTTCTAGACACAAAGCTATTTTTGACATTTAGCTAATGAGCAGAATAGCTGAATACTAAATTTTAGCTAGTTCCCGAAGTAAGCAATTTATTTTAATTTAATTCTTACTCAGTTTTGTAATAATTTTGTTTGACATTGTTTCCAAACACTTTCTGACATCTACTAAATGAACTTTGGTACCCTGGTTAGAAATCATCATAAAACAAAATAGAGAGAGTGACGACAGGTATACTGGGACTATTTAAGCCATGTCACTGCCATGTGTGATGTTATGGGATCAGTTCTTCACCCCCTACATGCAGCCATGCCGTGAATGTAACTGTACACACATGATTCTCCAGTGACAGGATATAAATAAAGGGCCTTGTAAAAGGGCTTTGCATGAAGTTTTTAATGGTTGCTATTCATGTAATATGTGCTGTTTTATCAGAGAAACCTATGAGACTTTAAGAGGTCACACATATTTATTTTTTGCTGTTAAACTACTGTGTAATGTTACCATTCTCCTCACGGTGTATTAAGGTTGCTGCACCACTCTCAAAAACAGAAACCAAGAACTGCAGGAAGCCTTAAACACCAGAATAGAAATGATCTCTCCTATCCAAAAGTCGGCTAACTTTGCCTTGAAGATGATAAGGCAGCTAATAATAAGAGCCTCATGCTTGGTTGTGGACACTCATGACTGAGGAAGTAATTAAGTTCAAGCAGTTTATCAGTGGCTGGCCGGAGATGTGCTGTCTGTGTGATAAAAGGGAGCGGGTGAGGTATGCCCTTTCTCTCAAGTGTCCACCCCTCCCTCATATTTCATCCTCTCCTCCTCTGTCCCACTCCCCTGCTCCATCCACTTCCCATAGGGGGAAGCCCGGAGCAGATCGAGGCTAAGAGCCACACAGCTCAGCCATCATGTCACTCACCCCCCCTCTGCTCAAATGTCCAATCAGGCTAATTTTAGCCTGTGTTAAATTTGGCAGCGTGTCCCTAAGCGTGCCACGATGCGGATCTGCTTGTACCAACCATGCGCATGGAAAGACACACGCGTCCTGTGTTTACTTTTTTGAGATGATGTTCCCATGTGGTTTCTATTTTACTGTGTGCAGAATTAGCATAGGAAGGGCTATTTCTGAGGAGTTTACATTGCAAGGACAGACATGTGATACACTTTTTAAAGGGCCCTTCATTGATCGGAAAATCAGCTGCATTTAGCGTCAAGCACGTAGCTGAAAATGCTAACCATGTATAGAGGAAGAATACAGGACATTGAATTAGTGCTGCTGACACAGGATGTAGTGTAAACACCAAGGGTTAGCAGCAGTTTGTTTCAGCAATGTGTATAATATACTGTATATTATATACCATAGATATTACTCAAGCCTGTGAAAAAAGCACTACAGAGAGTTGTTTCTTTAAAGAGGAGCCTTTCAAACATCTTTCCTGTCTAGTTAATAGCTCATAATTCACACTCCAACACCTTAGGCTGTAGAGTGTGATGGCTCTCTAAAAAAGACTTCCCAGTGAAACAAGAATAAGGAAACAGATAAGTAGGTAAATGTGGCTCTTTATCACAGGACCCCAAAGCTAAAGACAGAGTGGGAGGCTTTAACACAGCCAAGCTTTGCTGTTTTGCAATAGCTTCATGTGCATCTCTCCAGCGTTACATAAAGCTGTTACAGGCTAGCTCTTGTGCTCTCACCGGCCTGCAGCTACAGTATGTCCCCACTTAAAGCCCTGATATGTTTCTAAACATGTAAACATTGATGTATTTTGTTCATATTGTTGGACTACAGGCCTCGGTGCAGTGAGTGCATTAGATGAATTAGTTATAAAGCAGAGCAGCCTGGAGCTACCATTTGTTTACAGTGATGGGGATGATGAATGAAGAGCGCACAGACAGTGAATGTAAAACAAACCAGTGGTGTACAAGTAAATTTGCAGAATACTGAGTGCATATATGAATTAAATTTGATTCTTTTCACTTTCAGAAATGCACTAGATACTGTAATAGTCACACTCCAAATAGATTTATGATGTTATCCAGAAAAGACTCTTAAGAGAGCAGGTAGTAGGGCATTGTGGGTTGATTCAGATTTAAACGCTGGGATTATATAACAGTCTTTTGTGTTTTTCTCCACAGACAGCGAGATGGTCTCCATGGACTGCCTGCGTCCTCATTCTTTTGCTACCGCCCACCGAGCCTCCATTCAGCGAAACAGTGATGACCCTCGTCTTTCTATCAGCCTGTGTGACCTCAGCCTGCAGCAGCAAGAGGCAAATCTGGAGGAAGATGATGACGAAGAGGAGCGGCTGCAACCCTTAAACTCCGTCTCCTGCCATGTCCCCCAAAACTCTCAGAACTCTCAGCAGTGCTCGCTGCTGCCCAGCCATTTGGACACTGATCTGCACTTCCACTCAGTACATGGCATCCACGTCACAGCGCTGGATAAGCACACGGTGGCGAGGCTGGATCACCGTGGGGATGAGAGGACCCTGGTGTTCACCAGCCGCCCGATACGCTGCTCAGAGACCGTGTTCGTGAAAGTAAAAGCGGGTGTCACGCGACCAGGGTGTCTCTCTTATGGTGTGACATCATGTGACCCAGCCACCCTGAGGCAGAGCGACCTCCCGTCCAACCCAGAGTCCCTGGTTGACCGCAAAGAGTTCTGGGCCGTGTGCAGGGTGGGGATGCCACTCCACAGTGGTGACATCTTGGGCTTTGTAATGAACGCAGAAGGGGAGGTCATGATGAGCCAGAACAGCATCAGCGTGGGGATGCAGCTGTATGTTGATAACTCCAGGCCTCTGTGGATGTTCTACGGTCTGCATGGGACCGTCACACAACTCAGGATTTTGGGTTTGTTCAATTTTCTTTCTTTGCATTCACAGCTTTTACAATAAACTGCCTTAAAATATGATGAATATGATGAATATAAATATGATGCTATATGATCTTGAATCAGGTTAGAAATGTAGAGCAAAGCTTACTCTTTTACTACCATCCTGGAAAAAGGAAACTTAAAGAAATAGCGACTTGGCTCCTCTAGTTTGTCTACAAACATAATCAATCAACAAATGTTATATTTTATGTCATTATCCCAAGACTCTTTCCAGAAAAAAAGAGCAGGTCTAGACCACGCTCAGTAGTTAACATAATCTCAACAGTCATTTATTTAAAGAGTTTTCCTGCTCCTATTCAGATTCTGGGACTGGATGGTCAAAAGTTTTATCTAAGTGAGAATGAGCAGGATCATGAAAAATTACTTTTTTTGAAATCTATGTTATTTATGATGCAATTTTTTGGGACATAAACTGAATTGGATCATTTTTTCCCAGTAACAAACTTTAATGATTGTAAAATCTGGGACCTCTCTGTTTAAAATGCAACTTTAAATGACAGACTTTGTCACTGTCAGCAGGGGGCACTAAAATCCCCACTAACTAAAAGGTCATAGTTGTTTCTAATTAAATCATTTTTGTTTGGTGTTAACACCAGTTTAGTGACATTTTTAGAAAAAAACGTTTTTCTTGATTTCCAACTTGACATTATCACTATTTGAATCTTAATTCAGCTCCTTGTTAGGACAAAAATAATCCTGAATTCCAGAGTGAAAGCTGTTCCAATTTTTTCTCAGTTATGAACCACACCAACTGAGGATTTTATTCGGACAAAATGAAAATTGGATTATCTGATCTGGCCCAATTTTTAAATTTCTTTTTGCATTTGAACACTTCGTTTTTAAAATTTGATCCAGTCTGATAGCCTAATCGAATCAGATTGTTTAAAAAAAAAAAAAAAAAACTTGGTCCCTGGTGTGATATTGGATCTATTTTTCAACTGTGGAAACCCACAACTCCAAGCCGAAAATCCAAACTGAGATTTAGGCCAAAGAACATTTTGCAGCAAGATCACTTGAACATCTAACAGCTGAGTCACAATCTTCTTTAAGCGCAGTCCACGATTTGACAGATTCAAACCCATGTTCATTTGGTCGATTATCAGTTAGAGTGTTTGCATCAGTGATGGAGGCTCCAGATGAAGATTTAAAGAAGTTGTACCTACAAAGTTCACCCGTCCCTCATTAGCATTTCTGTTAGCAAAAGTTTGAATATTTTATCAAATAGTAGTTCATGAAATTGGAACACGTTCCACAGATCTTAACAGGATGTGCTCTGGAACTTTCCATTCAGAAGTTAATGCAGTCTGTGATCCTTGAAAGACCTTTGGAGGCTGAATTCCCACTCAGCCGAGTCGTGAAATACTTTCTGTCTGGGCTGCTCTGACTTTTTATCAACTCATATATCGCTTGAGAATTTACATTCTGCCCCCACAGTTTGCATATGAATGTTAACTTTGTACCTTCAGTCGAACAGAATCTCTGTCTACTCTGTTTGATTCCAGCAGATTTCACATGACGATACCGCAGCTCTACCTGAAGGTACCCTGAAGTTAATCATGCCTGGTGTTTGAGATTCTGGCACTGCGTCTTACTCAGAATGAATAGAATTATAACATTTAATGGCAAACAGGCTCAGGAGGGCTGGGGGAAATGGTGGTTTGATGCCAAGAACTGGTTGAAGGTTTTGGTGTAATTTTCCTCTCCAAGAAATGTTGTGGGTTAATTTTGATGTTGAAAGTGAAACCAAGCATGCTAGCATGCCATGCAAACGTTGAGGACATGATCACAGGCCGAAAATATGCTTTTTAATGTGTGAAGAAATGTAGGTCCCCAGGGTGACTCAGAGGGTTTGTTTTCTGTCAAAGCTTTGTGTGGCAGAGAAGCTTTTGTTGTTGTGTTCAGGACAGAGAATTCATTGTGCATTCGGTATGTTGTTGTAATTTTCACCTCGTTTTGAGGATTTAAAAGATGCAGCTGAAGTGGAAACTTCTGCTAAGAGTTTATTTTCAGTGGACGTTTTAAGTCCGAAATGAGCTTCACCACATTTTTGTGCGGTTCAGGGTTTAAAATATTAAGCATGATTCGCTGAGTTATGACAGTGCCAGACTTAAAGGTTTTAAAATTTCTATATTTCATTAGATAGAGCACAAACATTGCTCGGGTAGTGTATTATACGGTGGCCTGGAAGTGCAAAACACAACCGCAAAAGAGAAAACACGACAGCAAATCAAAACGCAAACGCAAAAGAGAAAACGCAACCACAAAAAAGAAAACACGACAGCAAATCACATATGCAAACACAAAAAAGAGAAAACACGACAGCAAATCACATATGCAAACACAAAAAAGAAAACACGACAGCAAATCACATATGCAAACACAAAAAAGAGAAAACACGACAGCAAATCACATATGCAAACACAAAAAAGAAAACACGACAGCAAATCACATATGCAAACACAAAAAAGAGAAAACACGACAGCAAATCACATATGCAAACACAAAAAAGAAAACACGACAGCAAATCACATATGCAAACACAAAAAAGAGAAAACACGACAGCAAATCACATATGCAAACACAAAAAAGAAAACACGACAGCAAATCACATATGCAAACACAAAAAAGAGAAAACACGACAGCAAATCACATATGCAAACACAAAAAAGTAAACGCAACCGCAAATCCCAAAACACGATAGCATCGTCTGTCTTCTTCTTCTTCGTTGTAGTTTAATGGCAGTTTACTCCACTGGGAGTGGAGTACTACCTCCACCTGCTGGATCGATGTCGGAATGGGAAAGTAAGCACTCGAATCGACTCGTCTGTCCTTTGACCTGGAAAGACACGAACCGCGGCGCGACAGTCAGTGATGATGTATTGCCAATACTGTGGCAAAGAGCTCCCCGGACAACCCAACTTTTGCAGCAGTTGTGGGAAAAGGCTGCAAGAAGCAGACGGTGACAGTCCATCAAGTAAGTTAAGGGATGTTCAATTAATGTGTTCTGCTACACAACATGTCGACTATTACGTCATATTTGTGTCCTGCATCAAAATATTGCTGGATAATTTCGAGTACACTTTCGCTTTCGGCGTCCATGTTCATGTTTACTTTCCCGTTCCGAACTCCAGCAGGTGGCAGTAGTACTCCACCCCCAGCGGAGAAAACTGCCATTAAACTACAACGAAGAAGAAGAAGAAGACAGACGATGCTGTCGCGTTTTGGGATTTTGCTGTCGTGTTTTCTCTTTTTTGTGTTTGCATATGTGATTTGCTGTTGTGTTTTCTTTTTTGTGTTTGCATATGTGATTTGTTGTCGTGTTTTCTCTTTTTTGTGTTTGCATATGTGATTTGCTGTCGTGTTTTCTTATTTGTGTTTGCATATGTGATTTGCTGTCGTGTTTTCTTTTTTGTGTTTGCATATGTGATTTGCTGTCGTGTTTCCTCTTTTGTGGTTGTGTTTTGCACTTCCAGGCCACCGTAGTATTATGATGTCGGCATAAAACATTGCAGAGTGCAGCAAGCACTTGGTGAGTGTGGGTGAGTTTTATCTCTATACAGTTCCTGCAGATTAAGAAATGTAACATCATTACTTGGAAATGCAACACATGCTGAAAATGAATCTGTTCTGGCAAGTTTCCTGAGAAATCACAAGTTTTGTTTCTAAATTTCAAATAATCTGTTTTGTTGGACTTCATTAACTCTAAAATCCTTTCTCTCCTAATACATTTCTGGATAACAGTTTCTTCTTTTTCTCTCTTTCATGTAGTCAGTCAGATCGAGGCTCAGGAGGATATTTCTGTCTTGCGTGGGCTCCCAGTAACCGGCGTTATGTATCAGGAGGGGGGGACTGTGATAGCTCCTTATAATTCCCTCTATATGCATTATTAAAATGTAATTGCACAGAGGTTAGAGATGCCCGGTTTTCCGCCCACAGTCTGATCCCCTAACACCGGTCCTCCGATGGTTTTCACTACTTCATCTCTTCCTCCTTTCCCTGTGCGTTCTCTTACTTAACCCCCCCATCCGCGAAATCTTTGGGGTAGGAACGCTCTCTGAGTCATTACCCACTCCAGCTGTGGGGAGTGCATTTGTGACGTCCCCGCTCACCCACTCGCTGAGGCCGCACGCCACAAGTTGCCATGGAAACATCTAGCCAGCGAGGCAAGCGACAGTTTGTCATGGCTGGGTGTTGTCAAGCCCGTGAAGTGGAACAGATGGGAGTCTGTTGCTCTCACATGGTCATTTTGTCGGTATAATCTAAGAAAGCAGGACTTAATCATTTTATTTAAGACAGTTTGAATCAATACTAGCCCGTGGTAGCCATGATGAATATCCTCATTACAGGTGTCCTCCAGTGTGTTTACATCTGCTGTTTCTGCATGTGCTCAGCTGTAATCTTTAAGCTGCTATCATCAATTTTCTTGTACAAACAATTGATCAAATGACTGCATTATGCATTGGGTTATGATACAGGGGCCTATCTACATGACAAAGCACAAATTTATCACCCACTTTAGAGCATTTGGAGCATTTTTCCATCTTTTTAATCAGCTTGTAAGGTTTGGTGAAGCCCATCTGATATGAAACTTTAAGTATAGATACAGATTTTTACACAATTTTAGACAAAAAAAATGTAACTGGACTTTCTTTTTTTAGCTTTGGGGGAGTGAGGGATGACATGCATCAAAATTCTGTTTGGATTAAGAATCAATACTTTGACCATTAAGGAGTATAGCCTCGGCACAAAGGCTGCCTGCTTAGAGGACTGTGCTACTGGTGCCCTATTACTGTGTATTAACACATAGTAGTCTGAATCACCATCTGTTTTCGCTGTTATACCCTGCTTTACATGCTGCAGACAGTGCTGCCTATAGACTGAGGCTGTATTTCTCTATCTAATATTTATATAAGAGTTGTTTTCTGCTGGTCACTCTCAGGACACTGGGTCTCTCTATTAAAGGGAGCACAGAGTTAGACACCCCATCGTGAGATGAATATTGCCGACCGCTTGCTTCTCTAGTTACACCAACTTTAGTAAAGACTGCACAATAGCAATACAGAGAGCCACGCGCTCAGCCAAAACGCCACTCTATAGCCACGAATAATGCTCAGAACAGCACCTAACTTCATCAACAGTACATATAGAGTCCCAGCCATAGCACTAGCCACCAAACATCTTTTTAGCTTTGCCTAATTTCTTTAGCAGAGACTAAACACAACTCACCTACTCTCATCCAGCAGCTGCTTGTTTGTAGCGAAGACCTCCAGGTGAGTCCATTGACTGCATCAGGGGAATGCAGCTCAAGGAAGAACATGATCATTACTTTATCATTTCCTTGAAGTAATAATTATCATATTAATAATTCTGTACTGCAGACACGGTAGTTCTTCCTTAGCGTCTCAGTCTGATTGCATTTCCATGAATAGATGATCATGAATGTTCTTCCTTGAGCTGCGTCACCCCGCTGCAGTCCATATTAGACTGGCCCAAGGTCTCATTACAAACAAGCGGCTGCTGGAAGAGAGTAGGTGAGTTGTGCTTAGTCTCTTTGCTAAAGAAATCAGGCAAAGTTAAAAGATGTTTGGTGGCTAGTGCTGTGGCTGGGACCCTAGGACCCGTGCGGTCGTTACTAAAGTTGGTATAACTAGAGAAGCAAGCGGAGACATTAATCTCTCGACGGGTGTCTAACTTGGTGTAACGGTGTGTTTGACCCTAACTTAATTTAACGCCAGAATATCCCTTTGATTCTTATGTTATCTGCTGCATATAAAAATGATTAAGTAGCTCCTTAGCAAGTCTGCCATGTCAGACTTGCAGATCATGTTTGTGCTGTGTTTCAGACTCAACTGCATACTGGCCATAACACAAGATCTAAAGACGGTCTTCTTTTGAAGAAAAGGAAATAGCTTGACAGGGTGCGGTGGAGATTGATGGATTTGATAAATAAGTGTTGAGAGCCACCATACTCATGCTCAACTACAAATAAGCCTCCTGCACTGCCTGCACATCCTAAGGCATTGACATTCTCATCCCTGGTGGCATAGCCTGCAGTAAATTCATAATGCGAGAGGAGATGAAAGGTCCCCTGGATGAAAGGGTACATGAATAGACATGAAGGTTATCCATACTTCCTTATTAAAGTTGACCAAGACATTTACTAACAGCTGGGCTGTCACATAGCTCATGTTAAGTAGGCAATGGAAGGTTGAGTAAATGCTACTATGTGCATTTATGCCTCTGCACCCACTGTAAAATATGATAATACAAAGAATAAATGAATAGATGACTCTGAAAAAGTGCCTGTCTCAGCAAAGTGGAACAAACAAATTGATCCCAGCGACAACCTTAAAAGCAAACTAATTATGGAAAGGTTTTTGCATGGGTTAGCATAAGCCCTGTGTTCTTGCATACTTCTTACCGCTGTTGGTTTTTAGTAGTTAACTAGTTGCAGCATGACTAAAAAGCCACTCTGTTGTGTTTATGTAATCTAAAACGAAGACTGCAGTTGTTGGGGTGGTCTGAGGAGAAGGTATCAGAGTTCAGAGAGATGGAACATCGTGTAGCTTCACTTATTCAACAAACTGTGTACATTTTTGTTGAATTGACAGACCACATCATTTTTCCTATAATTTCGCACCATCTGCTGTTCTTTTTTTAGCTGTAGGAAAATTTGGATAAGCAATTTTTGGGATAGGATGTAAACTACCAGTATTGAAGTATCTGAGCCACGGGATGGGTGGTCAGGCCAAGTGGGCTGCCAGTCTGACACGGTGGTGTATTTTTGCTTCGACGGTCAGTTGAAGGACGATGTGTAAACAACAATGTCATGTGCCCATGGGCAGACGGGATCAGGATTTGTCCATGGAATCGGGGTCAGTATTCTCATTGAGCTGCCAAAATGAAAACCGATGCCAGAGCCGATGGTTGTGGGGTTGGGGTGGGGACGACTCATACAGGACCAACAAAGGAAAGTCCGTGGAAGCATTTTGTACCCTTCCCAGAGGGATCATGGGCTCTGAAAGGAGGACAGGAGGGAGTTTGGCGTCTTTGATGAGACTCCACCAACTCACATTCACCCACATACAGACGCTGTAGACGCACAAGTCATCTGCTTGGTGATGGAAACGAATTAATGTGATAGAGAGTGACAGACTGAGACAGGGAGGAAGATGCAACAAGACATCCTCACACTAATTATCAGCTTTGGCTTACTTCTCAGAGACACACAATGTGAATAATCACATTTTTGTGGGCCTGGTTACTGAAGCTTTTTCAAACAGGAGTGTCCTACTTTAATACAGACTTATTACTGGCTCTAAAATACAGCCTCAAATACTGCATAAGGTAAAATGTGATGGCATTGCTTGATGAGAGTTTGTTAGTCAAAGTCAGCAAAGTTTCACCAAAAATATGCAGTCTGTTAAGTCTACCACACCAGTCCGGGTATCAGAATCCATCTACAGAGGGGAAATGGTGTCAGCGCATCTCTCCTCTTAAAAGCTGTTTTTAGACATGCACTCTGGAAATTTTCTAGGCTTTGATTCCTAAAATTACCTGACTCAAATTTTCCCCTGCAGCCTGAAGCCTTCCCTGATGAACAGGGGTAGTGGGGCAGGGGTTGACCATTGTAACCCATGACCAATTAATATTTCTTTTGATTTGAAGAATACCAGTCAGGATTTATTGATGAGTGGAGAATCCCTACAAATCGGAAAAAAATACTGTATTTTCTGGCCATAAGGCACACCGGATTGTAAGGCACATTTAGCAAAACAACACAGTCCAGTAAATCAAACTATTTAACTGAGTTTTAACAACAAATACCGGTAAATAAAAATTCGCTCACAGATTGATTCATTCCTCTCCCACAAATTCATCGAATTCTTCATCTTCAGCTTCTGAGTTAAACAGCTGAGCGATTTCGGCATCAAGCATGCCCGGGTCCCTCTCATCATTATCCGAGTCAGTCTTGTTGCTGTTACCGGTACCTGGCTGTTCAGTGATGATTCCAGCTCAGGCGACAGTTACCGTAATGCTCCGAATATCCATTGAGCGGAGCGGCTTTGTTGCTTACAGTAGTTGTACTTACACATTTCGACTGATTTTTGAGCACATTGTACCACATAAAATCATGTAAGCACAAGTAATCATACATAAGGCATACAAGATTATTAGGCGCACTGTCAATTTTTGAGAAAATTTAAGGATTTTAAGTGCGCCTTATAGTCCAAAAAATGCGGTAGATCCTTTTTCTATTCCACATACCTAGATTTCTAACCGTTACAGCAAGCCATTATTATTCACTATTACTAGCTTTAAAACTGTACTACTCTGAAAGTGGACCCGCTCTATGGCGAGGGTCCAAGTGTACATCTCTAGTGTAACAAGAACGCTCACTGGAGTGACAGTAATATAGCTGTCAGGGGTGGCTTTTTCCAACTTTGACACTGCGGTCACTTATGAAACACCAATGCTGCAAAATTAATGACATAATGAGAATCACTGGCAAAACCCCGGTTGTCACAGGAAAATGATGTGAAAGTAGGTGACATGATCTCACAGGCAACATGATCCCTTAAGACAGTATTTTTAACTAGCCTGAGCGGGGCCAGTGAAATGTACAATCAGCTGACCTCGAGTCTGTCAACCATGCATCTCGGGCCAGCAAGCTAGTTACAATGTCGGGCCCTGTGAGGGGATCCCAAGAGGTTGAACATGATGTGAGATAGATGCTGGAGCACTTGCAGAGTAATGTTGCACTATCCCACCCAAGATTAAAACCACTGATCCCTCACTTTTACTCGTCCATATGTTTTAATCTACTTGAGATCTTATTCTCTTCATTTTTGGTTCCCTCTCAAAACTTGGCACACGTCTGTTTTGTGAATTCACCATTGTGTTATTGTTAGAGGTTGTAAAAAAAGTGCATTTTAAAAAGTCAGCATGGTAAGCAAATCACAGAGACAGAGTTATATACTTTTACAGCAGTTATTGTCTTTTGATCAACCCAACAAGTAACTCATAAACATACCCACAGTATCAGTATTATGCTGGAAAGAAGAAGAGAGTATAAAGCAGTCTCACTATCTTTTGATGTTATTTCATCTGGTGCTGACGCTGGTGTTTTATGGAAAAGTGTTTCCTATCAAGAGGCACCACAAAACAAGAAAGCCAGAAACCTGGACACAGTAGAGCATTATTTTATAAAAGTCATCAGTCTATTGAAGTATGCTAACCTGAAACCTTGATGACGTATTAGGTCAGAGATTTTTAAAACACACATGTACCATAGTACTTGGATAATACTGGGTAATACTGGTAAAAGAGAATTTGGATTAATCTGTATTTCCTCTGTGCCTTTAGGTTCATCTTCACACCTAGAGCTTCGAGGCCCATCGGTTCCCAGCTCTCCATCATGCACACCAAACACCCCCACAGTCCTTTGCAGCGAGCCCAACCTCAACATGAACATCAACCTCAATTCAAGCCACAATGCCAACTACAACGCAATGTTTTCTTCATCTACAGGTTCGTTCAAGTGTTTTAACTCTTAAATTGTATCTTCCCTCTGTCTTTACCCCAAGGTAAAGAATAAGGAAAGCAAATCAGTCTGAATATATTTGATTTAAGAACCAGGTTAGCTAAATGAGTTTCCGTTATTTTGTCCCAGTAACCACAGGTTATTGTGTCCAATCCTAGTGTTGATGCACTTGGTGTCCTCATTCAGTTTTGTTTTGTACATGAACTTGATTAAAACGTAGACATGCAGGAGAGGACTGAACCAGTAAGAAGTGCACAAACACTGACCGAACACACCACAAGACGTCAGCTCACAATACACGTGTTTGCACATGAAGCAAATATTTACCTTGGTGATGTGAAGCAGTGATCCCTGACATCACTGCAGTCTGAAGCTGCAGGCAGTATGACAGGACAGCTCTTGGCAGATAATGGCACAAGGAAGAGCAAAATGGAACACAATTACACCAGTGCAACGCTTCAGGGACACTTCATTTGCAAAAGAAAACAGCGGGCAGGGTTTTGACAGTTGTCTACCTGCACTGATATTTGTGGGGATTTTTCTCTGCCTCACACTTAAATACATATCTCTGCTGTTATGTTCTTTCATCACCTCAGGTACAACCCCAAGCTCTCCATTTTCCAGCCAACCAGAGTCCCCGACCTTCCCGCCCAGCTCTGGCTCCTGGAGTGACGAATGCACCATTTGCTATGAGAATGTGGTGGACACCGTCCTCTACGCCTGCGGACACATGTGTCTCTGCTACGCCTGTGGCCTGAAGCTAAAGAAAATGGCCCATGCGTGCTGCCCCATCTGCAGGAGGACAATCAAAGATATTATCAAGACCTACCGGAGCACGTAGGAGTGATAGAAAACCATCAAATTGTCAGGTCAGGCTCAGAGGGTTGTCAAAGCCATTTAGGACTTATGAAAAGAGAGAGGGAGCACAGGCGAAAGCCATGCTTGTTTTTTTGTGCAATCTGGCTCAGGTACTCTACAGCAGGACTATGACTGCTTCATATCAACATTGAAGTTATGTCTATGGTGCATCCTTGAGAAGCTCACATTGGCCACCTTTGACCCAGCAATGACATTCATCAATCCATCCAGAAAACTTGTGTGATCTTATATCAAATTTGTGCTACTTCAGTAATCACACTCAAACCCACTGTAGTATCATTCAGGGACTCTGATCTGCGTGTCTACGAAAGAGAGGGTAATTCAGAGAGACATTTGACCCACTTGTCAGAGTAAAGGCATGGTAGCTCATGCACAAATGCCGGCAAATGACCATCATCCGCTGAAGCACAGTTTCTTGTTGTGCTTAAAGTGGGCAATGCCAAGTGGGGTCAACAACAGAAGCTTTAATCGCCAAAGTTCACTCACAATGAACTTCCTTTGCAGCTGTTTGAATTTTATTGGTCCTTTGGCTTGTCATGGAAGAGAACAAAAGCAAATATTTGCTAATATTAGTTTTTGAAGAACATATATTGTTCAAAACTGCAGGGGAGAAAAAACAGGAAAATGAATCTGTGGTTTCGATTGTTAGTCCACTTTTGAAGTCGGAAGCGTTAAGAGTAAGAACAGTGTCTCTTCGAATCTAAAAGACAGCTCTTTGAGACTTCTCGAAGAGAGAATGAACAACAGTATAAAAAAGTTAATATTCATTGCATTTCCAAAATAAACCATTTTGAATGCAGAAAATGTCCCCTGGACTTAAAATCACAACAGTATGCCCAAACCTGAAAGGGTAACGAAATCCCTAAAGCATGTGCAGTAAATTAAGAAAAAACTCACTGCCTGCTGTGGTTGTTCTGTGAACTTCAGGCAAGGCAAAGCAAGATTGTGCGAAGAGTGAAAAAAGTGTTGTCACCATAGAAGGTCACACTCACAGCTGAATGAGCATGTGAATCAGTGATGAGGGAGCGAGGGAGGAGGTCTGAGGGAGGATGTCGTATATTTGGGATGGAGACAGAGGAGGAAGGGCCACTTTTTCTATGCGTCTGCTCATCGTTTCACACAAAGAAAGTGTTTGCTCGCTCATGCAAACCAGATGCATCAGAAGTTTGTATAAAAGCCTGTAAAGTGTGGGACTTGCGTGGTTTGTATGTCCCCCATTCTTGACAGATGTTCCTGGCTGTTTCTGTATACTGTAATTGGACAAAAATCGTTGAAGTAAACATTGGTGGGCAAAGGGTTATTTTTAAAACGCAGAGAGAGCACATCGGGATAGAAAATCAACCTGCTTTTCATTTCCAGGAATCCATAAAACACTGAGTTACAGATGGCCTAGCATCTTCAGGTTACACACGTCTCTTTCATTTGTTCCCTAAATGAGAACAGTAGAAAAATACCCCGTGTGCAGTCAGCGACAAGGATGTAGCTTGTTATTGTGGGACATTGTGAGAATTTCTTTTGCATATCAGTTTCTGAGTGCTGCTCTCTGTCAGTAAAAGCATACTCCAAGGACATTTTCAGTCAACTAATCACATGCATTCCACTCTGCTATTTTAAGGAGTTATTTAGGCCTTGCTGAACATCACTAATCTAATAATCTATGAAGAGGTAGAAGCTGATTTGTTGTTTTTCAAGGTATGGAAGCTCATCATCCTTCCACCTTGGAGATGAAATTAGCAATTATGTTGTACATTGTTTGGGTAAGTTTCCTTGTGTGCCTTTGAAAAGAGAAGTCTGGATGAACTCTGGTCTGATAGGCTCCTCATTGTACAACCAAGAGAAAAGTCTGAGGATCATTATCGTCTAAAAGTCACTCTTATGTGGTTGTGATTGAAAGCTGGTGTAACCACACAACCTACCAACCCAAAGCTGTCAGGTTTAAGGATAAGACAAACATTTTTACTGCTAAGATGAAACGTTTAAGTGCTGCCCTGTCCCCTCAGTAACTGCATTTTATAATACTGGAATTTTGTCGCTCTGCCTTTACAGCCTTTGTTTTGTTTCCCCTTGACCAAATCCAACTTTGCATCTAATAATTGTGCAAGATTTTTGATAGAAATTGGTATTGATGAGTGTAATATCAACTGTATATTATAAGGTTTATTTATTTTGTCAATGCTACTATAAAGAACTATCACTGTTTGTTTGATATGTTTGGTTAAAGTGTCCAAAAATTAGGACTATTCTCTATTTTATTGTGACATACTTAACAGCTAGAGAAAAGCATTTACCCCTTTATGGCTTAGCAAATATGTGAGTTTACTTTCACTGAAAGGAATAGTTTGACATTGTTGAAAATATGATTCATTACCTGCTGGAGAGGAGAGAATGTAATTTATCATTGTATTGCTGTGTAGACTCAATTGCAAAAGTATTTATTCTTTGAATATTGTAAATAATGGCGACATTTTTCTGATGGGAGTATTTTAACTTTTGATAAATTCTGTTGTTTTATGTCCGTAGCCGACTTTTACATTTTGATGCAGGACTTTTAGCCTACTTTTAGTGAGGTATTTTTGTATTGTGGTATAAGTGTACAACTTGTACGAAGAGTAATGGATATTTTTATTGTGTACGAAGTAACAGTTTTATAGCAGTGACAGTGTGAAAGGTATAACAACAGAGATTTATCAGCTGAATTAACCATCATGTCAAAAACCCCAACTAGCACTTAAGACCAACGGTGACAGTCAGTGACCGTTGGTGTCAGAAAAATGATTATTCCGTTAAGAAGGTTTAGTGAAGAACTTTCCTTTTTTCAGCACTTTTACATTCATATTTTCAAGTTCAACGCTTAACAGCTCGCTGACGTAAATAGCTAATGGTTCTGTACAAAAAGTACAAGACCCTCTAAAGCTCTTAACCAACTACTTCCTGGTGTGCAGATTGTTGCCTGGCAACGAGTCATAGCAGAAAAATTATGTTGTTCCTAACTCCAGCTAAAGCAGTTTATTTTCTCAACACATGTGATACCTGAATAACTTATATGAAAAGGAACATTAAATTATGTTGTTACCTTTGAACAGATACAAGCTACATCCTGTTTACAGGTCTTATGCTAAGCTAATCATCTGCTTGCTTGGCAACTAACTGGACAAATAAAAGAGTGGTGTCTTTTCCTCTAGTTCTCCACCACCAAGCAAATGAGAATACTTCCCATGGTGCCAAACTATCATAAGCTTTTATCCTAAAATACAGTGTAACAAGGGAAATTTTGTTCAGTTGGCATACTGTTATAGTCCATTGTTATTTGTCCTGCCTGTACAGATTTCAATTCTCTCATGCATTTGTGTGAAGAAACCTGCTTTTAATTTTTTTTTAATAAGCCTGAAAGCCTGTTTCTCAAATGTGACCAAATATTCGCCGTCACTGTGTGTGATGAATAAGGAAGACAAATTAAAGCTCCTGTTTCCCTGGGCTTAGGATTTCTAATAGTTGTTGAAACTTTCAAGAAACAATGTTCAGTTTATTAAATAAAGTTTGAGTCTGAATCACTGGCTATTGACTATTTTCTTACTTACAAAACCTTTAAAATGTCATTTTATATCTTAACATCTTTACCTCACAGACAGTAGAAACCTGATCCTTATTGTTTTATTGTTTTTGACTAAAACTGCAATAAAAAGTTAAAACTGACAACTCCCATTTCACAGCCACAGTCATTATGTTTTATGCAAAGCAGGAAACTGAAGTCAGTCTGGCACAAAGGATGGGGAACGAGAGAAAGCATTAGTGCCATTACCTTTTCCCATAATGTGCATTACACAAATGGTTGATGTAACCTCTTAGGCAAGAAAATTCATATTGTGCAACAGTTAGAGAACAAAATGTAGCCATCCTTCAGATGCTTAACATCCAACACAATCACTCACCACAGTAGTATACTTGACTAACACCCTGCCATATACTATATGAATAACAAAGGCAAGGGCTTTTAGTAAACAGCTATAACTCACAGAGAAACTGTTTAGAGTCGTGGTATGTAGACCTGGCCAGAGTGAACATCATCTGTTATTTACTACCCTGCAGGCCTGGCTCTAATGCAGCTCTGTTTAATACTGCACTCCAATACAGCCTGTGACGTCCAGACATGAAACAGGCTGCAGTGGCGGGCCGTTCATAGCCAAGTGCTCTCAGAGGTGAGAGCGAAGTACACTGCCAGGGCCTGTGACGGTGACATGAATTCAGTATATCTCTCTGCTGTCTGTGTACACGCAGACTTTCCACTCAGACCTCTCTGTGAACCTGGCTGCAGGCCTTCTGAAGGCTCCGGGGCTTGGCGAACTTGTTTGAGCTATGTTGTGGTATCTCTTCTTGACAGCTATTTGGTCAAACAGACACTGTCAATTAAGGTATCAAATTTGTATTCCAAAAAGCCAGACAGTATCGATCTGGAATTTTAACCAGGCATCCCACAGTCAGAGCTGGAGTTTGTTCCTCTGTTGCCGTTAAGACTTTAAGCTTTTGATGTTCAGCGTGATGTAAAATCTTTTCTTCTGTCAGACCTGCAGTGTCGAGGGACGCACAGTGAGGAGGAGTGCAATTATATTAAAAAGTAGAACTTTGTTCATAGTCTCAAACATAAGTTGAGGGATCTCAGCCCTACACCGTGTGATTACTATGTTGATGGAATCAAAGGTGAAGGTTACTAGGGTGCTGTGCTCATTCTGCAGTGAGTAGCTGAGTGCTGCTGCCCTCCAGAGGCTGAACACAGCTACAACAATCACTAAACTGTAAGCACACTAAAGGTTTTTTAAAGGCACATTTTCTCTGAATGCAACACAGGGTGCACATCAAGAGGCACTTTTTTCCCCTATAAATGACAATGACATCAGAAATGGTGTCTTTACAGTCTTGATGGAACTGAGTATTTCTGGTTTGGGCCGATGCATAAAAACCTGCGAGTCTAATTACAACAATTCCATCACCTGCATCAATAATTTCAGACTTATTATCCTTTTTTTAACATGTGGAGCAATCAAGATCTACTCACTATATTTACAGGCTTCAAATTACATCTGATTAGTTTGTCAAGTTGTTTTAATACATCGAAAAAACTGCACATTTTGCTTTCCTCTCCTATTTTCTACTCGTGTAATCTGTCATTTTCTTACATATTAAACACCCCATTTACAAATGAACAAATACAGTCACATTTGCACACAGCCAGTATACAAACATGTTGTGAAGATGATCGACAGAGCCACAAAACTTTGTTCTAAACCAGTGAGTGTAGTGTCAGCGTAGAAATCCCAGTAGAGGAAACAGCCAGTGGGATGGGCATATTTCACATAAGACTCTTCTAGGCTGGAAATCTTATTATATTTCAGGCTGCAAATCTAATAAATCAGAAATATATAGTGTCTGACATCAGAAAACACACATCAGCGTTTGATATGGGGCTTCTCTGATTGTAACTGAAGGGGACAATAGTATTGGCTAAAACTACTCCACACTTGTTACCTAAACTTTTGCTCTGTCAGTTGATGCTGGATTAAGCAGCCCAGCTACCATGACATAAAAAGCCATTTACACCAAATAACAAAGCGAATTGCATGGATATCTGGTTCTGTGCTGCAGCAAAGAAATGAAAGGGATGTCACCCAACCAAGTGTAGTTTAAACTCTTTGCAAAACAGCATCCATGGAGTCAAACCATTCTGCTGCACAGGACATTTACAGATGTTATCCTGGATATGAACATAATACAGAGATCTTCCCAAAGCATTAAGCCTTAAATGCCACTCACCTCAGAGGCTTAACATCAACAATAATCATTAAGGTTCATTTAAGCTTTTCCACACAGCTTATGCCAGTTTAATTTTGATTTAAAGCAGATACGTGGATGCCATCTCCCATGACTTTTAAAAACAATGCTTACATAACAACACTAAATGCCACCAGCTGAACACATTGTGACCTAACTGCATCTTGGCCTTTTCAAGCCTCTGTGAATAACTTGTCCCCGGTTGTCCCCAGTTGAGAGCCACACAAAGGTTTGTTTGTCAGGTAATATGATCCACAGACAATCAGCCTCTAACTTATTTCCTCCTCCTACCAAACAGGAACACCTTTTATTTACACATTGATGGATCACACCGGCCAAACATGAAGGCCTACAGGTAAGGTTTGCTTCCAGGCCGAACATGACTCATCAAAAAAGTGTTAGTTTTTTAACATACCTGAAAATAAGTCTTTATCACTGCGGTCAATTCAGCGAGCTCACGTGGCGTCCGCCATTTCGTCAACCTGACGTCCTCCGTGGAGCAAACTCTGACGTTGTCTTACGTCGTTACTTAACTTTCTGGGTCCTTCACGCGCCGTCCAGGAAATGCTAACTAAAAGGCACTTTGTCTGGAGTCGTAAAAAAATACAGCCTACACAAACGTAGCTAATTAACGCAATATCCAGGCGACCCTGGGGTCCAATCACTTTTGTTTATCAAACAGGCCAGTTTAAAATGATTCTGTGTAGGCCCACTATCACGTCAGACTAATTAGACTGAAGAGTAGCCTGATAAAAACTTATACTAGATGTCCGTTCATCCCCTATAAATAAGCAGTCACATATTACTAAAACAATAAACAATTCATTTGAAAGTATAAAAGGGGAGAGTGGGGTAGGCTGAGCCACCCCCTTGGAAATGGTAAAAGAGATTGATCATGTGACCAAATATTTAGGAGATGGGCATCAATTCATGGAGTCTGTGAAGGTTAGAAGCACATGGGTGAAGGGGTTAAACATTTACTTACAAAAAACATTTTTCACTCTTGAAAGTGAATTTAGTCTGTCATAAGTTTTATTAGAATTGTGTTCAGACCAAAAAAGATCATTTATAATTTGTTTTCTACATCAATTGTGGTATCTATTTTATATCTATTTTAATATGTCAAATATAAGCAAAATCATTAAATATTTATATTTACAGAGAGTTAAAAGGTGTTTTGGAAGAGAAAAATAAATTTACCAATGGGCTTTCAAAAATGTAGTAAACCACCTTGATATTGAGTCCACCCTGTTATCCTCAGGTAAACCTTACAAAATAATGGTGCATCCCAAAATTGACAGGATTCACGGAAAGTTACATTATCTTTGAAGTGGCAAGTCAATTTATCTTACTCTGTTTTAGTATGTTTTTCAAGGTTTGACCAGGTGGACTAACAATTTTTTAACACATAAATCTAAAAAGTTATTTATTACTCTTAAAACAATCAATAGATTCTCGTAAATAACTGTTGGAAAACTGATATTAATACATTAATTATTTTTCAAAAAGACGGGGTCCAAGTCAGGAAATTGTTTAGGTTACAGGAGGGTCAAACCTTACGAGTGTTAGACAATGTAGATGACAAAAACTAGAGCCAACATCTGTTCAAAAGTGCATTTATTTAAGTCATTCTTTTGGCACTTTGGTAATCATCACTGATCACACAGTACACATCAAACAAAAGTGAGCACCCCAGTAATACTGTTGCTGTAAAGTTATGTCAAATTTACTGCCCAGCAGAAATTCAAAAATGTTTTTAAGATTTATAGAGCAGTTCTTATAAATGTTTAGGCTTTAGTGATACATATTTTTAACTGGTAGATGTCCTAAAATAATAACAAAACCAGAGATCATAGGATTTTTAAGTAATGAATAAATATTTTCACTGGCGTCAAGAAAGTTTCAAAATAGACGATCAGGCACTGAAATAAAGGCTATAAGTTTCAGGAGAGATCATCAGGGGTTGTTTTTACATAACCATAATCAGAGATGCTCACAGATTGTTTAGTCAAGATATTATTACACGCTTAAAAGGATAAAATATTTCACTTAAGTGTGACATAAGGTATGAAATTATCTTAAACATGCAAAAAGACAGCACCAAGATGAGACTAACACAAAGCAGCTTTGGCAATAACTGAGATTTTCCTTTCAAAAAGGATGAGGAAAAGGTTTAAATTCAACAGCTTAAGGCGTCGTCAATATAATGAATCATTTTAAACATGCAGTAAGCTTTAAATGCTTAAAAAGTTACAAAAAATACATTATAAACTTACAGAGAAGGTTCAAGGCATGGACACAAAACAACATCTTAGTTCAAGTTAAAGGTAAGCAGTGAAGAATTTTAATGAAGTCATTCTTCCGCCCTCTGGTGTTCTCTTTGGCTGTTTAACTAAGTCCCAATATACTCCACTGTTCCTAATGCATCATCTCAGGCACTGTATCATGTTGACTCATTGAAACAGATGTCTCCTTTTGTTTCAGTCACAATTTAAACTAACTGCTCATTTTGGCAAAGGTACCGAGTAGGATTTCAATCCTTCCTTCATGTCTCAGGATTATTTCACAAAATAAATGCATCCGTTTGAGTAGTCTTTTCACGCATGGTTAGAGTTCTGCCAGCTCCACACATGAGTGCTAGTGCTTCCTCTCGAGGTAATTTGAAGGAACCCATCCTTTCCTTGGTCTGCCATTGTCCAGAATCTTACAGTACCACCAACCGTTGGGGTTTCTTTCCAGGACCTCAAGACTTGTTCCCTCTGGAAATCCCATGGTTTCCTCATCACCATGGTAATCTGCTATGGAAACATACACCTCTCTGAGGTTGTTGTGTATGATGTGGGGCTTTGGTTTCACTGTGGACACAGGGATGGCATTCCTCTGAGAGCTGATGCCAAGAGACTCAGAGCTGCCAGTATCGAATCTGTTCCTGTTTGGTAGTGCTATGTTGTTTGGTGCCTGGCTGCGGGGTGCTGTGCCAAATGAGGCATTGCGTCGCACTGTGGGACTTGCACGGGGATGGTCTGTGGAATTAAGGGACTCGTTTCTCCTGAGAGAGCCAACAGGGCTGGGACCATCCCTGATTGGGGCTGATATGAAGACAGACTGAGGTCTGACTACCTGCTGCTGCTTGGTGCTGTTCTGCTTCCGTGATCCAAATAAGCCGATTGATTTGGAGAGGCCCCCTGGCGGCTTGGAGGGAATGGGTGGGGTGACCTTTTTTAGGTTTTGGTTGATGTTGTTCAACACCTGGACCCTTTGTTCATTCTTCTCCAGGCTGTTGGACTTGCTAAGGCTTCCAGGTTTGGTTGGGGTACCATCAGATTCTGTCCCTGCCATGTCATCCTGTTGCCTGGTGGGCTCCAGGTAATAAGTTGGTGCCCATCCTTCTGTATCTCCCCAGCGGATATACCACCATCCACTTTCTTGCTTTTCCACCACCTCCACCTCCACTCCAGCAGGAAAGCTGATCTCAGACTCTTGGACTTTCTCATAGGGATCTGTGGTGCGATACAGGCTGCTGCTTTCCAGGTCAGAGTCTCCCCTGCTGCCTTTAGAATAGATAGAGGACAGGTCTGATGTACTCTGGGAAGAAAAGGAGTCTTCTGAGGAGATGACTGAAGCTGTCTCAGAGTCTTCCCCTTTAGTTTTGCTGCCGTTCTTCAGCTGCCCTGTTGGCCGCAGCTGTCTTCTCAAGGTGCTGATGTCCATCTTCTCTGCACTGGATGCCTTTGCTAGTTGTGGTTTAGGTCTCACCACTGGCTTTGGTTTCGAAGAAGACTTGATAGAAAAGGATGCCTTGTTCTCCTCATGCTCTTTCTTTGTCCTGGAGAGATCTGGAGTAGACTCAGTTGAGGCAGATTTCGGACTGGACGCCTCCTCAGCTTTAGTTGGAAACTGACTACCATTCAGGTCAATCTTGAACTTGTTACCTGCAGGTCTCCATCCACTGGATGTCGGGCTCGCAGTCTTGCTGGTTTCTAACAAGACGCTTGTCTTGGAGGAATTTGAGTCCCTGCTGCACTGCCTCTCTGGTGTCTCCCTGAAGGGCCTGAAGCCATCATTCTCATAGATGCACTCTTCCTCTGGCTCTATCGCTCCTTCTGCTTCATGTCCGTCTTCAAATGACTCTCCCATCCTAAAGGAGGCACTGTGGAGTGAAGAAGCTGGAGAGGGCTTGGAGGAAAGGTGGGATCCTTTCTCAGAGGTAGTGTCCTCATTCTTTGCATCTACCAGGGAACTTTCTCCCCTCAGGAACTCAAACTCAGACTCCAGATCCAAATCACCAATAGCAGGGACATCATATTCTGGCTCTTCATAAACTGGCCTCCCTGGTGACACAGGGGACTCTGGGGCTTCGGACCCAGGGCTGCTGGGAGGTGCAGTCTCCACTGAGTCTTGCTTTTTGACTGGTGGAGCAGGAGGTGGGACTTTTGGGCGGCACAGAGTGCTTGTTCTTCGGTTCAGGTTGGGCTTTTTCCGTTTGTCTATGTAGGAGCAGGGAGCCCAGCCCTCTTTCTCTCCTATTTGAACATACCACCAACCACCAGAGTTCTTCTCAATGACCTAGGACACATAGTTAAGAGAAAAGTTCAGTCTATTTGTGAAGCTTTTTGATGTACTTTCATGAGATCCCATTTTTTTCTCTTATGTAAAGCATACCACTGCACTATGACTATCTAATAGATTCATTTATAGAGTTCTAAGCTGAATATGCAGTTCTCTAGTTACTGAAGGTAACCATGAAAAGAGTGCTTACCTCTGCTTTCTGTCCACCATTAAAAGTTATGCCATCAGATATGCAGGACTGGAAATCTGCAATGGTGTAGTACTCTGCTTCGACTGCAGGGGGCTCTGGTGGGGAGGGCAACTGGAAACCCTGGGAATGTAATAAGAAATTGGCACTGTTAGATTGTCAGTGTCTAAAGGGTGTTACTTAAGAATATCCAGAACAACAATAGATCCAGCTTTGAGTTACTTGTGTTTTCCAGTGGTTGAGAATTTTTTCCCTCCTGCTGTTGTTTGTTCTTATTACATTTTAGTACATTACATTTTGGAGGAAAATACTTCACTCTTGCTTCCCACGACATTCATTCAACAAATGTAGTTGCTAATGTTATTCTTCTTTCCAACCCCAATGGCTTTCTATCTCAACATATCTCAAACTGATCTTGAGGCCAGTATGGGGTCTTGCCCCATAGCTTTAAAACCACTAGATCTAATATATTTAAAGCTCCTGAGGAATTTTTTGACATTCATGAAATAGACTGTAACACATATTATTATTTTTTTATCATATTCTGTAAAGCAAACAAAACAATCAGCAACATGGTTTGCGATTTTTACAGCATAGCTTTTAATGTGTGAAATCTGTGCGAGGGGTAGGTGTCAGCTGCAGTTCTGAAGAAACAGCCCCGTTTTTACCATTTTCGCATAAAATACTCAAAATTGATGATACATTTGACTGTGAAAAGTCAGCAGGATAGGATATTACAATAAGCAATGTCTCCTTTGTCCACAGGGGACACCGAAATATACACAAATCAAAAATTACACACAGGAGCTTTAAGTTCATATATTTTAAAGGAAACCTAACTCCTCATGACCAGCCTTGATTACTTGCTGCTTAATGTTGGTACCATTGAAAAAAACAGATGAATCTTTACAGATAAATTCAGACCAAATTGGTGGTGATTGATTCATCTTTTCCATCTTGTATTTTTAAGTTTAGTCCTCTACTGTAAATAAAGGTAATTTAAGCACACTGCCACAAGATGAGTATTAGCACTTCTTTAATGCAGCTTATCAAACTCAATAATTTTCAGCATGTAACAAATGAGAACTAACTGGGGGATAAATGGAAGTTATTGATGGAAAAAAACCAAACACTCTTACCAAGGTGGCATCCCTTCTTGGGGGAGGTTTCTGTCTAAGGACAGGAGAACCTATACAGCAAACACAGTGGAAAATATCCTTTATTATTGATTGATTACTATGACTGACCAAACTACAAACATTCACAGCGCGATGGCTTACCGATCTCCACGCGATGAGGTGCAATGCGAGCTATAGCTGGTGATGCAGGTTCTGCTTTACTTTTTCCCTCCTGTGGGGTATTTACAGGACTGGATTCAGCACAAGGAATTGGCAAGCTGATCTCCTTCTTGGCCACCTGGGGGCTCTCTGGGACGCCCTCGATCTGCACATCTTTCTCACTGGAGGCTTTCTTGTTGAGCAGGTTACTGATCTCCATGATGTTTCCAATGATCTCCACCGGGCCTGTCACGTTCTTTTTTCGGGGAGAGAAGTCATCCTTCATCTTCTTCAGGTAAGAGGCGGGAGCCCAGCCCTCTTTGTCCTGGTACCTTTAAGGTAAACGACATTGAAATTAAAAAGGTAATCTGATTTTTTAAGATAAATAATTCAATGCATGACGTTGACAAAGGCTTACCTGATGAACCACCACCCTTCAAGATTCTTCTGAATCACCTCCACAATAGCCCCTTTCTCAAAGGCAATTTCATCCTTGCCCTGGCTGACGTACGGCTGCACCGTCACATACTTCTCCTCTGTGAAAGCCAGAGCAGCAGATGTCAGCAAAGTTTGAGATTACTGACATTATGAAATCTTACAGAGCAATTGGCATCGGGACAGGAAAAATGTAGAGTGTTTAATCTGTGACTCTATTCAGTAAACGTACGTTCATAATATAATCCTGCTGCAGTATGAGAGTTTGAGGGAAATGTGAAGGGAAACAGATATATTGGCACTGATTTAGTGGTAACACATTAGAGGAGAGTTGTATCTTTTATTTAATACAGGCAGGAACTGTTCTGCTTTTTGGCAGCAGCTTTGGCTGCCAGATGTGGGATTAGATGTGCTCTGTCTTAGACTGATCCTTGGCACATGAGTTTGCTTATCTTTTTTTTTTTCTAAACTGAGAAACTTTTTATGGAAATGCGTGACCACAAGACATCACTGACTTTAGGAAAACTACGTTGCCATCATTTCACATTGGAAGATTCCCTTATAATGCAAGATTCCTCTGCACTAGTATAACATAGAGTACTGTACAACTATGATGGACAGGCTGCTTCCTAACACACATAAGTGGCTATTGGAGTTGACCATTGGCTTATGCTTTTGCAGGTTTGTATTGAATTATATTATTATGCCTTTATATTGGAAGCACTATTTTCCACCTGACTATACTGGCTGTTGAGATCATGAATACAAAGGCAGTAATTTTTGTTTTGTTTGAAAACCCTCTTTTTAAACTTTCTTTCACCAAAGCTTTGTAAGTAAACACTGTGGAAACATAAAAAGAGAGTATGGGACAAAAAGGAACAACTTTGGGAGGTTCCCTCTTTCTTTAACTGCCCAAGACTGCTTCTACTTCAGTGCATTTTTACATGAAACAAATATTGTGGATTCAGTCCTTCAACACTTGCACTGAAAAAGCTTTGGGGGATTTCCTTGAGGCCAGTGTAGAAACAGGGAAGAATTACCACTTTTGACTCCCATTTTTGACATGAAAGTATCGTTTTCAGGCAAACTAAAAGGATGTCATGTCTCAAAGCTCGGCAAAACCAAAAGACTGTCAGAAAAACTGGGGAAAAAAACACCAAACACAAACACTCTTTCCACAAAATCGCACTGTTGTTGTGGTGATCTGCAAAAACTGAACAGAGGTAAATCATTGAGTTTCATTTTGCTAACATAAGCAGCGACAGCAACAAGTGGCATGCACTGTTTATATGCATTGGGAGAAGATGCAGATTCACATTGAATTAAGGGATGAAGAGGATGCAATGATGCCGGTTCAGTCTATAAAGGGACGTCATTTATAATTAATGAAAATTAATAGATAATTCTTTATCTTTAATTCTGGTAGTGACTCGTTTTTCTGATAAGGTAGGACTGAGTCATCTCAATCCAGCATGTGTAATCCGAACTGGATCTGATTAAACCTGAACCATATTTACATTCATCTGAACAGTCATATTGTGTCCCCATTGAGGACGTTATGCAACAACAGAGATTCAGATAGAAACGAACTGACTGAATTGCAGAGTCTTCAGGCTAACATTAGCCGACCTAGCACCACCTGCCTTCAGTCCTCCTTACAGGCTAATGTACACATGCTTGTGCTGATTACACATTAATCTGGTTGGATTTATACGCCAGTTTAACCAGACAGAGCCTACGTAGTTTTAGGCTGCACAATATATTGCAGTTTTTATGTTATCACATAAGAACTTGCAATGAACACACTGCAAAAGTTCAAATGTATAGCAATAAATAGGAACTGAAAAAACTTAATAAACAATCAAAGCTTCCTCAATAAGAGTGCTTACATAAAATCAGTGTCTTTTATCACAATCATGTGTGGTGTCTGTAAGCCTTGATTTGTTTCACGGTGCAACTAAATCCAAAATTTGTCAGACTTAACAAGCTGAGAACATTGAGATTTATACAACTTGTAATTACTCCTCATGACAAGAAAACAGAGTTAATAAATTGTATGGATTCATATCTGCTTAGGGTTTCAGTGAGAATGATGATATTCATAAAGGGTTTTGACCGAGGAGAACTTCAACACATGGGGCCAGCTAGTGTCCCTGGCCTTGTGACAAGAGACTTCTCCTCACCCTTAATAAAGAGCAGAGGCTCCATGCTGATTTATGCATTCCCATGAGGCCAAGGGGCAGAGCAAAAACATAATTTCCTGTCATTATGGCAATTCCTGTCTAAACACAGCCAGCAGAGGAAGGAGAGGTGTGTTCAGAAATAAAAAAGGCGCACATTAAAAAAGTGCTGCTCTGTTTGCTGTACACACAAGAATCAACAGTCTGGTGACACATTTTTTCCATTCCCTTCTCCTCCACATGTTCAGCTGTAATGTAGGAGCTGACCGGGTTTGGGATTGTAATTCCCTTTGCTTGCAGAAACTACAGAAGACTCCACGGTAAAGGATATTTCCGTACACTTTATTTTCCTTTTGCCTGTTTCTTCCGGCCCTTTTTTTGTGTCGTGGCTGGTAAAACGCTTCCCTCTCACCAGCCTCCCCTCAAACAATATCCAGCAGTGCGATGAAGGGAAACTCTGAATCAGATGTTATGTTAACCACAACATGCATCGCCTGCATTGGTGTTATAAATTATTCTTGTGGAGTCAGCAAAATATCTCTCTCTGTTTTTTTCTAACACAAAGCAGGATCTCAGTCCTAGGCTGGAAACAACTCTCCCTCCACTCCAGAGAGCAGCATCCACTGCCAAGAGCAAAGTTTGGGCTGAACTCAATAGCCTATCCTCACTCCTCTGTCAGGGATCCAAATGCATCTCCATGGCTTTTGTTAGAAGAACATGTGCAAGTTTGTGATTAAGAAAGGGACTTTCTTAATAAGTAAGTGAGAGATTAATATGGCTGTTTTTCATCTGTTCTGACCGGTTGCTATCTGCACCCACAGCAGGAAAAGTGGCCTTTTGTGCCACCTTTTGAGAGAAAACACACTCATTAAAACTACATACAAGCTTCATTCGCTCATAAAAAAGCAAAATATGGCTCTCAAATGCAACATGAGGCATTCCAAAGTCTATTACGCAACAATTTCCTAGTTTGTTTTGCTCTGATTCTGGGAAGACTGGTCTTGGCACACGGTGGTTTGTTACTACAAAATGCTTACATGGAGGAATTTTGTTGCGTATTTTCAGCGTGGCATCATCAATCGGTGTGTGTAAAAGTTGCTGATTTCACCTATGTTTTGCAGGCTGTTTCATATGAATGTTAGTGGTTAGCTGAGTTGGTTTGAGGAACACGTTTGCTACAAGACGACAGAGTATGAACACATATGTGCACATTGAGAGGGACGAGATGAGCCGTGTGATAAGAGACATAAAATACAGACAGAGTGAGGAGAACAATAACAAAGGAGAGAAAGGAGGGGAGGGGGGAGGTGATGCTGCATCTGTCTCAGTTCACCTCGGCTCTGCTGCCTGCTGATGACACCCCCCAACGTCCATCTCCGGTCCAGCCTCTTCAGATGAGCCTTATGTCGCTTAGTAACTGACAGACACACATGTGGTGACCAGACGATAAACACACAAACAAACATGAGAGACATGAAGAGGAGGCAGAAAATGTTACACAAACACGCAGCACACAAATGACATGGATCCAGAGAGAGGGCCCCGTTAATAGCTACATGTAGGACATTAAAACAAGACCGCAAAGCAAAAACATGTTGGACAGTTAGAGTGCACGGATGGATGAATGGATGGAGGTTACAGAGGAAGTGTTAAAACCAAGACATCTTCTCCGTGGCTTGTAATTAGGATGTCGTTAGCATGGTTTTCCCATCCTGTTGTGTTAGAGCATCTGGGACACACATTGCTGCAGAAGGAATGCTTTCCAATTAATAGAGCAGCTGACGGGACCTGCTGGCTGGAGCCGTGAGCCCGAGGTCTTGATTTCCTGTATTTTGTACTTAATACAGTAGAAAGGGAAAAGACTTTGGCCAAATGCAAGATCTTGTGTGGATGAATAAAAACTACTTTTTAATGGTGTGAATATCTGGGAGAAAGGTTGAAAACTCTCACTCCCACTGTAAAATAAATCAGGAATAAAGAGGATGTTACACATTTTTGAATAAGGGTAAGTAAGGGTACAACATATGTCTATAAATAATGGTGCGTTTGAGTTACCTCGGAAATCAGATGTCAGAACTGAAAATGATGTCACACCCGAGTTACCAGTGTTTCAGTTACCGACAAGATGGGTACATCTACAAAAGTTATTTTAGTGCTTGCCTTATTTGGTTCAGGGCAAGCGCTAAAATAGATTTCGTTGTGTCCGTCTCCGATTTTGCTTTTTTCCAACTTGGTAACCGAAATGCTGGGAACTCAGGTGTGACGTCATTTTCCGCTGCGACATCTGACTTTCAAGGTAACTCAAACACAGTATAAGTCACGTTAATCCACTTAGTTTAGTAGAAACTCTGAAATAGGAGGCACAGCTGGCCTAGTTCAGTTTCAATGCCATTAAAGACCATTGAAATGTTATATTTTGTCTTTTTTATCAATATGACTTAATCTAGAGTGGGAATAAAAAATATATTTATTCGGATTATCAGGGTGGTTATGTTTCTGTCTCTGTCTTGCTGTTGAGTAGTTGCCTGACAGTTCTTTAAAATCTTAAGGAAGTCACAAAATCCTGGATAGATAATTAAGAAAATGACTAACAAAGGTATCTTGCTACGTTGTTTTTAACTCTTTGAAGGAGTAAAACTAACTTTTTAGCCCTTCTTTTAGTCTCTATGTTGAACTAAACTTCCCAGCTGCTTCCATTTGTCTTGTATTAAACATAAGAATCATATTAACCAACTAAACCAAATCTCTGCCAGTAAGCAATAAGCATACTTCCCAAAATCTGCAACAGTTTTGAAGCGGCGTGGCTATTATTGGATAAGACGTAACCAAAATGAAACCCAAGTGGATCAGTCGGCAGTTGAACTCACATCTAAAGCCATCGAAGCTTTTTATTATGTTTTATTTTGGGCTATAACAAAAGTGCTACCATAATGTCTTCATCATATTTTTCAGAAATATTGGCTTTTTTTTGCTGTGACGATGTGGGGGCACAGACTGCTGAAGACCACAGGACTGACAAAGAGATGCTTTATGAGTTTCATGCCATTCCTATGACTGACTAGACACATAAACACTAATTACACTGACAGGCTGTCCACCGCCAAAACTCCCAGGCAGCAGCTGTAGATAGCAGCGTTTATTGTTGACATTTGCGTTTAGGTTTGTGTGTGGTCCCACATTTGTGGCAGGTTGTAACCAAAGTTGTTAAATTCATATTATGTACATAATAATCTTGAGGGCATTGCATTTTTATGTATTTATGATACGGTGTAAGGGTTATTCTGTTTAACCTCAAGTATTTTCTCCACCAGTCAAAATCTACACAGCATCAATGGGATCTTAGGTCTCATTGTTACAGTGTGGACTTATTGTACAGCAAAAAGTTGTTTTGGCCAGAGTGTTGGAAAATCCTGATATTTGTTTGGAAGTGTAACACACAACTTAATGATTTCCGTGCCTCTAGTTTGTTGGGTTCTCTCAAACACAATGTTGCAAAATGCAACAACAATGAAAAAAAGCTGGACGACCTGTCAAAAAAATGGAGAAGTCAGAGTTGGACAGTAATATTGAAAATGTTTTTAGACTAAAACGGCTTAAGCAGCTTTCACATGGCTTTGTAACCCTGTCTGACAGGACTATCAAAATGATTGCAAGGTTGGATTTGAGCCTCAGCTTCACATGTGTCTGCATCAGATTCTGGCAAACTGGACTCAATGTATGTGTTTCTTATCAGTCTCTTGGATCCCTCTCTGAATCTCTTAAAATATAACATCAACACTGGTTTACTGTACTGTAATTTATCGGCAATCCACAATGATAAGCAGCCGTTGCATGAAATAGCATAACTAATGTCAGAGTTTCCTTTTATTTATGATAATCAGAGTTAAAGCGCATGATACGGGATATTCTCCTTGCTCCGGATCAAAACACATGTCTCTTTCATAAACCTTCTACATGTAGGTCATTGAAGGTTTTTTTTTTGCTGCGTCAGAGCATTACTGTGCCGTCCATCACTGCAGTGGTTGTGGTGTGGTCTCCCCTGGCTGTCCTTCCTCAGGTCTGAATCTACACTCTGTTCATTTGTGCTTATGATGGCAGGCAGACACAGAGAGGTGTTCAGCGTAGGCCGGTTCCGGCAGAGCAAAGTGGGGCAAATTTGCTCCATTTTGTCACAGATCAAAGACTGAGGATGAAGGGCATGGGTGGTATATGCGTGTGTGGGAGTCCGACAGAGACTAAGAGGTTGTTTTTGAGTTTGTGTGTGGTCAGAAGTAGGAAAGATTTGAAGTGACTTACCTTCCCCAGTTTTAGAGGCGCCCAACTCCAAGTCATCCCGAGTGCCGCTGTGGGAGTTGAGATAGGTGGCAGGGACCCAACCCTGCTCCTCTGCTGTGCTGACAAACCACCAACCTGTGGAAGAACACAGAAGCTGAAGACCAACAGGACTGTATATGATGCTCAACAAACATCCCACAACAATTATTACACACATTTATACTATTATTATTGGCATTGAAGCCATATTATGGTTCTGTTTGTTGGTTTCTATAAATCTCTTATTTTCTGTATCTCCTTCAGTCCCACTTTTGCAGCTCATAGAGTTGCAGCAGATGACTGTCTACCATTGAGTCTGGTTCTGCCCAGGGATGCACCGATCCGCTGTCTTCACCTCTGATACCGATACAGATATCTACAGTTTAGTATTGGCCGATACCGATCCAATTCCGATACAGAAAAGCTGTGCTGAATTACCTTTTGTGGTCACTTGAAGTTTTACCACCGCCCCTCCCAACGTTTACTGTGCAGGTATTGCAAGTGGCCGTCGGATAAAGTTCAAGATAGCAGACCCCTTTGCTCGCTCCATTTTGAAAACAATGTGGGTATCCGCTCAGCATGTTTACTTGTGGATGCCACTCACAGCGCATATCATAGAGTTAGACTGAATAGATCGGCCCCTATGCATCGGGCCCAATGTCACGATACCCGATCCAGAATTTTCTTAAGTATCGGGGCTGCCCAAAGGTTTCTGCCAGCTAAAAGGAAGTTTTTCCCTTCATAGTTCCTAAATCCATTCCTATCGCAAAATCCTTGACCACAAGTGGGAAAATTGCTATAAACTCTCAGGATCTCTGAAGGTGGATTAGAGTCGAGTTCCTCTGCTATCTCAGAATAATATAATAAAACTGTCTAGATCTGCTCTTTTTGGAACATGTGCTGAGACACAATTGATTTAGAGGGACATAAATAAGGATTAATTGGTCATCTGTGCATAATGCAGCAATACTCGGTAGGTTTAGGCATAACTTTGAGGATAAAAGGTTTTAGATATTTATCACAGATTTTTGGTCCTGAGATAAGAAAAAATATCAACCCTGCTGATGTCATAGCACCTCATCTTACTTGGCTTTTCTCCCATCGTATCGGTTTAGTGCTTTTGAGCAGGGATGAGCTAAAAAATGGACATGAGCGTGAGAAAATGTGATCGTTCTATAATTACAATCAGTGCCTAAAAGATCAAAGAGAACGCCACCTGGCTGCGGCTCGGTTCGAGACGAATCAACCTGCATTTCATCAAGACAAGTCCGGTTTTCAGTGGCCAGGAAACTGCTGAAATGGATTTTCTGGCCAAAATATCCATTTGTGATGTCAAACCTGATTTGAATTGAATTTTCTCTCTGAACACCTCAGCTGGAAAGGTGCTCATGCAAAGAAATGTTTCACTCTAGAAAAGTCAGAGCAGCGATTCATTGTGTGAGATAAGCTATCCTGTCAAATGTAAAGTGCATATGTCCACTCACTTTATTACTTGTGTCAAATCTTTTCCACACAGATTTCACATATGTCATCCCACATTTGAGTGACCTCTCACCAAATCTCTACAAGAGCCCCGGGTGACAAACCTGGCACAAAAGCTGTTCTATGGTATTGCCATATGTAGGCTATTTGTTGTGGTAACAAGGATACAATATGGCTGACAGCTGTCTAGACAGCCCATAAAGAGGAGAAGAGTGTTCCATCACACTTCCACAGCTGGTCCAAGACACCCAGTGTACATTTTTTCCCTATATGGAAACGAAGTGATTTAGGAGTCCTGTGGTTGTACATAATTAATGAAAAGAAACAGGATGATGGAGTGTGATGGACACGAATGGAGAGAAGATGTATAACCCAATTAACAGTGCGGTTAAAGGATGAGGCAAAATGATGGTATGCTAATGCTGAAAAAAACATTGAAGACACCAGTATTAGGCAGTCATGATTCATCTGCACGGAGTGAAATATGATGTAATTAAACCCTCCGTTTTGCAGTCATGCATCTCAATTAGACAGGCGGCAATTACAGTCTGCTATAAATGAGGAGATCCTAACTGGTGTTTAAAGGGGACACGAAAGTATACAAGGAGGCTATTTGCATAAATATTTTAAGAATGTTTTATTTTATAATGTTGGTGTTAGGGATCTGCACCTGTCTAAGCTAGAGTGCAACCACCTGCTAGCCTTAGTTGTAGCTCTCATTAATGGCTGATACTATAATGCTTATGATGCTTTTTGATGTGAATGTAAACAAGCACAGATGATGGCTGGTGTCTCATAGTGTGGTGTGGTTTGATAGTATTTTGATCAAGAACATGGTGATAAAGTTGTATGCAGGTTGTGCTGCAACATAAACTGCTGCAATGTTTTGGAAGTACAGGTATGTGAACGTTAACCTGCAAGGAGGATGAATACTAGTGGTTTTAAGTCTGTATGAGGCACACAAGGAAAACCAATTCAACAACAGGGACTCTGTGTTACGCTGTGCAAAATAAATTGGGCTCATTTTGGACAGTTGTCGACTGTTCTCTTAACCTTTTTACGTGCTGGATGATCTGAATGTAATATTTTATTCAAATAACTGAGTAAATATGTTTCAAAACACTCAGTTTGTGCCGTGACACTATTTTATAAAGTCAGCAAAAGTTTGACAATTCCATTTCAAATTATTTCCCATCAGGTGGACGATGATATTAGGGGTGGGAGAAAAAATTAATTCACAGAAGTATCACAGTTTTTTGTTTTACAATTTTTAAACTGATTTTTATGTTAAAAAAATCTTTTTTTTTTCTTCAAATTTGAGAATAAATCTTAAAAACTGACTTTCATGTGATGTGTATTTTTGGGGGAAATATGGTTCTTGGAATAGTCAGTAGACAATCATAATCATTCAACTGTTTCACTGATGTTAAAAATGTAGACTAAAAATAGAGAAAATCGTCAATAGAGTAGAATCGTAATTTAAATCGAATCTGCGTCCAAAAAATCGTAGAAAAAACGAATCAAGAGAAAAGCATATCATCCCAGCCCTACATGATATCCTTCAATCATTCCTCTACCCTTCTGATGTCACACTCAACAGAATCACGGCTTTTATAACAATCCAGGATGGACCATGATTTTTTTTTTTTTTGTTTGTTTATTTGTTTTAATAGCTGTTTCTTACCATTCAGTATTAATGCATGTTATAACCTATTAAAATCTATTTAAAGTGTTAATAGCAGAAGTGTGCTTTAAATGCCCGTCCCTGGAGAGAAACACCAGACATGAAAATGTTCACATCACTTTATAAAAGCCTAATTATTGTTTAATGTTGGCAAACCTGACTTTTTAATGATTAACGTAACATAAGTGAATTTCCACATGCCCATGTGCTCACCCGATTAAAAAGGACCTCTGCGGATATCCTGCTGACAGACTAAACAAAATAAACGACTTGAAGGAGAAACTCTGTCAAGGCCTTTCAACCAATCACTGAGATCCATGTAAGTGATGATTTATTAAATTAATCAACTTGCTGAGCTGCAAGACAGAAATCACCATCAGCTGTGCGGTGGGTTATTTTGTATTGTCTGGGTGGGTCCAGTTTGAGGTATGCTGTTATTGTTTGGCTCTGAGCTACATACTGGTTTTGGCTTTGGTATGACACAAACTATGTAATGTACCAAGTCTTTGCACACCAAACCAATGGATGAAAGAAAACCTCATCCCTATAAATCAGATAGACCAGTGAGAAACAAAGAACATAAATAGGGGACTTCAAAGCTTGTGTTCAGATCTGAGTAAATCTCATTACACTGATGCATGTTTGATGTGTTCATTGGGCTTAACTTGTGTAATATTTCCTTTAGTCATTGAAACATTAAAAAAATGTAATGTACAAGGTTAACTGGCAAGAGCAACATCAGCTACATTAATGGTACATGAAATTAAACTGACCGTTGCGAAATGAGGTCAGCTCAGCAGAAGGAAAAAGACCTGAATCATCTCAATCTAAAAAGAGCTTACATCTGGAAATTAACATTTTTCACCATGACACTTCAGCTTTGAGAAAATGTCATTTTCACTTCAGCAACCCTCCGCTTATAGAAATGTAAGCAAATATAAGAGTAAGGAGACCAGAGTGTAGTTTAATTGCAAGCACTTGGCTGTAAGTCTGAATATACATACTCAGCAAAGACTTATAGTCATTTTAATAGTGCCTGAGTAAATATACAGTGTTATTGATGGCCAGGTCTGCCCGGCCTGTTTTTTCAGCCATTCTTGCATATGGCAGGTGCTTTGGCTGAAGTCACTGGACCTCAAAAGAGGCAGTAAAATCACCTTTAAAAACATTACACAAGTGCTGATTTCCCCAACCATGCAGGTTGTTTACCAGACAAAAAACATCTATAAGCAGGGCCTGCTTCATGTCTGTCATCATGTTCAGTCGAAGAGTGATCTCAATTTAACCGAAATGACAAAAGCCAACATCTAGAGCATGTAGCTGTAAAAAGACAATCAGATTTCACCTTTACTCCTTCAAAATGTTCACATATTTTAACTCATGGTGCAGAAATCCTCTGGAATACCTCTCCAAAAGGGCTGGGAGGGGAACGTGATTCTTAACTTTTGGATATTTGACAGGCTTATCATTCGTACATTCGTCATAATGACAAAGATCTTAGGCTGAGGTCATTGCAAAAGAAAACAGCTGTTTTGTAGGGTTTGTGTTGCCAGAACAGCAACTCTGCTCAAAGTGAAAAGGTTAAAAGTGTTGTTGAGTCAGTCTTGAAGAGTGAATGAAGGTATTGATTTATCTGCTGAAAGGTAAAATTACAGATAATGGAAATTAGATTAGGAGAAAAATGTGTTCCCTCCAGCTTGATTCCTGATGGCAGGGATTATCTGTACTGATGTGGGAGGAACAAAAGTGAAGGGAGCGTACTCTATGTCAGAAAGCATGTGTGTGATTGTGTGTAGGTGGGTGTGTTAGTATGAGAACATATGTATCTATGCATTCATCAGATTTGATCCCTCCTTGGTTCAATAAGTGCAGGCTTACAAAAACACATTTGCCTTTTTTTTCTTTTTGCTCTTATCCACTCATAGTTTTTGATCAGTTTGCATCACACGCCTTGCTATCCACCCAAGAAAAAGTAAGAAATCCTGGAAAGCTGCAGTAATTTCAACCACGACGGGGAAAACCAGAAAAAAAAGCCAAATGCTGACTGGCAATACACTTCACATTATTTAGTGTTACGACCAGAGCTACTTAGTCAACATCCTGAGTAAATCATAAAGCTTAAAAAACGTTTAAACAGAGAATAGTTTAGTAATTACCACCATTTTGAGGTCAGCGGTTACATAAGACAAAGGCGAAACCCACAACCCTCTGGTGGAGCCCTCACATAACGCCATCACACTGTAGCATCATAACCACACACATCAACCTCAAATGTCACAGTCTCTGACAGAAAGAAACCAAACAGTCTATTGTTACACAAATGACATCATGAAAAACTGAATATTTGGAGCAGGAAAACTGTGGCTGAGTGTACGCCTCTGTGAAAGACAGTGTATGACTGTGAACTCTTCAAGTTATTAGTTTGTTTTCAATCTTTTCTAAATTGAAAAAAAAAAAAAACATGTCAAAATAATTCAGACAGTGTGAAATAAACAGATCCAATATCAGAGCAAATCTCTGCAATTTATGAAATAAGCTCTTTCTTTTCCTTGCAAAAGTAAGATCTGAGGTCTCTATAAAATCTGGGCATCGGACCCCCTTTTAAAAAAAAATGGAAAATGGCATCAAAAAAAGCATGCAGCTGGCTTTCCTATGCAAAGCCAAAGCATGCTGGGTTATATAGCACTGCAGACCAAGCTGGCGGCACCACTTTTCACAACTTCTCTCCTTCATTAGTTTATAGCGTGCATTTAAGAACAGGATTGTGTGCTTTTGAGTAAATGAACCTCCTGGAGTGCTGGTGTGATTGAAAAACTCTCAGAGACCAGCAGACGGCAACAGCTCAACAAGTTTCTGCAAATTGCTCAGATGCAGTGGGTCCATTCTTTACAACTATTAAAACTACCAAGCGCAGGGGACTGGTAGCTTTACGGACTGCAAGCCCCACATGGAAAAAACAGACAGCACTAGAAGAGCTGCACACCTGCACAGAAACTGAAGATCATGGTCAACCAAACCCGTTAACATCATCACCCTCGTCAGTCCACACCAGAATTACCAGTCAGTTAAATGAGTTATACTTTTATTATCTAAAGCCTGAACAGCTGGTCTTATGCTGTGTTCCAGCTGTACTCGGAAATCGGGATTTCCGAGCTCTGAGTCAGAAAATTCATCTGGAACGCCCCCCTGAAGTCGGATTCCCGACTCGAAAAATCGGACGATCCAACCTCGACTTGACGACAACGTCATATTTCAAGATGGCAGCGCAGTGCATCAACAGTAAAGCTCTTGTAATGTATTATTTATTATCACTAATGTCTTGTTTTAATAAATTAAATAAGTGATATATGTTGTGCTGCCCAATGTCTAACTATGAACACGGTGCTATGGTGTAAAATATGGAGTAAAATACTGTGTTGTGCTTTGTTTACAACTGGTATAGCTAACAACAACTAACAACAGCTCACAACAGCTCACAACCGCGAAGAACAACTGACAATGGCTAATGACAGCTGAAAATACATTGCTAATAATTCTCTCCTACTTGGATGTACAGGAGCTACTATGATAAATGGCGTCTCAAAGCGCTGAGCCGTTCAACATTATTTTCATCGGGAATATGATGATACAGTTGTAAGTGGTCCGCCTGAATTGGCATGTAACCTCTCAACCAGTGTGTTATGTAACCATTACATACTCTCCATATTTAGGTTTAAAATAGATTTAGCTCAAGTTCAATAGTTTTTCTCTCTTTCAACTATCCAGTTAGTTGGACTTTAAATTTCTGTCTACACAAGTAACTGCTTTGAAACATCCCTAATCGTCAAACCAGAGGAAGTGTTCGCCTTTTTCCCATTGAGAGACCCTAAAAAAACAGACTGCGTCTTTCATGGTGGTGCTACTGATATCCTATGTGAAGTTTGGTAATAACCACATCTGTCTGTATACGGAGATAAAGACTACAGCCTTAAGATGTAAATTTATAGACAAACACAAAAGCAGCTGTATTTTTGCACTTTTGGCAAAAGAAATACTAGCTGTTGCCTTCTGTTTTCAGTCTTTGTGCTTAAGCTCTGCAAACTGATGACTGAAACAGATATGTGAGTGTTATCTACCTTGTCTTATAACTCTCCGCCAAAATAAAGTAATCATTTCCCCAGAAATGTAATCCAATCCTTCATCCAGCTCTGAGTTATATATTTTAGAAACAAACTGATTCTGTAATGAAGAAATCAACACCGGTTATTCAAGTTTTAGATCTGCAGCAATCTGAAGACTCCAGATGGAAAAAATTTCTACTAAGACAGATATTTCACATGTAAACAGATGCCTGCTGGAAACTTTTGATGGAGTTCTTCTTATAGTCTCACTTAACCTGTATTTACCCCTGTGGGTGCAGACACAGTGGACAGATGTATGATGAGGCTGAGCAGCGTTTCTGAGCTCTTTGTGTCTCTCATACACTATCTGCCATCTGGAAACTCTATCAACTTTAAGAGCTGTGTCTCTTTTTTACTGTAATCAACCACAGATTCTCGGCTGCAACAAGACACTAGATTTATGCCTTTTGGGTTTTTTCCTAAAGTGACTGGATAACCTATAAAACTATAATTCTGCAATCCATGCATGCAGTCAATCAAGTTTGAATGTATGCAATGGCATCCATAGGATATTGTGACACATCTGCATTGCTCAATGTCCAACTCATCCCTACACATTTATCATCAAGAGTAATAGGCCCTCAAGTGTACTGAGGTACAAAATTGGTGTTGTTTCAGTGTTGGAGTCACTCTGTAATTCTGTTCCCTACATCCAGCATGAATATGAGAACCACAGTTCAGCAGCACAAGGAAAACTTTTTTTTTTTTTCTCGTCTTGAAACGATGAGGAATGCGGTGGCTCAGCAGTCCTGCAGACATCCGACACCACTGTTGAGTGCAGCAAGAGAAAACCCCATTCATTTCCAGCTTCTGTATTCGTATAACAGTGGATCCAGTATCAAAGCACAAGGGGGTAGGTATCCAGTCCAATACACACACTTCCAGTTTTCATAAAAGCACTGGGTTTCAATTACACGAGTGGGTCTAGTAAGAGGGGGGTGTGGGGGCTGAAAACGGCACAAGACGACTTTCAAGAGCTGATGTTGACCTAAGGAACAACCCCGTCTCCCTCCCAGCCTCTGAATGGATCCCCTCATGGTTTAAGCGAAGCAGTGTAGCCCACGGTTGGTGTGCTCTCTAAGCTCTACTGATCTGGAAACACAGCAGTCCTTGAGTGTCTGCAAGCCCACCCGTTCAAATACAGCTAAAGCTCAATGGTCAATTCTTAAGTGTATAAGACAGAGAGGCACCTATTTGGCTTGAGAGGCCTGATTTCTGAACATAAAACATCGCCTGTGTTGCTCTGCGACAAATTGCAAGACAATGTGGCAGTAGAACTGAAAGCCTAAGAGCGAATTACAAACCTCCAATTTAAGTTTCCATATCCTAAAATACAGGATAAGGTTATATGCTTGAGACGTTCATTAGTACTTCCTATGGTAAGCTGAAAGAATGCGGAGGATGGGGATTACTACGAGTGGATAATGTGTCTTCCATCTGCTGTTGCACCACTTCAGCTTAAAAAAAGACCTTTAACTCTTGGAAGGTTTTCTGTATCATGTCTTTTGTGGTTCATCAACAAGAATTATGGTTTTTTTCCTCGTTTTACAAGGAAACATGTTCTTGCTGAAACTGCAAATACCAAATCGGGAAGCTGTAAGATTGAGCCCTTACAGCGATGGAAGCTCAACAGTGACCTTGTCTTAAATCCTCCTGAACATCAGTAAAACTCTTGGCCAGTATATACACCATGCTGGAAGGAGCTGCAGTTGCTAAAATCTGCAAAGTAATTCAGTCCTCTTTTTTTTACTAGCGAGGTATCATGGGAACACACCTTTAAGTACCGTTTTCCAGGTATAGAGGAACCTCGAAGTGTGGCCAATAGCTGTTGAAACCCTGGGTGTTCTGTAACTTCCTAGTCCAGATACAGCTGATACACAGCTTAACCTGCATTTTAATGATCGACATACTGCCACACTGCACTACACAACAAGATATCGTCTATCATCTGCGCTTGTTTACATCCAAGTAGAAATTTAGTATAAAAGCAGGAACACAAAATGTCATAATCTGCTCATTAAAAAAATAAAATAACTTGAATTTTCAGGTGTCTTTTTTTCATCTTGGAATTGATCCAGAACCCTAGATCCAAGCAGAAGATGGTACCCCAGGCAATGGCAGTGTGGTTTAAAAGATATGTAAGCATTCTTGGTGCATACACTGATTGCTGGTTGCTTTTAAAGTTGATGGTGGCATAGGGCTGGGCGATATGGCCTCAAATCAATATCACGATATGATATCAAGCAGTTCACCTTGACAATGATAAATGGACAATAACTACTCCACAAGCTGCTCACCCCCTCCCACATTAACTTCGTCTACTTCGGCCGCTACAACTTTTGAACCGTCCTCCATCCCCTCACCTGTTTTTCCCTCTTTGTTATGGACTGGATGTGGTGGAGTTATGTCTCTGACGTAGGACAGCGTCTTTAAGGGACATGAGACCGTAGCCTACCTACACACATCCAAAACCAACTTTTATTTTATTTTTTATTTTTGACACCGAATGTATTGACATGGGCAAAATGACATCAGTTATTGTCGTCAATTTTGGTATCTGTAAATTTTCGGTTTATCGCCCAGCCCTATGCTGGCACCTTACTTTTTTGTTTATCACCACACAATAATTCACCTGATACTACCTCATTTTAGGCTGTGTAGGGAAATGATACTGATGTCATATTGGGAACATCTTTGTTAGGCTACTCTCTTTCAGTTCTCTGGATCTGTAACTTTTGCAGTATTTTATAGACTACTTTGACAAGTTTGATAAATTGAGGCAGTTTGATATGCCCTTGAAATTCACTCGTTTTCAGGAAAACTCAAAGATCCTGCTGAGCTGAGCCCTGAAGAGAGACAGCAAAAATATAATTATATTGGTACAATTTTGCCTTATGGAGGAAAAGATGATATTCTGCACATCCATCATGCCATGCCAGAGGCCAGGCCTGCTTAATCTGCCATGACACAACTCCAGCAGTCTCTGTGGGACCTCAGCCAGGCAGCTGAACATCACCCATGGGATACCCCTCTCACCTTCAAGCTCTATATTTAAGATTTGTCAAGCTTCGAAATATTACTGTTTTCAAGGAAAAGGGCAAGTCCATACAGATAAGATTGCTGCCGTGATAAGTAATCCTTCAGGCTCTTCCTGAAATTTACCCTTCCACTCCACCCTGCTCATGGGAGCTTGGTGGAATGGTAGAGATGCACTGCAAATGGGTGGTGCCATGGGGTCTTCAGGGAGTTGGAAGGACCTGACGAATGCAAGCTGGTTTCTCAAGAACAGACAAGCACTCCTGGATTTCATTTAGCAAACTGTAAATAAGAGACACTGACCTGGACTTGGAACGGTGACAAGTTTAACCCTCACTGGTCCACTGAGAGAGATTTTCTACACAAGACTGGGCATGACACCTTTAACAGTGTCCTTGAGGTGGAGGCAGCTACAGTAAGTACAATATTTCCAGAAGTGACTGCAAATTATTTCTCCTCTTCCGGCATACTGCTTTATTAAAGGGCAAAGTTTAAACCGCCCCATGCAGAGCATTCACACTGACCGTCAAGGCTGTTAGCTTAGCTTTGGTTAACGTCTGTCCAATATAGTGTAAACTGAGGAGGCATCCTGGAGGATCCATTAAGTCATTATAATGAACCAACCTCTCTGAACCACTCACTCTGGCAGGAAATGTCTTTTTCCATTTTCTCCCTGAGTTTCTCTCCCTGCACTTCTCTCTCTCTCTCTCTCCTCCTGAGCCAGCATCTCTGCTTGGCAAAGTCTCATAAAAAAGGAAAATAAAATAGCTGCAGAAGGAGTGAGGACAACATTAATAATTGGAAGATGATTTTTTGTTTTTGTTAATACTTCAATGTAACATGTGCAACTTTTCCAATAACTCATTTGGATTTTTAAAAGGTCTTAGCAAAATACCAACGTCTGATTTTTAAATGGCAAAACCAACATCAAGGGCTCATTGACTGATTGGTTGTTGATTTACCACATCCTACGCTTTCTTTAAACCCAACAAACCAGAAACCAATATAAACTACTGTACAAAACTGACACAAAGGACACGACACAGACTGTAACGTCGAGCTAGTGCAATGGAAAATACTGCTGCCGCTGGAGACAGCAGGCTGGAAAAGTAGAGAAAACTGAGCTCACTTATAGGTCTGACCTAGATTCACTGCCCTGTCAAAGGCATATATTATCTAATCCAAGGTAAGGAAAAGCTGAAAAACTGCAACTGGGAAGCAGTCACAGCCATAGTCTTTGGTACAGTAGGTTTAACAGCAGGACTCCGGTTTTAAGAGTACGCTGAATGGCAAATTAAACGCAGAGCTGTAGTTTCCATTTCTAGATCTGTCACTCTGATTCTCAACTAGCTTTGTGTGAAAAATAACAAGTAAAAACACAATTCTGATACAGAAAAGGATGGCAGTATGACAGATATTTTCCACTCAGTGCCTCCAAAAACTCTCTAAAGGACCCCATGGTGGGTTTTAACCGTGTTTGGCTTCAAATGAAAATATGCCACCATAGCTGGAAGCTCGATAAAAATCCATACAGTCATTTTATCATTACAAATGTAATAGACACCTTTTAGTACCTCTAACTCAGCACATTCACTGCGCGGCTGCATAAGAAACAGATCAGAGTGTCAGAACCATTAAAGGGTTTCTACTAATCCTGCAAACAAACGGATGCTAAATCAAATGGGCTTTGAAATCTTCTTAGCATACACCTGGTCTTGTTAGCATTGGCAAAGGGATCAGGAGTGATGTCACCCAGCCAAATGGGGCAGATTTAGCCCGACTTCCTTTGCGAGACAAGTTGAGTTTTCAGTTCAATGCAAGCTGTGCTGCTGGAAACAGTCTCCAAAGCATAAGGTAGGGAGAGGGGCGGGGGCTTATTTACCTCAGATCTCTGTGAAATTGTCCGTCAGTGTATAATAAAACTGTCAAATCGCCTTAAGACGTGTTTTAAGAAGCCTGGAGTCTGCTGCTTTTGCTTTTGAAGCACATGACAAATCGAACCAAACTTGAGAAGAATGAATGAGGTTGAGTGGAAGAGGCAACAAAATATGTGCTGCATCAGAGGATGAGAGGATGAAACAAAGCAATACTTTTTATGGAAATCTGGCTACAGCAATAACACAGAAGCCTGGAAATCATAAATCTGCAATAAGGTGAGTACAGTGTTTGAGTTTTGCATTCTGCATAGATCATCAGTGCACAGCAATCTGCAAGGAGGTCAGCTGAAACAAGTAAGGAAGGGGCCTCAACTTAAAAGCAGAGAACCATGCAGTTGAAGTTCATGGAGGGAAGCTCTCATATAAGGCCCCCTCGATAAAAAGACTTCAAGGTGTTGGAGTATCCGCCTTACTACGGCTCCCCATCGGGCTGAAATCCTACTGGAGCAGGGAGTGAAAACAAATACGCCAACCCAAAAGCAGGACACGTGACACATCAAAGCGGTCCTGCTCTACAGACCCTCTTCCTTGAGGCCAGTGTGGCATGGCATTTCACTCACACCCATCATGAAACCCAAGTCAAGCCGCCTTCCTGGTCAACTGCTTCCTCCTCCATCTTTCCTTTCCCCATCCTCCCACTGAAGAACACATGAGTCCCATTACTGTTTTACTGTCTCAGCACGCCATCGCAGCTCAACATCAGAGTCCTGTTACTGGGCCTTACCTCTTATGTCACCTTCTATCCTTTGCATGATGAATTCCCTTCATAATGAAAGGTACTATTGCAGGTGCATAAATCTGGATGTCATCAATAGCATTCAGTTATAGTTTGTTTACCCAGAAATGCACATATCGTACTCCCAGTACGAAAATCTAACGGCTTGTAACCACAGTACAAGTTCATTTTCTTGTGTCCTGTCAAGCCGGAGTACACTTGAGCACATTTCAAAAAGAAAAGTAATGTTTTGTATCTCAGTAAATGTCTGAATTCTGTATTCTTTGTGTTTCCTTTCACTATCATTGGATGCAAATTCAGCACATTCCAATATTATCACGAGTTCCTGCCTAATGTTAAACTGATAGAGACTTCTTTAACATTTAATCCAGTTAAAGATCACTAGAACACATTCATGGCCCCCTCTGCTAAATCTTCCCAGAGGTTAAACAGCTGACTAAGGACTCTCTGCAGCTGGCATTTGTAAATGCGGCATGTCTTGCTGGCTTTCCATTAAAGTGAGGTGGAATAATTAATACGGGTCTGGAAGACATTCCTCTTGCTAGAGGCAACATTCTGGCCCTTAGCCTAAACCAACAGTGGGAAAAAACAGGGCTGACTTTGGGCCAAAGTGAGCCTCCAGATGGGGCTAAGTAACAGTTAGCGAGCTGTGGACAAAGGAGGTGAGAGGGGTGAGTGTGGGCAGCATGTTTGAAGATCTGTGTGTTTGTGTTTGACACACATATAACAACATGCAAGCTGCCTGTCTTCTGCTCAGCATGTCTTTGTTGTGCATTCGCTACGATTACTCACCGCTCTCGCTCTTCTCAATGACGTCCACCACCTCGCCTGCTTGAAGGCTGATTTCTGCAGGCTCTTGTTTCTCGTAGCTGGCCACCGCCACATACTGTTCCAGGAGCATGGGGTCCGAAGCATCCAGACCTGGAGTTGATGGGAAAAAACATGCTGTCAGCCAGCTGCCAGCCATAGGTCCACGAGAACGACTGCCGGGCACCCGTTGTGCCATAGGCCACTTTGTATGTACAGCTCAGCCAATCACAATATTCACAGGGCTCAGAGCATCTTCCTGAGAGTCTAGCCATAGAGCTGCATCCCCCTTCAGCCCAACAACACGGGCAATGGGAATCCTGAAGGTCTAGAAAAAGTATCTCCCTCCGAGTAGTGAAGGATCAAGCAGCCAAGTGCAGAAAATCCATTCTCTTTCACTGAGGGGGCCTCATCTTTTTTGTCCAACAAAGCTTGGACCGGGTCAGCAGATACAGGCAGGCACATGAACTTATTGGAAAGAAGAGGAGAAAGAAGAGAGAAGAAGGAGCTGTTGTAGTGACAGAAAAGTGAGCTGAAGCCAGCTGAGGACAGGACAGTAGAGTAGGAGAAAGAAATAGTTTCCCTTGGAAAATAAACCATCTGCTAAAAAGCCTCCTTCTCTTCAGTTGGGGCTGGAGCTAGAGGAAGAGTAGGGGGGTTGTGTACGCCAATCATAAGAGTCGGCACTGGAGGCCTTAAATAGAACCAGATGAAGGGGCTGGAGCTGCGCTCAGAGGGATGGCCCTCTGTCTCCATGAAACACTAGAACTCTGACTACAGCGTGCAGCCCGGCCAATGGAAACCTTCCTTTCTGAACTTCACTGAGTTAACCATATAAACACCAGCAGTGACTTAGTTCGTTCACTGTTTGTGCCTGCTTTAACCCGTGTTTGGTTCACTCTGCGGTAATATCCTCTTAAGACAGAGACAGACGATTTAATTAATGAGAAAAAACACAGAATGAAAAAAAAATAAAGCTGCATTAACTGAGTCCTAATTATGAAAGATTATTCAGACTTTATTGTCATTGTACAGCAAGTTACAACAAAATTAGCTTAGGATGCTCTTCCCAGTGTGCAACAAAAGCAATAAATATAAGAAAAATGAGTGCAAAAGCACACTGTATAAAAACAATAGATTCCTAAAACATGCACACTAATGGCTGAAGCAGATCTAACAGGCATCACCTGGAACCCAGACGAACTCCAGCTGACTCTCAGTTCACACATTAACGAGAGCTGCTGCTGCTGCTGCTGCTGCTGCTGACCACCGAGTTCAAAGCTCCCAACAGAAGGAAGCTACTGTCTGCACACTCGAGATGGTATCTGTTTATCCTGCAGCTACAACAAATAACCGTGTGTTTGAATTAACCGTCAGAGATCTGCAAACATATTAGAGAGCAGAATCTGCTTTTACACTCAGTAGTTAATAAAGAGGAAGAGAAAAGCAGAGAAGGCTCAAATAGAAATGTTATAAACACATTACTCAGCTTTTATCCACAGGATGGAAAGTAAGAAAAAAATCAGCAGCCAAATATAGTTGGAAGTTTTGAAGCTTAGATAAGAAATGACTGAGACAACTTGGATTAAGCTGTCGTTTCTCCAAAGAGCTGACCTGGCGACAGCACTTCAGACTGAAGGAGATTAACATTTCTCTATTGGAATCATACTTTTGCATTCAACTCTGGAGCTGCGTTCGAAATGTCAAGGAGCTCATAACTTACGAAGATGAACTCAGCACCATTAGCATCTTAAACGCTCAAACTGCCAGAGTGTGACACTGGATTACTGCGGTCGGGCTGTGGTTTATGAAGCTTCACGTTATTTCTGCAAGATGTTTTGTCAGACCGCAAAGCTGGGTGCATAAGGACTGGAAAGAACGGACTATTTCAATTCTGGGTATTGCCGTCTTGTTCTTCAAAGTCTTATGTGACAGCTATTGCTTTGGTAACAGCGGTGATACTTGTTTTGACACTATTCTTGGAAACTTGCGGTCGCGTGGTTTGTTTTAAGTCGTACATCAATTAAAGACGATCACTACACAATATTGGCTAAAGAGGAACAACAGATGACTCATGACATGTTTTTTGTAGATAATGAGTGATTAGTAATGAAAGGGAAAGCACTTAAAGCACTTAGCACTGTATCAGCACTGTAGCACTGTATCAGTTATGTAGGCTATTTGTTGGGTGCTTAATCATTTCACTCCAATCCAGAGTAAATATCATGATAAGCATGTTTCAATTTCTATTTTTCCTCAAATTTGTCAGTTATCACAAGTTTTCTATAAAGTACGGAGTCTTCAAATCAAGTTTTCAGCCTTCTCTTGCTTTATTGTCTTGGCTGGATCCAACGATTTATTCTGTGTTCTTATTTAAAGATAAATCCTGCCCATTTTTTGATTAATGACCGGTTGCAAGCCAAATTTTGCATGAATACGTGCGTCAGCCACAACTTTGCACAACACATTCGTCAACAATATAATTTGAAGGCAGGAGGACATAAAAGTCATGATTTCATAAAAACCATCAACTATGTCAAATGATGTAAACAGAGGTTTCTATAAGTCAGCATTAACTACTGCTGTGAGTGGACAGTAAATCTCAGACCTGTGGTGAGTGAGTAAAGACTTTGTCAGCAAAGTCAATAGTCCCTGAAAAACAAAAGCAAATATTTCAGCCTCATTCAGGAAATGAAATGTTTTGCAACAGCGGGAAGACAGAGCCAGAACAAGAAGAACATGTGAGAAAATACGATGTGAAACAGTCTCAGACTGGACAGGACCAATCCAATTTAACTTCCTGTACGGAGAGCAGAGAGTAAAATGAGCTTTACAGATGACATTGTGCAAAACACGACTTTAATAATATGCATCAGGGCAGGATAATTAAAACACTCTAATCAGCCTCTACCTGGAAAAGGGTCATTTCAAAACTAGTGCCATTTGCTAGCAGGGATGGTCTTCATTAACATTAAAGTTTGAGAACAATTTTGCTATTTTGGAAATACATAAAGTGGTTTATGAATAACAGAAGTTTAAGAGCATGTCCACAACAGAGACAGTAAAAGGAAAGCATCTGAAAACTACTGACAGGCTGGCACAAACACTCAGATAGCTGGCTAGTGATGGCTTAAAACAATGCCCAAAGCTTATTGGCTTAAAAAAGTAAACAAGAAGGGAAATTGTATTATATGTGTCTAAGAGCAAAGGGTGAAATGTGTAAAGAGGTAGCTCATGAGGAAATGGTTTTAAGCAAGTTTAGGATTTGAACATTTTAAGCTAGCAGTTACTGCTTAAAGATGGTGTGGGCAGGAATCCATTACAGAAGCCTTTTTTTTGTGGTATATGTACAAAAAAGCTTTTAATGTCAGTCAATAGCTGTTAGTCATTGATGACATTTGGTAATATAACGATATCGCTGTTTTTTATTTCTGTGTAGTTAACAATTTAAATATTTTGAGCGCTCCACTCTTTCTGACTGTAAACAAAGCCGTTCTCTGACCTTTCCCAATCTGATTGGTTGTGAGGAGGACACTGCTCCTTAGTGCAGACGCTGCTCCCCCGTGTCGTTCACGAGCCCAAACAAAGTTAGCGTGCTACAACATTGGACAGTAAAAACCAACCAGAAAGTGCGGACAATTGTCTGAATCCTCCTTTAGCCACGACTGCCGACACAAGCAAGAAACTGAGGTAAATACCGGAGACTCTAGCAGAATAACAGGCGCTTAAAAAGGAGGTAGACCGGACAAGAGCTAAAAAAGCCGGGTCAACAATGATGGGGGACGCTTCGGGATCTTACCGAACCTGTAACCTTTCTGTTGGACAGGTAAACCACTTTTACAAAGTCAGCAAAGTGTAACCTAAGTGTTTCCTGTTGACTGGGCCCGTTTAGTAATTATCTGAAGTTTTTATCTCCATTTGTATCTGAATTTAATTGAAACAATACGAGCGAGTAGGAGTGTCTTTTTGTGGGCGGGGCTGGAGCAGAGAGGGAGGGGAGAGGAGGAGCTGAGGGGAAAACTGGTTGGGAGGGGTAGTGTTTACATTCAAGATATCTCCCCAAAACTTGCACTTCCTCAGATCCTGCCTACCTCATCTTCAACTCAAATAGTGGTTCAAAAGCTGTCTTTGCCCTAAAATGTTGCTCAGATTCCATAACATGGACAAAAGTTGTAAAAATACCTCTTTTTATAAGTCTACAGAAAAAAATATATATATTGCATGACCCTAGATTTGCTTTATTTAATGAAACTGTGGAATGCAGTGGGTGGCGTTCATGTAGGGGTACTTTAGTTCTTGATAACTGTAAACACAGTAGTGTCAGCATATATGTGGGTTTACGTCTGTGTCACACCACTGTATAGATCTTAAGTACATACAGTTTTGAAAAGAGCTGTATTTTATCGTTTGCTTCCCTCAGATAGCCCTATTAGCCACTTTCTGTGTTTATATCTCTCCTCACTCGGATTTATACATGAGCTTCCTGCTCCCACCCTTGTACTCCCAAGTGTCCTAACTCCATCCAACACCCGCCCCCAGCCCCACTCGCCCATCATCAGCTCCATCCAAGGATGATGACAGTTAGGAACTGCTGCAATAATTCATCACCAAGAGGAGGAAACCAGGGAGTCCGTGTCTACCCGTTCAAACGTAGGAATTCTTCTTTGTGAGGGATTTTTCATGATTGAGCATTTTTGTTGATAGCATATTTGGCACAGGGCTGAACATCTTGTAGTGCCATATTTTCAACCCCGGGGTAACTTAATGGGAGAAGAAATGGGTTGAGAGGAGTAAAATTTGGCAGAGTGAGATGCCTTTGTTTGGCTCATCAGCAGCAGATGTTCAGTTGGATTAGAAAAGGACACAGGACTGCTGTTCAATGTTGTACAGATGTGCATGTCATTGAATCAGTATGTGGCCCTGGGGGAGAAGGGGCAGACCACAAACAAATAGAGAAACTTTCCTCAAAATCCTCTTAAGATGGACTCCACAAGGGTGTTAAAAACTGTTGTGCATCTTTCTGATGCTTTTCTGCGAATCCTCTTAGTATTATATGTCAAGACCGGAGTGTAAGTGTCATGATCTAAAGAAACCCTAATTTTTTACATGCATGTTTGTTTTTGATCCGTCTGCTTTACTGGCCTGGTTGCTACAGCCACAAACTGTCAATGAGAGAAATGCACAAACAATCCAGAGAGTTTTATCGTGGGCTGTGCTTGAATGTGCTTAAGCAACTTTGCACACATGCACATTAAATAAGGAGCTTCTTGTAAAAACCTTTCTGCATTGTAAATCCACAGGGTGCCTTAAAGTTCAGTAGTTATGTTGCACTGCATGTAGCTGATTGAGAGGTTTCCAAAAACTCTGAATCAGAGTGCTAATTAAGCAAGAGGGACTTCAAACCAGTCCTCCACTTCATCACTTCATCAGGTTTTCCAGTAGAAACCCCGACAGCTTTAACACCTATCAATGCATATGCACAGAATATAGAAACTGCAAGCAACAACGTCGTTTATCCATTTTCAAAGGCAGACCATCCAAGATTACAAACAAGCATTTATGACTTGAATAGTTACGTAATGTTTCCTGGCTACAAAACTGTGTTTTTTGCCAAGAGTTCAAGCTTTGCCTCCAGGGTGGAAGTCCACCATGACAAATGGTCACTTATCAGAAACAGAACTGCCTGTGCTGCATCTGCACTAATCTGGAGGAGGGGGCAGAGCTTCTCTCCTACAGGACTCGGAGGTAACTTGGGGGAAATAAAATGACATTTCTCAGCTCATGTTCGAGGTGTATCCCTAAAATAAAAAGCAGTATCCATGAAATTGAACAGCTTCTACCGGTCAAATGGATCTTTTCATTTAGATTCAACCTACAAAATGAAACTCGCAGCTTCTGTAAGGGACATTGTGCACTGGTCTGGAGGAGGGGGGAGTGGTGCTGTTCATTGAAAAGACGCTGCTGAAACAGTGTCCGCTTGTTAAAGTGATTAGGAAGTCCTCATTTGCCTTAATGATTTCCTATGCCAGTTTAAAATCTTATCCATCAACAAATACAAACAAACACGGACCCCTTGAGCTCACCCGCCCTCTTACTTGCGAACACATTAACCCTTTTCCTCCAAACAAGCATGCTCACACAGACCCTCAAATGGCACGGAAACACCCACATAAGACACAACCTCATGCACACATACACACCCTGCAGGCCCCCCGAGACCCGCAGCTCAAATAAAGACAGCAAGTCTGCACACATAAACACACTCCCTCAGTCCATGCACAACACTGAAATGGTTTCCACTTGCCACGTAAACCATCTCTCCTCTCCAGCTGCTTTTCACATGCACTACACTGATTGTTTCTTTTCTCCTCTTCTAGACTTCTATCTGTCTCATCTCACTTTCTTTTTTAAATACAGATTATCACTAATGCTTAGATGATGATCTAAATCTCATGAACATCCCCCGACGTAAGGCACAGCTTATTGGAAAATCTAAGTTAATTTGAATTTTAAGATTGTTTTCCTTTATCTATCGAGCAGTTTCGCTTGTCTTTCTCTCCTGAGTGTGGATAAAGTATTATGTATTTCATCATCCTGGAAGTATCGTGTCATAAAGATGTTTCCTGAGGATTTGGTCCAAGTTATCTGACAGTGATTTATGCTTATGAGCCCAGTATCAGGAGTCAGTCCTGACAAATCTATTAGATGTCTGTGTCTAAACCTTATCTTGATGAAGACTGGGCCTTGGTTTAAGCTGCTTTATCTTCAAACTGTTGGGCTTTTGAGGTTGAAGCCACAGTTGAAGGGGGATAATAAAGACACAGGCCGAAATGCCACCACCCTCAAAGAGATAGTTTAGGTATTTTAAAGTAGGGCTGTATGAGGTATTCAAATATGCACATATACTTCGCCTTGACATAAGCAGCTCTACATATTTAACCACACAAAATCACCTTTCCTCCACAGGCTTTCATCCCTTTATCTTACAAATAACTCTAAGAACCAAAGTTAAACTGAGACAAAAAGGAGACATGTCCTCATTAAAGATGAAACCAGAACTGATAGGTAATCTGATGTCTCCTGCCTGCCAGGTAAGCGGAGCTCCTCATTATTACCTCTAACCACAGTTAGCAGTTTTGCGGTGCAGGGCTACATTCTCCTTAGGGCAGGGGCTCAGTGTACCCTTATGGGAGAGACTTGTACCATGTAATTATGGAAACCATAAGCTGCAGCTACAGCACAAATTCCCACAACACTTTATCTGCTGTCCGGCTCTCTGAAAGAGAAAGATCAATCTTTCAGCAGCCCTAACCACTAATGTCCAGCGTGGGGACCGTAGGGAAGGTTTACAGATCAAGTATGAGGGCTTGTACAGTTTGTGCTCTGTGCTGACTGTAAAGCGTACCGTAGATCATCATAAGCATTGAACATAAATAGTGTGATAATTGTTTGCATTGGTGGACTTCATCCCTTTAAATGACACATTGAAAGCACAGACTTATAAAGACATTTTGACGACTATATGTCTGATTGAATATTTAAGTCATCCAGGTTGCAGACTCTATACGTGTGCATAAAAGCAGCAGGCATATATGACAAACTTTCCAGGCAGTGGATATGAATATAGCTGGACCTCAATCTAATATCTTACACAGACTGAATTTAAGCTACTAGACACAGATTCACAGCTGAAAAAGGAACACTTTTCCATTTCGCTATGTATCTGGAATTCCTTGTTACGTAAACTCCCAATACCATGGAGCGCATAATGAAATTAGGTAGGGGTCTTATTTCGTTTTGTGGCAACTCCGGCACAGCTTTTCCTCTGAGTTGATCGCCCACAGAAAATTAACTTATGGGTCATTTATTGCCCAGCGATGTCATACATAACTGTGGCAGATTGCAGGAAGGATGGCCAAAGCAGCTTTGCATCTGATTGCAGCACTGAGGTGTCATTTAGTAATGCATGTGGGTATTCTGAGATTGCACGCACACACAAATACACAACACTCGCACAGCTGTTCGCTGAACTCCTCTCATACTTTTCCTGCTGCCTCCTACGCCTGTATCCCCCATGCTCAGCTGAGTCACTCAGTCTTCCTGTCTTCTGTGCACTCTCTCACATACATGAATATAAATTCGACATCCAAACCTGGCAGAGGAAGTACAGAACACAGAGGTACAAACATGCGGTCCTGACAGCTCCGGTTCAGAGCAATTTTAATGTAGTGTACACATGACAGGTCAGGATAAGTGTATTAAGAAGCCATTCTCCAGAAAAACACTACAGCAATGTAGCGTAACTTATTTTTTACTCAAAATTGATGAGTTTTGACGAATAATGAGGAATTAAATACATTATCTTTTTCATCCTGTGCCAGGTTTTATGAAAGTAGTCACTCTGTATTCCTCAGCTCTTGAGGGAACACTGCCAAATTGTTTTTTCGTTAAACAACAGTCCAAAATAAAAAGATATTGATTGTAAAATGTTGTAAAACAAAGACGAAGGGAAAATCTATTCCTTTCAACAGCCTGAAACTGTAATTTTCTTGATAACTTATGCTTGAAAAATGATAAGCAAGTCAAAATAGTTGCTGTGGCATTATGCGACTACAAAAGGCTTCAAACAACAACTTTTTGAACAAGCCTCAGACAGTAAAATCATTAAAACTTCAAAGTGAAAACACCTCGATGTCAAGACTGTGATATTTTAGATTAATTCTAAAAACAAAGACTCAACAGATTTTTTACAAAAAGGTGAAAAGGTTGCTGATTCTTACCTGACTTGCGTTTGCCAGATCCGCCGCAGTCTCTGGAAAAGAAGCAACACCAGAAAATCATGGTGAGTATGAGTGTGTTTCTAGGAGAGGTCAGAGCTTTAATGCCATTTGATCAATCCAGATAGTAGTCAAAGTCTCAAATCACTACGGGACCAATCCAAAATAAAGTTGGCACATGAGTACCAGCCAAACCCACGCTGAGAATGTACCCTGAACTTGACCCACTACCACAGGGAGGGAGGGGATAGTGGGTAGGGGGGACAGGGTGGGATACAACAAACGGATAAGGAAGTGTGTCAAGGACATTAATGAAACAAATCACCAGATCTGTGAGCAAAAATACTCCAAGTGTGTTTGAATGTGCTCAGATGTTTGAACATTAGAGTCCCACAGCTGCCTCAGTTTCACAGAACAAGCACTGATTTACTCGACAACAGTATCGTCCCCCCTTCATGAGTCCCATTCATGTTAAGATGTAAAAGCATGTCTGTTCTAAAGTCTGGACTGTAACAAAACACTAAAAGGATAAGCTTTACTATCAATGATCCCGCTCACCATTGTCAGCGAACAGCTATGTGCCACTGAATGGGTTTAAATTTACTGTAGAGTTTGTCTGCGAGCTTCCTGTTTCTGTTGAGGGTGGATCATTTGCATATTAGTGAATCTATTTGTTGGATCTATTCATCCAGATGAAATATTAAGCTGTTATTTTAATATGACAGAAATTAAAGAAACAAACACCCAATAGTTCAGTGAACTCAGAATAAATACATTTTAATTTGTTTATTAAAATGTTGTCAGTTCAATTTCCAAGGTCATGTTTCATTTGATGTAACGCGGGTACATGACTGATGATGCTTCACATAATTCTCTGTATTCATATGTCAGCTGTTTTCCTTTACTCAAGGGGGGAAGCTAACCCGTTATAATGATGTACAATGCTGTGTTCCAGATTTGCAAATCCTATAAACTAAAGGAATCTGACCGACTGAAAATCAAGAGGGACATGTGCCACAATTCAAGGTACAACAATGACTTTATCGACATATAAGGTACCAAATAAGCTCAATATACCAAATTCTCATCAGAATATGTCAGAGGAGATTTTGGTGTTGGAGATGTTTTGGGTCTGAACTTCAAGCAGTGGAAGCAAATGCTTATGTAAGCAAGACTTTTGAATGCTAACTTTCGCTGTTATAAAGCAGGAGCTAACCATTTGTCACCGATATTTTGGACTACTTTAACTATGACTTGAAGTAAAAAACAGTATATAACAGCCCTGATTTGTGCACTACAGTTGTTGTACCATACAGCACCAAATGTATGTTATTTAAACTCAAAAAATATGAAAGTGAACTATCTTGGCTTTATTGCTATCATGTCCAGTGTATTATGTATGGTTTCATGGGTTACACAGTGATATCGCCCCCTACTGTGGTACCTTTCTAGCTTCACTTATTTGTGTTTTTTCAGAGGTTGATTGATAAAAAGTAGCAATATCATACTGATTTGTTATGTTCACTTTCTGCTAAATTAATTGACAGTAGTGTAAAGTGACAATAATTCACCTCACTGTGAAGACAGAGGACTATAGCAGAAAATTACTTAATATATTTGGATACAGTCTCTCTGCATAATAGCGATGCAGTAACACTTTAAAACAGTAACATTTTGTTTCCTGTCACTGCATGTGGTTTTGTGTTTTTTATAATGCTGCACGTTTCAGGGAGTGTATGCTGACTGTATGTCGTCATCTAGAGAACTGAGAGAGAGAGAGAGAGAAAGAGAGAGAGAGAGAGAGAGAGAGAGAGAGAGAGAGAGAGAGAGAGAGAGAGAGAGTTTGACACAGATGTGAACAGACACCTGGCTCTCCAGAGAGGCCAGCAGCAGGACTGGAGCCAGTTATGGATATGAGTAGATGTTTGGATAAACCTTGTCCAACATTTGCCAGCTTACACCCTCTTCGTTGACTTTCACTCTTTAAGTAATTATGACATGAAATTCAAATGTTGTGCCATTTCTGAAGTGGATTTATGTGCACTACAGCAAAAGAGAAGATGTTTCGCATTTAGATGTACTTTAAAACAACAATAAAAATGTATAATGACATTGACAGTATAAAATCAAGATTACTCAGTGTCTGGCAGACATTATAACTCAGTTCAAACTGCAACAATTCTTGCTTAATCAAAACATTTTTTAACAATAACTGTATTCCTTTGTTACTTAGGATAAAGTCACTTTTGGCACAAGATCTCCTCTGTTTCCAGATGCTTGACCAAAAAACGAGCTATGAGACATTTCCAATCACAGATGTCCTAACTTAAAGCTTAGTTCAGCTTAGTTCAGCTTAATTAAAAGCCAAAATGATATACTTAATGTTGAAATAAAACAATAAATTCAACTGTAATTGCACTTTTAGATTGGACTGTAAGAACGTAAAAACAACATTTATATTGGATCTTGAAGCAATGCTCTCACTGTGGGAAAACAATTTGAAGCCCAATATGAATTTCATAACTTTCATATATGAAACGAGGAGGAGAAAACACAATAATGTTAAACATTTGTGGCAATCCAACACAAACAGTGTTGTAGCTGATTAAAAAAATAATGAAGGCTGAGCAGACGGTGAATAAAGTATCAACTTTAAATTCACAACTTTATGAGAGAAAACCAAATATGTGAGTTTTAGATTTGAAGAGTCAAAACATATCATATGCTGTGTGAACAGTTCACAGATTCTTGGGATGCAAAAGCGAGCAGGCTGAGTTCTTTAGGTAATGTAGCATAAACTTGCCATTAAACCACAGTTTGTGTATGCTAATGGTTTTTAACTCTGTTCACATCGAGTCAGGGTGAGGGGAAATCAAAGATGCATGTGAGAATTTCTCCAAGTAGTTTGTGGAACATTTATTTTGTCACATTCTGTTAGGGTGGAGGTATCAACGTGAGAAAAGCACTGTGGAGAGTTGGAGAGAAATGACGGGGATGAAGTAGATGCTTGACCTGCCCTGCTCGCTTGTGACCCAGAGCACAGAGCTGGAATAAACTCTTCCCTGGAGGAGCCTGAGCACAAAACTCCGGCCATGTCCTCCAAAAATCTTACAGATTAGGTGGAGGTAATGACATTGAACACAACTGAATGCGTTCCACCTGCAGTTTTGGGAGTAAATTTAAAATTAATTACACAAATTAGAGGTTAATCTTCACAATTCACGCAGTTTGGGTTCTAATTCCCAAAGAGATGCATATACAAAATATGGAGCTAGCACAAACTGCATGGGCTGAACACATCATAAAAGCTCTGAGCCTGTGAGAATAACCATCTGTTTGCACATAGCTGCAGCTCACTCTTTGTAGGTGGGCCTATTAGAGATGGAATGTGTGAGACATCAGTCCTTCGCTCACATTTCTCAGCCAGGCCGAAGGACTGAAGTGTCTGCCCTGCTGCAAGTATACACTGCGCAGACACTCCCGTCTGACCTGAGATTAACCTCTGCAGGAGGAACCTCCAGCTCAGGGGGGTCAGGAGGTCCACGTCAACGAACAGGAAATCATTTTAATAGAGCATAAGGCCGGTTAGTATGCAGAAAGAAAAGCAGTAGCCGTTTTTGTTTTAAATCCATATGAAATGAAAATAATGCTTACTCAAACCCTCACAAAGAAAAAACACACTCAGCTCCAGCATGCAGGCACTTCCAGCAAAGTTTGGTCATGATTACACAATGATGTCAGGGTGAAAGATTGTTAGCTTGATCACAAAACAACACTTATAACCTCCCCTGTGGCCAAACACTGATGGAAAATTAAGCTGGAAGGCTGGAAAGAAAAGCCTCTAAAACAATTTTACTATCTCTCATATAAATAATATGCATAATTGTGTAGTTGTATTAAAATGTAGTATCTACACATTCCAGATGTTTTTTTTTTTTATCACCCGCCATTATGTGACAGAAAGTGAGCTCCCACAAGGTAAAGTGTTTAAGTTTTAAGATTATGACTGAGACTACATCTCCAAGGAGAGAAATCTGGATGTCCTCCAAAGTCATTATTTAATTTATGTGTCCGTCTACACACCTATGATGGCAGGCATTATAATGTTTGCATATCCTCAGAAGTACTTTTTGATAATAGACTCTATTCGAATCACGTTTTCTAATGTCACCTTAAAACTGAGACTTTTCTTCGTAATGATGTTCTTTATAATGTTGTCACAGATCAAATTGCTTCTAGCAGTTTTAAAAGAAACAGCCTCTGCATCTTTATAAGAGCTACACAGTTCTATTCAACAACCTTGAATATTTAATTTACATTTTTAAGTTTTAATTTAATGATTGATGTCTTTTAGAGGGAACAGTACATGATCAAACGCCCTGTCCCTTCATTAAGTGAGGAAATAATGTCATAAATCTTCGACATGATTTTTCCACAGGCAGCAGAACAAGTCTTTCACCAACTGAACGGAGTAAAATGAAATTAGGATCTCTAAATTCATAAATCATGTATTTTTTTTCTTCTTCTCTGTTTTAAGCTGCATGGGTTCTCAATGCAACATCACTTTTTTTGTAAATCCAGTCATGTTTAGAGGTCGACCGATTCTGATTTTTCACCAGCAGGGGGACCAAAGTTGTCAAAATCAAGAGTTTCTCGCAGGGACTTTAAGCTACACACACCCCACTGAGCAACAGATGGCTATAAGACATCTAGTTTGTTTTTTTTAGACCTAATTTCAACCATCTAGATTCTATATATTTTTAGATGGAATTGAGACATTGCACTTTAACCCATTATTCGACTATATGTTTCAGAAAGCAACTGTGAGTTGCATAACTGATCTCCAAGTACTCAACCAAAATAATTATGATAGCCCTTGAGCAACATACAGTGTAGTATAGATATAGCCCAGATTTAGACTTGGTCTAAACTTTCATTTTTAGACCTGTGGTAGCCTGATTTTAGACCAGTCGGCTAGGACACATTTTGACATCTATTAGACCTCTTTTAGACTCTTTTTCAAATCCTTTGGTTCCAGAAAATACACCTCTTACGAAAGGGAAAACCTTCATCAGGGCCATGTGAGGTTCGAGTCATTGGGAAGGGTGGACTTTAAGGGCCTCATCAGAGGTAGACTTGTTTTCATGTGACATGTGACATAAATGTTTCCATGAGAAAAAAACCCATGAGAAATCACACCATAATCTAACTCTCTTAATCTGGCTGAATCTGGAGTTTAAGATATGAGAAACTAAAGAAAGAGACTAGAAACCTACTACTAACATCAATGATTCATGAAAAATCTTCCCCTATCTATAGGAGAACCTAAAGCTCGTATTTTTATGGTATCCAAAAGCAAATAAGACCATCAGTGACTAAATTGGCGGTAGTTAGGGTTAACCCCAAAATGCTTCAAAGCAGTACCAAGATGGAGGTGTCAGGAGGGACTGAAGAAATAGCTCTGTCTGGACAATTTCCACATGAAATATTCACAATAAATTATAGTTTGTCGAAAGTCAGTGACATTTAAACAAGAGATTTTTACAACTCAAGAATGTGGAGGACAAGATAAGCAAATATCGCTTTATCCACAGGGGACCAAAACTGACGCAGACCAAGAGTTCCTCACGGGAGCTCTAAGCTTCACACACCAACTTTAGCAGTGTGTAATAAACAGCTGATAATATGCACTAATATCCAGATGAGCAAATGACACTGACAAGATAAAATTGGTGATTAACCATTACTTTGTACAGTTCAGTGATTTTAATTGAATTTGATAAATATGATCAATCCCAGCTGCCTGAAGATCTAAACTTTCTCCTTTGGCTTGAGGCCTAAATATTTGATTAATGTGTGTTCAGCTTTATCAGTTACACTCCCTGATGTGTCCCAAAAACTCAAGACTCCCTGGATTACACCTTAGAAATCCAAGTTTTAGTCTCCTGGAGTTGAGAGGATATACACAAAAAAAGGGAACATTAAGATCAACCCGACCTCATAAAAAAACTGAGAGGACTATTAAATGCACATGTTTACTGGAATTATTCATTATTGAGCAACTACCTCTGACCGGGTCTCCTGGCCTCAGAGCTGCAGACAGACTCCAGACACTAATCTATGACACACACTTCTCTAATAGCTGGGTTGTGTTAATGCAGACGATATACATCCCCCACAGGGATTAATACAGTAAAACTTATTAGCCGACCTCTTCAGAAAGGTGCAGACAGAAGCAACATCGCAGACACGGCAGTAAAATCACGTGTTAGTAAAATGCCTTAAAGCTAACTGGAATATCAATCACCTCATCGTGTAACAACAACACTAAAACTCAGTTTTAGATCTGCATAACTATCAAACTAAAGCTGCAGCGATGAAGTCATGATTGATGACTAAAACTTGATATTTTAATTTTAAACCTAGCCAGTGGCATTCATTATCATAATGGACGTCTTAACTGTATAATTAAATATTCTCAGAGTGCACTCTTTCATAAACAGTCATTTTAGGTGCTGATGAGAACCTCAAGATATGAGTTTATGAAAAACATGTTTCCTTTTTGTCAAAGTATTAAAATGTCTACTTTCTCTTAATTTGTCTCTAAGTTTTCTCCAAACGTTCCTATGTATGGTGAAATATTTGGTTTAAAAATTAAAACTCTTCACATTATCAGCAGAATTTTTTATAAGCCTTTCAAAATCAGGTCGAACAATCAGGTAACCAATGAATATTTAGTGACTCTCTTGTCTGATCACATAAAAAGTGTGTTTTTGCTCATCGTGCTCATGATTTAACCCCACTTTTTTTTTTTTTACATCACAAACCCAAAGAGAGGCATCTTCTCCCTCAAACCTCTGTCTCACAGTGGTATCATCTTTCAGCCTTTTGTATGTCTCCCCCTTGTGATGAAGTGATGTCACATCCATTACTTTTTCTTTTTTAATTTCTAACCCGTGCAGTGACAGCTCATGTCCATCAGATGGCGGTAGCAGATGAGAGCTGAACATACACTTTCCTGGCATACTGTTAAAGCTTTCAATGACTGATTACTGGCAGAAACACAAGTTAAACAGCATTAAATCTTCTTTCATAATGGAGAAAATGTTCCCAGTGTGACTGTTTTCATAATAATTATCTTTATAGAAACAGTTTTAATTAATTAGTTTGAGCTGAACTGCCTTTTACAGCACATGTCCATGCAGTTTAGGCACCAGGGACAACAAAGACTCTGTCACTACAAGAAAGACTTCTGTTTTGCTCATTTACCATTTACCATTTGCCTTAAATCTGTGGAAATCTCTATAGCATCCAGCAGAAACAAAAAACTGCTGTTTTATCCTCCCTATTATTATGAAAGAACGCCAAGACAGGTCACAATAATTCTTATTTACTGGCGCCCATCCTACATTCAAACCCATGCTATAGCACTTAGTGTAAAATTAGTGCCAACCACACTTTATAAAGCACCACCAAGGGTTTTAGAGCTGTCACCAGGATTTATTCATAGCCCTTATATAAAAAAAAAACATCATTGTCTCTGAACATTTTCAAATCCCAGTTTTCCCAGACTCTGAAAACTTGTGAGACAAAAAGATGACATGAAAAGTCATTTTGAGCTGGTTGAAATTCTCCAGGAGAGACCGAACACCTGGGTGGCTTTTAGACCTCCACATCTCAGTTAAAGCTGCTCTTGCCTGTGTCAGAAACTGGAGGAGGATTTTACTTTGAAGTGGGATTAACATGTATGGGCAGAAGGGGTCAGAGAAGTTAGTAGCTGGGAGACAATTCAAGATTTTAATCCCCACTAGGGTCTTTTTTTTAAGGTTCAATTCGCATCACTGTCTGTGAGAAATACAATCACATATTGGAGATTAATCTTCAAGACAGATTGGCTCTAAACAAAAAGTATTTCAGCAGTGAGTCTGTGATTACTCCCACTCTGGCTTTGAACTGAGTATGACAAATCACCGGGCTCTGAGCTTTATCTGCTCTGAGACTTGAACTCAACCGCGCAGTCATGACACCGCTGATCCTTTCTCATTTGTTTTGGGGATCAGGTGTCACCTCCCAGAAATCATTATTAATAAAACATGGTGGCTCTCAACCCGCATCCATCAATCATCTATGAGACGCAGCAAAGCCTCTGGATCAAGGCGGGTCAGTGCGGGTGAAAGGCATCCATCCCAGCCGCAGAACCACACAAACAGTCGACTGCGGCAGCCTCTGTTTACAGCCTGCTGGGAGGGTTTGTTCTGAAGACAGAGGTGACGCTAATGCAAAATGATGGGTCAGATTTGTAATGCAGGGATAGTTACTCACTCTGAGGGAGGGTTGAGGTCCTCTAACTTAGTCTCAAAGAACTGCAGGACCTCTTCACTTTGGGAAATGTGGGAGGGAAGCTTCATCAGAGCCTGTGGAAAAGAAAAGAAAAGAAAAGGGAGGGACAAGTAAGTGTTCATGTTGTGCTGCAATAAAATTATACCTTAGAGCTTGCTTGTAGTTTGGTTTAAATGGCAATGAGTAACCGAGTTGTAACTCTTAGTCACTGCACAGTCAGTAGGATGAGAAGACCAGGCAAAGGGTGTGGAGGGTGTGGAGGGGAAGGAAGCCTGTGAGTCCGCAGTGAGGGTTAAAACAAAAGGAAACACGCAAAGGTGATGTAGTAGAGTCTCCGCCTGTCTCAGCAGTACAGACTTTCAAAATGAGATGATTCAACCACTTGAATCAGAAAAGTCATCCTAATAAGAGGGTTATTAAAAAAAAGAGTCTACTACCGTCCTCTTTAAGCTCCTTGCTTTCTCAGAAAATCTCCTGTTGTTCCTCTAAATGAAAAACTGCTGCCACACTTGGCAACGCACCTGCCCTACATTCCCGTCACTGACCTAATGAATGTAAGAGGGTCAGGTAGCCAGCTGCACTCACTACTACACTTCAACTCTGCTGATTCATTCGTATTCCTTCACTCCAGCTTTACCCATGGGTGCACCCGTTTCCCCCACTTCCTTTATAAGCTGCCTATTTACATTGGTGACGGGAAATGACCAAGGCAGATAGAGCTGTTGCCTTCCTGTTGAGGCTGGTGGGGGGAGATAAATGGCCAAGCCTGCCATGGAAACACTGTGGCAAATGTTCAGTGAGTAGAGAGCACGGACGAGGATTGAATGCTGTTTCACCCAACACATGAGCTGGAAATGAGAAGTCCTGATGGGTCATATTGTGTAATCGAGCAACAGCAGATGTTGTGAATAAAATATAATAGGGAGACACTTTAACTGAGCTGCTTTTGTCTTACTTTGCAGTAATTATCCAGGTGCTTCAGCCTCCTTACAGCAACATCTCTGATGTGACTTCGGCGAAACAAGACTTTACCTAAAGGGAAACAGAGCTCAGTTAGATTTACACATCTCCAAAAAACATCAATTTAAATCTACTATAAATAACAAATATAGCTGAGCACATTGAGACTTTAACAAATATTTGTTAAATGGGAATCACCAGTGGCCCAACGATACAATATTATCACAATACTTGGGCCACGATACGAGATTATTGTGATTTTTAACATTTTGCAATACAGTGAGTATTGCGATACAATATATCGCAATTTATATAATTTTTCCAACTGTTTAGCTAATTAACTATATTTGTTGTACTAACTTTCTCCTGCTCTATGAAATCACCTCTGCCAACCTCACTCGATAAACAACTAAATTTATTTTTCTATTATCATAGATTTGACTTCATATTAGCAATTACATTGAAAAATTAATACTTGGTAAATGAGGCAATACGATATCTCACCAGACAAAACATTGCGATACTATGCTGTATCGATTTTTTCTCCCTAGTGATGAGTAGTTCACTCAGTGTGCTAAAATAACAGCATTAGACATTTTTATAGAGCTAGTTAAAAATGGTCAAATAACTCATTATAGATGGGATAAATATTGCCTTTTTTACAGTGTGTACCTTTCCACTGTATTCACAAATCAGCCCTTTTCATAACAAGACATGTATTTAGTTTAGTTTCTCAGGATACACGCTGTGCTATTCACCAAATAATCAATTCATATGTTATCAGTGTGAAGCAAAACTGTGGAGTGAACTTGTGTTACCCTTAATTTAGCATGGAGTACTCAAGAAAAATGTTTAAAATGCATTAATAAAACAGACGCAGATTCTAAAAACAGCAGTACTCAAAAGCCTTTTTAACTCTATTAATTATTAAGAGCAGCTTTAAAGAGCCACTTTCCCCCTTTTAAAGCCCACTTTCAAACTTTAAGGAGATTGACTGCTAATCTCAGTGTCAAACAGCCTAAGACTCACTGAACAGTAAAATCCGGCCTGCTGTTTGCTGTGTGTAAGGAAATACAGTTAACTCTACGCATGTTGAGTTTAAAGGAAGATCAAAACGACAACGGTCAGACTTGAGCGGTTCAGACCATCTTACAAAGAATCTCTTCACTGCTCTCTTCTGCTTCTACCCACAATGACTTTATCAGATTAGAAAAATCCCTCTCTGCTGGCCTCCTACCGCCATGGCAGACCACAAATTGATTCAGCCTGGGAGGAGTATGGCAGTTAATCAAACGATGCAGTGTGGTAGGCCATACTATGGAGTATCTTGAAGAATACAAACATTGGCCGTGCAGGAAAATGTCTGGGGGCCTCTCTTTAGCTTGCGTGTATATGGTTATTGAAAACAGTATCCTTGGATTATTCTGGATGGTCATATAATACACCAACACAAAATAGTCCATTATTTTGATGTGGCTGGTGAGGGTATGACAAGGTATGTAAACATCTGACATTTTAAAATATGAAAACCTTTGAGCGCAATGCCGGAAAAACCATAACCAAGATCATGTGCAAACAATTTCCTGCAGGATTACTTGTGCACGCAGCTGATCTCTGCTTTTTGGACTGTGCTTGTTTATTAGTCAAACCCCAAAAACTACTTTTGAATTCTTGTTTGTAGCTCAAGTTTTCCTGATACTAATAGGAGTATCAGTATGTGCCTTAAACATGTCATTTGGTATGACTCCTCAAAACTCACTGCTATCAGATGAACTGTCATGTGAACAAAACAAGCAAGTGTGTAATGTTGGTCAAGGCAGACAAGATGTCAGTATTTTGTCTGTAAATTGTTTCAGCTGTAGCGGTAGGAGTTCTCTGTTTGTGTTTATTTTTAAGTCTAGCAATTGAAGAGATCAAATTAAGTTGTAATTTATTCAGGACCACTTTTGAGAGACATTTTCATGCAGCAGGACCAGGTTATATTTGGTTCTGAGAGCTCCCTGTCTTTACAGATTTGTGTGTGGAGTGCCAAAATCTGAGGCAGTGAGAGCACACCTCCTTTCTGTTTGTGCATACATGAAAATCCAAGGCAGGCAGAGCAGCAGCAAAGACCCCCAGGAAACAGACCAGAGCAGGCCGGTAAATATGGCACAGCATAAAAAAGGAAGCTGGGGTGGTGGGAGAAAAAACTGGGTCATCTGCTAACCTACTCTCTCAGAATCGGACCACTACTTTTGATATGCTGTGGACTGAATTTGACTTTGAGGCCTTCCTAACTAATGGTATTTTCAATTACTCTGAAGTGAGGACACAATTGCAAGGATGTGAATTAAACATGATCGATCAGCGCTGATTTCCTCAATTTTGGGGGATTGGTGATCCTTTGTTTGTAAAAGCAAAATACTGCTGTGCACTTTATTTTGGTAAGAGGCTCAAAACAGGCCTGCAGTGTGATCTGTTTAGCATGTTGAAAATGTTGAAAATAAAAGACGAAAGGAACTGATATAATTTAGTAGTTTGAGAGAACTACCTCATGTGCAGCTAGAACAAACACAAAAAGTTTGTATTGTTTCACAAGTATTGTTCAAAGTTTTTCATTAAAAAAAGATTGGAGCATAGAAGGTGTACGTTGTATCGGCAGGTCAAGCTTTTTCAAAGATCGGTGATCGGCCAGAAAATTGTGATCAGTGCACCCCTAATGTGAATATCTTTCAAGGCACTGTCAATCCAGAGATGATGTGACAAATATATCAGCTATAATACATTCTGTTAATCACCTGGCAGAAAGGGGATAATCCTTTTCTTGGGGTCTTTTTGTCCTCCTTCAATCGGGAACTTGTCAAGGATTTGCATCTGCAAAACAAAATAAAAAGAAAAAGTTAAGAGAGAGAGACAAACAAAACCAACAACATGCCTTCTCAGCTACAAAGAGCTGTGATTAAATCTCAACCCTTTAACAGTTAGACCACATGAAGCTTCTGTTATCTACCACAAGTTTATCAGCTAAAGTTGAAAGAGAGGGAATCTGAGATGAAAACAGACGCAAAAAAAAAAAAAAAATGGTCACACACTCTCCTTGATCAGTTGACCTCCCTGTTATGGTACGTGAGTTCAACGCGGGGGTGTAATTACTTCATCTGAAAAGCTACTGTGTTGTGCAACTATAGACAATTTCCCTTTGATCCATGGGGCATCAGACAAAGGTTGCAGCATCACCCACACTCGTCTGGGGAAAAAAATCAAAAGCTCGTCCCACTTTAGGGGTTGAAAAAGAGTAGATAATTAACACTTTGATGTCAACACTTGATACAGCGAGCCTTTTACGGGCTCGATCTACCCCAGAGATAAAGTGACTGAAACAGTAGACACACAGCATGCTGTGTCGAGTCTTTAATGATGACAGTGTACAACAATCTCTCTTTGTGTTTAGTTTGAAACTGCTCCAAGCAAGTGTTTACCCAAATACATTTATATGAGTATCCATCCATTTGTGAGTACAGGGAACATGTATTGCTTTGTACATGATGTTCAAGCATGTTTGGTTAAGTGGAAAAGCTGCATTGCAAAATGTGCTGGCTGGGTGTCCGAATCACATGCAAGAGTTTCTAGTTTCCGTTTTGAATAATCACGAAAAGTAAAACTTGCATCCTGCAGTCAGAGCTGAGTTCCAAACCCAGATGAAGCCTTGCCTTTGCTCACTCAGCCTTGCCTCATTCCAGATGTGCTCTGCTGAACAGCAAAGACTGTGAACGTCAAGCTAAAGCACACTTGATTGGGAGGAGGAGACCAGGAGACTAGTCTTGGTTTAAACCTCGCCAAAATCAACCAGGTGGACAAACAGAATCGGGGCTGAAGGGGAGCACTGGGTCCACTCTGTCTGGGTCTGCAGGAGTTGTTTGTAGGACTTCTCCACTAAGAGGTGGTTTGGTTTCCTCCTCTTGTGGTTCTCTTTTCTGCGCTCATCAGTTTTCTGCCTTAGCCGTCTTTATTTCAGAGGAGGGGGGAGTGCCCTGCCCTGGGAGAAATTTAGCAGAAAAGAAATGGTTTCTTTTGATGGGAACAGCCTTTATTATTGTGGTGGAAGGGTGAAATAAAATAGCCGAGTATAAAGAGCAGCCCTGGTTAACCACACCTGCTCCCAAACATGCAAAACACATAGTTTTCTGCTTCTAAATGTAACAACATCAAACATGCCTATAAACCAGGTTTGTCTGGTTTTTCTTTCGAACACTGTAGCAGTACAATACTGTGTGGCACAGCAGGAGCAGTGTTGTTCATCTGACACACAAGCTGCACACTCATCATGTTATCAGCTGAACAGCTGGATGCAGCTGAAAACTCCCTTTAATGTGGGAGCGTTCACTCATCACCTTTAGAAACAACCACGGTTGAGGGAGAGGCTCCACGCCTGGAAGCGATGATGACATCAACCCCTGGAGACCTGTCTGAATACACTTAGGACCGGTGGGAAAGCTGTTTCTATGGCAACAGCTGGATAACTTGGAACAAAATTTGATGTGAAAACATTTCTCACGTTTCATACACATTAAGTTTTAAGGCTTTAGGGACCCAAGCTGCTGTATTTACTCTATACTGCTCAAAGTCTGCGCAGGATACTCCAACACTAGAGTCAGCCAAGTGTTTCCACTGGGGAAACAAACACGTCCATGTAGCAACAGGTGCTATGATGTAATCAGGTTTTCCAGGCCCTCTACGAACCCGCTAATCAGGGGTCGAGAATAAATGCTCAGGAGAAAAGTGCAATAAACACTCAATCCTCAAACATATCTCTGTTTAGGCATTATGACATCGCAGACCTGAATTATGGCGACAGGAGGAACCCAAACAGCTCCTGTACACTGTAATGACAATCATTGGAGGCATTTAAACTTAATTGCACTCACAGGAGTGGGTAGAGACGAACAGACAAAGAGACACTGCACTGTGCAGCTAGACAAAGGCTCTGTTCTGGGAGGAATCTCAGACAGAGGGAGTGTAGAGGAATGTTTGAGTGGGACAACAATCTGATCCCGTCTCTCGCTTGTGTTTTGACATTTACTTGACAAGTTGTTTACTGCAGAGAGATTATGCGGCAGCAGCTCCCTCGGTCAAAAAATGGTCTCTGATATAACGTGCATGTTTCAAAGTTGCACAGTTATTATAAGAGACAAGTAACATTTCTTGTTACTCCAACTTTCGAAGTGTTTGAAACTTTGGACTGCTAGTCTCCATGAGCAACTGTCTTACCATCGAGTGTTCAATGACTAAGAGAATCACATATACAGGCCTGACTTGACTGACAGGCGGGCACACTGTAGCTATCCACAACGAGGCTAAGGGTCAATGTCCATTTATTATACAGCCCGTGGATAAATTGAACCATGAATCTGCTTCACTGATTTAAAGCTCCTCTGAGGAATTTTTGATGGATTATTTAACCGTCTGAATCTAAAACTGATCCCTCTGTCAACAAGACCTTCATTAACAACATTGAACATTTCTATGTGTTGATTTTCAATGCATGAAACTGCTGCTAAGGGGTAGGTGTCAGTCAAAGTGATATACTTCATGTACGGCTGGGCAATATGGGAGAGAGTTTATCAGTATATTTTTTTCATATCAGTCAATAACAATATATATCACGATATCACTTGTCAATCTTAAATGTTCCCGGTTAATCTTAAATGAAATTTAACAGTGCTTATTGGTAGCATGTCTTTTGCAATACAATAAGCTACTGCATCTGTGAGGTCTTTGTGTCTCTTTGACGTTTTGTCGTCCAGCATTCGCTTGAGAAAGCAGACTGAATGGACGGTTCAACACGGCACAGACCCGGAGCACATCCTCTTTTCATTGGCTGTTCACATCGTCTACCAAAACATGGCAGAATGACAGCTATCGAAAAGCATACTGACCATGTGTCATATCGATATCGAGGGAATTCATTTTTGATATATATCATTATTGTTTTATCGCCAAGCCCTAACTGCACACCACTGACACAACTTTTTTTTTATATTTTCCAAGGCAAAGTTCTACAATGAAATAAATGCATGACATTTAAAGAAAGAAAGAAACACCACTAATAAATGTGAAGAAACTAAATCACCAAAGAGAGAAGATAAACCACTTTGTCCTCCCTGGAAAAAAATACTCTTTTTTTGCTACATTGAGTCTTAAAAAGGTCTATTCACACTAGTTCTATGGCACATCCCCAAAACAGTGATTTGGTCTTATTTACAGATATACCCTTGTTGAAGTCCTATCTTATGTCAGTGTTTTGTGGGTCAGACAAATTACAACACAGGCAGGATGGAGCTGACCCCAATCCAATTCCCCAATCCAAAAAATGTTGACTCAGGGAATCTGTAGAGGTTTCTTTCCAAAAGGAAACCAGGACAGCTTGCACACTCCACAATCCCCCCGAGGAATGCTGAACTCTGTCCACTGTGGTTTGAGGGTGTGGAGGAAGGGAGAGAGGGAGGCGGGGTTCACTCACTACTCACAGACAGTAAACTTGGTTTGACACACTGACCATTTCTGCTCACGTCAAACATGTGCGGCTCAAAAACATTCGCCTCTGACACCAGAAACAGTTGAGACTCAGCAGTATCCCCCGTTTAAACAAAGGTCTTTAAAAATAAGGAGTGAATGTGCTTAACTCTGCATACGTGTTACAAAGATCGCCTTCACTTAAAGTCAGCAGAAAAGATGTCAAGAGAGAAACAGATAAAGAGGAGCAGAGATGTGGATAATTTATGACTGTTGCTTCCCAGAGGAGCAGTTATGAGTTATGTTTAGTGTGCTGAAAGCTTTGAAACATTAGCTGTAAGTGCACTTTTGGACATCCATCTGACAACAGAAATGGATGCTTCATTTTAAAAAGACAAACAGCAGCGACTGGGCTGTTGTTGACGAGTGGGTTTTATATGACCAGCTGTACGATGCAGGCGGGATAATGGACATGAAATGGATGATAGGCCACTGCTTAAAAGGCGTTTCTTGTTCTTTAACCCAACTTGGCTTTTCTGAATTCTCAATTAATAGTTTTCAGATGAGATCATGGTCACATTTGTCAGTCCAAGGGTGTAAAACGCATTTTTTTTCCTGTCAGCTTCTGGTGAGCATAAAACAAGCTATTGTGTAAGGAAGACAGAGAACAGTAGAGAGATGGAGGATGTTTGTAGGTGTCTGATGGCAGAGACACAAACAAATCACAGTTCCTGCTTGAAAAAAGACGATTATCTCAAAACAGGCGAAAGAAGCAATTGATAATCATAAAATCTTCAACAAATATGACACTTTTCAAGGGATCCAATGATGCTTTATACATGCATATACAGCACAATGAGTTACATGACAGTTTAATTGCTTTCTTATCTGAACATCAGAGGGAAGGTATCCTCTGTCAGTCTTTACATCCAAAGGCTCAAACTGCCCAACCCCCAACCCTTTCCTGACCACAGCTTCCTCTTCATTTCATCTAATGCATTATGGGATTGGTCCTTGGATTCCCTAATCCACATCCTTCTTCTTTAAAGCCCACTGTAACCTTACAGGTTAAAATGTTAGCGCAGATAAACTACGATTTCTTTCTGCCCTACTCTCTTGCTCAAGTGAGAATATAATTCAGCTACTTCCAAAATCCTCAATCCATTACTAACCATAAATTGTCCGTAACTACCGTTGTTCCACTCTTGACAGTCAATCTTCCACCTATAGGATTGTGTTCATATATTAAAAAAAACTTCCCCACCCATTTTGTATGGACAGCTGCAGACTGTTGTTCTTCACGGATTACCGTGGCCAGACAAACACACCCAGGCAGCCGGGATCTACGGACAAGACTAATGTTTACAGAGACAGAGCTTTGACAGGAGAGAAGCTCTGTTTCCATCAAGTAGACCAGGGCAGAATTTTCCTGGCTTTTAAGCATGAGACCTGAGAACAAAGGGTTTCCTCTGCTGCCTTCAATACATCCAGCCCACAAGAGCCACAGCGCTGTAGTGCAGGCTTGTAAAAGAAATAGTTATCACAAGGATTTTTTACAAGGAACATTCTGGATTTGGAGTACTCTCATTTAGATTTAAACCCCTCTCACTCTTGTCTCGACAGCATAGATGTTTTAATGTGTCTCTCAAACAGGCCTGCTGGATATGATGAGAAAACGACACTGTCTTACATTGATTACATTGTTAACTATTAAACTATGGCAGGAAGTGTGATAAATAAATGCATATTAAGTGGTGCATGAAGGTCATAGCTTGCAGTTTGTGCCAATACTCACATTGAGATACAAATGAGTTTGGAGGTTACTGCGCAGCCCTACTTTCAAACAAACTTAAGTATGCATACTTCAGCACTGTGCAGTTCAAATAAAATTCAAGTCAGGGTTAAAAATGCAGAGATTTGACTCCAGGCTGAAAGATATCCTAGAACAATCCAAAGGTTTGACTTTGCCTCATGCTGTATTCTACATACAGGCTGAGGTCATGTTTTCTTCCTGCATCTGCTGACTGGATTTCCCCTATTTCCCTTTTTTCGAAAAACAGGCTCAGTCGACTTAAACAAGACCTTTTGAAGAGACCTTTCTTACAGCAGTTGAACAGAAAGATGTGACCTAAAGGTTGAACTGACTTCACGGGATTCACATGAGGAAGACATATTTCAAATACATTATTTAAAGATTCTTAAGCTGAAGCTGTTGTGCGAGAAGTGCCTGGAGAAAGTGAGATAATTTACCAGTATAACATACCTGTAGGTCAAAGAATTTGCTGTATCTCCTGTAGATGACATGAGAAGTGGAGTCTGAGTATGTGACGTTGATGAGGTACACCTAGTGAGAGAAGCACAAACAAAAGAGGCCCATTAAGAACAAAGTCACTTTGTCAAAGACACCATGGCACCGCTTTGGCTCCACTTGTCCCGATGACACAAAGTGCATTCCACCCTGACTTAACTTTGAGAGGTCATCGAAGGTCAAATCAACTCATTAACTTTGTCTGTTTCCATCACAAATTGGAAACCCTTCAGGGGTCAATGAGAGGGCCAATAGATTTCAAGTGTTTTGTCATTAATCCCATTTATCATGAAGAATGTGTTTGTTTTGGGACGCAGCTGATCGACTGTGATTGATTTCAGCGTTTACAAAATATTTTCAAACAAATCTCATTTCTTCTAAAGATCCTGATCACAAAAAGCTGTTAAGGTTTCATTCAGCCACTTATATTGACTGTATACTGAGATGGATGACACGGCTACACCTCCTCCCATTGCAGCGAATGCTAAATACCTCACACAATGAATGCTGACATGTTGCGATGGTGATGTATTTCACTGCCAAGATATGCTCTAAAGTAATCCGCCCATTGTAACTGCTTACCAAAACACCTAATAAACTTGATGATAAAACTGCAAGACCCTTAAGGTAAGTACAGAAAACAGCCCCCTGAGTCAGTTTGAAGCAGGCACTCATGATTTTAACCAGTACAATGACTCTCATATTAATGTTTGTTAGGTTTTCTCCTGCTAATTCTGATGCACAGTTTTGCAGGAGCTGCATTTGTCAACAAAGCTGTCGATCATGACCTTATATCTCCTCTTATAAAGCCAAATAATTGATTAAAATAACCTCAGACTTGAAAAAACAAACAGCATGATAAAAAATAAACCAAAACACACAAAGAAAACACTGACACATATTTTGATTTTGAAGCATGAACCATGTCTGATCTGTTTACATGGAGGAGGCAGGGTTTTTGGACTAAATACAAAACTGTAATCATCTTTGCTTCACTTTTAGGAGGCGGTTGTGTTGTCTCTCTCTTTTTTGCAGCGTATGGTCCCCAATTTTAAGGTTATTGTTGTCTACCTGAGTCCACCACCTTGTTCTGTCCCCATCCTCAACACTTTTATCTAGAAATAATGACAAGGAAGAGGCATTTTGAGAAAAACCAACATGGGAGGGTCTTATCCTTGTCAGATGTCAGTCATTTCCAGAATAAACACAGACTTGTATTCTCTCAAAATAAATCCTCTTTTTGCCTCAACAATCAAGAACCAACAAACAATCGCGCACACCCTGAGGTTCGGAAACAGATGGCTGCACCTAGTGCATTTCCTCCTTAGCGCATGGCATAGAGTGTTTACAAAAGCAGCGTTTTCACATATGGTGGCAATATGCAAGGACATCAGTTACGAGTTTGAGATGCAGAGCTCATTCTGCACACAGTTCATTACAGAGAGAGTGCAGCAAGGCGGAACAAGCTCTCCAGCAGCTTGCTAATTAGATACAGACAGCATGACCAAACAGTCTAATCTAAGCAACAGCATGGCCAAAAGTGAGGGTGTGCAAGGTCAAGATACATCCAGAAAGGACTGTAAACCATCTTTATGTTTAAACATGACCGTGTAATTTATGGAACAGTTAATAATTGGCAGATTAGACACCATTATGAAAAAATGTGTGGATTTTCAAGGTAAAGGCCCCTTAAGGAATAGCTTGTGATGGTTAAGAACCCACCATTACTGATACCTTAGAGAATATTATAAGAAATTCAAGGATTATAAACAAGTAAACAAACCAATAATATGCCAATTTGCGAGTAAACACGTTTGATTTAACTTAACATAAATGGACATCATAATCTATTTATCACTACATTTTACTGTCTGTATCAACTGTACAAACTGGTGACCTCTCATTGGATCTCATCCCTCTGATCTCCTCTCATCTCCCTTTGGTTGTGTGTGTAAACAAGGATTAGTTGCCATGCACTCTCTGGCTTCTGCGCCATGAGATCCTGGAAGGAAGTCACACTTGAACAGTGGGGACAAAAGACAAAGGGTTGCTTCTTTCCTCTCTCAACCGGATAAGCATTTTCAGTTGCTTAGCTCATAGATAATGAGATTTTATTTTTTTCTCCGTCTTCTTCCCTCATGGGGGACTTCCCGGTCAGCCTCTCACCTCCGGCTTCAGTCCCAGGGGAAAATCTGTGTGCCCTACGTTTAGTGGCCTCAGGGAGCCTCTCTCAGCAGGAGATGGATGATGCAATTGATCCTAACTCTCAGGTTAATTAATCCAATTTTACCTGATGGACTAATTGATTTTTGCAGTCCCGCTGAGACATGTCTCGTGGCCTAGTGGATTTGATTACTCAAGTCAGTGAGACAGCATCAAGACCGGACCATGCCATCAAACACAATGTGTGACTGTGAGCCTGCAGACACGCTGCGAGGCTGAATGCTAACCTTCAAATGTCAACACAGTAACACAATAAGACCTTTAACATCATACTGTTCAGTAGGTCATATATTTCACCATCTAACCTACATTAGCATGCAAAACAAACCAAAAACTTTGAGAGTAAGAGTTTGCAACAGATTCAACCTCTAGACACCATGGAATAACCAACCAATCAACACATCCATATCCTCCTGTGTTTGAACTGCCTGGACTTTGGTTTCCATGTCAAATTTAACTGATCTGCCCTGACCAGTTGAGTACACATGTGATGGTTAATCTCTTTTTGATTTAAATCTATCTTATCTTACACACAATAGTTGGGAAATTGAGCTCTGGACAGTGAATTTAAGTTGGGATCATAGAGAGAAGCATCTCTCCATTTGTCTCTGAATAGAGTTACAAAACTGTTTGCTGCATATAATAGTGAGCACAAAGTATACTGCTATGGAGCAACTAATTTCCAAGTTGTTAAAACATGACTAAATATGTAGCTTTTTTTTTTACTGTATGTCGGCAACAGGTAATGTGAGGTACTTTGCTGTTTTCTGATGAAAGAAAAAGTCTTTATGGAACATATCATGCTGCTGCAGAGTAGGTGTTTACATGACTTTTGGATAGTTTGAAACAAAAAGGAAGATCAATTGTGAAAAAAAAGCAAAAAGTAGGATATAAAATTTATAAAAGTTACACATCAAATAATTCAGAAACTGAACAAAATTATACTCTGACTGGATATTTTGACCAAATGATGTTCATACATAGAGAGGAAAGGACAGCACTAAAGCTCAACAGTTCAGATACAGTATTGCTCAACCAGTCTGCTTGACAATCCAATTTCATTACACAGACTGAACACTTAATCTAATATATCTGAACAGATCAATTTCATTTGGGGATTTCATATTCAGTTCTGACAACACTGTAACTTGCAGTAAACATTATTGCAATAATCAACAAAACCAAAATATGTTAAAGTCAAAACAGTATTGAACTGTCACAAAGGTATCCCAATTGTGTTGTGTCCTCCAGCCTTTGTTTTGTGCTACAGAGGTAAACAGCATTAAGCTGTAGTTTCCAACACAAACATACAACACAATCCTCTGCCTTCTCCCTCCTCTACCTCATAAGACCCTGCTACACCCATCCCACAAACTGAGGATGTTACTTAAATTAAATCTGGTGTACAACTTTTCTCTGTCAGGAGTTGTGACAAAGTAAGCTAGAGCTATCTTTTTAGGTTCATACACCGTAACATAACCGCATTGTTAAACGCCAAGTTCAAGAGTAAAATGTTGCATGTTGAGTTGCTTTATGAATCAGTTGTGTCTGTTTTGTTTTCACCTGTTGGGTTGACGTGTTCACCAGTCATAAAGCATTCATGGTAGTGGTGCACTCTGAGGTTATTAGCTCTGGCTAATAAGGCTCTGCAGGTAGAAACCTAAGATAACTATGGCATGTTAAAGATTATCAAGCTCACTCTGGCCTTCCTCTAACCTGCACCAGGCAAGTCCAGACATGGTGGGGTTAAATGGGATGAATGCTACAAGAATAAAAAGCTGTCTTGATTTGTTTTTATCACAGGAATGATGACAGATGTTTCTGAAGGACAAAGAACCAACAAACTTCTGCAACTGGAGCAACGGAAGAACAACAATATTCTCCAATGAGGCTTTAACAATACCTTTTTAAACCTTCTTTTGAAGCTAATAATCTTCCTTAAATGGATGCACAAAAGCCACTGGAACATTTGCTTCTTGTTCAGTAGCAATGATGACGCTTTTGCCAACCCAGAGTATCCCCAAATCCTTATGGATAATGATGGAAACAAGAACCTATTTACTTGTTATCTTCTCACAAATCCAAAAGTGGATAAGTGTTTACAAAGCAAGTAATTTCCTCCTTATTCAATCTATAACCCTGAGATATATCCACCTTCTAGTGATGGTAGGGGCTTCCTCCTCTCTGTCCACAAAGGTTAGACCACAGACAACATGGCTGAATCTGTTACTTTTAATTTCTATGGATGATGTTTACATGGGAATGTGTTTGGCTGCAGCAAATTTGGCACGTAGTTCTCATGAGTTTGAAAACACAAAGGATGGTACATTCCCTTCAGTACACTACATAAATATCACCTTTGTTTTCTTAAAGAGCTGTCAGTGCTTCAAAAATCCCTCCCGGCTCAACTGTGTTCATTATGGAAAAGAATAAATGAAATGCAATACCTCAAAAGAACAACCTTGTGCTCAGATGGTTAACAAGCTTTTAACCTCTTTGCTTATTTTACATCCTTGACCGTACTGAAGCACCATTCTTGTGGAAATTTTAAAACCAATAACAATAATTAACTTTTTAAACTCTTCTTTTTATATGCTGGTATAGCCTACGCCTCCACCACCACACTAAACAGTAAGCATGGGTCACACTGACCAGCAGCCCAACATTAACATGCTAAACAACACAATCAAGGGCCACAGACTTCAAAAGATATCCTAATTTAGCTTTCCAGCTGGAGTCACATGAAATCTAAAGTGCTTATGCCAACAGGTCTTGTTCCATCATGTTATTAAAAGAGCAACCAAGGAGGAAAATACAAGACAATGCCAGTTTGGGAGGAAATTAACCTGCATGGACAAAAAAACTTTGTCTCTTGAAGTGTTTAGATGGCTAATGTAATAATTTGTTGTACAGGATTGATGACTATTTTCTAGTTTCCCTGTGAGGACTCAGATGTTTAGTTGATATCCATCAAACAGAGACCCTAACACGCCCCTCTCCATGCCAAAAGATGTTCTCAAGACCACGAGTCTCTGAAGTGACAATAGTTCTTCTTGCAATAACTTGGATGAGTGTTTTATGTCAAGGGGTGTGCTTTTTCACTGAGTCAGAAGTTTGTAGGAATATATACCAACTATGTGAAGCTTGTGAAGCTAAAATTTGAAGATACAACGTGGGGCTATATTTCTACTACGTTAAAGTAAACTTTGAGAAGATGATAACAAAACGATGAGGTAACTTACATAATGTTTTGAAGGGTTCCTTCTCTTCTGTACGTCCACAACATTAACGTCAAGCACCGTGCGGAGCTGCATCTTCACACACCAGTCAGGAATGGCACCAAAAATACTCTAAATCCTACAAAATAAGATGGTCACCCATGAAAATAGTATGAAAGTCTGGGGTAAAAAAGGTTCATGTGTTGCCTTGAAGGCACTATCTGGGAAGACAAGTTTGTAGAAAAGAGGGACAGCAACTCTCGCAGCACTCAAGCTTTGGGTGCATCCATGGATTGAGGGTGTCAGGCTGTCTGTCTCAAGCTGCTCAACTCCTTGTGAAACATTACAACGCAGTAAAAAGTAGCGTTTCACCAAGTCTTCTCCTCCCTCCAGAGGGGCTGGACTCCCCAGCTGCAGAGCACTGACAGGAGGGGGAGACATGTAAATGTACGGGGCGGTCTTAGTCCAGCTGGATGGACCCTGCAGAGGAACTTCTGGAGAGGTGAAGTCAGATTAGTTTGGACGCGTTTCTTGAGTCTTGCGAGTCACATTTTCCATGTTTCATATATAAAACAGAAAAATAATAATTATGAAAGGCAACATAGGCTTTGCACAAAAAAATGCATTGTAATGGAAGGGGATGTAGTAACTCAAGTGCTGCCTTTGCGTGTAACTCCCATTTCTCATTGGCAATATGCAAACCAACTTGACAATGTTTCTTTTCTCTTAAACATTTTTTTCAAAGACTTTTAAAACGGAGATAGAAAACGTTGACATTGTAACGACTACTCACTAATTTTGGGAAATGGTTTGCTCTTTTGTGCGTCCGGCTAGGCGTCTCTATGCAATACAGTGTACTTACAACTTTAAGAAAACAGTTTGCATGAAAGGAAAAAGAGACACGACAAGTTATAATACACGAGGACATAATTAACTTGTTCAGCCGACGACGGCATCAAGTATAGTTTTCACTGCCCACACACTGTAGAGGTTTATTTAGAAGGGACTTCAGGATTTCCGACTGACCCTAAACTCAACATACACTAAATGACTTTGCTGCCACCCAGTGGATGAAACAGGAAGTGAGAGGAAAACACAGCGTGCTGCATATGGAAACAACTGTGTAATGTTTTATGATTAACGTTATAAGAAGCAAATATATCCGATAATTTTCCTAAAATAATCTGGCAGTGAATATAGAGCACGTCTACTCTAACCACCCACAAGACAAAGGGACCTCATACAATTACATTGAAATGTTGAATAATTCATTAGTGGACAGACACGTTGAAAAGTTGGGTCTAAAAAGTTGGACTACTTTTCTTTTTGATGCTCAAGTATATTATGTTGATGGTGTTCTTAACACTACAACTAATTGAATAAAATGTCCTTGTATTTGAGTGTGGGGGCACTTTTAGACTGACACTACATTTGTAATGAGCTATGAGAATAAAAATTCAAGCAAAATGCATTTTCAGTTAGACTGGCAGGTTTCACAGCAGTCCTACCATGACTGTTTTGTTATTTGTTAAACTGAGCAGATCAAACAGCCTGCATCATCTCACTCCATGTAACGTAATGTAGGCCTGAAGGGATCTAAAAGGCTGAAGCACCCTCCTCCTACCATTTTTTTTTCTTCATCATGACGACAGGAACAGAAGAAGCATGCGTACAAGAGTCGAGGAGCTGAGCTGCTGAGCACGTCCTGTTGAGGAGATTCAGGAAACAGATACAGCTAACCTCCTGCGTCAAGCTAACAAATGAGGTCACAACTGAGGGCGGAAGTATCTGCTTCCGGGCTACAAAGTAAACGTTACTGGCTGTATTGGCTTGAAGCAGCGAGACTAATCCCAGCAATACATCTTTATTTTGATCTTATCTTGTTGACACTCCAGCTTTTAAGAATAAAAATGGCAACGTTTATCCCAAATATAAAAAATAGTCAGTGTAGGAAGGTTACTGGACCTTTTCAGCTAAGGTAGTCCAACTGGGAAGCTAGCTAAAGCAAGGACAGAATAAAGTATCCATATGTTCGTACACATACTAATTCTGTCTCTTCTAAGTAGGCTATGTGTTTTGTAACCATCATCAACAGTCAAGTATTCCAAGATTTTACAATTTAAATTTCTAAAACTTATTTTCCAATAATTTAAAAAGCAGGGGTAAGTTCTAAATATCGATTGAACTTCTTAAAACTATGTGCTGTTAACAAAAACAAACCGCAAATATTCGCTTTTTTTTATTTTTTTACAATTAGATGATGTATATGACATTGCTCTTTTTTCACAAAAATTTCTTTTCCCATATGCACCTGTCCTACGAAATGGTTGCACCAAATATTGTCTTATAGATTTAAATATTGACCTAAATTTATGGAAAAGAAAACCACAAACAACTTCGTTTATAACTGTCCAAAAAGCTTGATTTCGGTTTAAGTCCCGCCTACGTTGAAGCAAACGTCCAATCATCATTAGACTCTTAAATGGCACCTGGGATGTCCAATGAAACTTCTTAGAGGGCTTGACATGCCCTGAGTTTCCAAACGGTTGCTAAGATACAATACTAGCATTTACCCCATCAACCACCTGAAAAAGCCCATAATATACAAAGTCTGTTTTGTCCGTTTTATTTTTTTAAAACCTAATTATCGTATTTTTCCTCAAGAATTTTACATTGTAAGGATATTTTTAAACCGCTAATTTATTTTGAAAGTTTTAAACGGATGTTTTAACTGCATACCAGGTAACTTGTCAGAAGTCCGCTAACTTCTGTCTGTGTGGTCATCCAACCGAAGCATGGGATCTTTTTGACTCTCCATTTTAAGTCGCCAACGATTAATGATGAAAATGCTGTGTCGAGGGTGATATTATTTGTAGTCGACGCCTTTCATTATTTTAAACGGAAAGACGAGCCTCAGCGGTACAGCGAACTCTTGTCTGTCGTCTGCCTGAGGAGCGTCCTGAGAACACTGCTAGGCTATGATGCGACTATGAATACCCGCCGTCGAGGGAAGTTATAATTGACATTATCATAGCTGAATGGCTACGATAGCAGCTTGTCTGCCCTCATTTAACGCCCGCATGCTGTTATTTCGATAGCCATTTGAGTCCCTGCGTCGGGAGGAACCGCTATATTCTCTTGGCGGAAATAACCGAGGCGACTGCATCAACAGAGCGCTGTAGTTCTCATCCGAAAAGATGTCTTTCTTTAATTTTCGGAAGATCTTCAAACTGGGCCCTGACAAGAAGAAGAAGCAGTATGAACATGTACACAGAGACGTGAACCCAGAGGAAATCTGGGACATCATCGGAGAGCTGGGAGATGGGGCGTTTGGGAAAGTGTTTAAGGTAATGTATTATTACACCCGTCTTGGGCTTTTCTAACCCATTTCTTCAAAGACACTCGCTCCCGTTGTGTATCAGGACTCAAGATGTTGAATGACAGCAGTGACAGCACAGTCTTCATGCAGGCCACATCCACTGGTTCCCCTTTTCAAGAACTGCTGTTGAACGTAGATGCTCCAATTGACTGTATATCAGACCAGTACAGCCTGTAAATGTCTTATAATGAAAGAAATATGATCCAGTGTTGTGTATAGTAAAAGCTTCAACTCACCCGAGGGCTCTGCCAGGTCTAACACCTCATTTTTAAGATATGACGGGATGGAGATCCAACATAACTCGCGTTAAAATACCCGGTACACGGCCCCCGATATCGTAAAAATCGAGATAAATCGATTTTACGATCATTAATCAATCGCAAGGCATAAGACATATAATAGTGTTTGTTTAACTGAAGAAAACAAAATTCCTGTAGGGGTAAAGAGAAGGATTAATATCACGATGACAAGCAAAAGATAAAAAATTTGGTCATTATGTACTGCATTGTTTTATTAAACAGGCAGACATGGCGTCAGTGATCTAATAACTGCAAAGGTCAATGGTTTATTCAGTCTAAGATTTGCTGGGTTAGGATATAAATGTGACTTTGGCTTGCTATTAAACTGCACTTGGCCTTAGTGAAACTTCTTAAGTTAAGGGTCACCCACACAGAGTAAACATAACCTCCCACATATCAAAGTGAATGCAGTCTGGAGTTGCTTTGAGAGACCAGAGGACACACAGATAAACCTTGAAACATAAGGTGGATCCCTACAAACATAGAAGTGTATATACGTAAATAAGTATAAGTTCCTGAGGGGTGCTGTTTGGTTTCTGCTACAGTACATCTACTGTCGAGTGAACACAAAGCTTGCAGCACCATCAAGGTTTAATGCAAATTTATTGAAACAGCTGTGAAACAGTGTTTGTGGACGTTATAGGGAAATTATAGAGTGCCAGGAAGGGGGGTGTTTCCCGTTTTGGTGACTATTTCTAAAGCTGTTGTAAGTATGGAAAGGCATTGATAGGAATTTTCAGCTGAGGTTACTGGCATGTTCTTTTCATTCATAATATACAGTGTAATTTCAACAGTTTAAGTATTGTAAGTTCCTGAGTGACGTAGCAGAAATAAGTGTAGCTTGAAGCTCCATTTCTTCATCCGTTCAAGGCTCTTTTTTTCCAGCTTTCTTTTTCTTTTTCTCTATGACTTATCTTTTCCCTTCCTGTCCCCCCTGTGATCAAATAATGCTGCTAATGGCCCAGATATCTTAATTTGTCACTTCCTGGGTCTTATTAGCTGGTTTAACCAGCTGCGATGAAAGCCAGAAGACTTTCATGGCTTCTTGAACCAAGGTTTTAGAAAAACATCCAGGGGACACGCCTGCCTCCATCAGGACACATTACTGTCAACACTAAAAGTATTTCATCAGTTATTTCACAGCCGATGGGTGACGACGGCCTCATTTAGGCGGGGTGAGAAAAGACTGCCACCAAAGTGTGAATCAGCTGTTAAAGAGTCCTGCACTCATATAAATATCAACAGGCTCATTGTAGAAGTAGAGAGGTGTGTCACTTTGTTTGGAGCTATTAAAAACTGCACATATAATTCTAGTTGAGCACCCTGTCAGTTCACATTGTTAGATTATGGTGTGTGTGTGTCATTTAAAATAATTAAAGATAAAAAAATTCAGTCCTCCTACTGATGAGTTTGCCCATGCATTACAGCTACAGCGGTGTGTGTTGTTACTCTTATTTATTTCCACTCAGAAGTGATTTACCTGCCTTCAAGGATCAATATTACAATATTTTGGATTAAGAGATCTATCAACATGACACCCACAGATCTAATTTAATTCCTCGATGTTGTAAAAAGTCATGTACAAAATGACTCTTCATCACATCAGGCTGATTTTTTTACACAGGAGTCAGGCAGCACAATTGGATAGACAGAGGTGGTGTGTCAGGTCAGAACTGTGTAAATATAGGGTGTGACACACTCCTAACACTCCCTCCCTGTTCTTTTTCCTTAACTCCCTGAGATTGTGTCTGTATCCATAAACACAAAATCCACAGCCAGCCTTAAAATAACTCCTTGGCTTCTTTGGTAGATGAATGTTTAGTCATTTTTTTATTAGTCTCTGCAGCGCAGCAGCCTCATCAGGAGTGAAGATCCTTGTTAAGCTTGTAGACACAGCCTCTCGGTTGAACGGTCAGCAGAGATTATTACTGGTTTTCAAAATAAAACAGATTGTATGGAACCAGATGATAAAATTAACCTTCAACTCATATGATTTTTAATACCGCTATCATTTTCCCAACAAGACTAAGGTCTTGATATCTTGTCAGATTCCGATTGATGATTGATAGCAGTGTTGTGAGAAGGCGTGTCCCTCTGGGGTTGACAAGGACCAACTGCATTCACCTGTCAGTCAGGATACAACACAAACAGGGATTTTTTTATTAGAGCATAACAGTGCACTGTGTGTGCAGATGCAAACAGGTGCCAAGGCTGACTGGCAGCTGATCCAGGGGTGATGAGCTAAACACAGTCATCACAGACAGACATCGCTTTATGTGACGCTTCAGAGGAAGGGACAATTTGTGTCTCTTTCCCCCATCCTTTCCTTCTATCATTAGCTTATTTTTTTGCATCTCTTCATGCATCTCTAATGGAAGAGGCTAAGATCGATGTACGGTAAAGACATAAGTGGGATTTGTATAGATACCACTTCAGGGAGCTGAGATGTAGACAAGGAAACAAAAAGAGAGAATGTAGAGGTATGTTTCAGGAAACATATGTCCTTTCCTCCAGAGCATCGTGTGAAGCGACGTGAATTAAAAATGAAAAGAACCTATTCTCTGTTTATTCTGTGACCTGATTAGAGCCAATTTTGACCTGTAAAATACCAGATACTGTCTGTCAGTCAAAACACTCTCCTGACGGCTGCTCTTGTATGTTTCTGGGTATCTACCACCCTTCCAAATTCCCTCCTCTCTCCTTTATCCTCTCACCTCAGACAAGCTATAAGGCCATAGGATGAATGCCGAACATTGCAGGTCTGTTACTACTTCCGGTTCCAGACTGAGACAACATGTTAGAGAACTGAGACACAGGGTTACCAATGTGTAGCAACTCTCTGATTCATTTATGTCTTCTGACAAAATGATAGTTACATACTTGTCTGTAGGAACCATAGAGGAAAGTTACCCATTTCCCTTAACATAAACCCACAAATCATACATATATTTGGTAAAAAATTGAATAACTTCCCTGGTAATACTTCTGAGCCAGTTAGAACTATGTGCTTTTTTTCATCGCAGTTTTCCTCTTCAATATTTACCAACCTGTTATCATGAGGTATGTGTGTGGAGAACGTGTCTATGGGGTTTGTTTTGAGATGCACAAGCCGCACAAAGCCCTGCTGTTTATTGCTCTCCGTTCAGAATGGCTTTTGTCTTGGTTGAAATTGTAAATGTTGAGCGATGTACCTCCCCCTATTGTTGCTTGACAGAAAGCGTTTTGTTCTGTAGTCCAGCCAGTAGTGGTATCAGAAATGTATTGAACTGTATACTCTATTGAAACATCGTTCTGTCCTTTATTTATTAGTATATTTGTGTATTGTGAAACTATAATCCCGTGTTGACGCCAATGTTGCTTTCAGGCTCAGAACAAGCAGAATGGGACCCTTGCTGCCGCCAAGGTTATTGACACAAAGACGGAGGATGAACTGGAGGACTACATGGTCGAGATTGACATCCTGGCCTCCTGTAACCACCACCACATCGTGAAACTGCTGGATGCCTTTTATTTTGAAGGCAAACTATGGGTAAGTCAGCCTTCCCTGTTTGTTGCTGTTGATTTTAAGCCAAAGAGACACTGAGGCAATGAACCAGTCTCACAGGGAGACACGCAAAATGATTTCAAGCCACTGTTTTTGTTGTGCTATTTCCCAAAGGTTCTCATATCATATGATTTAAAGATGAAGGAGTATTTTTCTTGTTGATTGCAGTGGAAGAGTTTAAAACCAGTCACGTAGTCCTGTTACATTTACTCCTCAAGATTTGCATGCAGTGTCTAGGCAAGAGTGCGTAGAAAGTACAGGGGCAGAGTCATTCCACCGTAAAGCCGGCAGCGGAGGTAGAAATAGAGAAGTACAAGCACCAAAACAAAATCTGTATAATTGAGTGAGCTGGAAAGACAGAACTGCACCAAGGGGTGTATATGAATCTCGCTCTGTTTGTTTACATATTAAGCCTCTGTTGGATCCAAACACCGTCTAAAACCCCTCACTGTTGCACAAATTTGACTGCATTATGTGTTTGAGCTAAATTACATCGCAGCTTCAGAACTTCTGTGTCTCAAGGTCTAGAAGCCAGTTCAGAGCTAAGGCTGCATGTTGAGGAGCAGGATTGCATGACCTCTCAAATACACTGGTCAAAGGAATCTCAAGAAGTTGACAAGAAGTTGACAAAAGATCAAAATCCTCTTTAATTTCTCATCAGTTTCCTTGTAGAGTTGTTCAGTAAGGAAGGAGAATTGGTCATCATGCGTGTGCTCTTCATACATGATCAGTCGATCTCATTCTGTGTGCGCACTAAGAGGCCCCACAGCAATTAGGTCCAGGCAGGTGGTGTCATGTGACTGTCCCTTGTGGACTGGCCACATCTATTGGATGATAATGGAGTGGTTTTGGTGGCTGGAGAAAGTGCTTATGAATTATTCAGAGCAGCATACAGGTTTGTCCCTCTAGCACCCCGTCCGGCATTAAAGCAGCGTGACGAATGTGTAACTGCTCCTGCTTTGCATGTATTGGCTGTTGAGTTAATGTATAATCATACTGCCTCCTTTTCAGTGGAATATTCAGCAATAAAACATACTGTATGTCGCCCAAAAAGTGCAATTTTGAGTGGGAAAGAGATTACAATCAGCGACTTCTAATCTGTGTGCTCTTCACTTAGTGAAACACCTGTATGAATCACAGGTGTATATATTACACAGAAGATTCACACAGACACAGTAAGTTATAATGAACTGCAGAACAGGAACTCCTGCTCTTCTTCCCTTTGTTTGAATAGTGGGTGGTGCTCGGTTGTAGCTTTGATTGATTTTTCTATCATCTGATACCCTGAGCTGCCAACTCACCAGCAAAGCCAATATGAATGAAGAGTGGTCAGGTGCATTACATCAGCTATTGAGACTGAGTTCAGGATCTGGTCGACTACCCATCTGAATAACAGGATTAATGTTACATAGTTATATTCATCTAATGCGCTGCAGCTTCCCTGACATAACTATGATGTGCTGTATGCAGGAATGGATCCATGGTTCTCCTGTTATCATATTAGCTCAGTTAAACTGTATAAGAAGCATTGTGTTGTTTTGCTCAAAACTTGTGTGTAATGCCTACAGTTGGCAGATTAAAATAAATCCACTTGTTGAAGTTACTAACTTCTTTGTTTATTCCAAGCAGTACTTCCCTGCATTATGATTTGCATATTTTTATTTCTGTCTTTAGTGTTTGTTTCAGAGCTGACATCGCCTGTGCTGTGTGGTACATGAGATCTTCATCTTAACAAGTGTTAGCCTAAGGCCTACTTAAAAATTCTGTATTGCCTAAATGAGGAAGTAGTTTTTCATCATAATCTATGAAGAAACATCCTGGTTATGAGTCACATGTGGACATACGCACCACCCATTTACACCCCCCAAAAAATAGGAAATGTTCTTACGTGACCAACTGTCACAGCCTACTCTGCATAGTTTCATTGGTGCAGGAGGATCCCGGTCGATTTCAGTCTCCTTTCTTGCAACTCTTGCACAAAAAAGGACTGAAAGTGTAGATTGTAGTGGGATAAAAAGAAAAGATGCTCAGTGTGGCTGTCCCATGTAAGATCGATAAGCTTCTTGGAATGTCTTTGCAGTGTAATCAATAACATAGAGCCAGGGTTGTGATGTCTTTCTCATAAAGGTCATGTTGTTCAGCAGACACACAGATGGCACAAGTTCTTCCCAGAGTTGAGCGATTGAGATGTAGTGTTATCGAGAGCTAAATATGTGCTTTTCATTAGTTTCTCTTTGTTTTTGTGCCACTGTTGCAGATTCTGATCGAGTTCTGTGCAGGCGGTGCAGTGGATGCCATCATGCTGGGTAAGTCCCTCCTTCATGAAGGAAACCGAAAAAGAAAAGACCTGAAGCCTTTTCTTTGCTCCATCCTCCTGTGCCAGCTCTTTTAATTCCATCCAGAAGCCTCCTCTGTGGGATTTTTTTCCCTCTCACCAGTTAAAGAGGCCACTCCAACTGTGTAATTATTGAAGCTCAGATTTCAAGGAGTGGTTTGTCCACTTTGTGCAGCTTCTCTCTCTTGTTTTGAAGCTTAAAGAAACACCTTAACACTTTTTCTTACGTGTGAATTACACTTTTAAAGAGGACACTCATTTATTCTCTTTACTGTTGAATTTTTTGTACTTTTGGCTCTGTTGTCTGACTCAACTGGAACATTTTCCCCCATATTTGTCCAGTCATACATGCTGGCTGGTTTCAAGATACAGTTTGGTCCCACAGTTGCTATTGGATACCAACAGGCTTTCTTTTTGGGTATTCCTACATCCAAATGACTAAGTGTGTGTTCAAAAAGGCACAAAAATCTGAAACAACGACATATGGCCCAGAGTAAAATGACTTTTTAAGAGTTCTCTCTTATGTATGTTAATCCACAGAGCTGGAGAGACCCCTGACAGAGCCCCAGATCCGTGTGGTGTGCAGGCAGACCTTGGAGGCCTTGTGTTACCTCCATGAGAACAAGGTCATCCACAGAGACTTGAAAGCCGGGAACATTCTCCTCTCCTTGGACGGAGAAGTGAAACTAGGTAATAAAACATAAAGAAATAAACACTCATCTTCCTGCTGCTGCATTTATTATCATAACATTTTTCCTAATGTTAAGGATTAGTCACTCTCTCTTAAAAAAAATACCTCACAGAAACAGCAGCTGAGTTATTGCTGATTCCCTCTCAGAAGGTTGTCCTCAGTGGCCACGCTAAACCCTCCTGCAGGACCAGCGCTAATAGGCCTAAAAAGCTAATTAGGAAAGTCAATTGTTGATCCCTTGGCCTTTAATACTTTGGCAGCCAGCTGAGCTGTGTGACTTCAGGGAGTACAGCACTGTGTTTACATGTGCTCAAAGTCCCCCATTCATTTGGCATACTGTAAAAAGACGAAGTGTTAACTGTGGAACTGCATATTTTCATACACCACTGATACTGGAGTGGCTGATATGTTGTATTGGTTACATAATATTCTTGCCAAGTAGAAGGGACTGTTTTGCTGCTGTAGCATCCATAGCTGCCGGCTACCTGATGATTCACATTCTGTAGGCAGAGGGTCATGACAGAGCTTGGCAAACAATAATTATCAGGCAGTCACCAGGGACTTAATGATAGATCTCCTTTTCCCTTTAATGTGTACAAACTGTAAGCGATGCAAGAAGAAGAGCAGGCTGGAGTCGCAGCACAGGTTACAGACCTGCGGTTCGAGAAGCAGCCTTTTTTAAAGCCCTTTGGGTTTTTCTGATGATTCTTTCAGGGGCTTGCATTTAAAGCAGGGATTTTGTGAAAAGAGTATGAATATGATGTATGTTATTTTCTAACTTCTTTCCCAGTTGAGTCACTGATTATCACAGAGGGTCTCATTGTGCAGAGGAGTTTGATTCACTGATGAAAAGAATCATAAGTCATTTCTTCTTTCAGCTGACTTTGGGGTGTCTGCTAAAAATACCAAGACGTTACAGAGAAGAGACTCTTTCATCGGCACTCCGTATTGGTGAGTCATGCAGCCTGCATACAAAAGGGCATTTACCCCTTCCCATCTGATAAATGTTCTACAACTAGGGGTGATAAATCCTCTATACATTGGTTTAGAAGCTGGCATGATCACGAAAAAAGCCTCATTCAGGAACTAAATGAAGCATTCAAGACTGGAAAGCTTTCTGATTTTCTAACCTCATATTTCAATCTTGCGAATAGTAATGTGTGTTTTCTCTTTCTGGATAAAGAAAATTACGTAAAGAAACTTGAATGGTTCAAAAGCATGATGAAACGAACACATTTACAAGCAGTCCAAAATTAACATATTGCTAATTATAAACCCACCCATTTCTCATTTGGCAGGATGGCCCCAGAGGTGGTGATGTGCGAAACTTCCAAAGACCGTCCATACGACTACAAGGCCGACATCTGGTCCCTAGGGGTTACCCTGATAGAGCTGGCACAGATTGAGCCGCCCAACCACGAGATGAATCCCATGAGGGTGCTGCTGAAAATAGCCAAGTCCGAGCCGCCCACACTCATGCATCCCTCTCGCTGGTGAGATATTGCTCTAGTGGTGACATGAGAGGTGGTGCTGGAATGTTTACCCACATGTGATAAGGATACCTTGACTATTGGGAGTTGGACAGCCTTTTGAATTGTCAGTGCTCGACTTAATGTCCACAGGGGGGAGAATAGTATGAGCTTTATTCCACCCAAGAGTGCATGTTGTGCAATAGACAGCAAACTGATTCTGTTTTATGTTGCTTTGAAAGGTCACCCGAGTTCAACGACTTTCTACGGAAAGCACTTGATAAGAATGTGGACAACAGGTGGGGCTCAGTGCAGCTTCTGCAGGTGAGTTTACTCTACCTACATCTACTAAATTCAAATTCAACTTTATTTGTATGGCACTTTTAAGAAAGAAAAAAATGTAGTTTAAAATGACTCACAGAGGCTAAAAACAACAATTAAACAACAAGAAAAAGACAAAGAACAGAGATAATTAATAAAATTACATTAAAAAAACACGAAGAACTTTGATTAAAATGAACATTTGCAGTAAGAGAAATATGAAAATAAGAGAAATATGAAAAGGCAATCAGTGAAAAGCCTGGTTACTACCAAAGTAAAAAAAACAGATAACCCAATCTACGATTTCAAAGGATGCAAGTGTGAAGAAGAAACACGGGTCAGCAGAAAAGGTGATGATGCAGCTTCCGTACATGCACAGTTTCACATATATTAACAAATATTAGGGGTAGGATAAAAAATCCATACAGCTTAGTATTGCAATATTTTGTCTGGTGATATATCGTAACATCTCATTTACCACGTATCAATTTTTCAAATTAATTGCTAATATGAAGTCAAATCTATGATTATGGAAAAATAAAATCAAATGTTTGTCCAGTGAGGTTGGCAGAGGTGACATCATAGAGCAGGAGAAGGTTAGCACAACAAATATGTCTAAGGTTTACAAGATGTGCTACATGAAAATAAAATAGTGTAAATAAGAGAAACAAAGAGGGACGCCAAATGCTAAATTAGCTTAACAAATTGCAGTAATATCGCATCGTGGCCCAAGTATCGTGATAATATCGTATCGTGGCCCAAGTATCATGATAATATCGTATAGTGGGGCCAGTAGTGATTCCCACCCTGAACACATATAGGAACATCAGTCCCCATATTTCTGCTTCATGTCCCTGTCTGTCTCCACAGCATCCTTTTGTTAGCAGTGTAGCAGATTGCAAACCTCTCAGAGAGCTCATTGCAGAGGCCAAAGCTGAAGTCACAGAGGAGCTCGAGGATAGCAAAGAGGAAGAGGAGGAGGAGGAGCCTGATACACCTCTGGTATGTGGTTTTGTTGGTTTATGTGTACAATACAATCAAAGGCTCCTAACCAAAGATTGTGTACGCTTTGACAGATGTTGTTTCTTGTAGGAAAAAATCTTTGCTTAGATATTTTTATCATTTATTTATGTCGTATTGTTTGGATTAGGCGGCTCCTGGGCACAAGCGGGCGCCGTCAGACGTCAGTGTGGCCAGTTCAGAGGATGACAAAGTCCCAGCGACTCCCTCCACTCTGGAATCTGTCACAGAAAAGACAGAAATAGTGCCTGCTGAGGACCAGACCACTGATAAGCTCTCTGATGAAGGAACTGGAACAAGTGAGGCGAACAAGACTGAGGAGGAGAAACTCAACGAGGTGTCAAAGGCCAAAAATGAAGACCTGGTTTGTGGGCCAACAGAGCCCACAGAGGACTTGATCTCACCAGCTCCTACTGAGCCTAAACCAGAAGATGTAAAAACAGAGGAGATTCCTGCTGAGCCTGTATTATCTCAACCTAAAGAAAATGGTGAAATTCCCCAAGAAGTTGTCCAAGACGGTCAAGAAACACAGGAAGAACAGAAAGAGAAACCAGAGGAGAAAGCAGAGGAAGATTCTACTCAAGTAATAGAAGAAAAGGAAAAAGCAGAGGAGGAGGAGGAGGAGAAGAGAGAGGAGGAGGAGGAGGAGAAAGAAAAAGAAGCAGGTACAGACGATGCTAAAGAAGCACAAGTACAACCTGTGTACAAACAAGAGGAACCAGAGTCCACATCAGGAGAGGCGGAGCAAGCAGAAGAAAGAGAACCAGAGGAGGAGATCTCTCAGCAGAAAGACATTGAGGACAGAATAGAGGACAGGGTAAACGGCACAGATGTAAATACAGACTCTGAGAACATAGAATCAAATGTAGTGGACACCAACATAAATGGAGAAACAGACATCAAGTCGGGTGTGGATGAGACCCCTGCTGAAGTCATATCAGAGAAGGAGGCCCCAGAGAGTCAGCCAGAGAAGGCACCTGAAGACGAGGCTCCTGAGAAGGCAGATCACCCCGAAGAAGTCAATCCACCCAAAGATGAAGCGGTACCTGAGGAAAAAGCACCAACCGAATCTATAAACGGAGTCACCGATGAAGCCAAAGAAACCTCAAAGGATCAAGAAAAAGCGGCCCCAAGTGAGGATGTCCCCGTGAGCGAGGATGAGGTGAAGGCCGCTCCTGCTGACGAGACCACCTCCCAAGATGCTGTCTCTGTCCAGGAGAGCGAAACAGATTCAGAATGCAAGATGGAGCCCGGCAGCCCGGCTGTGATCAAATCTGATTTGGAGAAGGACTCTGACTCTGGCAGTAGCTCTGCTGCTGATACAAACAGCCTCGACCTCAATCTGTCCATCTCTAGCTTCCTGTCCAAGAGTAAAGAAGGCTCTGTTTCGATGCAGGTAGACTAATCAACGTCTCACCTCCGATTTCAGTTTTAAACTATTTGTCTTAAAACCAAGATCCTTAAACGAACCTTTTTTTTTTCTCTACAGGAGTCAAAACGTCAGAAAAAAACGCTGAAGAAGACGCGCAAGTTCATGGTGGATGGAGTGGAGGTCAGCGTGACGACTTCAAAGATAGTGACAGATAACGACACCAAGAGCGAAGAGATGAGATTCCTGAGGTACAAACGCGTTCAATCTGCCCACTGTGCCGCCACGCTAAATATGTTACATGGCCTATTTAACATGTCGGTCTTAAATAGTCCTGCTTCACTCATGACTCCCACAGCTTTTTGCAAATGCCAGATGGGTTTTCTCACATGATGCACGCTGCGTTATGTTACTGTCAGCTCTCATCACGGTGCCTTTGTAAGACGCAGTATGTGCTGCTCTGGATGTTTGGACAGGTGCTGCATGATTCTCTTCTGATGGGTCCATAACCTCCTGTCAGTAATGCACAGGGTTAACATGTTGGTTTATATTATAGTGATTGAGTAATCGGGAGATATGAACCATAAAGGAGAAAAAAGTAGCCTATTAATAACTGTGGTCCATGACTTATGGGATATAAAGATGTACTCTATGATTTAAAAAGGAGAGTGCTTTGTGAAATAAATTGTGAATCATGAATAAAAAGCTGTTGAATTTCACTTGTATAAATGTGGTGACACCCTGACTCATTGTTGGCGGTTTCTTTAGGCGGCAGGAGTTGAGAGAGCTGCGCCTCCTGCAGAAGGAGGAGCAGAGGGCCCAGCAGCAGCTGAGCAACAAGCTGCAGCAGCAACGAGAGCAGATCTACCGGCGCTTTGAACAGGAAACAACTGTGAGTCAGTTCGTTTTAAGTGCTGTGGTGTGTTTTCATTCGGCCTACTCCTAGGAAACTCAATGTTTCAACTCTGAGCTGATCCTAATCTACAGGAGCTGTAATAAAGCACACAGCAAGACACTCTCTGTCGTGTTTTTATGAGTTTTCATACAGTCTAGGTTAAAAAGACACCATCATTCTTTTTTATCATTTACTTATTCCCTGTTTACAAGTGTTAAACTAAACTTGCAAACGCTCATTATCTTCTAAGCCTGCTGTGTTGATCGTTTTGTCTGCGCAGGCTAAGAAGCGCCAGTATGACCAAGAGGTGGAGAACCTTGAGAAGAAGCAGAAGCAGACCATCGAGCGGCTGGAGCAGGATCACACCAGCCGGCTCCGAGATGAGGCCAAACGTATCAAAGCGGACCAAGACAAGGAGCTGTCCAAGTTCCAAAACATGCTGAAAAACAGGAAGAAAGAGGTACGAGGGTGCATGGCTGTCTCTGCATGCATGCGTGGGGGTGCCTCCTGGGTAGTTCTTAGTTGGGTTATCATACTGTTTAATGATGCATGTGTTTAGCGACTTACTTACTTACTTGGCTGTAATATATTAATCCAGTGGGAGCGGTGGTCCTTGCTGTTTTGCTTGGTGCTGTGTGTGTACAAGTGATAGCCGCAGACACACACTGTGCTATCTCTCTCATAGATGCTTCTAGCTCCATGTAGTTGTTTGTATCTATTATTCATCTGCCCCGGGGCCTCTAGATGCCTCCTTAGCAACACTCTCCTTCTGAGTCTGTTATGTTAAGAAAAACCCTTAATAAAGGTGCAGTCTCAGGATTTGTGTAATACCTAATCATGTTGGCTTCTCTGTAAATATGCTGGGTCTTCCTTCTACAGTCTTTCTCTGCTTTTATAGCCTTAAGTTGTTTGTTTTGCTCTTAGTTGTCGTGTTTTGCTTTATGCTGCTTTTTTCCGGCAGTGCTGGTTAGCTTTCATTGTGTATTACAATGCCTTCATGGTGGTTGTGCAGCTCATAATTTGCTTTCTGGGCTTTTTAGAGAAACATTTTGTTGCGCTGGTTGGCTTAAAGCAATGTTTTTCAATTGTATTAAGCTAGAAATATAGATGTATGCTATGAAATACGTGTTTTTAATCTTTGTTTGTACTATTTTGTATTCTTTCAAAATGTTTTGTCATTGTGTATTCAACTAACCATGTTTCTTGTATGAGTGAGTGGGGTGGCTTTGGTCATGGGAAGGCCAACTTTTGAAGAATTTTCTGAGTGGTGTTGGGCTCATTTTGGGAAACAATGATGAAAGCATAATTTTAGAGTACCTGAGGTGGAATCATCTTGGACATATTTTTTCAAGAATTTAAAGTCCCATTCCAATCGTTTTTTTTTTTTTTTTTACGACTTAGAGTCTTATCAGTAGTCTTTAAACTCTGATTATGAAGTTTTTAGCCAAAATCACATTACCTTTGTCGTTTTCAAGAGCATTTCTTCTGCAGAGCTCCAGTAGCTCATTAGCAATTCGCCTCTGAGCCGTGGATGGAGACAGCGCTGCTCTGCACACTTCTCCTCGAGTTAGCTTGCAGCCTAACATTGCTAACGTAGAAGGAGAAACAGGTAACATAGGAGTTATTCAGCTCTTGGATATTATAGTTAGATTTTTTACGAACATTTCAATCCGCTAACGCAGACACTTGTTCTGCGATTGTCCTCTCTATTTCTCCGAGCCTGGTCTGCATAGCGGGGCTCCGGGGGCAGAGCTTGGATTGGTTACGTAGGAAATCTCATTGTATCTGATCCTGTTGTTTGGTTCTGCCAGAGATTGACAGCGATTTTAAGGCAGAAATATTAAGGAATGAAATTTCGCACTTATTTTTCTCATGATATGTCCTCTAGTATCAGAAAAATGCTATATGAACATGTAGACAACAAGAAAAACATGATTTTCAAGTCAAAGTGTCAAAGTGCCTTCAGTGTTGCCATAAGAATGAAAAACAACCCCAGCAGCTCTTAAATCAAAAGAATACAGTTGCTATAGAGTTACACTACAACAAACAGAGAAAACTGTTATAAGTAGAGTTGTAGAAATGGAACAGGAAACGGTGAGTTTGTGGTGACTCCCCGGTGCCCCACAGACTAAAAAAGCGCTCTACCTGAAGATGAAAGCCATCTTTGAAACTAGACATGCATGCCTCGAAGCCTCGACATCATTAAAGTTACGAGTTTTGAAACTTTGAATTGTGCTGCAACCTGACACTCTCAACAGAGAGTAGGTCACTGTCATTTCTCAGGAAATAGGTGCATTTTAAAGGTACAGGGTCTTTTTGGATCAGTTATAGTCAAGAACAATTCTTAAAACAAAGATTAGCTCATGAATAAACCAACAAGACTTGAATAATCTGTCAGAAATATTAAATATATAGAGGTCTCAGATGATTCCATCCCAGCTACAGGAATAATAATCATCATCTTAATGGCTGTAGGACTTAATAGGATGCAAAGTAACCCAGCAGAGGCTGATTTTGAGACTAACATCTTCTACTCTGGAACTCTCAAATCTTTCTTTTGACAAAATCATGACCTGACTCTGACTTGTGCAGTTATGATTGCGATGTGATCCCTAAAAATACTAATCAAAAAGACTGACTGATTATTTCGAGGGCACATTGCGGTGGGAATCATGCATGCAGACTTCAGATCATTTGGTGGCTGGTCGCAGGGTATCTCCTCTCAATGTGGGCCATGCATGTCTCCTGTATTTGTTGGCCAGCTTTGGTAGATTCTCAGAATATTTTGGCATCAACCAGTTTCTGCGTACAAACACACTGTAGGCCAAACAGGAGCTCGGACAATCACCCAGACACTCGAGAAAAGAGCTCATGAAACGCATAAAAGAGGACCTGTCGCTCCTTAAGTCTGCAGAGGTAAACTGTCACCTTCTGTCTCCATCTCTGTGATGGAGTAACATTTCCCTCTCCTCTTTCTTTCTCATACTCCTCTCTCTCTCTCTCTGCAAACTCAGTCCTTTTTTTAGGTATTCATATGTGCAAAATAAAGAATAACATCCAAAGTTTTTTCCATGTAGCATTTTATTTAGGTGTCAAAAATGTAGATATGATTAAATAATTTGACACAATAAGACTCCTTTGAAATGTGGAAATCTAGAGCCCGACCGATTTATTGGCGAGCCGATTAAATCGGCCAATTTTAGCCTGTTTGAGACTAATCGGTAATCAGTCAAAACTCGAAAACTCACTTTAAAAAATGTTCCGCCATTTGAAAAGTTCCCCGACTTATCCTGTAGATGGCGCAGCCACCTCATGACAATCTTCATCCACTAACTACCTCACAGCACAGCAGAGTGAAGGAGCTGAAGCAGGCAGCTCAGGGACACACAGAGGAGAGTGGTCCACCTCAACAGTCAATAAACTAGATTGTGAAGCAGATTGTGAAGTCAACAAGTTTCAGTTCAACTCACTTTACGAAGTTCCCCGCTGTGCTGGTCTAGGTCACGCCGAGTTAACGGTGAAGCACAATGTAATATGCAAGCCCCCCCCCACATTCTGAGTTTGATCAGTCGGTCTTCCTGTCAGCGTGAAGAGCAGTAGCCTACAGTATGTCTACTGTATATATTTTATATATAAAATTATATAACTTATTATTTTCATTTTTTTTTAAATCAGCCGATTAATCAATAATCAGATTCCCCCCCCCCCCCCCCCCAATAATCTGTATCGGTATCAGCCCCAAAAAATCCATACGGTCGGGCCCTAGTTTAAACTGGAGTTTTTCCCATTTACTTTAAGGTTGAAATGGGTCATTTTTTCTAGTCAGCACCAGAATCACTCGACAGCTGAACGAATGATTAATATTTCAACAAGCCAAAGGGAAGAGGCTGTAGTGCCATAATGCTACAGCACTGCCTGGATGTAAGCAAGACAAGTGAGGCAGTATTCTTCCTCTTTCTCAGTTTTTAGAGATATCCAAGTTATCTAATCTATCCATGATGATGAATCATTGTGTATCAAACCTGTGATTACTACTCAGTAAGAGAATAGGGATCTAATAACAGGGGAGCGATTACAGACAGATTTTATTTCCATGGTGCGATCTGTGCTGAAATCTTTTTCCAACTTTGTTTCCCTGCATCTTTTATGAATAAGACATGAGTCCAGTGGATAGAGACCTTCTTGTTTTGGTAAGGTAATTCTTAGATTGTTAACAGTACTTGAGCTGGTAACATGAAAGCAACAAACCTGCGTTGTTGCGAGCCAGATTTAACTCTAGCGCCGGTCTTATGAGCCGCTGTCAAGCATGAAAAGAAATGTTTAATAACTTATTAACCACCTCCCTCCTAACATTTACCCAGAGCTGTGCTGTGCCGCCTTAAACTTACTGATTATTCCAAAAGTGGAAAAGGGCCATCTATTACATAACTTAGAAAGACTCAGAATGTGTGTGCGATGGTGTGTGTATGTATGTGTGAGAGAGATCCTCAGCCCTGTGTGTGCTGTCTGTCCCTGATCAGGGCGAGTGCGCTGTTTGCTCTCCTCCGCAGGCAGTGGCCCAGGTTATGATACAGTCTTTTCAGTTGTCCTCATGTGCACTCTTCAACGCTCAGATGCAGGATGTAAGTCACCCCCTCCCTCCACCCTCCCCCGCCTTGTTTCTCTCCGTCTCTGGCCCATACTTAGATGTGAGCGATGTAAAGCGACAGGCTAGCTTGTGGTGGTTCAGGTTTTTACACACATGTAAGCATGGGCAGCTGTTTTATTGATTCATTTATTTGTTGATTTTTCAGTGTTGCTATCACTGTGTTTGTGCAGTGGTTCTCTTTCCCTTCTCGACTCAGTATTTCTTTCATCAATCCACAGATGTCCCTCATCTTATCTGTGTGTGTTATACGCTTTTTTTACACACTATGTATGTAGAAGGCTGTGAGAGCGGGTCTGGATTCAACACGTCTCCTCAGGAGGTGTTGTGGTGGCCTGTCTGGATCCATGTTTGTCTCAGTCAAACCAAACTCCAAATTTAGAGCGACCGCCTCGCAGCATGGATTTAAAAGTCACTTGTAATTCCTGTGATTGATCGTTGTATCACATGTCAACAGTTTGATCTGCAGTACTAAAACGGTTTTATAACAGTGACAAGGGCAATTTTTTATTATTCTGAATAGGGGTGGGAGAAAAAATCGATACACATAAGTATTGCGATGTTTTGTTTTACAGTTTTTAGATCGATTTTTATGTTCAAAAATCTTTTTCTTTTTTTAAATTAAGAATAAATCTTAAAAACTGACTTACATGTGATGTGTATTTCTTGGGGAAATATGATACCTGGAATAGTCAGTTGATAATCATAATCATTCAACTGTTCCATTGGTGTTAAAAATGCAGACTAAAAATCGAGAAAATCGACAGTATCGCAGAATCGCAATTTAAATCGAATCGGCATCCAAAAAAATCATAGAAGAATCGAATCAGGAGAAAAGCATATTGTCCCAGCCCTAATTCTGAATAATAGTCAAATAATGGCATAGATAACCTTAGATAAGCCATAAGCCAATCGTTAGAAATATAAGGAATAGATCTGAACATGTTTTTAGATGATGAGTAAACACAGGAATAGCATTTTTATGTTGCTAATTATCTAATAAGTCATGCATAAATCAGGTTAGCCAAGCTCTGGACTATGTGAATGTTGATGTCAGTGTTGTCTCCCCCAAAGCTGTGAATCTAAATCTTTACTGAACTCTTACCTACTCTCCCTCTCTTTCTCTCTCTCTTTGTCTCTTCACCTCCATTGTGGATCGTTGCCATATATGACCTCTGAGTGTCTCTCTCTCTTTCTCTCTCTCTCTCTGACTCCAGTTGATGATGTGACATCTAAGTGACTCTGTGTTGTACTGAGCTTGAAGTGCTTGACTGGGTTATATAACTTCATTCCAAGCAGATATACGTATAGATTTGATATTTCTTCGTCTCTGTTGTTGTTGTTGTGCTCTCTCTCTCTCTCTCTCTCTCTCTCTCTCTCTCTCTCTCTCTCTCTCTCTCTCTTTGCTCTCTGCTGTCCCTCTGTCTATGTGACCTCTTGGGTTTCCTCTGCTCACTTCTCCTCTTCTTCTCTGGATCCTCAGGAGCAGGAGTTTCTGCAGAAGCAGCAGCAGGAGCTGGACGGAGCTCTGAAGAAAATCATCCAGCAGCATAAACTGGAGATCGCCACTATAGAGAGAGACTGCCTCAACCACAAGCAGCAGCTGATGAGAGGTGTGATTATATATCTATATTTTTCTCTGTTTTGATCAACTCTCAGCTCATCAACACACAACAGAGAAATGAGAATATAGACGTGCTCTTTGAGACCTGTTCCAGCTTGTCTGACTCGCTTTGTTTCAATCACTTCACTTGTCACTGCCTGACATGCATGTACATGTTTGCTGACTCACTCTAAAGTGAAATGACCTGATTATTTACATGTTTGTTGAACCCATGTGTGTTTTGAAGCTCGGGAGGCAGCCATGTGGGAGTTGGAGGAGCGCCACCTCCAGGAGAAGCACCAGCAGCTGAAGCAGCAGCTGAAAGATCAGTACTTCCTGCAGAGGCACCAGCTGCTGAAGAGACACGAGAAAGTAAGAGTTGAGGAGAGGAAGAATGTGAGAATGTGAGGACTTTTTTAGAGAAACACTGCTGGACCTGTAAATCTGCGTGTGTGTGTGTTTAACAGGAGATGGAGCAGATGCAGCGCTACAACCAGCGGCTGATCGAGGAAATGAAAAATAAACAGACCCAAGAGAGGGTCCGTCTGCCCAAGATTCAGCGCAGCGAGGCCAAAACCCGCATGGCCATGTTCAAGAAGAGCCTCCGCATCACCGCCACCGCATCTGTCACCCCTGAGATGGAGAGAGAGAAGATAAAGCAGGTGCAGATGTTGTGGAGTCTGTTTCACATTTTGTGCCTGGCAAACTGAAGCAGAAGTGACTAAATATTCAGAGTCTTTATTTAGCAATACTAAATACCCTGAACCCTGAATGATCTCAGCTGGTTCAAATCATAGACCAGAACTTTCCAGTCTCCATTTCATAAGCGCTACTGGTCCGGCCTGCGTCATCGTGTTATTTTGTTTGGTTAAGAGCAGCAGTTAATCCCAGTGAAAATATTAACTATAGCTTCATTTTCTCTGCAGCACAAACAAGCTGGAGAAAAGAACAGATATTAGCTGACAGTCACCTCTCCTTTCACATGTCTGTTCATTCATCTGTCAGGCAGCTAAATAGGGCTTTGACTGGTAGATGGAGCTAAAGCCATTAGTCTGTGCTGGCAGTGCACATCAATTTGACCTCAATTTCAGATCACTTTTCACTCGTGCTTTATGCTGATAGTTAACAAAATCACCTCGTAGCGTTTCTTCTTTTCTCCATTTTGACTGGGAAGTCTGGTTTATAGGACATTTTGCTAAAATAACTTACAACCATTTCCTGATAGCAGCAGCAGCTCTAGACTTGAAAATTGTACCCTTGGAGAAAGATTTTGGGGTTTGTTCTCTTCCTGCAATTGGAGTGGAAAAATCAGACATCTGAAGTCCTGTCCTTTCTTGATTTTGATTGGTCCCCAAAGAAAAAGTGACTTAATTGTGTGTTGTTAGGATGTTTTTTGTTTTTTGTTTTTGTGTAAGGTTTTCATTTTCATTGAGGCTTTTGTTGTTTATTTTCCAGTTTGGTGTTCAGGAGGAGAAAAGGCAGAAGAACGAGAGGCTCCATCAACACCAGAAACACGAGAACCAGATGAGGGACCTTCAGCTGCAGTGTGACTCAAACATCAGGGAGCTGCAGCAGCTGCAGGTGAGGCCACAAAAGACACAATACAGCCTTTTCTTCATGTGAGTTTAGAGCACAGTTTATCACCTAAGAATCGCAGTCCAATTGGATATATTTTTATTTTTTAATTTAACCTTTATTGAACTAGGTAAAATCCCATTGAGATCATGATCTCATTTACAAGGGCGACCTGGCCAAGAAGTCAGCAGCACACGTCATAATAAATGCAATAGATATAAGGGAACCAACAACATAATCACAGTTAAAGTGCGAAATATGCAGAAATATATAAATAAGAATATGTAAATATTCAATTATCCATCCTAGTCATATTGTTTGAGGTAGTATAGTATATGCATAGTGTTTACGGTTTCATAATCTTTTGTTAGTTCAATACCCTTATTTTCCATTAAGTTGGACAGATTACTCATAATCAACAAAACTGATCTCGTGTCATTTTATTGCAGAAAAACAAGCTTTACCATTTTGATCATACGTGAGCTGTGGATCTTTAGAGAAAAAAATGGAATAGGATGATAAAGTAAAAAGTAAAAGTCACTTTGACTGGATTAAAAGCAGAAATCTGAATATTATTTTAGTGCTGTAGGTAAGTCAGGATAAGTTAAGTGTTGTCTCTGATCATGTTAAACTTTACCGTCTCTTACAGAATGAGAAGTGCCACCTGCTGATTGAACATGAGACCCAGAAGCTGAAGGAGCTGGATGAGGAGCACAGCCAGGAGATAAAGGAGTGGAGAGAGAAGCTGAGACCCAGGAAGAAGGTAGATTTAGCATCTGTTTACTCTCTGATGTAGAAAGTGTGATGCAGCCCTTTGTCATTCTTCTATGTTCAGTAGAAATCTCCTGCAAAGTCTCAGTTGTTGGTATCTGCTGCCCCCTGCAGGCGCTGGAGGAGGAGTTCACACGGAAGCTCCAGGAGCAGGAGGTCTTCTTCAAGATGAGCGGCGAGTCCGAATGCCTTAACCCCACCACCCAGAGTCGAGTGTCTAAATTTTACCCAATTCCCAACCTGCACAACTCTGGTTTATAGCCTCGTGTCTACAGAAACAGACTCATATCTGGGACTGACTGTTCCTGGAGGAGGAGGAGGAGGAGGAGGAAGAGGAGCAACATCATTCCTTCGACCGACACTGATTTACATCAGAATACGTTCACTGCTTCAACTCCACTGTTAGTGAGCATGACGTGCCTACACGGTTTCTTCACACAGATGATTATTCTCAGCTTGTCAGGAAATGTCAGACGGATAATATGCACTTTTTTTCAAGCATGTTCACATTCTGAAAAAGTCTGCAGTCGGTAGCTAAGGCTAATCATGCTGAACATATACTGTAAATGTTAGCACAGCCGGCTACAGTATGAATGATCTCAGTGCCTCATATGCTCCTCATTTTTCTGCATTTAGGCCCTTTTCTGTGTTTCCTCATGTTTGCAGTAAGTACAGAGCCCCTGAATGTCATACCCTTCAATGACTGGTTATCAAAATCACAACATGTGGAGAGATTATTTGAGTTATTTGACATAAGTTGGTCATTAAATTTCTTGTTTTGCTGCATATAAGATGAGATGGTTCAGTAGAGAGAAAAGTTTGCCAAATGCTGTTTTAAGAAAAATGCTGTTAAGATCAGAAGAGTTCAAACGTAAAGGAATGTACTTCGCTGTAAACACGGAGTGTGCTGAGTAAAATGTTGCACCCACCTATTAGGTTTAATGTACCATGAGGATTTTACAGTCTTGAGAGATTAACAAACATCACATCGACTTTCATCTCAGCGCTGCACCACCAAACACATGAATCTAAAAACAGAGACGAGCGCCGAATGAGGAAACACTGTTCTCTTCATGTTTAAAAGAAGAATATAAATCGCTCTATCTTCTCGCAGTTATTTCGAGCTGTGGTCTCACAATCAAACGCTTTGTTGTGAAGTGCTAAAGGAATGTAAAGCTGTTGATTTGCACTGTTTTGCCACATGAGCTAAATAATGAAAATATGCAGTAGTTTACTGTCAATGCGTGTTTGACAGCGAGTTCATTTTGTGTCACACAGGCTGGTTCAGATTTCCAACAGAGTCATTTCAGCGTTTTTATTCTTTATTTTGTTCCGAGTATACCCTTTACTACTTTATGACCACATCTATTTTTTGTGGACATGTGTTGCTGATTTATTGATGCTGTAATCACTGTTATTTTTGGTGATACCAGTGCTGTATGAAAGGTTAAAAGCTGTATTCATTTTAATCCGACACATGAGGAGACGTGTCTCGCTGTATTTCATGAGAAAAGTATTGATGGTTCACAAAAAAGAGGCTTCGACATATCTGGTTGTTTCGTTTCCGCCACCGCGTATCATCAATGCATGTTCTTATTTCTGTATGCTGACATTGACATTGATGAGTGTTTCTGTCACGGATGCTGGATTTTAATGGGGTCATCATCAGAGACTGTGTCATGTGAATCACACCACACACCCCGTAGATTTGAAATATTTTTTTATTTTGTTAAGTTACAGCATTTTGGATGTGTCTGTAAGTTCCATCACAATGAATATTCTTAGTATAGGCATTTTTTTGATGTCAGATCAAATGTATTTAAAGTGTCTTTATAAACGGACATTTCCTTTTGTTGTAAATAAAATATTAACTGTTTATTTGAAATGACGTCGCCGTGGGTGAAATCATTCTCACATAAATCTCAACACCCACGAGTCCAAAAATAGATTTATTTGTGTGTCGATCAAAGGTGAATAAGTCGAGTCATGCGAAACAATGTCTGGGAACATTTTTATAATTTAATCTTCAACACTTAAAGGTATAAAGAAAATATATCAGTTTCAGTGCGCTCTTATACAAAAATATACAATCCAATCAGTCATTTGTTAGTGAAAATCTGAGTCCCTGTCTTTCAACCACATGAACATCAAGCTTTATTGCTTGTTTTACCCACAAATCTTTCAAGTAAATAACAACTGCCACTGTATCCTTTATCCTAATCTGCCACGCAACACAAATGACCCTCACTCTGACTGTATAGTCTATGGTTTTAAGCTTTATTTAAAAAAACATAAAAGATGTTGTCGGGTGTGTGATCAATGGATAGCTGTGAAACTGGGTCTCATAGGCTGGAGGCTGGCTTGATTTCCGTGAATGTTGTAGTCCTTTTATGAAACACGAACGGTTATCTCGACATGACATATACACTTATATAGTCCTCAATACAGAATAATCCTCAAGAGACAATGAATACAAAATCAAAATAAACAGTACACCAGACAGTCAAGTTACACAAGCAGTGGGGAAAGATGCAAAGTGCAAATAAAGGATCAGCTTCTTATTGCTTAGAAATAGATATTTTCTGAAACAAAGCTGCCCCTGGAAAAAAAGTTTGAATGCAAGCTTTTGTCTAAGCAAAGTAAACATTTTACACCCACATGTTCAAAAAAAAAACATGAAGCCTGTGTTATAAAAACACTGACCAGCAGCTGAATCCAAACCTTTGCTGCCTGAAAGCTTTTATTTCTTTAAAGAGATTGATGCATTGTAAGGCACTTTTATTTTATAAAAATCATCTTTTTCTACACATGGCAACAATAAGGAGCATTTTTGACTACTTGCAGAGCTACAGTTGAACACCTACAACAAAGATGAGTAAAAATTAAATCTGTTATGATCCAGTAGTTTGCTGTTTAGACGCCAACGGCTCGACGGCGTCTCTGCTTATGACGACCGACAACTTCTTTGTCTGTTGGATAAAACAAAAAAAATGTAGCGATGAGTTATCCATACATGATGATGATCGTGCTTTTTACTGCCATTATCGTTCAAAGGAGGTTACCTGCATCCCTCTTCTGTATTCTAGATGGAATTTGGACAGTGTAAGATCCTGGTAGTCCTGGTAAACCTGGCTGTCCACGATCACCTGAGCATAAAAGAAACATCACATCACTAAAACTGAAACAAGCGCAGGTATATTTGGAAAAATGCAGAGTTTGGATGGATACTGGATTCTGATTGTGCTGAAGGGTTTTAATAAACTCCTCATAATTGACTAGTGACTAGTTGGTCAAAACATCATATTAACGTATCTAAAAAATGTGTAGTTAGCAAGTATGTGTGGAATAAGCAGATACTGACTAACACAATGTTAATTTCCAGTTTGTCCGTTTTTAAAACCCACTTTTATTCCTTGGCTTTTGACCCAGCATGAGACAGCATTTGTTTTATTACTTTTTATTGTTTTTTTATGTTATAATGTACGGCACTTTGTGTCAGCTTTGGTTGTATTTAAAGTGCTCTATAAATAAAGTTGAGTTCAGTTCAGTTCAGTTTCCTTTAGACCAGTGGTTCTCAAGTCCAGTCCTCGAGCCCCCCTGTCCTGCATGTTTTGGATGTTTCCCTGCTCCAACACACCTGATTCAAATGATCAGCTCGTTATCAAGCTCTGTAATGGCTTACTAACGAGCTGATCATTTGAATCAGGTGTGTTGGAGCACGGAAACATCCAAAACATGCAGGACAGGGGGCCTCGAGGACTGGACTCGAGAACCACTGCTTTAGACTGACTTTCATGTTGCTATGGTTACGGATTTATGCTTCAGAGCAGTAAAGAGCCTAGAAATGTTTATGCAAAATCCCGAAAAGACTGAACGTTGTAGCCAATCAGAATTTAGGATTCATCCAGACTGTTGTATAAACGTATAGTTTTGTGAACTCTATGTACCCTTTTCTCCTCTGGGTCCAGGGTACCCTCTGTCTCCCTTTGTTCCGGGGATTCCCGGAGGACCTGGGATGGTGCCGTATCCTGTAGCAGAGCAAAATCACAGATTAAAACATGATGAAGCAGCGGCATAGATACTTTTATCATCATTGTAAGACTAGACACTGTATACTCACTTCTGAAGAAGTCCATGAGGTCAGCTGTTACGTTGCCGTAGGCTCCAATTACACGGCTTATACCAGGTGGTCCAGGAGGACCAGGTGGACCGGCTGGGCCTTGAATGGCTCTGACGTTTGCTCTCCAAGAACCATCAACCAAGTAGTCCTGCAGCAGGCCTTCACCTGATCAAGGAGATTGAGGGAATTAAAAAGACCGTAATGACTCTTGGCTGACTTTTTTTGACTTGTTGTTGAGCAGAAGTGGAAGATGTAAATTACTTATTCAGACTTTAATCTGGTTCTGTGGGTCAGATCTGTGGCCTTTTGAAACAGAGTAGTTTGCAATCGCGGCGGTAAAGCAACCGTGCATTGACCAGGCCTAACATGATGGTTTGCCAGAATATGTGGAACAAGCAGAGTCACGGTGGGTCCTTATGGGTTAAAGTCCCACAGCAATACAACCAAAAGCCCTTGTCAGCCCAGTCATCTGTGATAAAAAGCTTCTCCTCAAAACCCTGGCTGAGATTTCATCCAGAGAATTATGGACCTTCACATTTTCTTCATTTTCAAATCAACAGGCTGAAGGTTAAACAAATATCGGTCCACTTACAAGAAGTATCTCTCAGAGTATTCTTTCTAATGCTGCAGAATTTATGTAAAACGTCCACAAATCGAGGTTAAAGTGGGCTCATGTTGATTTCCACGTCCTGGAAAGTATTATTGGAACTGCAGTAAGAGTATATCTACAGAATAAATTTGATGGACTCACTCTTGATATAATCTGTGACTTTCATGGCGACGTTGGAGTAGTCCAATCTCTCAGCGAGTCTGCTGATGTCAGTGTCTGAGCGCTTGGAGCTGGAGCTGGAGCCGGAGACACGAGAGTCACCCTGAGAGTAGCTCTGGCTCTGTACGTAGCCCTGAATGTAACCTGGTTCTCCACGCTCTCCTTTCTCTCCCCTCGGTCCAGGAGGCCCAGGAGGACCAATGATGGAACGACGAACATCATCACCTGCAGAAAATACATCCGTCTGTGATATCTGCTCTTATATAAGCTCTTTTTTTCAGGATCTTAGTTTGTAATTCTAGTGAAAAGCAGCATCATGGAGGTTAAATTCAGTTTGACCTCAAACACTGAGTGGGAGGAGAGGAACTTACTGGTCAGATACTGCTGAATTTCAGTGCGGACGCTCTCCCGAGGGAAGTTTCCACTGTAGGAAATTGTTCCAGAGTAACTGCCTGGTGGACCCTGTGGTCCCGGTGGACCCTGAAGACCAGGAGGGCCAGGAAGGCCTCTGAAACCAGAACCTGAAAAAAGTACAAAATATGCATTTTGTTAAGTTGATTTGTAATCCTCTGCTGTTTAACTGAAAAAAGTAAACCTGCATGCACCTGTAAACACGAAGAAACTAAAAGAAGTGTTTCATACGTACTTGATATTCAAACCTATTTTGAATAAATATGCTCTCAAGTTGTGATGTTATCCAAGGTTTCCATGAGATTTTACTTGTGATGTTTTTGATTTTATTATTCGATTAAATCTCAATCTAAAGATGATGTAATTTTAATGTGTGTAGAGAGGATGTCTGAACTTGAAATTCAGAGTCAAATAGATTTACTTCAGTAATTTTTGGTTGTAGAGGTAAGTTTTGATTTTGTTTTACTTTGGGTTTTACCATCATGCTACCTGCCTGTGTCAACTAAAGTCGTAAAAGCTCACTGAAAGATAGAGGTAATAGTTCTGGTAAAAGTGACGCAGTAAATAAAACACTGTGTTCACTCTCAGTCAGACTAACCCTGCAGATAACGCTGAATCTCCTCCAAACTGTGACCTTGTCCTCCTGCTCCATACACTGTGGCAGAGGAGTATCCTGGAGGCCCACGAGGGCCCTGAGGACCCTGAGGGCCTTGAGGGCCTGGCGTTCCTGGGGTGCCTGGAGGGCCAGGAGTACCTTGTTGTGCGATGGATGTCATCCATGCGCGGAAATCAGCGTCTAAGAGGAACAGTAAGAAGTTTATACATGAGTGCCACCAGCAGATTAATTCTGAGCAAAATGAATCTCTCACTGAAAATATCAATACAACTTACTTCTTGCCAGCGCACTGTAATCGATCGTAGCAGTAGTGAAGCCAGCTCCCCCTGCACCAGCAGGACCAGCAGGACCAGGTGGCCCAGGTGGACCTCGAGCAATTCCTCTCTCTGAAGATAAGACACAAAAAAGGAGTTCAGACATCTGTTCTAGGGTTTTTTCAGTTCTCTTCATGGGATTGTTTACTCACCGTTCATGATATTGAAGACATATCTGGCAATCTCCTCAACGCTGTAACTGGCTGTGATTCCTCCTGATGCTCCTGGTGGCCCAGGTGGTCCTTGAGGTCCTTGTGGTCCTAACAAATATCTCCTCACATCATCCCCTGTGCAGATCACACCATAAAGAGTTTTGTTATAAAAGTCAAATGGAAATCATAGAGAAAAGTGGGCGAAGACAACAAAGTCCAGTTCCAGAGTTTTGTACTTACTCTGAAGCATGGCGATGAGAGCAGTGACGCTGAAAGAACCAGAGCTGGCTCCAGGAGGACCAGGTGGACCTGGTGGTCCCTGAACACCTATGTTGAGGCTAGAGCCAGAACCTGGAATTGCAAAACACATTTAATTGACGTCCTCATTCAACTGCAATCACAGCGAATTACATCAACACAGCGGTAAAGAAGAGGCTTACGCTGAATGTAAGCAATGAGCCGGGCAGATATGTCCTCCATAGAGCCTGAGAAGCTTCCAGGGATCCCTGGGGGCCCAGGTGGACCTGGAGGTCCCCGGACACTAGATTGTGTGTGTCTACCTGTGTATTCAAAAAAACACGTTTTTACTCTTTTGCTTCCCCTGAGAGGCAGCAAGTCTCTGAAATGACCTGATAAAAACTCTTACTTAGATAGTCAGTGATGTACTGTCGCATCTCGCTAGAGGAGGAGAAGGAGCCAGGAGGGCCAGGAGGACCAGGAACGCCTGGACGACCAGGAGGGCCTTGGGCAACTGAGATGGTGCCTAAGGATAATTATGAGAATTAAGAGCCTAGCCAGAGTTTGTGGCATCTAACTTTAAAGATAATAATGACTTATGATAACTGCTGTATATTTTTTATCAGCACAAAGAGTAATTTTGGCTACAATCGTGTCATCATTACCTCCTGCAGAGCCTGGAATTCCAGGAACTCCGGCGTCGCCTTGAAAATAATGCACAAGAAAATGAATGTTATTTTTATAGGACACAACTGTGGAGATAAAGGGTAACAGAGGAGAAAACACTGACAGTGTTCACAGATTTCAAAAAGACTGTAGGCTTACCTTTGTATCCCTGTGGTCCTTGAGGTCCTGGAGGCCCTGGTGGACCAGGGGGTCCAGGAACTGCAACCCCTCCAGAATATGACACTATAAAAAAGAAGTACATATACTGTCATATTTAATTCCAATGTGGGTTCAAGATTAATCCACACTTGATAAAGTTCTGATTTGAGTGTGACTGTGCATTTGTGAATGGATACTGACCTCTTTCAGAGGTTCCTGGTCTACCTGGTACACCTGGTTCACCTGAGACACACATGAGACATTGCAGTTATTAATACTGTGAAAATCTCAGCTGATTTTATGTGAATGATCTGAAAACCAATGTACACACAAAAACAAAGATAATTACCTTGGTATCCTCTTGGTCCAGGAGATCCTGAAACGACAAAGAGATGTTGAAAGTCAGTATTTATTTTTTTAAATCAATCTTTAGTCAGACAGCTTCACAAAATCTAATCACCTGTTGATCCTTTAGGCCCAGCAGGTCCAGGAGGCCCTGGTGGTCCAGTGTAGTATGTTCCTGTTAGAAGAAAAGTTTAAATGTTTTTGTTTTCTAATGACATACGTTAAACTCTCATCAGGACACAACAAAGGTTAAGATATTTGGATCATACCAGAGCTGGACGAAAAGCCTGCGTCTCCTTTGTCACCTTTGGGTCCTGGTCTGCCGTAACCTACAGAGCAGAAATGAGGATTACAATTTGAAATTAAGAACGGCTGAGCTTCAAGTAACACAAATAACATTTTGTCATCAGCATTGACCTCCAATTTGACAAGTTTTATTGCTCACCTGGTTCTCCCCGAGGCCCTGGTGGTCCTGGTGGTCCTTGCCTTGAATCGCCTGGGGAAAACATTTTTGAAACAATAGAGGATGCATGAAATCTTACCGGAAAAAGTAATTCATTAAAAGTGAAGGATTGTGATGTTGTTTCTCCAAAGAGCATCAAATTTAAAAGTTAACAAAAAAGCAATGCCATCATTATAAATGATTCATGTAATGACAGGAGTAAGCCCTGTTTAGTTAGGACATATAATAATGATAATGATAAAATATGATATGACATGATGATATGATAATATGATAAAATATTGATATGATATGATATGATATGGTATGATATGAGATAAAATATGACAATGATGATAATGATGTGATATGAGATATGATATAAGATACAATATGATATGATATGATATGATAATGACGTGATATGATATGATATGATATGATATGATATGATATGATAATGACATGATATGATATAATATGATACAATACGATCTGAGATATGATATGAGATATGATATTGATGTGATATGGTATGATATGAGATATGATTGACAATGATGTGGTATGATATGAGATATGATATGACAATGATGATAATGATGATAATGATGTGATATGGTATGATGTGATTCAATACGATATGAGATATAATATGATATAATATGATATGATATGAGATATGATATGAGATATAATATGACAATGATGTGATATGATATGATATGATATGATGTGATGTGAGATGATTTGATCCTCTCGGAATTCCTATACAAAAGAGCATTTTGTTCCTTATTTACCTGGACGTCCAGGTGGACCTGGTGGACCGGGTGGACCAGGTGGACCACTCTGTGTTGAGTATCCACTACTAGAGGAAAACTGACCTAAAGCCAATGAAAATAGATCTGTGAGTCATCTGAAGTCCTAGAAAATTATAAATTATTTGATCAGTTTCTAAGTTATAGAGTTCACCAGTGCAGGCTAAGAGACAATTACAGGACAATGCTAATGCTAGCATGTAGCTTGTTGGTGTCAGTCACCATTAGCTTTAGAGTCATAACACAATGTCTACATGCAGCTCTCTTTTAATAACAGATTAGAAGACTTCTAGAAAAACGAACACTTACTGCCGGTGCTGCTTGTCCGCACAGTTTCAGACGTTCTCACTGATACTCCTGCTTCTCCCTGATCACCCTTATATCCACGGTCACCTTTAGGACCTATAAAGAGAAAAAAAGACAATCATCTTTGAGACTAAGAAAGTAACATATGACCCTAAAATCTTCTGTTGTGGAAAAATAATATGATTACATACCAGCTGGGCCAGGCAGACCAGCAGGGCCAATGGGACCTAAAGAGGTAAGACAAGAGTATGAAGCTCCGACTACAACAACTATAATTTGTCTGATATAGAGTCAAAATAACAACATGGAGATACTGCAGACATAATCTGACCTGATAATCCTGGAGGTCCTGCAGGGCCAGGAGGACCGGCAGGCCCTGGTGGTCCTGGGATACCAACAGAAGTGGAGCCAGCTGAGAGATCAAAATAACAGGGTTAGATCGTCTGTTATAAACTATTTTAATGAATTTTGTGTTTGAATATAAACTTTATCATGATCTTTTACCTGCGTTGATGATTCTTCCTGGTTCTCCAGTTTCACCTTGAAAAACAGACATACAGATGGTTCATGAGATGCATGGATTAATGTTTTGAAATATACAGTAATCCAGAGAGCAGAGGAGCTGTACCTTTAGCACCAGGACGTCCTGGATTTCCTGCAATACCTGTAATCAACACAAATACGAAGTGCATTTTAAAGTAGAGCGCAATAAAAGCAAAAAGAAACACATATGATCTCTAGCTTCAACTCCAATACTACAGTGTATGTGGTTTAGGAGGTGTACCTGGAGGTCCTTGAAGCCCAGGTGTACCTGCAGAGAATGAAATATTATGAATTAATCTTAATTCATATCGACCAACAACAAAGAAATATCAAGTTTGAGATCAAGTTCTATTTAAGTGGTGTACAGCTCAGTTTACCTGGAAGTCCGTTATCTCCTGGAGGCCCAGCAGGACCTCTGAGTCCAGGTGGCCCAGCAGCTCCCTGATCACCTAAGGACAAAATTTAAAAACATGACCATCCGAGAATTTCTTTATGGGTTTTTCCTCTTTAGGTTGGAAAACTATATATTCAATTAAAAATGAAGCTTTATAATCCTCAGTGACATTTAACTTGTGCATGAAGATGTGAAATTTCAATATTATTCTAATTTGTAAAATAAAGTGCTCATTAAATTTACCTCTTGATCCTTTGAGACCATCATGTCCAGCCACTCCTGGTGATATCAAAAATAATACATTGGTTAACAAAATGTCAGAAACCTTTCAAACTTCATTTATTGGAAGAGTTTATCTTTATAATCATGCATGAGATTTACATCCCTGTGAAAAAAAACTTTGGAGAAAACCAGAGCATGTATGAGCTGTCTCCTCTCTACTGCCCCCTGTGAACTCTCTTTGTTATTACAATTCCTACCTCTTTATTTCAACCAACTGAATTATCTCAGAGATTTAACAACTTTTTATAGAAAAGATGAAGTTCAGACAGTTAAACTCATTTTAACTCCAGATTGCTAAAAATTACTTCAATTGAAAAGAAGTAAGAATTATTTACAAACATGTTTTTCCTACTTCCTGCTTTCCTACTTATGAGATGGTTACTTTTTAGATTATTTTACTATTTCGGGTAGTTTTACGTAAATCAGCAGAGTCCAGGAAGCTACAGCTGAAATATGTTAGTTTAGTTGTTTCTGTTCATTGTACTAATTCACGCTAAGATAAACAGGTGCTGACTGTCAGTTTATATATAATGGGTAGGTTTCAAACAACACACAAAAAGAGGAAAATGATATATTTAGTCTGGTATCATCTGGTGCTGGAGGTCCTATTACTCACCCATCGATCCTTTGGGTCCTTTTTCTCCAGCAGGCCCCTGTGGTCCTGGTAAACCAGCTTCACCTGAGGTGTGAAACACGTTGATTAGAGAAAAGCACCATGATATGTGAAAATAAAGAATGGAGTGAGATGAACAGAGCTGTACCAACCTTGCAGACCCCTGAGTCCTTTGTCTCCAGTTTCACCTGAGAAAAAAAAACATAAATTAAAAAATAATCAGAAGCATTAAGAAGATCACAAGCTGTATGACGCAGAGTAATATAAACAAACCTTTCTGTCCTTGAAATCCTGGAAGACCTCTGTCACCTGGGCAGTGATACAAGGATATTGAGATTTTAAAAAAGAGCTCACTCAGTCACGATTTTAACTATATTATAAGACAGGAAACATGACCAACCTTTAACCCCAGGTAACCCTGACTCGCCACGGAAACCTTGAGGACCTGGTTGGCCTGTAACAAGAAATAAAAATGAATAAGTGAGGGTGATTTCAGTTACCTTTGTTGTTGCTGTTGATATATTTCATTACTAAAGGTTTCTAGACGCTGAAATGCCTGAAATAAATGAGGGAAGAGGCTCACCTGCTGGCCCGGGGATTCCAGGAGATCCAGATTCACCTGAAGCAAAGAACATTTTTATTATTGAGGAGAACAAGAAGTTTATACAAGCCTCACTGCACATCACTGTTACACAAAGCACATTAAGAATCAAAAGCCTAGGTGGGAACTAAAAATGTACCATCCACCTATGAATAAAACTGGGAAATGACAATAAAGTGACACGCATACAAAGCTTGCATGAAAATGTGCATTTTTCTGCTTGTCTAAAACTGAGATCATAACTATAGAGGTGAACTGACTCTATGCTGCCATCTGGTGTTTGTTTGGAGTAATACATTTCTACAGATTGATTTATGATGTTTTGTTTAAGGAAGCAACTTCAGGGTGCTCACCTTTAAGTCCAGCCAGACCAACAGGTCCAGGAACTCCAGGATCTCCAGGAGCACCTGCAAAAATCCAAAAATATTAGTGTCTACTCTGACACGGTTCATATAAACATTTTTTTTTAACCCTGGAACACTATCAACGGGTGATTTTCACCTGACCAAACATCACAAAGTAGTGATTTTCAAGGGAATTCATATGGTGATCAGAAATATTTTGGTCAGCTGGTTATTTTCACTCACTCAAAATCTGCCATATTTTGGTTCTCTCTCCTGCAGCTGTTATTGTGCCAAAGACCCTGAGCCTTCACCAGGGAAGACTCACATGTCCAAGGAATGGGTGGAGAAGAAACTAAGTTTACAGTCTCTATATTTTTTTAGGAACTTTTTGTTCATAAATGCCTGATTTCAGTTATTCTGTTGCATTTTTTATACGGTCCCCTCATGGCACTTTTTTCCTCACTGTGGACATTGCGCAGTTGAAAATTAAAGAAAACTACTTTAATTTGTCACATATTGTCCTATTTTGATATATTTTGATGACATTTACTTTTTCTTGGGTGTATTATTTCAGGTAAAAATCCCCCGGCGATAGTGATGGTGTTACTAATTTTAGCGATAGTGTTCTAGGGTTAAGAATCATTGAGAAATATGCAGTTTCTGTTTCTGCACGAAATCTCTGCCTTACCTTTTTCACCTTTTGATCCAACACCTGAAGGTCCAGGCTCACCTCTGGGGCCAGCTGGGCCATCCCTACCCCTGATTCCTGGTGCCCCGTCCACTCCATGATCACCTGATCAGGTATTTCAGATACAGACAATCAATTCCTGTAGATAATAATCTGCATTTTGTGGTTTAAACTGAAGTGTTTACATACCTTGGCTTCCTTTCTGTCCTTTGGGACCCTCAGGACCTGGAGCACCTGGAGCACCTAAGGTCAAAGGTCACAGTCAGTAAAATGATAGTATTTAAAACATGTGTGAGTGATAGAAAAATTCCTTAAAAAATGAAAAATACTATTAATAAAACATGAAAAATGTCTCTCACCCATAAGTCCAGGGATACCAGCATCTCCTGTGACAGGTAAAACACAGATTTGAAAACAATGAGCATGTGAAGTAGATGGTGTAGAAAAGAGGCATGACAATAAACAGACATGAATTTTAATGTAAAAACATTTTGAACAGTGAAGGATTCGCTCTCTGACCTTTAGGTCCAGGCAGTCCTCTCTCTCCTTGTATGGAGGATGCTAGAAGAGCTGAGACCAAAAAATAAGAGTTTAGTTTCAAAGTGTTTTTTATTTAGGTGTTTGTATGATATTTTGTTGGGCAGTGAGGATGAGAAGTACCTCTGAATGTCTGCGACTGCATTTCATTTCTTAACATGGTCTGGATCATCAGCTGAAGAGAAGCAGCATCCACTTGTCCTCCATTCACAGCAACGCCACCACCATAAGCGGCTCCAGTACTGCCTGCACTGCCACTGGAGACAGTGCCAGAACCTCTTGCACTGGCTGTGCCAGACCCGCTAGCCCCACCTGCCCCACCAGCAGTACCTCCTGCGATGCCGTTTCCACCACCGAAGCCGCCAGCACCGGCTACTGCAATTCTTCCTTGGCTGCCTCCTTCTCCACCTCCAGCACCCAGGTGTATTGACGTGTCCGTGCCGCCACCTCCTGCTCCTCCAGCCACGTAGATGTCATTGTCTGAGCCTGAGATACGACTGGTGCGAGCAGCAACGACTGAAGACTCAGCCTCCAGAGTAGCAACCCGATTCTTCAGCTTCTTCACGTCCTCCGCTGAGTAACAAAAAAGGAGCATGAGATTAAAAGTGATCCTAAATAATAAACTATTTCTGTTGTTTGACTGATTTTTGTATAATTAACTTACTTTTTAATAAAGACTAGTCACAACACTTTAACTGTAATAGCCTGGATTATTTTCTGCTATTAGCACTGCAGAAAATAGCAATGCTATAAGCAGCAGTCATTCAGTGTCTCTAAGAGAGAGTCATGCTCAAAAGTATGTGCAGCTTTTTCAAATCCCCTGTCCAGTATTGTTCTGCATGTTTTATGGATTTAACTGACTATGTTTCTTACTATCATCATCAAGCTTTATGGGAAAAAATCCCATTATTTTAATCCACACAGCAACTAATCTCTCCTGACAGATCACTCAAGACCAAAAATAAAACGAGCGACCTTTATTTAGAGAAGAGTTTTTGCAAAGCCTGTCAGTGCTGAGTCGGGATGTACACTGTTACTTGTTGTGAAATCAGTTCATCAGCATTGGGCCTGAACTTTTTTAACCTCTTTGAGTTTGGAATTTGACAAATTAGCAGAAATAGATGTGCGCTGAATCAGCTTTTTGCAATTCCTACTCCCTGTGTCTCCTTGAATTCAGTCAACCAACAGTGGACTGTGTGGATAGTGAAGAAAACTTTTAACATTGTAGTCTGCAGGACTGGTTTGTACTTTTATGGAGGAGCTTTTTATGTCATCTCAATCAATGCAGGGTTTTATATGCTGGTTAATAAGAGACATAATGGTAATGGAGTCCTTGGTACAAAGAAGTCCCACTGAGTCCAACATAAAACATGATTATACTTATTTGGACCTAACTTTGACCAGCCAGAGTTTAGTTTGCATTCACAGATAAATCATATATATACTTTTGGATAATCATAAAAAAACTTCAGCTTGATAAAACAAGAGATAAACTTCCAATTCTGAGGATTTACAGTTTTACATAAGAGATAGTATGTATTTTAAATCCATGTTTTACAAGCAGAAACTTAACATTTTTATCACCTGGTTGTTTTTATAGAATTTTTGACATGACTATTTAAACACCTCTTGCTGCAAGAAAAACAAACTGGAGTCACTGATGTCATCCAGCAACAATTTCTGGAGCTGATCCACTGACAATGAATGCCAGACCGCCTTTATGGCAGCAGGACAGTACCCAGAGATCAAATTTCCAGGGAAAGGAGTTCTTTTACTGTCTCAAAGCTCTTAGCAACACAGTGAAATAAAGCTCACCAGCCTGTAAAAGCTGAAACACATTTCATTGGTTTGAAAAGAGTCCCACCCTGAGCAGCTCCACAGAGGATCTCATGACTCCTCAGGTCTAATCTTCAGAGAGATTTTTATTTCACTCAGTGTACTCTCACACTTATGTATAATTTGACCTTACCCAGTGCAATGAGCCCGAACAGGAGTCCCAAAAGGAGCAGGGAGAGGAGTAGGAGACCAAGCAGCCACTTCCACCAGGAGCAACAAGAGTCGGCACAGCAGCAAAGTCCTCCTCCTCCGAAGGCGCCGCTATCCCTGTTGATCTCTGAAGACAGACATAAAATCCTCGTTTTCAAACAACTTAAACATACATCATGAAATAAATACAAGATAGACACATGCAGATAGAAATACCTGCATAGGTTGCTTTGTCTTTCATCCCAGCTTTTGGTCCATCTGAAGAGGAAAAGCAAACAAATATGATTTACTTTTTAGAAATCAGAATAAAAGTGATGTTTTAGAGGTATTCTGATGGGCACTCACAGTAAGAGTTTCCTGTCTCCACCTTCAGAGGCATCGTCTCACTGTAGCTGGAAATCAGCTTCTCTTTCTTGATTGAATCTCCAGATAGCGACCCTGTTAGGTAGGATTGATTTTAATTAGTTTTTGATACTTCTTTTGAGCAGAGAGAACAAAAAAATAAAGAGTTTTAAAAAATCTGTTAAAAAGCCAGACATTACATAACACGACACACAAGCGACATTATGGATGATAAAACACAAATTTAAAAGGTGAAAAGGCTGAAACAAAATAACAGAATGAAATGTGAAAAAAAAAATAAAATAAAATAAAATGAGATAAAAAATAAAGTGAGATTAAATCTTAAAAATCAACAAAATGAAATAAAATTTGAAAATTTAAAAATATATGAATAAAATTACAAATACAAAAAGAAATTGAACAAAATATATTAAATCACACTAAAATGGAATTTTAAAAATGTATCTTTTTAACAACTTAAATTTAAAAAACACAGATTAAATTGAGTAAAATAAATTAAAATCACATAGAACTAAATAGAATTAATTCAATTAAAATAACATAAACAAAATCCAATAAAAATACAAATGGAAAAATTAATAGAAGTTAAAGTCAAATAAAATAAAAATGGGGGAAAATAAGGTTTTAATTAATTCAAATAAAGTACCTCATTCAGAGCATTGATTTTTAGACTCACATTAGAAAGCTAAAAAGTGCCCTGTGGTTCCTTTAATGCTGCTTAACAGCAATAACATGTTAAACTTTTCCATGAATGAAACCAAAGTGCTTTTACTCTTACCATGATTAAACTAACCAGCTACTAATTTCTAACAGACTAACAGATGTTAGCTCCCCAAAACAAAAAGGTTTGTTTTTACATGTGTTAGATTTCCTTAACTAAATCATAAACCGGTTCTCTCAGAAGCTCTAGCTTTGAAATGCTGAGATACAAATTAACTCATTATCTGAAGATACTTTCATTAAGCATGGCTGCTCTCTGTTTTCATACCGACTGAAAGAAAGGGGGGAAAATATCAAAACAACTATTAGTAGTGTCAGATAAATTGTGAAAAATGAATCTGATGACTCTATTTCTGCATAATCAATATTGAGTTGGGACTGAGCAGATGCAGAAGGCTAAAATAATCAAAATGCTGCCAGAAAGGTCATGACCTCTTCTCCATTGACAGCCTCTGAGTGGTTAGCATTAAGGTCGCAGGGAATGCTATCCTGATTGTGTATTTATCGGAATCTGACACCTACTGAAGACCTTAAAAACCTCATTGGCTCCTCTCGCTAGTGAAAATTTCCGGTGTTTCTCCAGAGGGGGGCGCCAAAAGTCAAACGTACCTCCTCCGAGTTGAACACTGCTGCCGCTGGTGGTGAATTGCTTCCCACTGTCTTTGGCCAAAATGAGCATCTCAGTGTCCCTCTTTACGGGGAAGTTCTCCTTGTCACAGATGAACTTGTCCTTCTTATAAACATCGTCAGGCTGGGATCTCGTGGCTGGTGAACACACATACATCTGTCAGGAATCACATACTTTTGGCTTTATCAGATAAGTGGGATTTTAAGCTGTTGGGAAACATACTTGAAGCGAATCCAGTCGTGATGAGACCACCACTATTTGACATGTTCTTTTGAACACCATAACCTGCGAATACAAACACACATTCATGGGTCAAAAGTGTGACATAAGTGGAGTTTTTTGAGTGTAAAAATCTGTAACAGTGTTGAGATATTTGAGAAACTTTCTGTTGTACCTCCAGCGCTACCGTTAACATTGGCTCCACTGGTGGTGAGCACACTGCCAGAGGTAGACGCCAAGTTATTCTGAAAGCCGTACACTGCAAAGACGAGATGTTGTGTTTCACTTTTAGATAACAAGTTATTTGGCAAGATTTTTTTGCACAGGAATAGTGCAATAATGCAAAAACTGTAGTCCACGCCTGCTTGGACAGATGAGGTCAAATTCAGTCCATGGTCTCACCTGACAGTGACGAAGGGGAAGTGAGGCCAACTGGTGATGATAATCCTCCTCCCATGTTGTTGGTGCCAACCTGGTATGTGTAGCTGCTGGTGCCGCCAGTGACCACAGAGGTGGAGGCGACGGGCAGCGTCGAGGTGGACCAAGTAAAGGATGGGAGTATGGTGTCCAGTGAGTCATAGTGGCCTGTTCTCAAGCTGGTGTCATACTGGCCTGATTTCAAACTGGTGTCATATTGACCTGACTTCATGGTAACATCATACTGACTTGATTTCAAACCAGTATCATATTGACCTGATTTTACAGTGACGTCGTACTGACTTGATTTTAAACCAGTATCATACTGCCCGTTTGTCAGACCAGTGTCATAAAGGGTTGTTGTTTGGATGGTTTGGAACCCGCCTGATCTCCCAGCAGAGCTTAATTTAGGAGAACCTGCAAAAGAGAAAAGATACCAAGATGAACATTTGTTGAGTTCAAAGCTTTCTTATTTCAACTTTACCCCAATTTGTGCCTCTCATATTTTATCATAACATTTGGTTGACAGATGATTTTTTTCTTCCTGAAGGAGGAAGAATTGAAAGCACCTGGGAATGTTAAGCTGTTTCAGAAGAGGAACAAACCGAGGCAAATTCAAACCATATAACCCCGACAGAGAGACAAGTTGTCTGAATATGTAAAGTATGTGCATGAGTGTAACACTGGTAAGGACATATACCCGACTGAGTGGCAACTGAGCTGGTCTTAGATTCCACAGTGGTCTTTTTAGGTACAGGCAGGGTGATGGAGGCGCAGGAGGAACGTGTGGGGCTGACGCTATTAGAGCGTCCTTTCAGCAGCTTCTTCACGTCATCCAGCTCTGTCCCTGCAAAGTACACAATCCAAACTTACTAAGTACAATACAGTAAGCATTAACAAAGAGGTTTTTTAGAGTATTTGAACACATATACGAAAACATTTCAAGCTTATTTATGAGCTGTTCTATTATATATGTCTCAAACTATCAATAATAACCTGATTTTTATACAGCAGAAGTATATCAGTCAGTAAAACTAAGGTGTATTTGGGTATAAACCATAGACTGTATATAGAATGGACAGTGTCTGCCTCCTTGCAGGGTGAGAACAGCACCCTCTGGTGACGGGCTGCAGTATAGGTCATAAATCCCGCCTCTACCAGCAAAGCTTATGGGGCTGTGGACAAACTTTAGAAATTTATTACACAGAAAATCTATTTTTCTCCCCCCTGCTTGTGATGTTGACATGTAGTTACAGTGAGACTGGTTTGTGCTCAAGTCCTCTTTTTCCCGTGAAGCTTCGTTTTTAAAAAGTTATTAGAGGGTTCATGTTCATGCGTACAATGCTACTGTGCAATGCTGGTTTCAGGAAATTAAGAAAAATCGCGGAATTACCGAGAACTTTTTGGTTTCAAATCCGTATACTGGCAGGAGGCGGAACCAAGTTGTCCATAGTATATACAGTCTGTGGTATAAATTTATGTTATTGTTAGAAATGTTCAATCCATAAAGACTTGTCTGCTCAATAAGGAGTTTGTAACAGTTTTTTCTTGTGCTATCACTACATTACTTAATGACTCACAAAAACTCCTATAATGATAACTGTTCTTATGTAGAAGTTCATAAAGAAATTATGGCAAAACCTCCTCCATTAGCTAGTAATATGTATTGAGTGTTTCTTCAAAGTCCCAGCAATGGTACATAAAAACAAAATGAAGTTAAAAGTTTAGTGCGTCATCTTGAGTATAATCTACTTTGACTATCGGGAGCAGAAAAACAGAAAGTACAAGCCCCTAAATGCTACTGGGTTTTCTTTTATGTAATAGTACAAACTTTTTCCACATTTACTCAACAAGCAAACTACTGCCCAGCTGAGGTTTGGTGAGGCTGAAGTTGCCCGGACTGAGTAAATGTAGAAAAATGTGGATTAAGTAATCGCAGGTTCAGACTTTAGTCAGCAGGGGGAGCACTAACTTCTTCAAAACTTTGACTATCTTCTGTTTTGATTGAAACTGCACACAGTGACTCATTTCTGCCTTTGTTGCCACCACAGATTTGGCTCTTAACTTCTTCCTCACATGAACACAATGCAAACAAACACGTGAGCTTCATCACTTCAGCTCCACCCTTTTCTTTCTGCTGATGTGCAGTATATCCTCCATCTGTCCGTGGGAGCTGCACATGTGTAACTAATCACAATTTCACGGACATAAACATACATGTGAGGAGAGATGAGTGAAGAAGAATGTCCTATATGTGCTTTATACTGTATACTAAAGCATTTGACGGCAAGATAACTCAACAAACTCCCTGCCCTAATGTAACCCCTAAGTACAAAACGCTCACTATCCAAATGGCTCTGAATGAACACTTGAATAAAGATGCTTTATGAGGGATTGCATAACCAGCGGCAATTGGATCAATGTGCCTCAAGTGGTCTTACATCTGCAGGCTGTTGGAGAGGCGCTTTGTAATCTGGCTCTGATCTCGCTCTCTGGAAAGAAATCACAAAACACATTGGAAAAAGAAATCCTGGTTTAATAATAAAAAAGAGAGGCAGGACAATTCAGAGTCAGATGGTGCAGAAATAATGACCAGAGGGAGGGGAAAAAAACTATTCTTGAATACCTCTGCTCTCGCTCCTCCCTCTTGTGCCACCCGAGCCTGATTAGAAAAGAGAAAAACGCACACAGAGGGAACATATGAGGATAAAAACGGTAATCAGAGAGTGTTTAATCTCATGCTGCTTTCTTTCTCACTTACAATAGTTTCCATAATCCTTGCGTGTAAACTCTGGGGAGGAATTTGCACTAGAACTTCCTAGAAGAAAACACAATAGCAGCAGATTTATTAACAGCACCCTCATGCTCAATGGGAGTTTCCTTCACTTTTTCTTTAGCCTCTGCCTCATGCACCACCTGTTACAAACGGTGCCGAGTTTGTTTTATTAACAGAATCTCACCGTCATAACCCACTGAGCGGCTCGATATGGTCTTCCTCTCCCGGAAAACTGGCGACAGACCTCCTGATGAGCCAGCAGTCTGAGCACGCCTGGCACCGCCTGACGAGCTGGACCTGACCTTTGACACAGAGCTCACTGTGTAACTGCTGCTGGATCTTCCCCCACTTGCTCCTCCTCCTACCCCTCCTAGTCCTCCTCCTCCTCCTGCACCTCCAATTCCACCTCCAAACAACTCTCCATCTATGTAGGTCCCCCCTCCATCGCCTTCACCTGAAGAGCCTCCCCCCAGGTAAACCCCTGAGGAGGAGCTGTAGTTGCTGGTGTTCACCCCTACAGAGGCTGAAAGGAGAAAAGACAAATTATCATGTTTATCATCTTTTATTTCCTGTAGTTGTGCCGTTTGTAAAGACAAAAAAACTAATTTTACTTGAGCACAAATTTTAGGCACAATTTACAGGTTTTTTTTCCAATTACATTTTGAATTGCCTTGTTGCCAAATGAGCTCTATAAATAACCTTGTTTTGCCTTGCCTTTACTTTCATTGCTTATAATTGCAAAAAACAAAATGTAGTGCTGATCGAAAAGAGGTTTTCAGACAAAAACAAAAAGATTAGGGGAGTGAAAGCAGTATATTTTACAGAAAAAAAAGATTTCAACTGTGCTTATTTATACCAGCTGTTCACTATATTTTAAAATCTAAAGTGTATTTATTGATTTTCCCTGTAACTCCTACCAAAAATGGCCCTATTCCCAGGAATTTTAAGATTACTTCAAAGTGACAAATAAGCTCCTTTCTAACAAATTACAACATGCTACTTTATGAGCAGTGGTGGAGACCATATTTAGATTCATTTTTAATGAAAGTACAACCACCATGCTGTTAAAGTGAACTATTGTAAACTTCTTGCATGAGACTTTCTGCTGCTAGAGGAGTGGAAAAACAGATGCTTAGTGCATCTATTGGTGCAAAACAGCCACAGCTGAAAAAATGAAAGATTTATTACCCACCTAAAATACTTGACATACAGTATGTATGGAATAAAATCATAAAAATAAAAGACTACAGGTTTTTCCTTCATGATTTTACTTTTTCAGTTTAGTTATCTTGTTCTTGTAGAGCCATATTTTCACCTTAGGATAAAATTGGTTAAAATTTTCATGAAGCAATTTAAAAATTCTTCATTAACGTTGCTCTTAACTTGTAAAATACCAGAAGCCACGCTTGACATAAAGTCAGAGTAGAGTTTAACTTTACGGTGTCATAAAAAGAAAACACTTAGTAAAGGTGCCTTGAATTTAAACTCAGAAATAGAAAATATATCCCTTAATTCATGGAAAATTGACTGTACAATAGTATAGGGCGTATAACATGGTGTTTAGGGCCTACTTTTCCTTTTAATACTCAAGGTGTGTTTTGTTGCCAAAACCTCAGTGAAGGATATAAACACTTCCTCTATCACTGCCTGGAAAAAACTGCAAGTGGTATCCAAGGTTAAACCAGGATACATGTTCTCGCCACAGGGGGGTAAAAATATACCATGCTGCCTCACACAACTTCCCAAATTTTGTGCCACGAGTGGAAATGTGCTCACATGAAGTAAAATACGTTCCACTGCTGTTCTGGGTTAAGACATTCTTCTCCAAGCCCAGCCCTCCAGCACTGCTGGACATATTCCTGTGATTTGATCCGCTGGTTCCCTCTAGCAACGAGAAGACACACAGCAAAACACAGAGAAGCTGTTACTCATCGGGTGCTTCCTTCAGGACCTCTCGGCTATAATTACTGTAATATGTGTACACTTTACTGGCATTAATTAAAGAAAACGAGTCTGGGAGAGAGAGAGAGACACTCACTTGGTGGTAGAGAAGTCAGCCGGGTGGTTGTAACGGTTTCTGTCACGACTGATGGATCATAAAGAGCGAGAAAAATTATTACACTGTATACATACACTGAACAGCTTCTGGCAGGAAAGCAAATCAAACTATGTTATTTAAACTTCTGCAAGGTAATCCCTCTTGGCAAGTGTTAACTACGGTGTTGAATGACTGGCATGCTGGAGACTGTTTAGCTTCAGCTGTTTAAATAATATGACATTGATTGATAGATGACACAATAAGAGTTGGTGCCAGTTTCTAATGCAGGGTCTCCATACAGTAACTCATAGTAACTCACTAATCTTTTGATAATGCTTAAAGGATCAGTTATAAGCCATCAATAAATACAAGTTGTGAGTGCTTCTCTAAGGGGGGGGGGGGGTTATTCAGGACAATTTTTTAATAGACCTTCCTTAAGCATTCAACCTGACTGAATAAACCGGGAACGAGACAGGATGCAAGCTCATGTTTGTGGCTCTGTTCCCATCAAGACAGTACGCTTATGAAGAGTGGATTTAACCCCAGTGAGGTGTTTTCCAATGACTAAGACTACCACCCAACATTGAGACATTAAAAAAACAAATACATCTATCAATGAGATCAGATTTATTCGAGGTAAATATAGCTGTGATTTCTTTTTAAGTGTTACCCAACGAAGACCCGAGTGGTTTTGAAATATTGCAAAAACTGAAATTATTTTAAGACACAGAGTAAGTGTTCTGGCTTGCATTTTCAAGATTAGATGGGTTGCTCAAATTGCTTGACTCGTTTAAGACATGTGCTAACGATTACTCTGCTTAAAATGATCTGGATTGACCAAGACATTAGTATCAAACAGCTCCCGACTTTTTTTTCCCCCAAAGTGATGGCCACTAAATCACGTGAGATAAAAGCTCCTGTGAGGAGGTTTTTGGTGGTTATGACAGCAATGCTTCCTCGGGACTTATAAAAGAGACCATCAGAGACCAGACTGACAGTTTCTAAACTGTGATTGTGGATGACTGTAACCATTTAAAGATGATAGGTTTCAGAGGGATGATTGGCATCGCACTGAACAAACTCTTAGTGCTTTTCTCACAGTAAGTGAGACTTTTTCGCAAGATGAGTTTGTTTTTTGTCAGAAAACAAAACATACTCAGAGCGAAATTGAAAGAAATTTCACAGTTACTTCTTTGTTCATAAGGGGAGTGTTTGTGGGATAAGACACATAAGAAGACAGTTACTCACAGGAGCTTTAATCACCCCTCTGAAAAAACAAAACTGAACTGTTTCTTTATGGGAATTTCCACTTTTTGATCCCTTTTGGCGCCACCTGTAGACAAAATCATATCTTGTTTCCACTTTACTGATCATATCCTGTTTGTATGTAAAATTTGCGCTATGTCATAATAGAGTCTGCTCTCCCTAAATAGTCACTCAAATCACTCAGTGTGAATCTCAGTTGTGAGAAATGTAAACAAAGTCTGTTGTTGCAGCTGTTAACCTCTTCCTCTGACACCTAGTGGGTGGCAGCCGTCGATGACAGGCATCAAAAACAAGAAATTCTGATGATATATTTTTTCTGTAAGTCCTTTAGGTTTATTTATTTCAATGTTACTTGATTTTAAAGCAGCTAAAATCCCTCACATGAGCTTTAAAAACAATTGTAGTTGCTTGTTCTCATCAGTGGCCTATAACTGCTGAATAAAGCATAAGATTAATACTAAATTACAGTTTAAAAACCTACTATTTCAGACTTCTGGACAATAAATAAAAATTAGAAAGTGGCACCAACATTTCTGTGTGTCTGTTTATTCTTATAGTAGAAATCCATGTCAGGATGAAAAATGATAACGATAATAATGTACAAATGTGTGCTTTAAAAAGTTAAACCTAAATGTCACGTCTGCCTTTTCTGGGGGTGTCACGAATTTTCTTCCTATGCTGAAAAATACATTTGTAGAACAGACACTTTCACTTTTCTGAGTTTCTGAGATGGTTAAATGATGTAAAAATGTAATAACAGCTAAACCACAGTTATGAATACTTTTGAAAACCTCAGGTAATTACACCCTTATGCTTGGAAATTTATTTAATTCTAGTAATGAACTTTCAATCTCTAGAGAAAACTCCCTAAATCTGTTTCTGTTCATAAAAATGTCCTTAAACTCTTTGCAAAATGTAAACAAAGTACAAGAATGCCTCAAACTTGTGTAAATCATATCACGCTTATCATAAACTTGCTGCATATAATTAAGTCTAATTGAGGCTTTCTTCCACTAGGAGGCATCTTTATCTCTAACTGTGGCTTGTTGAGTTTTACTGGACTCAGATGTAAAGTAAATTCCATATTAATTTCATGCTGCTTCTTCCTCCCCCTCCTCATCATCCTCCCTCCTTGTAGGGAGTTGTGTCTGTGTCAGGGTCGGGGATAAAACTCTAAAGGTGATTTATTTTTGCTGCTGTTGCTTTTCTGCTTTGGAACAACTTCAAACAGCAGCTCAAAGGACAGCATGAGAAGTCTTCAAACTCACATGTTTTAATTGTCTTCTGCGCATTTTATGTCCTGACTACGTTGGCTTGTTCTTCTTTTTCCTCACTCTTATGTAACTACTTCTTTAAAACGATTTATATATAAACTTTCATTTGGAAATGACTCACACAACAAGAGAAGAACAAGCAGACGACAAAAACGCTGATTATATGTTTGTCTCTGTTTGGTTCCTTCATATAATCAGTCGTCTTTTGGGGCCAAGCCATCTTTAGACGGCGATGAGTTGTCCTTCTACATTCAGTCATGACTGTTGAAGGAAAACCCCGAGGATGACTTACACCTCTGAACCCCCAAGAGAGCGAGGACCAGCGACAGAAACCCGACACCAGCAAATGCGTGATGTTAGTGAGAGTGAGCCCCCAGAAAAGACAGACAAAAGCATCACCAGAGGAAGAACGACTGCATCTCAAACACAGACTAACTCAATACCAATCTATCATTAAGTTCAAATGAGGTTTTATATCTGTCGCCACACTGAAGTCTGTGAAGCAGAGGAACTGTTTACTGTCTGCTTGGATTTTGTGATGCTTTGGAGACAGTGTATGGAAAGAAATCAAGAACTAAACAAATAAAACCAAGAATATCTTCAAATCTGCAGGTGTTTTTGAGTGTTTCTTGAGATCTTCTTGGGCAAAACTTGACAAAAAAGCCAGGAATCTCACCCCTCTCTTCGGCCGAGCCCACCGAGAAGTCCATCAGTCCTATTAACTCCTCCATCCCATTTTATCTGCTGACATGATGACAAAACATATACCACAATCTTGCCTTTCACTTGAACACAAGCCTGTGGGAGTTGGGCCTGTGTGGTTAGATAGTGCTTCAGCAAACAGTCGATGGGAAAAAAGAGCAAAAAATGTCAAAAGTTATACGCCTCAAAATGGTTTGGTTGAAGAACAGGCTGCTTGTTTGTGGTGTTTGTTTACTGCTTCAAAACAAAAATGCCTCCAAAGACAGAAAAAAATGTCACCGCATTGGTCTCATGATGATACTTAAAAAAACCACGTTGTAATATTTAAGCAGAAACAAGTTTCCCTGAAACAATCTTCTTGTTCTGACCTTTAAAAACCAGAGATCATGCAGCACAGTGAAGATGATACATTCACCTTTATAAAAACTCCTCATTTAATCTCACCTGAATGCAAAACACCACAAGAAAGGCTTTCAAAGCTTTAAACTCCTATTTTTTTAGATCTCATCCACATATTGTATTCACTTTATGTCTTTGAAGAGAAACTAACAAAAGAACAAAAGATGCCTCTACGGCTCTGAAAGACCATCCTCTCACCACACCCTGCCAACTGAGGACATTTAACATCATGTGCCTCTTATGTTGCAGACTTCATTATAAAAAAAATAGAAAACTAAGGAAGCAAGAAATACTCGTAAAGTTGGAATTTCCACCCTTTCCTCTCAAACAAGCCTGCACAGTCTGATAATCACACAAGTTTTTCATTGTCCTTCACGACTTTGAAAAGTTCTGCAGCATTTCTGGATGTACTAAGTACTTCCTTTCATCAAAACCAAGCTCTAATCTCTATTTTATAGTCTGTAAGTGATCTGAACTGCAAAAAAACCCTGCTGTCACATCAATCTGGCGCTACAGCTGGAACCAGGTCTTGTAGTATATTTAGATGGATGTAAATAGCACAGCAAAAGAGCATGTAAAACTATCCTGAGATCACTAACAGACTAATTTTAAGGATATGTGAGGACAGATGATCCCCCTCAAAAGCCCCCCAGTGTGGTTTAAAGACAAGTTAAGTTTTTTGCTTGCATAAAGAGGACTTTGCACAATTCTTCCAAACAAATAAATCCAGAGAAATCTCAAAGAGAGCCCATCACCAAAGTCCCAGAGTGCGGTTAGAGCAGAGATGTGAGAGCAAGGTGAGGAAAGACATCAGCACAAATCAGACAAAAAAAGTCACTTCTACTACAAAAATGTTGAATCCATACCTTTAGCCAGCTCGAACGATTAGCAATCAAACCCTGATGATTCCCCTTGTCGAGATGCAGCGTCTGATCCACGGGAGGAATAAACGTGCTGGTATGAAGTTGACGCGCCTGGGTGGGATGTTCTTTAAGTCCTCCTCCGTCCCTTTTGTGCCTTTTCGCTCAACTTTCCCAGGCAAGTCAAAACAGAGATTTGGGCACGGGTCCCAGCCGCGCCCATCAGCGCTGCAGCTTGGCAGGCAGGTGTAGCAGACGGCACGGAAAGCTGGATTTAAAAGAAGGGTAAAGAAGAAGAAAAAAACAGCGCCTGAGGGAACCAATTAAGCTGTCAGTCTCACCTTACGCAGAGACAGATAGACGAGTGAGTGGAAAAGAAGAAGAAGAGGAAGAAGAGGGATGGAGTCCTCCTGTTTCTTCTTGTGCTACTTGAGCCACCACTTTTCGGAACTGGTTAACTTTCTGGGAGGAGGAGGTGGGAAAGAGTGGTCTGGGAGGTGGGATTTTTATTCCCTTTTTTTGGACTACAGGAGTGTAACCATTTCCCCCTGATCTATTGTGTGCAGCAAACCCTCTAGTGCTACAGCTGGAACACATCTGGGACACACATTGGAAGCTAAAACAGAACATTTAGTCTGTATGGTTGAAACCACTGTGTTATTATGTTTAAAAAAAGCTCAATTTTCCACATATCTCAATGCAAAAGGTGCATGAAGGCCTTAATAGACCTGCCTGAATACTTTATCTTTTTGCATGTTGCTGTACTTTTGCAGAAACTTTCTTAAATCAAGACACACTGTAAATTATGCAGACTCTTCCCACCACAAGCACACCACCACAGGAGCCGTTTTTAACCCATATGATCATAATAAAGCATCCCTATCCATTCATTTGCATTTTTCAAATTGGATGCTTTATTCCTCCACAGGCAGTCACGAAGAGCCAGCAAAATCCCTCACCCACCACCACCACTACAACCACACCCAGCGGAGACATCCACCCACCCTGTATGACTCACAGGGAGCATGACTCCGATCTCTGCTCAAAAAAAAAATGATGGAAAACAAATGAACCCCAAGGAGGGAGGAGGAGCTGCTCCCCCGCTCAGTCCACGTGAAGGCTCGGATAGTGCCATATCTAACAGAAAGGAAAGGGGCTGGTTTTAAAAAGCAACAGAGTCAAGGATGGAGGGGGGTGACTGGCTCGTGCAGCCCTTATACTGGTGTGTGTGTGAAGGATAACAGCTCTCCAAATGAGGGTCGGTTGTGTCTCTGCAGCAAAAGAGGGCAGCAGTTTTACAAGTGTCCAAATTAGGGGTGTTTAGAGTTCAAGCAGACAGAGTTAAGAGGTGAATAAGTGAATGAAGATGATGAGTAATGTACAGGTATTCATAAATTATGACTCATAGTGAAAGTGCTGTAAAGAAAACTATAATCTTAAATAAGGAGGTGAGGAATCTCCTCCACTGTTATCATAGCGTCTATGAAACCTGCTGCAGGCTTCATTCCTCTTCAAGTCAGGAGCATTTTTGATGATTGTTAACAATAAAATCTAATTTATGGGAGCTCAACTGACTGGCTCCACTTTGGTAGATATTTTCTGGAAAAGATGAACCTGAGATTGATTGGACTTTGTTCTGAGTTACACTGATAAACCTGTCAGTTCAGAGAGGAGAGGAGAGCAGGGGATAAAGTCTGCTTTGTTTTTGATCCTGTAAAAGGAGAAACAGCTTGAGATTTTTACAGGATTTCAACTACATTTACTAATCTTGATACTCAGAGATAGGTATGCACGGGGGAGAGAACGTGAAACAACACTTAAAACCTCCTTTTCAGTCGCTCTTTTTTTTGTTGTTGTTCTTTCTCAGCCACATGGTGAATAAATTATAACATAACTCGAGCTAAAACAGACTCTGTGACTTGACCAGCAGCAAGAAAAGACTATTTTTATTGTCCTGACCTCTTTGAAGTCACTTTTATGCAAAAGTACAGAATAATATCCAACTTCAACTTCGCATTTTTTTGGGACTTATTCCACAGTGGGAGCTGTGTTTTAATTTTCACCTTTTTGGTTACTGTTTCTGCTAGTATTAGTTCAAGCTCCCTTCAAATGCTTCCTTCAAGGATTTATAGTGACTGCCGTTTTTTGAATTACTTTGTATTTTTAAAGTTGTTAAGATGCAGAGATTAGAAATTGAAATAGTTAGCAACAACGGAAATCCCCTGCTCACTCCATTCTTGACACTATGATGGCCTTTAAGGTCAAGAACCTCTGATGCATGATGAGTATGCTCAACCATTTGTCAAGTTTTTACTCTTTTCCTTTCTCTTTTCTGAACCAGTGGAACTCAACCATTCATTAAATACAATAAAACATGTGTGTTACTTGTTTTTCTGCTCTGTGTTACAGTAGAAACACGGTGCCTATCTTTTTTATATGTGCCTGAGTGTTTCCTGACATCTATGGATGTTACTCTGCCATTTGCACTACATCCAAACTTGTAAGCAAAGGTGACTAGGCCTCTGTTGCCAAAGGCCCTCAGACTCACAATAAGTCTATTTGTTTAGAGTGTTTTAAATCTTAGTAAAGCTTTTATGGAAGCTGTTTTTGGTGGTTGAATTCCTTGTTCACTTTTTGTTTCTATTAGTCTTTTAAATCTTGTATTTCTGTCTTTTTATTGTGTTGTTTTTTAATCTTTTTTGTAATTTTTAGCACTTCTTAACCTGTATTAAATACAGTCCGAGGTTAAATCTATGGCAGCAGATTTGTATATTTCACTTTCATGTATTTACGTTATAAACTGGTACCAAGGCAAAGAAAATCAAGAACAACAGAGCCTGCATTTCTTGGCTTTGAGTCAAACACAACATTGCAAATTACAATGTTACATAAACACGTGTGAGTGTCTTTTGTAAACCTGGCAGATAAGGAAGGGTTATGTCAGACAAGGCATGGCACCGCATGAAAGGGAAATAAAGTATGTCACAATCAGATAGTAAATAAGGTGTAATCTAGAGATCTCAACAGCCTACTAACCCAAAATAGTAAACATCTTCCTCCAGAGAAAATTCAAGTGACACCAACGCACAAATGTTGATTCATCTAAACAATCAGCACTATCAGTTTGATTTCCTTACAGTATAATCTGCAATAATGGAGTAATCTACATTCTGTATAAAAGGGACAATTCAGAATTTTTCACAGATGTAGAACTCGAGGTGGAAAGTTTAAATGCTGCTAAAGCCAATTCTGCTGTATTCCAGGTTTAGAAATCTGATAAACAAAGAGATTTTGACTAAATGTGATCATATTACCCTTTCTATTGCATCTAAAAAAGCTGCTGAAAAACAAAGAGTGAACACCTGGAGGAACGCTGCATATTTTAGGTCTGAATACATTAGCTAACTCTTTAACAACTAAGTCACTTAAGCTAATGTTAGCATCCCCAATCCATATAATGTTATTTACGACTGACTCAAATTGCTGTTAATACTATGCTGGTGTATCTTGTAGTTCTAACAAACATTAATGCTACTTTGGCATGAGCTGAATCAATACCTTTTGCCCAAAGGTCAAAATTAAACTAGTAGAATTTCTAGCTGACAATGCTGTCAGAATTTTTATTGTCCTGCGTCTTTTACAGTGCTGGTCATTGGAAAAGTTTTGAAATGAGAGGTCAGGTTTTTTGTCTTTATTTGATTTGTGAAACTGGAAAAAAAGGAGGAATGTTCAAACAACACTGACGTTTGACCACGTGATCATGTTGAATAGGATCGTCCTGCTCATCCAAAAATTGCCTTTTGTGAGCGATTAAGAGCCCACTCGAACATGACGTGAGCACACACACACCTGGTTTTGATGAAAGAACTGGCATCCTCACTCAGTGTCTCACATAGCCTCTAGATTCTATAAACTCATACCAGTTCAGTTACTCCATGTATTGCAGAGGAGGAAGAACAGTATTTCATGTCAACTATTCAAACGTTAGAAGGAAAAAAAAAAGGGAAACTGCCTCCTGACTCACTCATAATTATGTTCAACCCTCGGCTCAGCAAGATTCAGCTGTATAAAATGTTAAAAATCCCCCTTCCCTGAGGTGTGCAGTATAAAGTTGCCAACTTCTGAGGTTCAAGTTTGGGCAGGATCACAACTTAATTCACACCTTTCTCCTCAAGGCCATAGAAAAACAAAATCACAAGAATTGAGACACAACCGCAAGCTTCACTTCATGAAAAAAAAAAAAAACCTGACAACTGATAAACACATCAGTCTGTACAGGTTTAAAATAAATCCCTTAATGGAGATGAATCAACTGCTGAGAAGAGATGAATCACAAAATGAGTCGACCCTAGCAACACAGGGTGTCTAAGTTACACATCTTCAATGCAAAAGCATTCTTCGAGCACCTAAGGCTCACAAGTTTTAACTTATATAATTCCTCAGAGTCCTACATTTTGAAATGGTATAACTGGGTCAATCAAGCTCCTTTAGATTCTGACAAATAACCTCACCCAACCTCCTAATATACCTCCCTCCATCAAAATACAACAATAATAAAAAGAAAAGTGTATTTACAACTGTGTTCACTGTTTATTAACTAAAATAATATGTGGTCGTTTAACAAAATTAATAAAATTAAATTAAAATTACGTTAATGACTAATTAACTTATAGTTAAATAACTACACCTTCTACAAATAAAACAATAAGTGAACATGTTTGAATTGTGATTTTTCTTTTGTCGTATATTTTACTACACCTTGTTAACTACACCTTCAAGTCTGAGGAGCCCTGTCTGAACTGATCTGCCCCCCACACCACCCCTCATACAATATATCCCATCCATGAACAATCAATCAGCAACTGCATTTTTTGCACTACTGCATCCATTTGCACTGTTTATTATGCCCGAGTAACTCTGCACTAATGCCTTATGGTCATGCTTATATACCATTTTCATTTATTCTTTATTTAGTGTAAGTATTGTCAAAGTATTTGTAGAAAGTGTACTGTGTTTTATTGGTGCTGCCTCTGTTTTTATCTATGTATCTGTCTGTCTATGTATGTATGTATGTATGTATCTTTCATCTACCCACCTATCTATCTATCTATCTATCTATCTATCTATCTATCTATCTATCTATCTATCTATCTAATCCCATGCAAAGGTAATATTTAAGAGTTTTATTCCGCAAGTATTTTTTCCATCAAAGGTCTCACTAACCTTATATCTATATAACTTAAACTTTATACATTCAGTAGAAGACCACAGATTATGGACTGCTTTCGAAACATGCTTTATAAGATTTAAAATGGGTGAGAATGTGGGGTTCTTGCTGTTGTCATTGACGATTATCTCGCTTACAACTACAATTACCGACATGCTCTTCGAAATTACGTCATCAAATTTTATCCAATCGCTGTCTTTGGAGGTTTTCTTGATCCGCTGAAACGCGGAAAAACAGCAGCTCGACTCACCTCTGCTGCAGTCTATCAAGTCGTAGTTTTTTTTAGACATACATGTTATCAAAACGCGGTGTTTGGATCACTTAAAGTTCATAAAAAGACTTTTACGCTATCGTTAGAGAGCTTGATGACTAACGTAGTTTAAACTCAGTTTGCGCTCTAGTGTGTTAACAGAAAGTACTGCGTTTAAATGGGCTAAGACAAGTAAACATATGGAGATAACTCCTAAAGCAGCTAAGTTAAAACCAGTGTACCCTTCACCTTGTGATTCAGTGGAGTCCAGCCCTTCTGAATACAAAGAGGAGAAGGTAAGATCAGGTGCAGTTTGTCACCAGTTACCTGCCAGGTAATGCTTGCTCAATAATGAGTATCTTGGAATCACCAGATCAAATGTTCTTGTTATGTCAGTGTTGTTGGAGTTTATATAATGTCCTCTGTGGTTACCTGACTGTGATTCACTCTTCGTCATCTCTGCAGCATCACCAGAAGCTGAGCTCCTCTCTTAGAGAGAGACTGAAGAGATCGAGACGCTCCTTCACCTCGCCCTCCTCTGTGGCCAAACGTCTTTGTGTGGATGAGGAGGAGGAGGAGGAGGAGGATGGCCGACAAGTTCCTGCAGATTCCCGAGAGACAGTTAATAACTCTCCACTGATCATTTCCAGTGTTGATGTAAACAGGAATGAAGTGAGGACACGAAGTGAGAGGTTTTCTGGACCCATTCCCGAGTCAACACCTCCTCCTTCGATCAACTTTGCACAACGCCGAGACCAGCTGAAGAAGGAAGTCAAAGACAGGATGGAAACCCTGCGAAGACTCAAGATGGTTCAGATGTACAGAAGCAAGGTACCTACTGTCTTCAAAAACTCTCATAATGAATGTGACAAAAATCCAATGACACCCCCTGTTTCTCTCTCCTTAGAATGATCTCACAGAGCTCCAGACCTTGGTTGACAAATGGCGGAGCTGCGCTCAGGCTGCTCTGTATGAGCTTCAGTCAGAAGTCCCCATAGATGGAAGAAAGGCCAACTTGTCAGAGCTCATCGACCTCTTCAGTCTGGATGATGCCATTTTACATTTTGATCGCACGGAGGAAGACTTCACTACCTGAAAATGTTCTTCTAAACACATACTTAAACCACGTTGCAAAAAAATACTACAGAAGCACAATCACAGTTCGAACATGTTAACTTATTGTTTTATTTGTTGCTGCTGTTCTGTTTGAATTCACAGCTTGAGTTGTAAATGTGTACTTGTTATTATAAATAAATCTGTTTTCTGTTGATGGGAAGTCTTTGTTTAGTATTTTAGTTCATTAATCGAAGGGAAATTGCTCAACCGTAGACGCTCCACCTCTGCCCTAAGGATGGTCAGGTCGTCCTCCAGCGCTTTGGCAAATTCCTTCAAATTCGACCTCTGGACAATTTCCTGGTAGCACTCTTCTGCTGTGGCGGCCTGATTTTCTTCTACAGCTTAACACCAAAAGACATGCAACATTATCAGCAAAAGTGGCAGCAGAGAACAAACATCTTTAAGAAAAAAAAGGAAAAGTAGAAGTACTGGCTCAACTTCTTCACTGAAGTAAAAGTGAAAATGATCAGGCCCCACTGTAAATTTACTCAAAGTAAAAAGTAGCTTAAACATACATCTCCCACTAAAAACCCATTCAAGACCATTGTACTTAAATGATAACTAAAGATTAAAAATAATGATAAATGCGGTTGAGGTCATCACATTTACTCAGTATCTCTTCTTTACTGTCATCTCCTTCGGAATGTCAAATTCACTATATTTTGAATTACCATTTTCTTCATAGATGTGTCTCCTCTCTGCCACAGCAATCTGCATTTCAGGTAGCTGCTGATCCACAACTTTAGCCTCCTTTGCTATGATTGCTGCCTGCCTGTTGAGCTGTTCAATCTTTTTTTCACGAAGTTGCACGCTCTGTTGATGAGCCTGAAAAGAAAGAATAATATTCGCTGTACATTTGGAAAATATATATCCAAATATACAGTTGGGATCCTACTGAAGAGATATTTTCTGTTACCTGCTCCTGGAAAGCTATAGTTGTCATTAGAGTGGAAACCTGCTTGGATACTCGACTGTCTTGATCTGTATTGTCGAGATACTGCAAAGAAAAGGAGAAAAGTGTCATACACAAAGAGGACGTTGAAACAAAACAAACAGAAAAAGATGATTGAGTTTCTGTGTGGGGTGTTTTGGGTATTTGGTCAAGATTTTTTGTTGACAGATCCAACAAAAAAACTGATCTGAAAATGTTCAGGATGGGATTTTTAGTCATTTTTTATTTCTCAAGGCTACAAAGGGCCTAAACAATGAGAGGAAGCTGCATGCCACGCCTCAGCAGAGCCACCTGAACAGTTTGACAGGAAACTGGCATCCACGCCAGGAAACGTGTTTGTGTGTGCCATGCCGTGGCACGAAAAAACTGATTGTAGATGAGTCATTTAATTTTTATGTATTTTTCATAGTTCAACCATCACCTAACTCTGTTTTTTTCTCCATCACTAACTTGATTTCTTGTGTGCTCAATGTGTTTAAGGGAATAGATTAATTCCAACCCAGAGCAAAGTGTCTGCTTGTCAAGTTCAGTGGTCTGCATTTAATTAAACTGCATTGGATTGACGGAAGAAGCGTCTGTGTTGACCTAATGTTTAAACTATTGCAGAAACATGGCTGATGTGTTAAAACCTGAATAAAGGAAACATTCTTATAGTATCTAAGCTAAGTCTTTGCTTATTTGGAGAAAATCTTGAAAGATGCAGGTTAAAAAAAAAACAGGGTGTGGAGCCTGGCTGAAAAGGGTGTGTTTGTGATAGATCATCCTTCTGTATTCAGGGATGGTAACAATTTTCTGCTCTGAAAAACATCTGATGCTGCCAAAACCGAAATACCTGCCTTCATATCACTGACTGAGGTTTGGCCAGGAACGCAAACGGAGCTCAAGTTTCACCCCCAAATGTTGAGGTTTCATTGTCCTTTCGAGCAGATGGTGAACTTTTGACACATAATTATCCCGTCTGATTTATGTTTACAGAATAATCTATCTACTAGAACAAAGCAGCATTATCACAAAGTGTTAAGTTTCAATTTCCATACTGATTCCAAGCTACTTACAGGTGAAAACAAAAGATCCACGTGCATAGTAGTTTCAGTATACTCACATCCTGTTGTTCCTTTGAGAGTCTTAACCTCTGAATGTCCCTCTTCTTGTTTTCGAGGTCCTCTATCTGCATCGCCACCCTCCTGTGCTCCCACTGAAGCTGGATGATACCTTTACGGAAGTCTTTGCACTCCACCATAGAGGCAATCTTCTGCTTTCCAAGGGTCTGATCATAGAGATGAAAATGATTCAAAGACTCAAAGAGATTCAAGCAATACTTGACTTTGGTTGCTTGAATCAAGTATTAAGTGTGCATGCAACTGTACTTCTAAAAAAGTTAACTGTGAGACTAAATATCCTTGTTTTTCAATAGGTGTGTGTCTGGTGTGAGCTGACCCTGATGGTTCCATTGAGACCCTCCACCACACTCAAGGGGTAAAGCACTGAGTCAGTGTAGTCAGCAGTCATGTTTGCGACAGGAACCTTCACCTGGTCAGGTTTGAGCAGAACCTGAACCATAGTGTCCATCAGGAAACAGTTCTTTTCTTTATGCAAACTAGAAGGCGGCAGAATTACAAAAACACTGTTAACATACATTACACAGAATCAGACATTTTTCAAATTAAAGGGATATTGCATAGAATTAATTAAGGTTCAAACACACTGTAACACCGAGTTAGACTGAAACAGTGAGGCCAAAAGTGCCCCTCAAGACATTCTTCACATTTTTTATACAAGTATAAACATGAAAACAATGACAGCTGCTAATGATCAGGAGGGTTGGCACATTCATACCGCTCAAGCTCATCAAATATATTTTCAATTTCCTGGTGAGCAGCTTTATCCTCATCTCTCCTCTTCTGTAGGAATGCTTGCATCTCAGCAAGAATTAAAGCATTTGATTTCACCTGCAAATGGCATAAAGACAAAGGCAGTTCATGAGCTGGTCTGTACATAACAACACTGGTATGTAAAAAAAAAAAAGGTTTAAAGAGATTCAAAAGTCAACAGATTAGAAAATGATGAGCTGATTTTACATCAACAAAGGGAAAAGTCTGTGTGAAGCAATCCTTTTTTGCATTTCCTGCCAAGTTAACCTGTCCGTGTCCTCGTTTTACCTTTTGCTCGCTCTCTACTTTTGTTCTGCGGACAAGACAAAACTTCTCCCAGACTGAGCCGTTCAAACCCTCTGGCATATTCTCTGGAGCATCCAGCTCTTCCATCGCCTTCAGCATTTTTCCAAGTGCATCAGGAGCCAGAGAACCACAAAGACGTTGCTCTTTCAATGGGTTGGAGTTGTCAGTCTGGGTCCTCATCGTCTGAACCCTAAGGTATGAAAGATGGTGTCTGCTTTAACAGTGTAATCCTAAATACAGTAAAATGTCACTCGTTGAGTGTTGAGTATTACTCACCTGGGTCTACGTTTGAATAACTTATAAAGTTGATCAACCATGCGGCCGGAAACATTGAGGAACTCCTTCCTGAATTCTTTATCAAGAACCTTGAAGGACAAGGAGAGATTTAGTACCCTCTGTGAGTACACTGACCTTCAGTCTGTTTATGTCTTATGAAGTATTTTATCAGCTGGCTTACTCTGTCCTCAGCTACAATGGTGTCATAGTTCTTATTGAACAACTCGACTTCATCTTCATGTTTCTTCAGCTGCTCACTAATTTCATCCTGCCGGAAAAATACATGTTGATATGACAAGACTGGAGGCGACAGTCAAAACCCCTTCAGTCTTACAGTGAAAACGTTTTCTGACCTTGTATGCCACCGTTTTTGCAAGCTTGACCTTGAGCTCCAGCTCTCGATTTCTCATCTCTCTTTTGATGAGGACAGAATAGGCGAGGTAAGTGATCTTGAGCTCTTCCTGGAAAAAAAGAAGCATAAAGAACAGGATATATATAAAGGTTTCACAGATTCAAGAGTTCATGCATCCATTTTTACAATGAGGAGAAAGAGCCCTTCACCTTCTGTGAGGAAAAAGTGACAAAATGAAACAATGTGAAGCATGTTAATTTCATGTGTGTTTGTGAGTGTGTTTTATTAGTCCAACCATGTGTCACACGCGTGTGTGCGGTGAGTTTACTGTGTTGGCTCACCTGCTGTACAGCCATTTCACATTTTAGTTTCCTCTCGAACAGCTGTTTCACCATTTCATCGAACCTCTCTGTTGCATCCTTGGTGGCTGCCTGCAGTTTTTTTATTTCACCTTCCAGAAGCTAAAAAAAAAATCAGATGACAGCTGATTTATATTGAAAACTTTCTGATCAGAGAAAAACAGAGACATGAATAAAACAACTGTAATACCTGTCTGTATTTGTTTTTCTCCTCACTCAGATCTTCGGCTTTATCTTTATACTCTTTATAGAGTTTTTTCTCCTCCTCAGTCCATTTGGTCGAAGGTTTGTTCAAAACAAACTCAGGCGGAGGTATTTCCTGTGGAGTGGAGTCAATAGAAAGTATGTGCCCCTTTGTGCTGATTTGTCTAATTTTACTGACACTGTTTAGAAAAGAATGAAGTCACAAAAAATGCCATTATTTGCCTGTCTGGTGAGGACTCATGCTTCATTTGGCCACAGTGAGATGTGACAAGAATTTCTTGCAGGAGGTAGCTCTGTTATTGTTCTTAACGCCAAAACTTTCTAATGTAATCTGGATTAAACTCTTGGGAAACTCCGCAGTCAAATTATATTAAAAATGACATAAATGTTAGGGTTACGCTTGTCTTTATCTATTCAACTATACTTTTTTTAAACAAATAAATTATTAAATAAAATAAAAAATACTTAATTGATTAAAATCTTTAAAGAGGCAATTAACAGATCTTTATATTTAAGATGAAATAAGAGAATATTCAGAAGTCTGGCTTTAAAGGTACAGCATGTTGAAATGGGAATATTCAGTGATATCTGGCAGACTGATTCTGGACTGAAATACTCCCTCGCTCACCCGACCAGTTGGTGAAGCAAAGGTGCTGTTTGAGGGCAAGGGTCTTCTGTGATGCATGGTAACTATGATCCTTTGTTTGTCAAGTTTGAAGTAAAAAACATCTATCACTGCTAATACCTTTGCCACAACAATTAATCACTCTCTTCTTTGTCTTCCAGTTTGTGCATTTCGAGCATCCACCCATGAAACACAATAATGCATATACCACTTTTTTATCCTCTCTGTGCCTCTGTAGAAACAAGGCAGGCCAAGGTTATGGCCCTCTTGGAAGGGGACCTGCTCCCATGTAAATGTAGTTAACACAAAATAGTTTTTATGTCCAGATTATTAAACTCTGATTCATTCAAGTCTGCTCTGCTAAATGCCTCCAAATACTACGACCTACACTTTTAAGAATGTCAAACATTTGCTGAAGTGTTTCTGCTTTTACTGACGTGTATCTGTTCTTCTGATGAGAAGGTGTGGGGAGTGACATGAGGGAAAGGAGCCACAGACCCAAATCAAACCCGGGTAGCCCACTTGAGGACTACAGTCTCTGTCCATGGAGTGTGTGCCCCAGTTTTACTCACCTTTGCCAAGATGTTCTCTTTTTTCACTTCAAGTGCTCCATCCATCATATCATCAAGAGCTCTATCTCTGATGTTATCCCCCTGTGAAAAAAAAGACAAAACAAGATGAAAATATGAAAAAAATCAGCTATTTTTACTAAGGAATGCACAAGGAGATTTTAATATATTCCATTTCTGTTTGTTAAATGTTTTAAATATGTTCCTCTTCCTCTGAGACTGTTGCTTTCACAGTGAAGTAAACAAACAAGAGTTTAAAATCAGAAACATATTCATAGCATTTTCATTGTACTTTGGCAGCCAAACGTTTCTGCTCCTCCAGCTTCTTCCTCTCCTCCTCCTCTTTCTGTTCTGGGGTGAGATATTTTTCTGCTGTTATCTAGAGAAGGACAAAGGGGAACGTTTCTTTGGTAAAACAGTGTGAAAACACTTTGGATAAAGAACACACAAACAGAAAAACAGATGGCTTAATGTGCATGTTGTGTTTCTTAAACTCAATGTGAACTTCGTCAAGTGTATGTTTTTTTTAATTTTTCAGGAAGAGGTCAGTCACCTCAGAGTCGTCCACGGTGAGCAGCCTCTCTGGCCACTCGCTGACGGTCAGGCTTGGCTCCCACAGCGTCTCATTCATACCCAGTTCCAGCATGATCTCCCTGATTTGCCGGTTTCTGTCCCTCACACGGCCGATTTCCTGCACCTTCTGTTTGTGCACGGCCTCAAAGTCAGCGTTGAACCCAGTCTTGATGCGATAGATCACATCCTGCACCCAGAGTAAAATTTGACAGGATGTTATTCATGATTAAGATGACGGAAACTAGCTCCTATAAACTGCTAACACTGCTTTCAATGTGGTCATTTTAATACTTTCTTTGTTTTTGTAATTTCCTCATTGCCTGGGTATGCTTGGTTTTGAAGAGAACCGTGTAAGTTTCACACTCCTGCACTTATATAACAGTTTCCCACCTGCAGCAGAATCATCTGGTTGATCCACTGTTCGGTGGTTTGCAGGCTGAACTGATCATAAATGTCGGGGTTTGAATATCCCAGCTGAGTGGAGAAACTTCCTGTTAAGGCGGCACTCTCTGCCCCCCGACCTTCCTCTCTCTGCTCTTCCTCCGTCTCTCCCGGTATGCTGGAACTTTTCTTTAAGCGGCTCTGCAAAGTTAAAAGGTGGAGAGAATAACATTGAATGAGAAGGCTGGGAGAAGTGTTGGGGAGTGAATCTGAGGCTGTGTGATTATAAACTCCAACCCAAGAATATTATAGTGACAAGAACTATCTTAACAACTCTCCTCTGGCCACATAGCTATAAATCCAGAATAGTTTCAGCACTGGTGGATTGGCACAGATTCAAGCATTTACGAATTTACGGCAGAGAGAGGTCACACATAGGACTGTGATGCAAAGCATCAAATTACTTTCCAGCTGTAAACCTGTTTTGACTTGAATTCTTTGACCATAAAACGTATTGCCAGAGAGTAAACTCCCCCGTGCTGAAGAGGCTGCACTGTCACAGCTTAAAGTCAAAGTTTAAATGCGTACTTGACGCTGCATGCTGCATATCTGTTTCAAATTAAAAACAACAATCATCGATTGCTTTCTAACTCATCACACGTGCTTCTATTTGCCGTGTTGACAGGAATCTAAACCGCAGGCTGTTCAGGCCTGTGAATCCGTTTTGCTTACGGTGTCAGCAGCTTTTTCAAACTTCCTTAAATACTGAACCCTGCGAAGGTCCTCCTCCTCTTTCTCTGTTCGCTCCTTCAGAGGGTAGTTTTTCACCTTGTGCTCAGAGTAAAAGGCCTGCAGGAGAAGTAATAAAGAGCTCTCAAAACTGATCATGAGATACTGTGATAATGAAGCGCTTGTTTCTGAGACACCTGACCTGAATGGCCTTTCCTTTGACCTTCATTGAATCCCAACACTCTTTCTTTAGGACATCACGGAGGTAACACTTTGCCAACATCTCCCATTCGATTTCTTCTTTTACCTATAATACAAAAAATATATTTAATATCACAACCAACATGATCCTGGGGCCAAATTTCAGGTTCATTGCTTTCATGCGTGTGGATTACGTTGATAACTTCCTGCTCCACCATGGCCTTGAGTCTTCTCTGCTCCTTGACATCCAGGTTAAATTCATGCAGTTCAAGGCGCTGAATGTCCGGGAGGGTTTCATTCTCACGCATCATCTCCTGGATCTGACGACACAAGCTCAGCCGCTAACATCATTTGTGCCTTAACTGGACAATTTCAAACATCTCAACAAATATAACATTTTTGTTGTTGCAGAATTAGTTTTTTTCTGTTGTGCTCCAACTCTAAGCAGAAACAGAAGTTTAAGATTTGAGATTGAAAGTGGGGTTACATTTTCTTTGTACTAGTTTTGAGTGGATGACTTCATAGCCTTTTATTTCAGTCTTCTTTCTTGTATACACAGACGATTCTTCTTAGAAATCATGCAATTTTTTGCGCATTTGCACACAGCTTTCGGACTTGAGCCTTTGATTGTTTTTAACACCATGATAACTATGATTTGCTTTTCTAATTTACTGTGTGTGTGTGGGTTTCCTTGGGTGGGGAGCTGCTGTATTTGATTACAGAGACGAGTCTATACTAAATTAAAAAGCATGAGCTAAACGTGTCAATGATGCTGGATTTTTGCTTACATGCACTGTAGATGTTTAGTAAGCAAGTTTTTTTTCAATGTGATGACGTTCTGCTTGTTCAAAAACTCATGAGATGACAAATACGTAACCAAACTTACAGTGTCGCGTAACTCTTTGATCGATTTCCTCATAGCTTGCTTTGTCTCGGCATATCGTTCATTCTCTTCTTTTATAACCTGTTTCAAAACATACAGATTGTAAACGAGAGAGATATTTAAACTCTGACAACATATTGACAGAGTTGGAATTAAACTGTGCTTAATTATACCACCGCATCTCCACAAACACAACACAAACACCTTAAGCAGAAATAACCCCAAATTATTAAACCCTAATTCAGGGGGAAAGTAATTGATGTGCCGTCTACCACTTTGTTTTCAACATGATGCAGCTTGACTCAAACAGAAGCACTCCCAGTCCACGTGAGCCAAAGCATGTTGAAGCATAAAAGTAGAGAACCTCTGCTTGTTTCCTGTGGGCGATTATCTTCCAGGTGTAAAACCCACCATTCAAATGCTGCCACACCTTTAGTTCCTTTTTATTATCAAGAAACCGTCATGTGACTAAGTTGTAAATGCTTATCTGCTTTACAGCAACCTGAGTATTCGCTAATAGATTTATTGTTATCACTATATGATAATAGACGATACTAAATCAAGGTGTTGTAAATCGTAGATGTGTGCCAAAAGCAACACAGCTGGTTTTTTAGACATCGCACTCAGGTGCAAAAGAGACTTTCGTAATGCTTAGACAGTAATGTAGTAGATAAGTGAGAGAAGCATCTAAACACAGTCAATATGATCCAGATGTTATGCTACCACTACAACTATTACAGCACAGTAGTCACTGACCGCCTCTCGTCTGCTCTCCAGCCATGTGAGGTGTGAAGGTGGAGCAAACAGCAGGCTGTTATAACTCTCATCCTGCTCCGTCACATCCACGGTCTGTGCTTCAGCGCTGACCTGAACAGTGTTAAGAATAAGAGACAGATATAGATTAAAGAAAATATTCTTAACTCGAGAAATGAAAATATGGTGAAGTAATTAACATCGCAATAAATAATGTGATTGAAGATCTGCTGCATTGTGTAACATTCACACCACATTTGTACCACAGAGTCTTAAATGTTCTTGTTATGGAAACAACTCAATGACAAACGCCTGTCATTGTATTCCAATTTATTTGAATACTTCACATATTTATGACCTAAAATAACAATATCATCTGCTGGCATGGATGGCTTGCCCAGATTATAACTAAGAATAAGACCATTACCCTTTTTGACACTGTTTAAGAGAAGAGTTGATTCAACATTTTTAATCTTATTTGATCTTATCTTCATATTTTCTGTGCTTGTGCTTTTTGTTTATTTCACGTTACTCTGAGGGGTGTCTAATACTTTCTTACAGGTTTTTCTTTTCTTTTAAGTGAAATCAGCTGTTTGGCACTTCAAAAAGAACAGAAAACAGCGCAGCTACTGTTAGGAAACCCACACACTCACTACATAGAGTATTAAAACTCCAGGATACAGAGGATTGACATTAAAAAAAGGCTGAATAGAAGATCATTCACCTCACTTTCCAGTTGTTGTTTGGTGCCAGAGACAGACCCATGACCCCACTCAGGCATGTCAATGAGGACGTCATTCTCTTTACTGAATATATTCTTCAATAAGTCACCCATAGACTTGCTGTGTTGAGCAGCTTCTTCCAGCTTCAAACTTTTACTTCTGAATGGACCCATGGGAAACACACAAAAAACATGCACACATATTATTCAATCTATAATGACAGTTGAACTACAAATTCAAATAAATACATCAAATACTAATCTTAAACCATTTTAAAATAGAGTAAAATGTGAAGAGTCAGCATCTTATCTTTAGAACATGTTCTATTCATAAATATTACTCAGTCCATAGATAGGAAAGGATTAAAATAGATAGAGCAGGCTACAACAGAACTTCTCTACAGAATGTAAAATCTAGATTTGTTTCACCACCATTTTTTCCCCTGACAACAGTGCCCCCTGATACCATTTGCAGCATAGTTCAAAAATGTATGTACATATTATTGACGTAAGCATATTTCAGTTAATTCTCATGACAGGAAAGGCCTGTATTTACTTTGAAAAGTATACTCAATCACCAGTAAAAGGACTGTTACTGTTATTTGGATCTGACTTAAAGAAAACCAAAGTGCCCAGTTGTTCATAATGACAGAATAAGTCCCCCAATGGAATGATAGAAGTCACCTTTTCTCTGGAAGCTCTGTAATGATTTACCTGCTAAATCTGTTTCTAATCTCAACTAATCCTTCAAATATTTCTTCTTAAAGAATGCTTTGACATCAGTATGAATTTCTTTTACCTTTTATTTTGTTTTACTCTTACTGCATTGTCATTTTCCCTTGTTTAGTTTGTATTTACAGTGTATTTCATGTTGCTCACTGTAGAGAAAGTGCTACATAAATAAAAATGACACTTGTTGTTATTATTACTACTATAATGATCAATTTCAATAGGAAAGCTTTGTAGAGAAAGGAAATGTGAAGATAGACAGGGGGGAATGACAAGCAACTAGTCATGCCAGAACCAAGAATCAAGACTGCAACCAGCATGACACACGCTGTCTCCTCCGTACAAGCTCATCCAACTAAACCAAACTGACGTCCTAGTTTCAGCCTTTTTAAGGATTTGTTGATATTAAAGCTAAAAATCAGAACAATAAAACTGTCCTTTAAATCCCCTTGTTTTCAACACTTTAAGCTGCCAAGAGATTAGACTGAGTCAAACACCAAATGTTAAAAACGTGCAGTGTCTGGATTATTGAAATAACATTGATTAAAGATATTTGAGAGGTTGTGCTAACCAGAAACATAAAAGGAATGATTTATAAAACACAAACACAAGAGCGAGCATGGGAGGCAGATGTGGAGACTGGAAGGGATTTGATTCCAAGTGCAGACTGTTCTGTGAAGAGTTTTTATGGCCGTGACTCCACTCAACCCAGCACTTCACATGTATTTATTTACTATTGTCTCACAGCCAGCTCTAAAAGAGGAAAAAATCCTCTTTAAAAGGGAAAACTCTGTCTGTAAACTACACCAAACTGCCCGAGAGTGGCATAACGCCTGTGAGCAACAGTTCCCTCTGGTGTTCGCAGTGATGTATTATGTAAGCGTGACTCAGAGCTGAGATTTACCTGAGATTAGTGCAGATAAGAGAGCCGTCTTTTAGACCAACAGTAAGAAGACTCCGACTGTCTGCAGAGAAGGACACACTCCTCACTCCAGAAAGACGGCATGAATGACACTGCAGCTCAGTATACTGCTCCTGTAAGTGCAGGGATTGCTTTGTAACACATGCTTCAGACAATGAAAATATAAGTTTTCACAAAATAAAATGAGCTCCCACCATGAAAGCAGTTTCTCTGATACGTAATAAGCCATCGCGGCCAACAGAAGCCAGCCATAAATTGTGAGGAGACAAAGCGAGAGAGGCCGGGCCAAGGGGGTGACCCCTCACTTCCTGCTCTGGTTTTAGTTGGACTACCTCTTGACTGGGGAGATTGTCTGTGTTCTTGGCAAATAGAAATCAGAGCATGGGACAATGATTACACAAATACATTACAGGGGGATTTCAAAACACCAAGAGACACACATTTCCTTTCAAAAAGGAGACCAAGGATCACTAAAATTCAACTCATGAAGAAGCAGTAAACCTGGGGAAGCTGGAATCTCTGAAGGGTTTTCCTCTTGTGGCAGTACGCAAAAACCTCAGAGACTCCCAGGACACAGGACTCAAGAGGGTGGGGCACCTCATACCTGGACACCTTCAGGATGTTGGTGGACAGACAACCGTGTTTGTCTACACAATCTGGACCTACAAATATGATAAGAAATATTCTAAAAATGTGGTTAAATAAAAGAAAAGAAGTGTCCAAAGCATTTGTCAGTCATCATGTTACATAATCTTAAGGTATTTCGGAGCCTTCATGAGCACAAAAGAGTCTAAAGGATGTTTTAACAGTACAAGGAATGCTCTTTTCAGCACCCCGCATGCATTTTTTTAGTGAGTGTCTGTCGCAGCTCTCAATGCTGCCACTCCCTAGACTTGATGTTTGCTCTTTCCTCCAGAGAGCTGTCTGCCTCATGGTCTGTCTTGTTCAACATAGTTTCCAAGTCTGAATAAACAAAGGGTGTGTCTTTTTGAACTGCTCGGCCGTTAGTCTCTCTTTCTTTAATTGTGTGAGTGACCACATGTCTAAACATTAGGACAAGAGGATCTGGTTGAGTGTTTCTGATCGTTTATGCTACTGTTTCTGGCTATGATTATCTCTTTAGAAGAAAAATTGAAGTCCACTGTCAGAGCCTTCCTGTGGATGAATGATGAGATCCCCAGCCTTAGCGCAGTAGGAGCAGTATTGAAATCTGATTCTGAACATAATTTACAGCTTTAGATAGTGTAACTGTGTCGTAAAAGAAGCAGCAAGCTACAAAACTTGTGACATTTTTTCACAGAGGAGCACATCTGGCCTTTATTTTCACTTTATTACCATAAACCTTCCCCTAACTGGACATCTAACGGCTTAATTTACGATGACTTGTGTGATATAGCTCCGGATCAATGTTAATCTCAATATAAAGACAGTTTTAAACATTATTGTGTTCTCTCTCATTGCTCGTAAGCAAATCTCACTCTTATGGAAATCTCCTCAACCTACATCTATCAAAATCTGTTGGCATGACATTTTAGGTCTTTTAAAACTAGAAAAAATGAAGTTCTCACTCAGTGCTAGGTTTTACAAACATTGGAAACCACTATTGAAGTATCTAGATAGATTACTAGCACAAGTAATCGCTCCATAAGTATTTTTCTATGATTGGGGTGGCATCCGTCTTAATGTGCCTGTATGCCAGGGGGTAACTACCCGCAGCAGAATTTTTAATTTTTAACTTTACTATGATAATAATTATTATTATTACATTTTTTTTTTCGTTTTTTAATTTAATTTTTTTTAAATTATTTTTTATTAATGTTCCCTTTCTTCCTCCTTTTTGAAATTATTGATCCATATATTTATTTTAATTACTGTTGTTATTGTCATGTTTACTATCTGATATGTGTATGAATATATATGTATATATATATGTTCGATATATATGTACGCATATATATGTATATTTATTTATATTTTATTTACTGTCTGTTTTGTAAGTGTATCGTCTATTTTCTAAATGTCATCTGGCTGGATGGGAGATTCAGGGGTTGGGGGTGTTCTTGGTTCATTTATGTTCAAAGTTAGAAAGGAAAGAACTTGTACCTCTCTGAAGTGGAACTGTCTACTTGCCTCTCATAAATAAAAGATATATAAAAAAAACCAGACCATTTTAAAACAGAATATGAGGTGTAAAAATCTCATACAGTGCTGTACCTGAGAGATCCTCAGTAGGCAGAGAGAGCACCATAAGAAGGTTACCACTATCCTGATGTCTGCTTCCCTGTCCACTGCACAAAGCAAGAACTTTCACCCGATTGGACTTTGTGATATTTTGAGTGGACAAGGACAAAATGGGTCCAGGAACAACTGGGAAGGAATCAGAAATGACAGAAGTTGAGCTATATTTCAACATGATATCATCAAAAAGATTGTTTTCTATAGTTAGAGGATGCTTTAATAACTACTTATCAAGTCCCCGGTGCCAAAATGGCCTTAGTATTGCATATACAGTGGTATGATATGTATGAGAGGCTTGATCCAAATTTACCCACTAGGACATGTTCCCAGATCAACACCCAACATAAGGATCCTGTAACAACAACCAAGCACGATCCTGTGACAGCTTGTTGCGTCTAGGTTTACTTCATAATTCATTGCTACTTAACTGAGTTTTCTAGGTTAAAATTAGCACATCTGGAAAAAAACTGTAGGGTGAAGGTTGACATCACCACTAATGGCAGCTCAACTATATATATATATTGAAGAGCCTACTCAAAGCCACAGCTCTACAAGCTTAACCAGGGTTAGTGAGTAAGTACTTGCTTTTGTTAACAACCATTTCTCTCCAAACCACCATCAAAGGAAGAGGAAATAATCACACCCCTGTTTGGTGGATTTACAAAGGACTTCTGTGAGAGGGAGAGGATCAGGAGGCTGATGATGTTAGAGGGTTGTGATTGGTTGATCTAATGTTGGTACATGTTCCGCCTGGTGAAATCACGCAGAGCAAAATCATGTCTCATCAGTTGAGAAGACTGTATACCTGTGTATCCGCGGACTGCAAAACTTTGTGAGGGTTTTGCATCCAGGACATAAATATGAGCATCTGAGGCAGCGGTGAAAAGGTAGTGTCCTTCTTTATCAAAACTGTAAGGATAAAACACATGAAGCACATGAAGAACGCTCATAACAATGAACCGCGTTTGATGATTCATGAACAGAAGCACAAAGCTGTAATCGTGTTTTATGAGTAAAGATAATGTACCTGTTTTATAGATCACAATATCTTACTCATAAAACAGACAACTCTTTAACTATGAGTTAAATTCATGAAAATAAAGTCTTGAAACCCTTAAGCATCAAAGGACAGAGGATACTTACACAAGGTTATCCACAGGAGTGTGGTACAAGTGAATCTGATGCACCAAGCGAGGCTGCTGCTCCCTGTTCAGGTCAATAAAGAGGACATATCCTGAAGACGTTCCCACGGCTGCATAATGTGCAACAGGACAGCAGGCCAGACTTGTCACCTTAACAAAAACAGCACAGGCTTTGAGTTTGCTTCTATTTTGTTAGTTTTTGTATTGTTACATGTAAGTCATGCATATCAAAGTTAGTATAGTGTACGAATAGTTAGAGACCAAGTGTATAAACGTGGCTCTGTTGGTTTTGTCACATGTCATAAATCCGACCTCAGTCTGAAGCGGCAGGGAACCAAGGCAAAGGCCATCTGTGGACCACAGCTGCAGTTCTCCGGTCTCCCTCACTGACTGCAACCAACAAAAACACACACAAACATCAGCACTCGCACAAAAGAACCAAACTGCACCAGACTATGTAATTCTTGAGCAGCGCAAGTTTTACCACACAAATGTTCCTGTCAGTGTGCGATTGAGCTGCTGCCACAAAATTGCTACTGAGAGCATCCAGGACCTTCACAACCTCATTTGATGTTGGATTCAGCTTGTAGATTTGCCCCTGATGGATGAGAAACTTTTTTTATCCTCTCATAATGTTTTTATTTGATAGAATAGCACGTGTTTGTGCACAATAGGCTACACTATAGTGGCAAACTTACTGTATTTGAGGATAAAAGTATCGTCTCATAGTCTGGTGAGTACATCACAGTTGAGACAGGACCGGCTATTTGCCACGTTTGGGACACGGATATCTGAGTCCCTTTGACATGCAGACAGTGCACCATGCAGTCCTGTAAAACATGAGGAAGTTATGTTATAGGATTATAGTAGTTGGAGAAAATGTGACTTTGACCAAAGTAGGATGATACCTTTCCAACAGCAGTCAAACCATTCTTGCCAAGGGTTAAACCTTGAAAGCTGATCCACCTGAGCTCAGGAATCGCATCAGCCGCTGAAAATATTACACAAAAACATGGCTCAGTTCTTTTTTCTAGTGGAAAAAAAAGTTAACTATCTAATGGAAGAGTACAGATACACGAACTGGTTATTTTTCAAGTATCTTCAACATCCTAGAGTCCTGGTTTGTGCGTAAGAAAGAGTGTTTTACTTGTGGGGTTAAAGAGGATTGAGACAGAGAGGCTCTCCATGTCAACAAGCAGAAGAAAGCCTTCAGCGCAGCCCACATAAAGCTCTGACTTGGTCGTCCAGCAGATGGCAGTAGGAGTTAGCTTGGCCTTGGAGCAGAGTTTTGTCTGTGTGAACATATTGTATACAGTTGAATCAGCAGAACAAATGTATTAATTGGTGAAAATGTATTTAGTTTGTAGATATTTGTGTGCAAATGATGCTGGGTTAATACCACAATGCTTTCTGCCCTGTCCCCACTGAGCCCTGCTATGGCTGATGGAGGCATCTCTGGACCAAAATAGGGGATTTTTTCATTAACAGTATGAAAAGTCGGGGTCAGACTTTCAACAAAGGATCCATCAGTTGCTGGAAGATTAATCACACTGCAAAACATACAACATAGCTTATAATAATTCTCATACGGTAGTTTGATTTTGCATTTATATCACATGCAATGGGTTTTCTTACCTTGGTTTCAGGACGTGAAAGCTGCCACCCTTCTCAATATTCCACACAGTAAGGCCTGTGGCGCTCAAGGCACAAAGCTGGAACCATTTCATGGGGTTGAAATGCAACGAAACAACCCCCTGCCCAGCATTTGGTTTTGTACAGATTTGCTCAGCATTTTCCCAATTCCTGCATCATACATACGTGATCACAGTGACAGAGACGATCAGTCCAAATGAACATGAATGAAAATATGTTGCACACAATCTGTGCTATAGCATACAACTCTCACTGGCTTACCACACTGTTATGGCGTGCTCAGGTAGAGATGAACAGCAGCCTAAATAAGAACCACCATCGCTCAGTGTCAGAGATGTATAATCTAGTTGAGCACCCCCTGAAAAAAAAAACATTGCTGAGCTTTTGAAGATGAGAGAAAAGTTATTATGTTGGATAGATGCAAACATACAGATGCATAGTTCAGAATGCAGCAGCTAGGCTTTAACTGGTTTTAATAGACGGCATCACATCACTCCAAGTTTAGCCTCCCTTTACTGGCGTCCTGTCAGTTTTAGAATTGATTTTAAGATTTAATTGATTACTTTTAAAGCACTCAATGGACTTGCTCCAGTCTACATTTCACAGCTGTTAATACCATATGAGCCAACTCGCAGCCTCAGATCCTCTGGCAAAGGCCTCCTGGTCGTTCCAAAGTCGAGACTCAAAACTAAAGGTGACAGAGTTTTCTCCATCAGAGCTCCTCGACTTTGGAAAGACCTGCCAGAGGATAAAAGGGGGTTCTTTTAAGTCAGATTTAAAAACTTACTTTTACAGACTTGCTTTTGTGTGATGCCACCTTATATCTTTTATCTTTTTGACCTCTATCTTATTTCAGCTTTACTGTCTTTTTAGCTTTTGTTATACTTGTACTCTTTTCTTAACAGTATTACCTGTTATTATTTTATTATCATTGTTGATATTGCCTTTTATATTTACTATCCTGTTTCTGCTTTTAATCTCCCTTTTAATTGCATTTTCTTTATTCTTAACTATTTTATTTTTTAGTTTTGTTCCTCAAGGTCTCATTTTATGTTGCATGATTCTTGTATTGTCTGGGTTTCTTGTGACATGAAAATGGCCTTTAATTCCGTTTTAACTGAGCTTTTTGTTTTTATCTGTCTTTTTCCTTTGACTATATGTCAAAGCACTTTGTAAACTTCTGTTTTTAAAAGTGCTGTACAAAGAAAGTTATTATTATTATTACTATTACAGCCAAAAGCTCTATTTATGGTGGGGGAGTATTTTAATAATTCAGAAAACAGGCCTATCTATTGGAATAGTATGAAAACAGCTCGGATTAAGGTATTTGTTTGATTTTGGAGAGTAGTATCTGCTCACCTTTGAGTTCATTCTTCAAGTGCAGCTCTTCAAAAACGTATACAAATATAGATGGACATAACTTTTGCTCTGAGAAGGCAAAAATCCCACTGTTGCCATTGGCTGTGAATGCACCAACGCCTCTACCAGGACTTTTGAACACACTTGTCGTTTTTGTCTCTAAGTTCAGGAAAGAGATATGACTCCCACAAGGGTAGCATACGGTTTTGTTGTCGACAAACGCGATGCTCTTGTTTGTAAAACCTTGTATCCAGCTGCAAAGAGAGGGAAGAAGCAAAGATACGAGTCACAGAGTTAACACTGTTTCACCTAGCTTAACTGCTACGGACAAAAGTGACGCCAAACAGTTATAAGACGGTTGTGTAAAAGAAATAGACGTAATTAAGAGGCGAAATACCTGATTTCTAAACTTTCAGTGTCATCCATGTTGAAATGAGAATTAACCGCAGACGGTAAACTCGAACTTTTCGGACTATCAAACAAGCTATCAAGCAGGAGAGTCGATGCGTATCCCTGGCAACGAAAACCTCTGTAGCAACCGCCATTCCTATTGGCTGTAGTGTTGTGTCGTTCGCTAACGATTCGTTAAAAAAAATCTTTTAAGTGAACGTACGGAACCAAATCACTTCCCTTAAGTGATTTGTTCGTTTCTCACTTAAGTTGAGCCGTCAGAAGAGCGAGGGATCACATGCACCGACACCTGAATCACCTGGTAAACGAATCAAGCATTGAACTACACTCTCTGGAATCATTTTTGTCAGACAAAACTACCTTTTTTTTTCACTGCTAAACTACCACCACAACAACTTGCATACAATAGGACACAGCACGTAACAAGGTAGTGCATAGAACCTGCAGCATCCTATCATTGGAGCGGTTTGCGAGAGAATGGTGCATGTTCAGTTTGAATTCCTCTAAATGTTCAGTGAACGAATCACTCACTGACCCCAATTTACCAAGCAGACCTGATAAATAGGATACCATAGGACAGTACACTTAAAACATCATGACTTGTAAACAAGTTCATTTTTACAAACCTGTGTAAGCAACACAGCCAAACACTCTCGTCTCCCAGTCTTAGAAGCTATGAATTGAACTGAATCCTGAACCGTTCAGCTGTGTATCAGTTCAGGAGTTTGGAGTTGCAGGCTCCTCCCGCCAAGAGCTGAATGATTCGGTGATTCGGTGAACTAATCTTTTCAACGTATCATTTTAGTGAACTGATTCTAGTGATTCAGTACATCTAAAAGAACTGCCGTGCCCATCACTAATTGGCTGGTTCCGTTTATGTTTGGGGGTGAAAATATCACAAAAAGCGCAACACCTTGGTACTACGATAGTACGATTTAGAGCCATAAACCTAATTAACACACAAAAGTCTGAACAACCAAGCAGCCTCTCTTAAATTTCGAAACTCCGACCATCTGAGAGGCACGTGAACGCAAACCCTGTGTGACGCTTAACCATCCGGAAGTAGAGTACACAACTACTGCGGACATCGTGTTCCTTTTCCATTTCTCCTCTCATTTCTGCATCGTCTTCACTGATGTAGTTCACCACCTGAGACATAAACATGTCTACTGAGAAGTGCTTCGCAAAAGGTAAGATACTTTTTTAAAGGCTAACAGAGAAAACACAGCTAGCAGACTAAACCCACGACCAGCACAAATATCACTCATATTAAGTTAATTTTACACCAGAAGTTTAAATGTATTTTATTTCTTTTAAGTTCATGCAAATCTTGAGGTAAAGTAGGAGTAGAAGTTCAAAACAATACTAATATCTTTATTTTTATAGCACTTATAAACCCAGACAGTTTAAGAACCCTACAACATAAAATGAGACCATGAGGAGCAAAATAAAAACATAAAATAGGCAAGAAGAATAAATGTAATAAAAAAGGGGGTAGAAAGCAGGAAACAGGATATTAAATATAAAAAGACGATATTTATAATAATAAAATAAGTAAAACAAAGGCTAAAAGGACATGAAGTATAATTAAGATAGAGGTAAAAGAGATAAAGGAAAAAAGAGAAAGGGCAGCATCACATAAAAGAAAGTCTGTAAAAGTGAGTTTTTAAATTTAAATAATACAATTTAGGTGTTTTATCTAGAGCCGTTATTTACTAGCTGTGAGGGAACTGATTGAGATAATACATTTGCACTGTAGACACTGTAATTTGCAAAGTCATTGTGGCTTTGCATTCTCAAACTTCCTTTGTCCTCCTTACAGAGGTGACAAAGGAAACGAAAGCGCATAAAAATCAAAAGATAAAACCCGTCTAACTAGTAGTCCAGTTGTACTCATGAAATATAAACAAAGTACATGAATCATTCTGAGTATGAAACTGTTTCAAAAGATATATTGTAGGTAGTTGCATAGAGATAATTGAACGATAAGGTATCTGCCAGATTCTCTGAAGTTGACAATGACTGGATAGTTACTCAGTGCTTACTAGCATTAAAAAGCAGGTATAAAAGATCATGTATTTCTTACATTTTTAGGGAGTGGGCCTATTAAACTGACATTTGTTATGAGCCCTTTATACAGCCTGCTGGGGACAATAGTGACAATGCTTTTTAAGGCTGGGCTGTTTAAACAGGTGAGACAAACCCATAGACTGTGTAATGATGGTCAAACCCAGCAATATACAAGCATTTATAATGGCCTGATTGCATAACCTAATCACTCTCTGAGTTGTTCTTTCTCAGCCAATGCATCTGTATGATCAGTACGGAGAAGTAAAACACTCAGAAATCGCTGACCTGTAAGCTGTCTGTTTGTTGGTTAAGTCTAAAGAACGAGCGCTTCAATCATGTGAGGTATTGTGCAGTAATAGCGGCCTTTGTGTTCGTTGCAGTTGAGTGAAAAAAAACAGCCTGTCTGCAATTTATGCAACAGTCTCCGGGGTAGCAAAAGAAAACGTGATTATTTGCTTGTTAAAAAGGAAAAAAGAGGAGGCGTGGTACTATTCTGTTCATGATAATGTTGTAGATATTGCACACCCCCGTGACACTGGTCTGCTTTATAAAGATTCATATTATTTTGAATTTTTAAATGACCTTTTTATTTGATCTTATTCTGTCTTCCTCCATTTCATTGACTGAAGAAGCTAAATCATTACTGACTTTAGTACTTTTGCATTAATAAGCCAAGACTAGTTGCTTGTATGCTTGTATTTGTGTAATCTACTTTGTTAAAAAGCCTTTTTCTGATTACACTAATTTGTAAACTATAACATGAAAATCATTGAGCTTATGACGGAGAAGCTCTTATCTGCCTCTGGAGTTATAAAAGTATTACTGCAGGTAACATTGTGTTTATAGGGTCATAATCTCAATCATGAAAGTTATTACTTTCACTTACCTAACCAGAGGTGGGAATTCCTCCAGGCTGGGTTAACTAACAACAAAGGAGATCAGTGTGGATTAGTGTGGTCTGCCCTTTTTGTTCACTGAGAGGGTACACAAAGCTGATATCACTTTTTCCCATGAATTGACAAAACACACACACAAAAAATATTTCCAAATCCATTACTCCTGCACATTAAAACTAAACACACACGGTTATCTCAGCTAGTAATTTTCTTGAAGGGGATTTTTTAACACATAATGAAAAAGACAAATACATTTGGTCATGCTATAAATCTCAAAACATGGCTGGTATTTATACTTGTCTATAACTTGCCTTGCTGTTATTATTAATTCATTACAATGGATGCACTTTAAACGATTAAACTAATTATTATGAAACAAATGCAGCAGTCAAGTGCACTTTCTCTAGTGTTTTCATGTTCAAATAGAAAAGCAAAATATACTCATATCTCAAAAAATTGTCTGAGTTAATACAACAGAAATCATGTGTTAAATAAAAATCTACATGTTTGCTCTGTTGCACCTGCTCCATGATTATTTCATTTCTTTCAGGCAGCGCTGAACCTGGTCCAGTCCCCAAGGACCAGATCAGACTTTACAGCATGAGATTCTGCCCCTTTGCTCACAGGGCCAGACTGGTGCTGAGTGCCAAGGGGATCAAGTAAAGACACATTTCATTTTTGAACCGTAACCATTACTGATAGAATCTGTTTTATTACTTTTTTTAAAAATCTGGTCGATCTGTTCCTTTCAGGCATGTCATCGTCAATATCAATCTGAGAGATAAACCTGACTGGTACTTCGAGAAGAACCCTCTTGGGTTTGTCCCGACTCTGGAGACCCCTGCTGGTGAAGTGATATATGAGTCTCCCATCACCTGCGAGTACTTGGATGAAGCTTACCCTGAGAAGAAGCTGCTTCCGCTCACTCCTTTTGGGAAAGCTCAGCAGAAGATGATGATGGAGAATTTTTCCAAGGTTAAGCACTGGCATTGAAATAATGCTTTTTTTTTGTTTGTATACTTGTCAGCTATTTGGGAGAGTAATCAAATAATCACTTGAATGACACTGTTTTCTACAGGTTATGCCATACTTCTACAAGATCCCAACAGGGAGGAAGAAGGGCGAGGATGTTTCAGAGCTGGAAGCTGAACTAGTAGAGAAGTTTGCCAAGTTAGATGAGGTAGGCTGTGGAAAAAAATGCTCACAATTGACCCCAGAAATGAACTTATATGACTGCAGTTGGCTATAAAATGTAATAAATGATCACATATAATAAGTTTACAGTCCATTGAAATCCATTTACATTGCTAGTTTAAAGACTGATGGATACATATTTATATTGTAGGACCTTGCTAAGAAGAAGACTAAGTTCTTTGGAGGAGATTCCATCACAATGATTGACTACATGATGTGGCCGTGGTTCGAGAGGCTCGAGATCTTTGAGCTGAAACAGTAAGTCTTGATCTCTGAGTAAATCCACTTTATTTATGAAAGCTTGAGATGATTCAAAGTTGGCATCTCACAGCAGGTAATCCTACTCACCTGTCTTTCACATGAACTTACCTGTTATTTCTCTGTCCAGCTGCCTTGACGGCACACCTAAACTGAAGCAGTGGAGTGAATGCATGATGGAGGATCCAGCTGTGAAAGCCACCACGCATAGCATGGACACCTACAAGGCCTATTACAACAGCTACATGGACGGGAAACCGAACTTTGACCAGGGCCTGTAGGAAAAATTGTTGTCTGAACAATTGTCTGTTTTGTTTTACGTTTGGTGTTTTCAGTTATTTCTAATAAAGCCTGGCATATTGAGTTTACCAGTCAGGTACAGACAGTGGTTCCGTTTTCTTTGTTTATCCAGGTTTGCTTTATCAGGTACTAAGTGATCCCATTAATAAGCTTTTGACGTGCTGCTCAACTCTTCTTCTGCCTAAAATGTAGCAATAGCATAAGGCTTACCTCAATCCAGAGGAACAGAATGTCTAAATAGAGAGTTGAAGTGTTTCAGCAAATATTACAGCAAAAACTGCACTTTTTACAGCAGTAAAGAAAAGAATGGGATACTGGTAGAAATTTTTAAGGGCAGATTTTAAGTTATAATATGAACGTATTGTACTTAACATTTTCCTTTTTAAGTTTTAACACAATTGCACCATTGGAGAGCTCTCAGACTTGAGTAACTGACAGTGCTATTGCTGCTCTAAAGAAACTGGTTTTGTTCCTTTAGCTCAGAATCATTATTTTCAGGTAAAGAATAAGACAAAACATCTTTTAGAGGTGTGTTATCCAAAACTCTGAGCACTGAATACCACTAGTGATCATCTTGATGACATTCAAAACTACTGACTGCTGATCCATTAGTTTGCTCTGTATTACAGACCGGTTAAAAATGTATACTATATTTTTCGTACCATATGGCGCACTTAAAATCCTTTTGGCTTGTCGGAGCACTGCAGCTACCGTAGCCTCACAGAGTTATTGAATGATTTAAATAAAGTTTGACTTATCTGACTGTTTTGTTTGGCTTAATGCGCTTTATAATCCGGTGCGCCTTATGCGTGAAAATAGACGTGAGTGGACGCGTTCATTGATGGTGCGCCTTCAAATAAGGTGCGCCTTATGGGGGAAAAATACGGTGTGTATGTTGAAACAAATACTGCTGTGAGTAAACATTGTTTTTATTGGACAATCAAGACATAAATATAACCTCATTCTACTTCTTTTTATCCATTCCAATATTTGACATTTTTGATAGATGTTTTAAATATCTTGTCATAATCTGATTTTTCTGTCTGTGTTACAATAAACAAGCAGAAGAAACATCATGTCTGCCTTATTTATTTAAAAACCAAAGATTTTTAACCTTGAAACTGTGGAAAGTTACCTTTAAAAATAGAAAACAAACAAACTCTGCTTTCAAAATAATGAGCAAATGAAAAGTATTAAATATGAACTATTACAATATTTTATAGCTGCCATATTTGCAAACGTATGAATAAAAACAAAACTCATTTGGTTCATTACACCTGTTAGACTGCCATAGTATGAGAGGTATTTGTGTGAAATCTTTCTCAAGCCACAGAGGTGTTTTGTCTCCTTGTGGGTAAGTGACAATAAAGGTTTTAAAAGTTATCATCCTTTTATGAAGATACGTTTTTGCTGCTCATGTACATCGAGTATAATTAGCAACATAAATGGTGAATTCGAGGCCTCTGAAATCGTGTACTGAATGAGTTTTACAGATAGTATCTCTAATACTTGCAGGACACAGTCACTAGATTTCTAAAACTCATTATTGAAATGCTGCTTATATTATGTTTTGAGAAGGTGCTCGTTACGTCCTTGAGTCTAAAAAAAGGAGCTGCAGCAGAAACCACTATGTGTACATAAAATAACCCCCAAGTTAACAATAGAGTCTGTTTGTGCACCTGTTTTCATCTCTGTACTTGCACAGATGTGAACTAACATGAGCTAAACTCACAATCGTTAATCCAGGCTGTGGTGTAAATATCCGTTTGATAAGTGAGGTGTGTACTCTTGTATTAGCACATTAGCATTTCTCAGTATCTCTTGAAAATGCCGGACTGTTGCTGCATAAACGTCTGTCTGCAACACCAGAGATCGCAGCAGGTTGACGGGCTCTGCTGTGCGAATCATCTCAGGAACCTGGACCTCTTTGGGAACTTTGCTGTTCCCGATGAGCGCATGATGGAGTCTTTTCTCATGCAGAGTCTTCTGCAAGAAGGCAAGCAAATCTCGGAGTCTATGCTCCATGTCCTCAAAGCTCCACGAGGAGGGTTTTTTACTCAGCAACAAGTGCAACAGAGCTGTTTTAAGGTGGTAGTTTGTCAGTGCATTTTTCCCTGTGAGCCCTGTCTGCTTTCTGTGCAAAAAGGTGGCGATCTGAAGGCAGTGTAAATGACAGGAATGCTGTGGTAGGCGTTTAGAAAAATATTTCAACAAATTCTTCTCATAGACTGCAAGGGAGAGGGGCCAGTACGGGTCTGGCGGGCTCTCACAATCTGATGGAAAGTGGGAGACAAAATAAGCATCTGTATCCTCCAACTGAACCACTGGTATGATGTTCATCACAATAACTTTCCCAGAGCTGAACCGGACCTTCAGAGCACCAGCAGCATCCAGATTGCGGAATGTGACCTCAAAGTCGTACTTGTGTGAGATGCGTCCCCAGGCTTTAGTTACAGATATCTGAAACCACTTCATGACTTGATCTTTGGCCAGGAAAGGTGTGTTCCTGGAGCAGAGGAGCTCATCAGGACTGCGGTCCACTTTGCAGACATCATTCCTGCTGTGCAACAGACAGAGCATGTCCTCTCCCAGGTTAGCAGAGCCACAAACACACCCCTCCTCGCTCTGCTTGGTCACCTTTATCTTGCTGCAGCCCTGCATGTCCGGAGGCACATCACTGCGAGAACTGCACCACAGGTGGAACTGAAAAGAATATGGATCCGGTGGTGAGAAAGGCACCAAGAGGTCACACATCAGTGGCTTGCACACCTTCCAAGACTCAAACATGCTCCCAATCCCAACAAAGTCCCCGACCTCCACGTCTGCCTCCCTGTTACAAACACTTCTGAGTGATTCCAGCAGGTCATCCACAAAACCCTCGACAAACTCCCTCACCCTCCAGTTTTCATGGGCTGATGTGTAGGTGCATTTGTCACAGAAATTTCTCAAGACGTCTTTGTCCAGTACAAACGTTTTTGGGGTGACAGACCCAATCTCTGAAAGAAGGTCTTCATCCTCAACTGGTCGGATGTCTGTGTCAGCTAGCTCCACCCTGCACATCTCAATAGTAATTAAAACTAGGCATGACACAGCGCTCCAGAAGTACCAGTTGTAATCCTCCTCTGCGCTGGTTTCTTCCTGCTTTGACTCCAGCTGGGCCAGCTCTTTCTCCAGCCTGGCCTGCTCCTTTTCTAGCATCTCTTCGTGCTCCTGCATGCGAGCCATCAGCTCCTCATCCTGGTCTGGGAGGGTGGAGTTCTCGTGAGGAAACAGGATGGGATGGTTTAATATGGCAGCTGCCACCACCATACACACTCGTGCAATGGCCCCCTGCATCTTCAGCTTGTTTGTATCATCGCAGGAAACAATGCTGCTCAGATCCTGAAAGATAAAAAAGAAATGGTGGTTTCACTATTAAGTTTTCATTCGCAAATATTGGTTTATATTTTTGAAAATCGAATAATCCAAGCACTCCACCCAAAGGGGAAGCTCAGTTTGCGGCTCTAAATATAGAGGCAGCAGGCTGAGTGACGCACTGGTCATATATCAGACCGTGAACATGGGAGGAAGGAACATCGAGCACTCTTCTGATAACCCTGTTTTAGTTAGTTCCCAACATTTTGCCGATAATGTTTACATCCTGTTAACATTTGGTCAGCATAAAAATAAAAGACGCCTTTCTTTCTGGATAACGTCCAATGCCCAAGTGAAACGAAGTGAAAACAATCACATCCACATTATTATCTGCTTTCCTGGACGTCATAGAGTAACCAAATATATCGTACAAAAGAGGAAATTACATAAGTCCTGTTCTTACGTTACAGTCCTCTTGTGTTGAGACAACTGCACATTGCTTCAGGGAAGATGTGCTCAAGTACTCGAGTTATCATCACAAGATCTGAACAACTGATTATTTACAACATGCTCAGTGGGACTTTCTGTAAAGTGAGTCAAGAGTTAGGGTGTGCACATGTATGATGATCTCACTGTTGGATTATAAAAGTATTTGCTGTGTTCTGTCAGAGTCAGGCTAAAAAAACTGTAGTGGCAGAGTACGTGAGGCCACAGAGCCAGAGAAACTTCCCATGATATGTTCACTGGGATATTTTCCAAACCTTACACGGCTCAGTCCGTCTAAACAAACATTAGGCCACAAGAATGTTATTGACAACCTGTTTCTCAAATGAAAATTAGCTACGTTTTACAAATCTGAATTTGGGTTTTGGTGCTAAAAACTTGGTCTTTCATAACATATAATGCCAACAAACCTTGGCATAGACATAACTAGCTAATGTTGTTATTTGTTATCATCTCTTAGTCGCCTTCAACTTGTCCAAAATGCTGCTGCCTGTCTTTTAACAAACAATAACAGATGTGAGCACATCACTCCCGTCCTTAGCTCCCTTCATTGGCTTCCCGGCTCTTTAAGGATTGATTTAAGGATACAGCCTCATCACCATCTATTTAACTGAACTTTTTAACAGTTTGAGAGCCAGGTAGAACTCTGAGGTCATCAAATCAACTTCTGCTGGAGGTGCCCAGGTCAAAACACAAACACTGGGGTGACCGAGCCTTTTCAGTTTCTGGTCCCAGGCTCTGGAATAAGCTCCCCACCGAAATGAGACTAATTTCCGACCTTGGCCTTTTCAAATACCGACTGAAAACTTACTTATTTATGCTGGCTTTTAATACCCAGTAGTATGGTGACACTTTATTTTATTGCATTGTATTTTATTCTTTTTTATTGTTTTTATTTATTCATTTTAATTTTCTATGTATTGTAAAGCACTTTGGTTCACCGAAAGGGTTGTTGTAAAGGGCTGTATAAATAAAGAACATTTACATTTACGTTTGTGTTTTAGTATAACTTCAGTAGTATATCACAATTCATAAAACGTTGCTCACGCAGTCTCTCAGTGTGGTGAACCATTTTTGGAGTTCCCTATTTGTTACTAACATGGTGCAATTTAACCTTTATAGTTCCCCCCTTTTTTTCCTTACCATTACACAACTTTGTAAGTATTTTCTTATCCCTGTCCAACCTTTAAACATATGTTATAATTCGTGCAGAAAGTGTGGGTCTAAATAAACCAGTCTCCATTAAAAGTACTTGAACTCTCTGGAGCAATGACTTCTTCACTACGTCCTCGTGAAGTCATGTAAACGGTCACCGCCTCAGTTGTCGTAGCAACAAAATAGTGAACTGCTCATCACGGAAATGTGGTCTTGGCAAACATTATCCTAGACAAATGAGTCACTTTACACCAATCAGCGAACAAAAAGTTCTTTGAGGGATACTTAGTAAAACTTTTGAACAGATATAAACTAATACGATAACGCGCCGAACATGTGTAGCCTAAAGCTACATTTTGGCTCACTTTGCATGTTTAGCTCCTCGTATTTGTATGACGGTAAAAGAGTCAAAATTCACTCCTTGAATACGGTGCAAAAGTTGATGAACTTACCTTTTGTCTTTTGTCTGACGAAGTTCATGGTGTCAAACTCGTGTGAGGGTGTCCACGGTGAGAGCAGACTCATTAAACTCATGGGGAAAACTGTAGAGAACAGTCACACAGAGGTTTCTACACATTTCCTGAGTCTGTGCTCCACCCATGCACACAAACACCGCCCTGCTTCCTCTGTGCAGCCAAAATAGAGTCTGAGCTGAGAGTACAGCGTGTAGTGGTACATGAGGAATTACATATCAACACTGTAGAGGTTTGTTTTGTTTTGTTTTGCTTATTTTCCCCATATAAATGAGAATGATAACATGCAACAGCAGTGAAAATCCAAAGTTTCTATGCAAATGCACAATTTTTGATGGAGTTTTATGGATTCTTACAATTCAAACTCTAAAAAAACCTTATTCAAATCATGTGACTTGCAGAAAAAGTATCAAATTCTCACTTTTAAGCACTAAAACATGTTTTTGGCCACTTGTGTTTGATGATAAAAGACAGAGCAAAATGCAAGGCAAAATACAGTTGAACTAACACCAACTTAACATGTCTTGTAATTGGTTATTATTGAATTTATGTAATTATATTTTCAGCTAACTTTGAAGGGTCATTGCTTCCACCTTATACCAATTGAACATGTCTTGTTATTAGTTATTATTGAATTGATATAATTATATTTTTCAGCTAACTTTGAAGGGTCACTATTTCCACCTGAGAGCTTCATCATGAGCAGAGATTCAATATTAACCCACAAGATGGCGCTTCATGCTTGGGCAAAAGAGACTAAAAGTTCAGGAGTGCAGGACACAAATCTCTCTGGCTGGGCTACTTTAACTCTTATGCAGTATTAGTGACAAAAAAACGTCCACGAAGGGTCACTTTTGACCATAACTTTCACTGTATTGCAGCAAATGGCATGATTTTTGCTGACAAACCTCTTTTGCATATAATTTGAAAATATGATTACAAAATTTTCAGAAGGTCAATAGTACACTGTCGGCAAATTCACTACCCTTTAGCGGTATTAGTGGCTGAAAACAGCCACTAATACTGCTAGAGGAAGTTTTTTTTAACGCTGTATGAGGGTTAAACCAGGCAAAACTCCCTTCCTAAAGTTATAAGTAGAAACCCAACATCATTACTGACATTCTCTGAGTGACACTTTCACATTAATACATAATATGTGAAAGCTCAACTGAACAAAGCCCCTTTTCAAATCCAGAAAGTTGCCCCAGAAAGAGTATTAGTATTCAGTGTAATAAAACATAAAGTATAACAGTGTCATGTTGAGCAGTTTTCAAATGATGTGTCATTTTGACTTTTTTTAGCAGTGTATTCAGCAAAAATCCCCGAAGGAATTACCGGGGGGAATCTTACACAATATCCCCAACGTCATCTAACCACTTTCACTATAAGTCACCTTTGATTAAAAAGTTCAGGCACTGAATTTTCTCCATAGACTGTCGATGGTTTTCTCCCCCTGCAGAGATGACTGACTCACAGAGCACAGAAAGGCTTCTTCTGCAGACTCTTTGGGATTGGTTGAGATGTCAGCACTTCCACAGATCTCCATTTTTTCCTGTCTTTTTCTCTCTGACAGTCCACCTGAGCTGCTGCGTGCCATACATTTGCCTGGATTTGCTCTGTTTAAGACTTTCTTTCATACGCCGTTTCAAGATCCAGCCTGGAAGCAAGGTGACCTGGAAAATGACTAAAAGGTGCTTATGCAAAATTTTTTACAACCACTTCTGTTTTATTTTCCCGCTCTCTGTCTTATACTGGTACTGGAGACCTGTGCCGCAGCCTCTGCTTGCACCTGATGTTCTGTCTGTTCTCAAGGATGTTCTAGCTTTCCTCCTCCTTTTTGACACGCAGTACTTTTTATGGCATCTGCTGCACCACAAAGTGTCCTGGTTGTACCAGATCTTCCACAAGGAACACCACCTCTTCACCTCCACCTTCTCCCTGACCACTGAAAATACAGGCGCCTGGGAAATGCTGAGTCTCAGCTTCTTCACAACCTTGAACGTTGCTCTCCTGGGCTGTCACCCACTCACAGAGATGGTGCTGTATGTCACTCACATGTATCTGTCTGTGGAGGCTCACTCAGGATATGAGTTTCCCTGGTCACCTCACAGGCTGGTGCCCTTCGGCCTCTACGGAGGAGCTCGGCATCACGACCTCCATCACCTCAAATTCAAAGTGAACTACGCACCATATTTCACCCACTGGGACAAACTTTTTGGCACACTACACAGAGGAAAGACACAAAGAAAAACAGAGACTTAACAGTAGATAAAAGTTTACTTCAATGCTGAAAGACCGACATTTTTAGGTAAAGAAACAACACATTTCATTCTTGAAAAAAATAGAGTTGTGTATTTAGTCAAACTTTTGTGAAAAATGTATCTATTGGTGGCACATTGAGCATAAATTGTTCTCAAGAAACAGTTTAAAGGTTACTTTAAATGCCTTGAATGAATCTAACATAACATCTATTTATTTTAGTTAAGATTATTAAATGAGTTTAAAGGCTACATTATGCTATAAAATTCATTCCTGGTTGCTGGACAAAATCAAATTACTCATGAAAGAATGGGTGGTTGTAACATTGATGTTTTTATGCTTTACTTTTAACTGTAATTTAGAAATTACTGGTATTGTGAATTAAAACAAATTTAATCTTTCAAGCACAGAGTCTTTCAAATTTATGTTTCCTTGCAAATGAAAGAATCTGACAAATAAAAATTTGCTGGAGCTGCTTTATCTCTGTTTTAAAAGACTGTACTGTGTGTAATTGTATGTAGTTCCAGCGCTGAAGAGAAAGTGAAGCTTTGAGCGTAATATCAAAACTCAAGGTAAAAGTACATGAGTAATTTCTAGCGTCAGAGGTTGGTTTAAGTTGATCTGTTTTATGCTTTGGTTTATAATCTAATGTAAAAAAAAAAGGTGTGTGGATATGAATCCTGGTCATGGATTTAGAAGAAAAACTGTAATGTTAAAACTAATGGTGTGGATGGACATTGATTTGGTTTCTCTACTCTCAAACACATTCGGAAGTACTAAAAAAATTCATATCTCTGTGACTTCTTTAAAAAGATACTGAGTTTGTCATTCTAATATGTTTCAGTATTTATTCTTCATTTGACATTTATTTAGCCGGATTAGTTAGCCAGAGAGCTCTTTTTAAGGGAGGGTTGATCGAAAGTGGCGGCAACACAAAGTTTCATGAGCAAAGCAGTAACACTTACGCAGTAGAACTGAAAATAAGTCCATTATAAAAGTCAGCTACAACAAGTGCTTACAGAAAGCCGAACTCGGAAGTTTGGACTGCGGAAACAACAAATTGCACAATGTCCAATAAACTGCACGGTAGGCTACTTCATTGATTGCTAATGTTTAAGGTTAGGGTGTGGGTATTATTTGAGGTTAGAGGCAGAGTGGGGTTGATTGTTGGGCTCGGGGAGTTAGGGTAATGTTCAGAGGGTTAGATAAGGGTTGGAGGATACAGAAAAAGTTTGTGTTTGGGTCTTGGTTAAGGTATTGGTTAGGTCTAGGGTTAGAAGAAGAGAACCTCTCAGTCTCTGTAAAAACATGCAAATGATAACACTTTCGATCTTCTATGATCGAAACATATGGGGAGTACCTGGCATTTATTTTCATTATTTAAGCAAAATTATTCATTATTAAACCAAAATACAAAAAGATAAAATGTTAAATGTTCATAATTTCCTGAGAAAGGACCCCCCAAATTCTCTTTTAACTATAAATCAACATGTCAGCTGTAAGCCATATTAAATTTGATTGTTACAAGTTTTTATTACATGGAAACAGTCTTTATATTAGATCATCCTGCTTTAGATTATATATTTGGGTTCCTCAAAGATGTTGCTCGTAAAAATGTTTGGCTAAGGAAGGTATGTGCTGGCAGTGGAGTGATCAGCAGTAACTGAAGTATGCCTGGTGTGTGGCTTGGACTGATTTGAAGGTATGCATAATTTCTACATGCCCTGAGGTGTCTTGAATATGATACACAGTCAGAGAAAAAAAATCTGAACCTCACAGATTTCTAAACCCTGGTTTACAACCTTGATTGTCAGTAATGATAAGTGAAGTTCAAGTAAGTCAGTCACTTTTCTTAGTAAATCAGATAAATATAGCATTGCTTGTCCTCCTGTCTCCCTGCATGTGCCAAATCTGCTGTCAAATGGCTGGACACAGTGTGGATTAATTATGTTCCACCTGTGTAGGCCATATATTCCTGTATTTGACATCATGGTGTGTATCCAGCGAAGAAAAATGTTCCAATATTAGCATTGACCAGTATCATGTGGCCTTAGTATCACCTCCAGATGTGTAATTTTCCCCAGGAAGTCATATGAGCCCTGCATTATCAAAGCCTGATACGATACACATTATTAGTTTTAAATGGCTGTTACAAGCTTACACATTATACTGTGTATGGGTAACTACCAAAACAAATAGAAGGCAAAAAAACCCCACTTATTTCAAAAGGTTTGATTTAAACTTTTGACCATGTTATGTAAATGTACATGTTATAAGTAGAACCTGATCAGATTGTTTTCCTTTTTGTTAATATGTTTGTTACATTCTTAAAAGCTTATTCATTCATTCATTCATTCATTCATTCATGTGTTTTCTCTTAACTGTCATTCAGTGATATGTTAAATTAATGTTGATTGACATTCAACATGTGGTACATTTATTCTGAACATATTAATGTTAATGCTTTAACTTTCTTCAAAAGAGATAAACATATAAGAGGTCAGTAGAATTTGAAAGAGGGCACTTTGGTGCCAGTGTTGTAATCTTGGGTTGAAGGATGAGAAACGAAAGCAAACAAATCAGCAGATCTAAAATAATCAGGGCTAGACAGATGGTCTTCCTTCCTGTTTGTTTGCAGGATTCTGGTTTATTTTAATGTGCTTCTAAACAAGTCCTATGAAAGCCAGTTTAGGGGCACAAACTGGTCCTTTTTCTGCCGTCTTTTGATTGTCATATATGGAGAGTAAGTACAGTGGCTGGATACACTTTTCTGAGTGAAGAAAAAAAGTCTTAGGTTATCTAATTTTAAAACGATCATAGTGCCATAAAACTCTTTCCACATGACACCTTCAGAGTAAGGTTGCAAATGAAAAACATAAAGGCGCATTTTGAGAAGCTAAAATTACAAAAAATAATAATAATAAATTACAGCTTCAAATGCTGAACTCAGAAAATAAGTGACTTTTATTCAGATATAACACACATTACACAGGCTGATGCAAGCGTCACATGATCCGCATGAAGCATAAAATTTGCACTGATACATCTTGATGCACACCAGTATATCAATACACAATAAACGGTTCAGTGCACGCTGAAAGCAAAATTTAAAATCCCTAAAAAATACTGACAATTTTTTTTTTCCTTCAACTAGATAAATAGAGATGTCACAGATTTAACTTTTTCCTCTGCAGCACCATGTAAGATCACAGTGTTTAAGACAAAAGCCATCATAAAATTCATCTTAAAATCTCAGTATTCATAGTTCTGCATGTACTTAAGTTAAACATAACACCAGGGAGTTTCAAAACACAGCTTACACAGTGAGGGAACAGGATTGCATGGCAAAATTATTCAGGAAAAACAGATTCAAGATATTCTCAGATTTATCATTTTAAAATTGTGCAACACATCCTGGAGTTTAAGTGTTTTTCTTTTTACTTGTATAAAGATAAATATTTATACAATCAATCAATCAAAAAGAAAATCTCAGTTTTTTGTTTCTATATCTCACACCGATAACCCACCAAACATCGGATGTCGAAGAGACGTGCAGATCACGTCAGTATTGGGTCGGTTCGTCAAAGACCACTTCTAGACGTCAGTGCGACGTGCAAAATAGGTTAGAAATTTCGACGTCCATATTGGACCCATATTGGACCATATTGTCACTCTGGGGTTCAGAATTTGGACGTCATCTGAAGACCAAATCTAGACATCGGCACAACGTGCAAAATGGATTCAAGATTTAGACGTCACTATTAAATGAAACATGATACAGCATGCACAAAAGGTGATGTCTGTCTTTATGGGGAATGTCAAAATGTTGCAGATTCTGAGCTTTGATGTCCACCATCCAACAGACACACACTTTAAAGGCCATCTCAACGGTGGAAATTGCAGGAGAACAAAGCCCAAGAAAATTAGAAAGAGGCTATCAAAGTCAGACAAAGAGATCCAGGTCAGCCCTTTGACCTACATGCTCTAACCCATTTGCAAGGAAAAAGGAAAAAGAACCAGACACCAAAATGACAAGCTATGAAACAATAATAAACAGAACAGGACGTCCATATGCACTTTCAGATGACCTGATTTTGACGTTGAAAAAATACGTTCAATAGATGTCATTTTGACGTCGCATTGCGCAGTGGGAACAAACATGGTATCCCTCTGTGTCAAATCATTAAAAGAGACTATAGTTTGACAACTTTGCTGAGCAACATGTGTGCAAGTATTTGCATGATCTTACTCATAAAGGAAAATTCTCAGCAATAACTCATCATGAGTGTTTGACCTCACCCTTTCATATAAGGTCAAGAAACAAACACATTCAGGCAGGTTTTTGAACTAGTCTTCAAAATCTTAGTCACTTTTTCTGCTTTGGCCTTTTTGCCACTTTGTCTAAGGATTTCTACCAGCCTCTCTGGGGCCTTAGCGCCCACATGTTCCACCCAGACCTTCAGCAGTTGAAGTGTCTGCTCTTCAGTGTCACCCAGATTATCCTGTTTACAAGCGTCAATCCTTGCATCTGGTACCCCGCTGCGCATCGCTACTCTCTTCATATCTTTCCATCCAATTTCCAAAGCAAGGGCAGGGATGAGGCGCTGGATATCCACACCTGAAATTAAAGAGACAGGAAAAAAGAGTGACTTCAAAATCAAAATCACACGGAACAAATCACAACTTTTTTGAACCTTAAAGGGGCTTTTTTTTAATTGTAGGCCTATGTGATGACAAAGTGAAGATAGTTATGTTAAAAGTGAAGGAGCAAGTTTTACTCACAGTAGGTAAGGAGAGCTGTCTCTAACTCAGATTTTTGTCAATGGCATCTCACTTGACCCCACTGTTTGTTAAAGTGGACACCATAAGTGTTCACTGACTCTGAGGTCAAAAGGTTAAGAGCTCCATCTACTGACTGGCTGCAGTATGGGTCACATGGGTCAGACTATGAGTTATATATATATGAAATGTTTTTTTCTACATGGTTTCTGTCTCATTATGAGTGTATATTTTTGTATTATTTTTTAAAGATGACTGATTGACAACTTTGTTGGCTTTGTGGGTTCCTGCAGCATCCTCTACGAACAATTTGGGCAATTTTTTCAGCTTTACATCCCTCAAGGGGTGGAAATGAAGAAAAGGTATTCAATATAGTTGCAGTCAAGGGTAGATACATTGATGAATTATGTTCTCAAACTGCTACAGCGACTTCAGACTGACAGATGACTGACCCCTCACCAGTTCATTACTGACCTTAACCTAAACACAGTACAGTAGTGGGCGGAAAACATGAATTCAGCGAGAGAGATGATGTAAATGAAATACTGGTCCATGATTCAATCAATTCACAGTATAGAAAAAAAGAGCATGCTTTCTTACCTTTGAGACGCTGCAACTCCTGAAAGGCAGAAGTAGAATAAATGTTTAAAATTTTTTCTAATAAAGACAAAGAGTAAAGACTTCTAACACAATGTGCACATAGAGTATGTCACACCACTAAACTACTTACAATAACACACACCTTTACAACATCAACAGCTTTAGACAACTAACCTTTAGCTCCCTTAGAGATGAGCGGCTTTATTAGAGCAGAGATAGAAATATGTTTATCATACTAGCACTACTGAGTAGATATGAGTGTGACAAAACAGGTTTGATAGGCTTAGAAAAAATACAAGACAAAGGCCATATGTTAAAACAAGAGTTACAAAATGACTAAAAGAAAATAACTCACCTCATCTTCTCCATTTCCATTCCCCGGCTCACCAGTGCTCGGTTGGCCTGACGCATAGCGGATAAATTGAAAGTTAACAGACACATAATACAGCTGATGAACTTTGCTATTTCTCGGAGGTCAGCATGAGGTTTCAGTGCCATCTGCTGGTCCCCTAAGAGTTTTTTACATCACGTCATACTGCTTTGTTTTTTCATACTTTAGGAATTGTCAGATACTCTGTGCACAGACACACAACATTTCTCGTCATCTTTATACCATGTCAGGTTTCTGCTTATGAATGACCTGGCCATGATCAGTCATCCCAGTCATGTGTGATAAACCATTAGATAATTTTCCAATCTTCACGTACTTGATTGCCATCATCAGAAAAAGCGTCTCATATTCACACCATAAAATACTCGCCAGTCCACGCAATTTAAACCAATCAACCTGTTTCCATGTTAATATCACTGAATTTAACTGATATAGATGATATAAAACAGTGATTCCCCTTAGTGCTGTAATGTTTCATAAACATTAGAGGGAATTGTACACCTGTGGCTTTAATATCTTTTGCAATTCCTGTGAAATCAGGCATTGAGACTGAAACAATTACAGGAAATCCCCCTAAACCCTGGTGGGACTGTAGAGTAGTGGGAATACTCACGTTTCTTCCAAAGAAACCAAGCAATCCCTGCGCACACAGCAATCACAAAAATGACTGCAAAAATTATTCCGGCTATCACCCCACCTTGACTCTTATCTGAAATGCAAAATTAAGGATGTAAGAAGATATGATGACCAAAATTATGGCATCTGTGTTAAGAAACGACATACGTGATTACAATTACCAAAGCCTACCTTTAATTTCATTGCAGACTGTGTTATTGTTACCGGCACATTTCCATTTGATGCCCTCAGCACCACACCTTGAACACAATAAACAAGAAAGGAAGGAAAAATGAGAGAACAAATTTGCATCTCTAACATTTCTATAATCATCTGAAGGTCTGTGAGGATAAATCTGTACATTTGCGATGTTTTCTGACTATCTTTTGTCTTTTCAAACAAATGTATAAAGTTGTCTTCAAGGTATTAGATATTCACTCGGGCAGAACTTACTTTTTACAAGGGTGGCAGAGGAGACAGGATTCTGTGCCACTGACACAGTAGTGATCTGGTTGACAGCGACACTTAGCGTCCCTGGCAGCGGTGCAGGGTTCATCTACCTCCAGATTTTCTAAAGGATGGCAAAAGCAAACACTGTGATAGGAGGAGCTGATTTCACTGAATCTTGAACTGGTGTTTAATATTTCCTGATTTACTCTATGAGAAAAATGTCTGCACCCATGTAAATTTGTATGATGTTTAATTTTAGAAATATTTCCACTGTGACGGATGAAGGGAATAGCATCATCAAACATTTTTCACTATCTACTATTTTCTATACAATCTTATAACAGTAATTGTGTTTTCTTTTTAAATTAGTCACTTGTTATTTTGTTAAGGAACTCCATAAAAGGAGGTTGAACCAAACTTTACCATTGAACTTTTGTAAAAGCAGAATTTAAATACAATTTGATTCTTTCAGAGACAAATGTTGAGTGTAAAAACAAAAATTGAACCGTACGCTACTTTTTTAAATTTCCCACCAATGTTTTGATTTTGGCTGTACCTGGAATATAAGGAATATTTTAGTATAACAGGGGTCTTTTACCATTGGGGTGTGTGCAGAAAGTGCAGTCTTCACACTTGGTTTCACCAGTTGGATGACTGTTGAACCTCCCATCCTCACAGGGCTCACACTTTCCATGTTTTAGATTCTCAGTACAGTGCTCCACCACCTTAGAACCTACAGCATGGAGACACAAAACATGTGTAATGAACCAATGATGCAAATAAATTATTGGTTCATTGATGCAAATAAAATACAAACTGTTGACATAAACCAATCAAAATAATCATTTGAGTTAATGATCTTTGTAGCATTCTTAAATTCTTAAAACATTTTGATGATTATTTTAACTCTCCACTTCAATAAGAGAGGGTTAGGGGAGACCAGAGCTTGTTGTCACATGGGTAAGTTGTCACATTGCAATTATCTTTGCCACCAGAGGGCGCAACTAAAAAGCAGTGAAATATGTGGACTTGTCAGAGGAGAGATTAAGGCATCCTGTCATACCTCAGTCATTGTTCTGTTTTAAACTAAATTTAAGCTAGAGCTAGAATGGGCAAACATGGTAGTTTGGGGCAACATGTCTCAGTCATTTTGGGGTTAGTTGTCATGTTTAAAAGGGGTTAAAATAAACAGAGAGTCTGCTTATTAGCAGTTGTCATATTGATATTTTGAATTTATTTTTACGGAAAAAAGTGAGAGGAGAAAGTGAGAAAACATGGTCAGGAATTACAAAAGAAAAAAGGAACATGTCAGTGCAGTACCTGACGTGATGCTGAGGGCAGTCAGGCAGGTGACCCTCGCTAATAAATCAATCTGGACTACAATAAAGGACTTTAATGTCAACTACCATACCTTGGCTCAGTATTGCAAAACATTCACCCCAGCCGAAATACAGAGTCAGACAGATCTCCAAACTCCAGAGCATGTTGTATAATCTTTTATGTTAACATTTGTTGAATGGCTATGTGTAATGATTAAAACATAAACATTTCCTGTGCCTGACTTTGATCCCCACTTTAATGTAAAAAAAAATTACAACAATAATTTTTTCCTTGATTTATTAGCTGCAAAATCCACTGTGACGTCTTACCCCATGTAGTGAGACAACTTACCTGATGGTGGGGCAACATGTCACATGTTCACACTCTCTATTTGATTGCTTATGACTCTGAACTGACACAAGATATGAAAATGACATAAATATAAAATATATACCTGAGACTTTGGTCTTTGATCTAGTACACATAATGTTTACATATGATGTATTGATTCAAAGTGATATATAAGAGTGTAAAAAGTGTGACAAGTCTCCCCTACATTTTAACTTGTATATCAATGTTTTGTTGTCATTCAAGCTCACGAAATGATATCAGAGGTACATACCAGCCCCACACCGACAGCAGTCCCTCCCTGCGTGCTTGTACGTCCCATCCACGCACTGACTCCTGGCGAAAGAGATGGACCTGAAAGTGGCAGTAAAAACGAAAGTGAAAGTGCAGTCGCCCTGTGGCGTGACCTCAAGGGGTAAAATGGTGTCAAGTAAGTGTTACAAATTGTCAAACGTGGTTTTATTTGCTCTTGACGTGTGAATTTCAGACTAAAATATGAACTCGAGTGTTATGGGAAATCCCGTACCCCCACAGGTTTGTACCCCAGCCCGAGCCCCACCTTCCTTTAACTTTACCTCAAATATGTTAGCGTATGGATAAGCTACTTAACTTTGACTTAAACTCACAGAAACTTTTACTCATACATTTGACGTTATCTTGTGTTATTGTTAAAATCCACCGGAACCTCAACGAAGCGCTGAAATGCGTGTAAAACGTATAAAACAGACTTAATATCTGTCAAACACGTGACAACAACGTCATAGATCATAAACTTAAATTGTATTTTCTCCGTAGATTTACTTACATAAGTATGAAGAACAAAACGAAGATGATGAACCAGGACTTGTTTGTTTTTACAGCCATGACTCCGCTCTTACTACGGTACGGGCGTCTTCCTTCTGACAGTAGACCACAACTTCCTGAAGGCGACACATCGCGTCCGCGCATGCGCTTTTAGGGGGGAGTTTTGAGAGGGAAATTTTTGTACTTTCATATTGAATCACCAATTACACATGCAAAGTAAAGCCGATACTTTTGTGCACTTTAAAAGAAAGATTTTCCTCATATATTTCAGGAAACACAGCTCTTTTCAGACAGGGTTTTGCTCTTTACGTCTACACGAGAAACAGCCTGACTGCGGTAGGGGAGAGTGGGGTAAGTTGAGCCAAAAGGTAAGTTGAGCCACCCCCTGTTGCTTGGAAATGGTAAAAGAAATTGATCATGTGACCAAATATTTAGGAGATGGGCATCAATTCATGGAGTCTGTGAAGGTTAGAAGCACTTACCTCGCTCCTGTGGTCAACTTACCCCCATTACACGGGGTAAGTTGACTATATTATATTATCAAGACAGCTATGTTTACACTCATCTTGAAATATATGCAGATACACTATTTAGAGACAGAACTATGATTGCCTTGATGTAGTGATCTGAAATATGAAAAGTGCCCCATCTTAATCTCACTCTCTCTTACTGTTGCCAGTGCCACTGACTCATAGTTTTGTAACAGCAGAGCTGTGGCAGGGGCAATTTAGAAATAACCTTTTTAAACACGTTTACTTGTTAACCTTGTTATGACAGAAGGAAGACTATTCCATATTTTCATATCTCTGAACATGAAAGTACGCTGTCCAGAATTAGTATTGGTGAGTGGAAGTGTGAAATAACCATTTGATGCATGCCCTGTGTTAAAATTAAGCCATAGTCTAGTTTCCAATATATGAAATAAATTTAATAAACACAAGACACTTCTTAATTTCTGTTTGCAAGGTGTTGAAACAGATAGCTAATACCCTTGAATACATTAACCAAGTTCTTTACCTTGCTTCATGATTAGTAACTCTACAGAAGTAGTCCTTGAAAACAAATGCAGTTTTTATTAACAGTTAATCGCCACCTATAACTTTTCACATATTCAGGCTTTTTTTTTTTCTGTTTCAGTTGACAGGTTTCAAATCACCAGATGTGATGCAAAACATTGCTTCACTCCAATATGGCCACTAGGTGGTAGTATTGCACTTTATTTGTCAAGTTGTAAAAGTAGCTGTACCTGTGTCATAGAAGTGATTGATGGGTGTATGCAAACGAAACAACAACAACAAATGTTTCTTATGGTGTTTTCTACACCTCAAAGCTACTGGTTACACCTTGCAGAGCAGCATTTTGGTCTGGCAGTTAGATCTGATGCATCACAGTGAGGGGGTTCTAGGTTCAAATCTTGCTATAGGGCCTTCAAATGTGGAGATAAGATGTTCTGGAAGATGCCCACTGATGTTTGGACCATGTTTTTGAATTTCCAGAACTCACCCTCCCCTAAAGTGGTGTATCAGTGTACAGGTTGGCGCTGATGTCTTGGGACAAGCAGATTTCTGTTCCTGCAAGAGTCCCCTAAAGTTTAGAGCTACAAAGTTTTACCACTGGAGAATCACACACCTTTATGAGCTAACACAATGTCCTAAAGAGTTAATAGTCCTGAAAAAATATGCAAAGCAGAATGTTGTTAAGATGTTCTGGACTCCCACCGTAGTTCTTACAACATTTTGAATTATTTTATTTTAAAGCAGATAATGGTGGACAGGAGTGGTATGGTAGGAGTAAGAGCTGACATCTGGAGGCATGAAGGTTCTGGGTTCCATTCCTGGGGGAGCTCTTGGGTTACCGCAGTTTCCTAGAAAGTTGAAAATATGGGAAAAGAAAAACTCTGGTTCAGGACTCGTGGAAGGTTCAGGGTTTTGGGACGGCACTAAAGAGTTGTAGCTTTCTCCAACTGGAGTGTGAAATGTCAATTTGAACTTATGCAGTGTTCCCAAAGTTACCAACTGGGCTCTGCATTAAAGGCAGGTGGTGTGATGGTTACAGCTGCTGCTTTGCATCAAGATGGTTTGAGGTTCAAATCCTGGATTGGACCTCTCCATGTAAGGCAAAAATGATAAATATTAGATGCTGGACTATGTTTTTAAACTGATAGATTGAGGTGGAAAGAGTTGAGGGTTCAGACCAAGAGAGCAGGGAGAGAGCAGAGAAAAGCAGGAAAGGGTCAGAGAGAAGAAAATACACTTATAAAACACCCCCAAAAGATAAAGAAAAATGACTACAAAATATGGACGTGTGCATGAGACACAAGCAGGTAAAGACGAATGCAGTGGTTTAATGTAGGAGGTGGGGCTGCTCGCTTCAACGATACAACACAAGATCAGTTGCACATATTCTTCGGTTCTCAAATGCATTAATTGTGTTGCCTCAGTCTCTCTTTTTAGGTGGAGTAATGCTTAATGTAACAACAGCAAATAAAACTGTCCCTACCAGGCTGCAGTGAGAGCATTACTCCCCTCCACTCTGCTGTATTTCAACAAACCTGAATAGCTGCAAAACCAGCACTAGAGATGTGCAGCATGCAGATTTACGCTTTATGGAAAGACATTATCATCCTCGGCCAAAGTATTCTGCCTCCCATCGCCCTGAGGTCATATGCAGAATAAGGCAGAGTAATAGCTTCGCTGGGATGATGAAGAAGGATAAAAGTAAAACAATGTCTTTGTTGTTTAGAAGAAGCTGCTGGAAGTGACTGTGTTGCAAAATGTCCCCAGAGACTCAGAAGAAGAGGAGGGAGGAGATGAGTAGAGGAAGCAGAAGGTAAAAGCTCTTCTTTTTGGGGGAAATAAGCACCAGAATCAAGGAGAGGAGACTTCACTGGTTGTCATGCTTTTGTACAACCAAGTTCATTAATACTGCATCGCATTGTAGTGTGCTCCATAGATGTAGTTAACTACTGTCACAATGCGCTCGTCTTTTTTTGGAAATTGGGTCACAACAAGAAAGGCAACAAGTTTTTCCTGAAATTTAATTGTACGCATATCGGTGCACCTTTTGTACCAGCTGAAGTGTTTTCCTGGGTGTGCGCTGTGCATTTGTTAATTTGAAATTTCATGCATGTTGTGGAAGAGGGTTTTATATTTCATGTTTGTTCCTTGAACACAAGTTGTAGCACTTTATTTGTGAGCCCAGATGTACAGGTTGTAATCAGAGTCCACAAACGAAAGAAAGTGAATGTGATTTTGTTTGACTTTGTGCTTTTTATTTACAGGAGCTATTCTGCTGTACTATATTTGAACATCACCACCATGACGGCCAACTTTTCTGCTTTGTAACCTTTGTCTAGTAAAGCGATTGAAGCCGGGACTCCTGACTCCTGATGCTTCTTAACACACAGAACAGGAAGAGGGTCATGCTGATCTTCAACTACAGGAAATAACCTCTGTGCTGATGACGCAGGTCTCAAGGGAACACTCGGCAAGTTTTGTAGATCTAAAGCTTACTGTACACTCTGCGACTGCATAAGTGGCAGCACTGTGCAAGGCTGTGCAACACGTTGCAGCACAGAAACACACATTGAGACAGTCATAGTCAGCCGCACATCCCTTCGAGAGTTGGTTTGTCCCATACATTAAAAGTAAATCACTATAACAAACCACAGTATCTCCCTGACTTTCTCTCCCTCAGCACAAGCTAACACACAGACTAGATGAAAAGACGTAAATCTGTAAAACTGCCACTAGACGATATGTCTGTGCAGAGAGCTTCCCCCCCGCAACACGTCCAGCGGTCTGCCTAATTAGAGCTGAGCGTATCTGTGGGCAAGGGAGTCTGTGTCTGCACATGGAAGGGGGGATTTGGCCAAGAGCATTCATTCACTGCACTGTCTGGTGAGGAAGACAAAGGAGAGGAGTGCAGATTAGATGTCTTGTTCCAAACTGTGCCGAGTGCTTTCTCCAGTGCATGGAACAGACAAGAATAATGCTGGTTGAATATCCCATAGAGATGGATTTATTGGGACTATTGGTATTGGAAAAATCCGGTTAGGGACTTAGTCAAAGCACAGGCAGCGGGGAGAGAGCTGAGCTGAGCCTGTAGGCCTGGCCAAACTGATTTCAACCTTCCCTGTCCTCTCCTTTACCTGTCCTCTCTGTCGCCATACTGGGTCCAATTTTTTGTATATCTTCTTTCTTAAGTATAAACTACAACTATTGACATGACAGGGGGTCCTCTAATATGTTTCACTTAACCAGCCAAAGGTCATTTCATTTTTTTTTTTGTTTCATTTATTCATTTATTTTTGAACATGTGCGTGCAACACAAGAAAGTAAACTAAAAAAAAAAAAAAAACAATGAGAATATCCAAAACAACAATAACTACAATCAAAGCAAAAAATTAAAAATTAAAATTAAAAAAACATATACTACTAATAATAATGTGAACCCAACATGTCCAAAAAAGGAGTAGGATGAAGCATCATGCTTTTTTTAAACCTACCTCTTATCTTCTACTCAATAAACAGTCAGTCTCCAACATATTTACATCATGTGAACAAAAATATAGAACTTAAATAGAGTGAATAAGTACATAATAGAGTTAATAAGTATTTGTCTAATGAAATGTGACTAGAGTTGGCAAAAAATAAAATAAATACTTCTCATAATAAGCTAATTGTGTAGGCTAAAAGTAGCTAAATAAACACAGTAGCTTAAGTTGGTGGGGTGGTCATGCATCCTGTTTTGACTGGCACTATCCCATTTTCAAGCCCTGTTTTCAGAGTTCCAATAAACACAAATATGTCATGATGTTGAGCACTCCACTGTATGCCAAAGATCCTCACTGATTTGTCTGCAGATGTGTCAATCAATCTGTTGCTTTGGCTAGCCTAGCGTATCAAACTGACTGGACCTGGTCAGCATTTTCCGAAGAACTCCAGTAGAGCTCCAACTTGCTTCAAAAAGCAGCAGGCAAGAAACATACATGCTGCAAGTGTCCATTTTCAGCCACCACCACAGTGGAAACGCCGACATACAAATCCATATCAAAATAACTAAACACAAACATCTGCTGAGGCACTTTTGATGGTGTTGAAAAGTGCACTGATGAAAAAAGCAACTGTAACATGAGC